TTTACAAACCAATTTCTCATTTACGACCCAGGAAACCATTCGGGAGGTGATAGTGAATCTTTGATGCTTCCCAAAAGGACAAGTTTCTTATCAACCACACAGACCCATAAACACGGAGCCTCTCACCCTGGCTGGGAAAGATTAGAATTGACACTTCAGGATTAACCCAATGACCTAAAAGGGAAAACAAACCATTTGGCAAAAGTCCGAAAAAACCAGATACCTGCCTTAAAAATTCTTTGAGTGACCATGTTTCTCCACGGCTTTCTTTACTGAGCAGAAGGAAGAAGATGCCTGGAAATGGTTTAACTTCATGTTTAATGGACACTTCACCAGAATTTTCTGTCTGACACCACATTCTCCATGAAATGGTCTTTTTCCCAATTTTGTAACATATCCAACATATTCGGCTGGCCAGCGAAATTATTTTCTTAAGTTATTGGCGCGAATTAATCTGCAACCAAACTAGTCCTGAACGCCGACCAGCATCATCTGCCGAGCTGCTTTGCTTCGAAACTGCTGTGATGAGAACTGGGTGATGCCGTCAACCGTTCAGTAGCTTACTCTCATAAGTTATAGTTTAGTTCTCCAAATTCCTTTTTAATTTACCCTCGTAACTCAGTTAACGTAGGTTAAATTCCCCCTTATTCACTCACTATCATTAACCTCCAGTCTTAGGTTTAATTTAAACCATTCCTTCGTTTATTCATTAGATGTGCTTTGATTGTCTCATTATTTGATCATCATTTATTGACGTTTTGTTATCATATAGCTTGTTAATAAATTGTCCATTTAATTTTAAGTTGTCGTCTTAGTGGTCTTTCAGAAAGTAGTCCCTGAATGAAGAATTCCGGCCTCAGATGAGAGACTGATTTAAATCTGTTTAAGACTGATCCAGCGTTTAATTACTCAATTGAACTTTGTTTCGTCCTTTTCCCACCAGAAAGGTGGGTGGTGCCCCTTCAACGAGTGCATAAATGTCATAATTTAATTTGATTAATTTTCCACATTTATTTTGAATTTGAAATCGCTACACTCCATTCAGATATATTCAATCTTTCAGAGACGACTCTGAGCATAACCATCGTGAAAATATAAAGATTTAATTCTCAGAGTGTTTGCTGAGGTTTGTTGGAGATGTGGTGGATTCACAGAAGAAACAGATTAGGGAAATAGAAACTCAGCTGGGGGATTAATTCTGAATGTTTCGGCTGTCGAGCTGAAAATCTCAGACAAGACCGAGTCGTGTAACTGAGACGATCTGGTGGTAGACTTAAAACGTTCCTCTTTGATAAAGCCTATAGTCAGGGTTGATTTGTTTTTTTTAATTTCTTTGTCTTCCCTGCAGTCGAGTAATTACAGGAATGTCTGGATTTGAGATTTATGATGGTGCCGTGTTTACAGTAGGCTGATCGACTCTCAGATAAAGAAGGAAAGACATCAGGGGGAAAATATTTATGAGTCTCAAAGGGTTAAAAGGAGAAATACAACTCACATACCAAACCGGTGAAATGCAGCCCCGCGGTGAAGTCTGTCCGGTTCTGTTTTCTGGATTACAGAGAGGAGACCCTGAAGGACCCAAAATACTCAAACCTACAGTAGAAGGTTTAGGATTGGTTCTTACCGCTCACAGAAAGCACAGAGATGAACCAGATTAAAAGTTTGTTGGCTGGACCAAATTATACCTGGTTTGGAGTCTCAAATTAGTTTGTTTCACCGCTTTTCTATGTTGCTTTAGTAACCACACAACATGGACTTCAATAAACCGACTATCAGGTACAGACATTACAGACATCACACCCTACAGACATCACACCCTCAGTCTCTGATCATCATCCCCCCCCCCCCCCCCCTCCCTCTCTGAAGAAGATCAGAGAGGGAAAGGCCAGCTACAAGACCAAGATGGAAAACCTTTTGCTACAGAACAACGCAAGGGAGGTCTGGAGAGGCCTGAAATCCATCTCAGGTCATAGCAGGAGCCATGAGAGGGGACCTGAAGCAGGAGACAGGGAGTGGGCCAACGAGCTGAATCTGTTCTTCAATAGATTTGACTCTGCTCCCACTCCTCCCCCGACTCATCTAACCAACAACCCGTCTGCTGCTCCTTCTTCTTCTTCACACCACCTCAGTCCCATGGCACCGACACTATCAACCCCCCTCCACTCATCCTCCACCACCCCCTCCAGCACCACCCCCAGCCTCTCCATAACAGCTGACCAGGTGAGAAGTGAGCTGAGGAAGATGAAGCCAAGAAAAGCCACGGGTCCTGACGGCATCAGCCCCAGACTCCTGAAAGACTGTGCAGACCAGCTCTGTGAGGTGCTACTGCACATCTTCAGCTTGAGCCTGAGTCTGGAGAGGGTCCCAACACTGTGGAAGACTTCCTGCGTGATTCCTGTCCCCAAGACAGCGCACTCCAGGGAGCCCAACCACTTCAGACCTGTGGCCCTCACTTCTCACCTGATGAAGACTCTGGAGAGGATCGTGCTGAGGAACCTCCGCCCCCTGGTGAGCTCTCATCTGGATCCTCTGCAGTTTGCGTACCAGCCGAACATCGGGGTGGATGACGCAGTCATCTACCTGCTGCAGAGGTCCATGGCTCACCTGGAGAACACTGGCAGCACAGTGAGGGTCATGTTTTTTGACTTCTCCAGTGTGTTCAACACCATCCAGCCTTCACTGCTCAGGGGGAAGCTCGAGAGGGCGGGAGTGGACTGTCACCTAGCCGCATGGACCGTGGACTACCTCACCGACAGACCACAGTTTGTGAGGTTTCAGAACTGTGTATCGGACATGGTGGTCTGCAGCACGGGGGCTCCACAGGGGACAGTGCTCTCCCCCTTCCTCTTCACCCTGTACACCTCAGACTTCAGCTACAACTCTGGGAGCTGTCACCTCCAGAAGTTCTCTGATGACACACCTGCAAGATGATCTGCAAGAAGCCACCAAGACCCCTACAGCTTTGTGTTTTGAGTTAAATGGTCTTACATGATTGGATGAACTGATTAATCCAGGTGTGTGTGAGTAGTCACAATGATCAGTCGCACCTGGATTGATCAGTTAGTCCAATCATGTAAGACAGAAAATAAAAGAGCTAGCTTAAAGGTGCGGTAGGCAGGATTTCATTAAAGAAGCATCTTTTTTGTGGTGTACATACAAGGAAGCTTTTAATATCAGTCAATAGTTATTAGTTATTGATGACATTTAGAGTTGACTACCCTACCTTTGAGTTCAGGAAGTAGTGGAGTTTTTATTGTGTGGATTAAAGAGCACACTGCACACACATCTAACCATCATGCTGTTTTTAGTTCAATAATTTTTCTGGCGTTTGGAGCTCAAACTTAGAGAAAAATAAGCTGTTTGTTTGCTGAAAAAGAAAACAGTTTAACTTTTTATACCTGACTAAAATAGATTGTGTTCAATCTATTTTAAAATAAGACTTTTCAGAGCTGGAATTACAGTATTTTGACACTTTGGGGTATTCATGAATCATATATATCTACAATAATTACCTGGATACATAATCAGATACAGATACACAAATCTGTGCAGGTCCCATGTGATAGGCCTAAATTCCTGTGTGTCCCTAAAAGTGGCTTAAAACACACACACACACACACACACACACACACACACACACACACACACACACACACACACACACACACACACACACACACACATTCCTTCCCACTAGGACTTTTGTTCTCAGTCTGTTTCAAAAACATGGAGAGTGTAAACATTCACACCAAACAGGAAATGAACACATTCCTCAGCGGGAACAATGTTACCTGTGTGTGCACGTGTGTAACTAAACTCATATTCATCATAATGTGGGAACATATGTTTGTTTGCAGAGTCACGTTTTGAGGACCGTTCATTCTCAAACGTAAAAAATGAGAAAATGTGTAGCAAAATGCATTTTTTTGATTCATACAGAAACCCATGAGACTCAGATGAGACGTCCTAACATGTACATTTTTTATTAAACTTCTGCCTCCATCTAGTGTCCAGTTTGAGGCACTGCAGAGGATTTTATTGTTGAACCAATTTCAACTGCTGTACACAGTATGTTCCAATTTGATTAATGAAAGTAACATAAAAAAATTGAAAACATGTATGTAGTTTGATATTTACTATTTTGACGACAAACTACAAAATAGAAAAATAATAGACAATCTGCAAACCCTTTCAAATTCACAAAACACTTTATCTTTTCAGATGATTTTGCCATTCACCTCATTTTCTCTTTTCATATGAAACTGTAAACCAATTCCAAATATAACGTATTTAAAATCTGCTTTATTTTTATTCAAAGCTAAAATTTAAAACTGTATGAACACTGCACCTCTATCTAGTGTTTGGTTTGAATTACAGAATAACAGGCAGCTTAAAAGCTTCACAAAGCTTTTTTAACCTCATTTGTATCTTCCTATTTAAATAATGAAACAAAAATCTAAATTAACAAAGTTTATCTGATATATGAAATTCATAACTTTATACACCAATATGGAGATATATTTGTTTAAATTCAAGATTTAGATTTCTTTAGATTGTGAGATTTCACAATAACACTATTTTGCTCCTACAAATTGAAACAGTTAAAGCGGTTTGGTTTTCAAATGATTTTTAAACTTATAAAATGAAGTTAAAATTTTCATACAACTTAATAATCCTTAAGATATTCTATAATTCCATTAAAGCTCTAGTGGGAAGTTTTTTTTACTTTTTTGAAACAGTGAAACATTAGTGAAAAGATTACTATGAGGAATAAGCCCTTTTTAAAGTTTTTCACATAAACATTTATAATAAATGACACTAAAATCAAAAGTCAGTAGAATAAGATTTTTTATCATACACGGTTTTGTGCACAGGCGACACCGACTTTGTCAACCAAAAGTTCCTCATTGGAGCTCAAAGTTTTTCTGTCTTCAAAAGCAAAGCAAAGGTTAGTTTACATATAAAACATTTTCAGAATATAAAAATGACAAACCTCAGTCTTATTTTTATTAACAGATTATTTTATTATAAATATACAGTGTTAAAATGGAATGGTACCTGACACTGCCAGCTGTTTACCATTAAAGAAAAAGTGGAACTTGAGTTTGTGCCGTGGATCTGCAATCATCAAATCACACACACTGAAAGAAACATAAACACAAAAACTAAAAAAAAAACAAAACACTAAAGTCAAACACCTTGGCGACCATTTTTGCTGCACACAGGCAGGTGATGCTTGGGAGGCGTGTGTTCACTTCAGAGCACAGTTTAAATTGAAAGGAGCACCTGTCTGCAAGTCAAGTTGGGTTTCTATTTCAGGGGCGAGAAAAAATGAGAAAAATGAGTGAAAATAACAAGATCAGAGACAGTGACAGACATTCATCGGTTCTTGACCTTCAAATGTTTCTGAAAAGGTGCCACATGCAGCATTTTTAACATTCACCTTTATTAAACTACATCCCAATTAAATCCTCAAGAACAATTAGAAAGTTGAAAGAATTTTATCCTCTTTCGTTTCCACAAATTTATAAACCGGAAAGTTGAAAAACTGAACTGGGCTGACAGTTTTAGCTCTTTTAATGTCAGGAGGTTGAATATTCTTCAGGTTTATCAAACAATTTGACAAAAGATTTTAAAAAATGATCTACTATAGTTTTGTTTGAAAGACTTCATTTGGTTTAGCTTCTGAAATGTTGAAATTTCAGTATTTTATGTATTTAAACATTTGAAGAATGACATTCAAAGAAATCACGAGGTACGTGGGAGCGTTCTTACTCATGATTTTGTTTGAACGTTAAGGCTTCGCAAATTTCGCACAAGTTTCAAGTTTTTCAAGTTTATATTTTTCATTAAAAAGTTATTTTATTGAAAAACAGATTAGGACAGTTGGTGACAATGTGTTAATCGTGGTTTGATAATTTGTTTAGTCTCATAGGTACGGTCTAGATCAGCTTCTGCAGTGTTTTCTCGATTCTCACGGCTGCTGTGATAGAAAATAACATCACCGCTGGGCTTTTGAACGTCACCTGCAGTCACAAACAAACATTTGATGCTGTAAATGCTTTTTTACTTTTACAACACTTTGAATTGCTCTTCGCATAAATGGTGTTCTTAAGTCGTTCTTTGCCTTTGCATCAAACTGGATTAAAACGTCACCCAAAAAATACTTTCGAGCTAATCAGATGTTAGCATCAACTGCAGCACTTAAGGGGGATTTAGAGGTGCACCAAATCTTGAGTGCTGCTGAATGGGTGGACAATGACTGCAGGTCAAGATACTTTTTGTTGGTAAGATGAATTTAAGAACGGTTTTAAAATGCATAATAATATAATAATAGGCATAATAATATCGCACAATAATCTGCTCTTTTTTTACACAAGGTTAGCTTTAATTTTTCAACTGTGTGACAGTAATTATTACAATTTTAAAGATTTTTGACATAGGTATAAAAAAGTCTTAAAAACACTGTTCTCTGTGTTAACAGCTCCGTCTTATTTGCTTCTCTGTTGTTCTGGAAATTCTTAAAAGGATATATTTTGTGTATGTTGATAAAATGTCACATGTAGCACCCTTTATTTTGATTATTTCTATAATGGAGTTTCATAACAACACAGAGCGCTAAAATGGCCACTGGGTGTCGCCGTTGTTGAGTCCTGTAGGTCCAGTTAAGTGTCCAACTGTCACTTAATCACCAAGTCAACGTCCTCCTATGTGATCAAACAGATTATTAAAGCACGACACGACAGCTTGAGCTGCTGTTCAAGGCCAACGAGCGAATTTCACTTTCATATCTTAACTCCAATTTAAGTATCAGGCACTTAATTGAACATGAACGCGCAGTGCCGCTAAGGGACCAATGCTGCTGTAGTGTGCAAAACACTGGATATAACAGATCTGTTTGAACATGCAAAACAAAATGTAAACATTTCCATATTAACTTTATCAAAGAAAAAAAAAAGAGAGACCTAACGAAACTTTTACAAACTAAAGCTTAAATAACCAAAGAAGAAGAAGAAGAACCTATCATCGCTCATACTGGCTTAACATGCGGCTAAACTTGAAGACCTCCATCCCCTTAAAATGACACGGCAGGCGCTCGGCCCTCAGTGGCATGTTATCATCAACGTAAGCATGAACATGCACAAAATACTAAAAAAACAAAAATAACACTAACTAAGGCAAAACGGTCCGGAGAGTCCGACTGAGACACTCTGAGATTAAACTGGTCCGGTGGAGCTGTGGTTTTACTGGGAGGCTCCCAGTGTGCGTGATAAGACCTGGGTGTGCTTTAGAGGAAAAAGTTTGGGCGCCAAAGTTTTTCAGTTTCACTTTAAGGTTGAATTCGACAACAATGCCTAATTTTACATACAACAGACACTAATTTTTAGGTTGAGCTTCACATGTGGACATAAAACAGCTGAAACTTGGAATCCCAGGGTAAAATTCCCATGAAAGGTCGGAATGAGCCGAGCTGGAGATTGTTCGTATCATACAATTGGTGCAAATTCACAAAAGCAAGACATATGGGATGAAAGTTGAAACATTTTTGGGACGCAGACAGAGACGGCGTCTGTACATCTGTCTGGTGACAAAAACTGTGGTATACTTTTGATGTCACGTCCTGCTTCCCGGGACTCCCTGCCCTCGTCCAGCCCGTAATCCTCGTCTAGCTAACGAGTGTTTCAGGATAAGAGCTCCAGAAAATTTTAGTAATTTTCAACACAGCATATGAGAGCTCAAGATTATCATACGAACCTTTCCCTTCCACACGAACCCAGGCCTTTACCGTTTGAGCTCTGCACACTGAGCATGCTCAGACACAACCACACCTTCATAAATACAGATTTACAGACATGATGAAGCACAATGAGGATCAAAATATACATTAATCTGTTGTTACATTATCAGACGTGTTGTGAGATATATTAACTCTTACTGCATTTCACCATCTTCTGCTTGTTATAGATTTTTTTTCTTTCCCTTCAAACTGAGGAGAAAACAGACATTACTGTGAAAGTGACACTTCTTAAAGCAAACTACAGCTGAAAACTCGGATTTCAACATGATGTAGGTAAATTGATTCTGGTGATTACCGGCTGAAAACATGTGCTTTGGTGCTTCTGACCGGCTATGATCTACTGAGTATACATTTCTCTACTCATGCATTCATTCACAAAAAGTTCATATCCGTCTCACATGAGGCCAACAGTCAAATACATCTGTAAAAACTGCAAATATTTTCAGAACAAGTCAGCTTTTCTATTATTCTGTTCTTTAAATGTTCCAAAAAGCTGTTTTGAGACTTGAGTCGTTGTCTAAGACTTGCTGAGATGAAAGAATTTGCAGATTTATACACACAGAAAAAAAAAACAACAACAGAAATTAACACAAAAACACAATATGGCATTAGCTACATAACTAAGAATAAACAGCACCACCTAATATCGGTGTCGTAGTTGTTTCCACTACTCTGGTAAAATGACAAAAAAAAGTTGGCAAATATAAATATGGAAAAAAAACAATGAAGCAAGTTTGTACAGTAGGTGTGCAAATCTGAACCAACATCCGTCTGCGGCAGGAAAACAAACACATCGAAGGAAAGGCTGCGGTTAAAGAGATACCTTAATATTTACTGCTTTATTCAGCCTGTTTGTGTTGGCACTTTACACAACAAGAAGAAGGATAAAATCATGGATTAGTTAAGCAAATAAAAATGTATTCTTTGGTGAAGCAGCATGACTGATTTTACATTTTAATCTGACGCTAACGGACGATCTTTATCAGGATCAGGAGGGACAGGATAAGAACTAACACTACTTTCAGTTCAGTAGACTAAATATGAGCCTGGAGATGTTCAGCACCAAGTGGCAAACCTCTGGTGTTGAAAATGAAGCCAGTGTGGGAGTTGCAAAAAAACTGCAGTTCCTTGAGTGACCACTTGGGGCTGTTTTCTGAGCCCTGTTTTAACGGTACATAAGACGTACAATAAATGACACTTTTGGCCGTAAAAGCTTAACAGAGAACAAGATCAGAAAAGACTGCTCTGTCCACATTCCTTTATTTGCACACACTTGACATCTGTTTTGATTACTTTAAGGCAAAGTTACATTGGTTTGCATAATAAGGGGCGTAGCCAAATTGGTGGAACGCATTAATTATTTGTTAGGAGGCTAAAAGTCCAATTTAGCTCCACCTCTTTGCCTGTGTTTTGGTTGGTTGAAGGTTTGCTTGAATCAGCATTTTCAACATGGCGTCCACCATGCCTGTTGACGCTGTGACTAAACCGGCAGAGCTCTAATATTGGCAAACGTGGATAAAATCAAAAGTTGAGTTGAGTGAGTACTTTGAATGTTGGCGTCCCTTAGCTTCAACATGCCAACTTAGACTTACTTGTCCTTATCTCCCTGTTATGACCGTCAAAGCTTTACAGAGGACAAGATCAGCAAAGACTGCTCTGTCCACAGGGGGGCGCAAAAGCTGACGCAATCTGAAAGGTTTGCATTTTCAGTGTGTTACAGAAAACACTTAAGTAGGTTGTTCAGTCCTTTATTTGCACATACTTGACATCTGTTTTGTTTACTTTAAGGCGAAGTTACATTGACTTGCATAATAAGGGGCGTAGCCAATTTGGAAGTCCGCATTAATTGTTTATTAGGAAGCTAAAAGTCCAATTTAGCCTCACCTCTTTGCCTGTGTTTTGGTTGGTTGAAGATTTGATCGCTCCACCATGCCTGTTGACGCCGTGACCAAACCGGCAGAGCTCTAATATCGGCAAACGTGGATAAAACCAAAAGTTGAGTTAAGTTTGTACTTCCAATGTTGGCATCCCTTAGCTTCAACACGCCTCCTCACACTTATTTGTCCTTATCTCCCTGTTATAACGAGGGGATAGGCTAGGGAACAAACCTGAACCCACCAGGTCCTCTTGCGCTCACTGATAAAAGGTTAAGGTCTGTTTTATACAATCGATCAACAGGAAGAAGTCCCCGCTCTGCCTGTTGGCGCTGTGACTAAAGGTACGGGTCGGCCGAATCCTTTTTTAACTGGCGGCAGAGTAGAAGTCGGAGTTTATTGTCCGGACATGAAATTAGTACAGAAATGTATCTTCAAACAAGCTGATAGGTCCTTTAGGAGTTTGGGTTAAGGAGTCTTGACTACATGTAAAGACAAAAACCAACGATAACAAACTTGATGATTTGATCTTGGGTACGACTCTGTTTAAAGACATCCAAATGCATCATGGGAACGGAGACTGATTCAAAAATTAACCTGAGGTAGTCTGAATGTTCCAGCTACACGTTCACTCCTTTCTCGACACCCGTCCTCCACTGCTGATGTGGAGGACGGGTGTCAGTGAACAGCGGCGATGTCAACGTATGGATGATGGGCGCCAAACGGTAAAAGGTCCACAGTGGTCTGTACAATCCTGACAAGAGGGCTGGGTGTCGTCATGGTTTCTTGGTTTAAACCATAGACTGTAAATAGAGAAGGCGGAGCCGCCAAACTTGGATTTTACCGATGGCCAGCAGGGGGCGACTGCAGTGGTTGTAAAGAGACGTCCAGTTGTAAGTAAGCCAGTGGGACTTCCTGTCATGAAAGGATTGGCCCGGGGAGGAATCGTTCATTCACTGAAATCAGCGTCTAAAATAACGAGCTACAGTTGGTTATTCTAGGTCCACAAAACCAGCAAATGACGTCACAACGGCGTTCTCCACTACCATCCACAGTCTTTGATTTAAACCCTGATTTTACGAGTTTGTCTTTTTTTTTTTCTCCAGTCTCACAACATTCAAAACTTGAGGAAACCCAGCCCCGCGATAGAGCAAAGTAAACCGTCAGAGGTCCGACATTAAGGTATCTCTTTAACGAAATGGATTTGAAGCCGGCGATGACACAGATCGCCGGCTGTTTAAGGCACATACGTGTAAGAAAGGTTTATATATTTCGCTAACAAGCAGGACTATAGAAAGGCTTCACTTAACGAGCTATAACGTGAAGACCGAGGAGCTCCAGAGAACATCCAGACACTTTATCAGAAAATAACTATCTCTCTACAGAAGTAGAGTACAATTTAAAAATCAAACTACCAAACTACAGTACACTCTAAGATGCTAGTTTATGAAGTCTTGATGCATAGCATCACCCATAGATGTAATATTGAGTTTTTAGTTTCATTTCAGTAATATGGATCTTATTCAATATTTCAGCGTAACATTGAATAGTGGAGTTAATAGTGTTATGGTGGTTATGGCAGTGTTTGTCGAAGAGTCTGAAGGTACAGAAATGACGACATGAAGGAAAAGAACCAATCCGTGATTGTCATGAGTCTGCGCTGACGTTCCTCCTCAAAGGTCAGTCAACGACGTGATGGAGAAGAAAGAGACACAAGTTTGGAAAACAGGAAAAGTTGAAGGTTATCAAAGATGAAGAAAAGATCCCTGCTCCTCAAGTTCAGGTTCAAACCTGAGCCGGATATGACCTTCCAGACTCCGAACAGACAAATCCTTGACTTATGGAAGAGTTTCCTGATCGAGTCAAGAGAGAAAAATGCTAAAAACAGTGTGTGTCTGTGTTGGAGGAAGTGGCTCTCCTCACCTCTGCTGGACCAGGACCAGGACCAGAGCAGGTGGTGGCATCTGGCTCCTCCTTCTTGGGTTTTTCAGTTTGATATCGCTCCATTTCCACAACCTCCTCGTCCTCCTCATCCTCCTCCTTCACCTCCATCTTTACTCCATCTCCGTTCTCCGTCTCGGTCCTCTGGGGCTCAGCTTTAGATCCAGGAGGAGGAAACTTCCCAAATCTGGTCCCGTTCAGATCCTCCTCAAATTTGACCTGGAAGGGGGGCAGCCCGAGCAGGAAGGCTCGGATCCTGCTGGGGGAGCTCAGGTCTGCAGGTTCCTCCTGGTTCTTCATCTCCACATCCTGCTCTCCTCTTCCTCCTCCTCCTCCTACTCCTGACGAAGAACTTCCTCCAGAGCTGGTGCGGTCCTCCGGGTTCAGGTCCTCGTTCTGCTCCGTGCATCCCAGTCTGGGTCTCTTGGATGGCAGCTGGTCTACGTTCCCGTTGACACCTGCTGAGCTCAGTTCTGGTCCGTCTGTGCTGGGTCTCTTGGTGGCGAAGCGTTTGCTGAGGTTGAGGGGCAGCGCCTGTTCAGGGGGAGGCGTGATGGGGGAGCAGGGGGGCTTGGCGCTCAGGTCCTGGGACAGAGCCTCAGAGAGTCGGCGGGTGAAGGTCTGGAACTGAGACGAGCCCAAACGAGTCCTCATCAGCTGGCACACCTGAACACTGCAGTCCAGGTTCAGAGGCAGGACCCGGAGAGGGGGCAGAAGGGGCCGAGTCCTGGCGTCCCGGCTGACCCCCCTCTGGGCCGCCTCGTCCACGTTGCAGCCGGAGCAGCGGTTGTGCTGCTGGTGGAGCGGGTGGGGCTGAGGCTGAAGCTGGTCCCCGCTTGGGTGAGGCGTATCTGGGCTTCCAGTTTTGGGCTGGAGGGCGTAGATGGTGGGGAGATGCTGGGTCGGGTCCTGCGGGGTCAGAGCCGGACTCTCCGGGCCTCTCTGGAGGCTGATGCGGTTCCTAAAGACATCCAGGGGACACACTCCTTTGATGGGGCTGAATCCACCCAGAGAACCTCCCACAAAGTGGCGGGGCAGCGTCGAGAGGAGGACGCCCGGAGCCAGAGCTGTGGACTCCCCTCGGTCCGGTTTGAGCTCCTTCAGTTTGGGCTGGAAGGAGAGGAAGGGGGCGGACATGGGGGAGAGGTCCGGGGTGAGGGGCATGTTGGGGGGGAGGACAGCCGGCTGGATGGGCTGGAAGGAAGGAAGAGAGGAGAGGGAAGGCTGTTAATGCAGACCGCCAAAATAAAACCCAAAGAGAAATAAACATTTAGAAAATTAAGAAAAGAAAAACATTTTAGACCTCGGCATTATTTACGAGGATAAAGTCGTAATAAAATCATTACTTAAAAAAATAAAGTTATAGCTAATATTCTAACCTGTTCGTTGTTTAAATGAGCGCTGTGGAGAATTTAGATACATCACATTGTCATAAGTATCAGGACATATGCAAGAAATGCATCTTTTCCGCAGAAAGAACCAGGAGGACTAGTAGGGAATCACTGATTTTGAGGAGGGGGAAATGTCTGTGCAGAGGTTCAATCCCTCAATACAGCCGTTTATAGCAATAGTTTCATAAGTCTTTAGTTGATCACATAAATCTATTTGCCATAAGGTGTTGGTGCTTCTGCAGATGGAGGTTACAGACGCGGTTCTCGTCGGAGATCGACTCCCTCTGAATCTCAAATGTTGATCATCAGTTGGATTATTTCTTGAGAAACCACAAAAACTCTCTGAATGACCCACAAATGCTCCCACAGACACCAGTTCAGACATTTCCTCCTCCACAAAAGCAGCTTCAAGACGAAATTTACTTTACGACTTAATTCTCATAAGTAATGTTTTTATCACGACTTTAATCTTGAAGTCTTTTTTTCTTCTTTATGTGGCCCAAATACTCTGTCGTAATAGGCGGGTACTAAAAGTTTACCAAAGTTTGACCGTTAGAAAGGCGTCATTATCACGATGGCGTCCATGATGGGTAGGAGACACCCAAGGTGAATAGGGTGAAATTTTTAACAAACAGATATCACCATGAAACTTCCCAAGTTTATAACTCACATTAAAACAAATATTTTTTGTATTACAAGTTTTGTCAAATGTTATATTTGAATATGTAAATGAGGTAATATCTAATTAAACATATATATTTTAACTTTCTGTAAAGTGTCTTTGAGCTCCTGTAAAATGCGCTATACAAAAAAAATGTATTATTATTATTATTAAATATGCACTAATTTCCATTCTCCAGAACCGAAAACTGAACTTGTTTTATTTTGTTGACATACTAGAGTCAGAGGAGGGGGAGAAGAGGACTTTGGATATCTCTTTTTATCACTCTGTAAATCAGAAAATACTCTCACCAGCCCTAAAAGTTAAAATGTCACCATGCGACACTGACCGTGAAGTACTAGTTGTACTTGTAATCACGTATCTATCATACAAATATTCTAATTAGAATATTAGATGGTCAAAACGTGTGTCAGGTGTCAGTATTCCTGGTGTAGAATGAATACAAACACAAATGAATACATATACATGGATAAAAAAACACATGAATTTTTAGGGGGTGGTGAGAGTGTTTTCTGATTTACAGAGTCATATTTGCTCCTGATTATTAACAGAAATGACGTTGAACTGAAGATCAGAAATTGTCACACTGGAGGACTTAAAAACAGAGACTTCAGCTTTGAGTTCAACATTGATGTTATCATTTCAAACTTCCCTCTGAGGCCAGCAGGGGGAGCCTCGCCTGCTCTGTCTCTGTTCAAACTAAATAAGGTTATGTGGTTTCGAGGTTTGTATTGATCTGGATCATATTGACCAGGCTGCCGGATTTAGCAGCCTGTTTACATCCGTCGGTCTTCATCAGGAAGCTTCTTCAAACTCTCACAGAGGGTAAAATTGTGATATCTTAAAAACAGCTGACTCACATTTATTTGCAGCTTTTTAGATCATAGACTGAAAAAAGATTTTTCATTATTTTGGGTTAATTTTGAGTCTAATCGATCCTCTATGTGGTGATTATTTGGTATATTTTGTCTAACTCTGAACTAAAGTCAGATCTTTCCTGCAGTAAAGTTCAGCAGATTATTGAGTGGTTACCCTGTGAGTGCTGCTGCCTCCTCCTCCTCCTCCTGCTGCTGCAGCTGCTCTGGCTGGAGGAATCAGAGGACTCTGCTGCTGACACTCGGATGCTGCTTTAGCTTTAGCCTGCTGCTGAGCCATCAGTTTGGCCTGAGCAATCAGCGTGGACTTGTTGCGGGTCCCCGGTGGCCGACCTCGGCCCCTCTTCACCACGATGGTGCCGTTTGGATTCACGATCTGGTAGAAGAACAGAAATCAGCTGTAACTTTCTGTCACTCAGTGCGTTTACATGCACACTTTAATCAGACTAAGCTCATAGTTCGTTTTTTTCACCGAATCGGACTTCTCTCTTTGTCCATGTAAACATGCAGCTGAGAAAATCGAATTATTGATGTTAACATGTCCTCCTCCCCAAAACTAGGGGGCGATATTTCCGATTCCGTTCGTACGTTCTAGTGATATGTAACTTATACAGCCTCAGTTCAAAAATACTGAAATATCCCTTTAAGTGAGTTTATCCTCAACACTTTGTTTCAGGACTTTAATTTCTTACACTCACAGTTCTTGGAGGTGCAGGAGCAGCAGCTGCGATCTTCTTGTCCTTGGGTTTGGGTCCGGGTTTCCGTCCTCTTGGAAGAGGTTTCCTTCCTCTGATACCTTTAGGTTTTATAGGCAAGGGGGATTCTGGGATTTTGAACTCGGCTCCTCCGCCCCCTGCTCTGAGGTGCTCCTCGTAGGGAAGCATCAACCTGAGGGACACACACACACAGACACACACATAGTTCCTCGTACGTGTCGTTTGGATCTTCAGTTTTGGCGTTGAAGTTTCAGGTTTGTCGTTTTTCTGTCGTACCTCTCGTAATGTCGCCTGGTGCAGGTTGCAGCGCTGGTGCTCCCCGGACATCCTCCCAGCTCGTTATAAACCACTTTCCACAGACGATCGTTGGTCACCTGAGAAGAGAACATCAGACTTTAACGCCTCTATCCAGCAGTAGTCCTCTTAAGTTTGAACAACCAGGTAATTATGGGAACAAATTGAAAATTTACACAAGAAGCAAAAAAATTAAAATATGACCGGGACACGATTAAAAAAATTGATCTAATTAATCAGAGGCTTTGTTATCAATTAATTGCGATTAATCACATTTTAATCGCATGTAAATATTTAACCTGAGAATCATTCTGAACCGACTAAATACATAAGCTAAAGCAAACAAGACCTTGTTTATGTTTTTTCCAGGTGATACTTAACCAAGACCAACAGATCGGTGTTTTTTTTATCCCATAAAGTGCAGAAATATTAAAAATGAACTGAATCAATTTTTACAGCCGAGTGCCACCCAGTGACCCGCAGAGTTTGTTAATTTTTCTGCTGTGGACTTACTCGTCTTCGCTATGAATCCACTCATCGGGTCGAGTGGGGGTTGGGCGCGGGTCACTGTAGTTGGAGTCGGACTAACGTTAGCTTCCACGCTTGCTGCAACATGTTTAACATTCAGGTGATAGCGGAGGCTTGGCGTGCTGCAGCGATGTGCAAATTCTTTTTTTGCAAAGTTTGCACCAGACTATTATTTTAATCCAGGTTTCCATCCATCTTTAGTTTTCAACAAAAATACCCATCCACATTCATCCACAACTTTGTTCATTTTTCCGTGCACTCGGGGGAATGGAATCGCTGCTGCACTCATTCACATCGGGGTGTACCGGTATAATCTGAATACCTGAAACTCGTCCAGTCAGAAACGTTTCGTAGTGCAAAAATACAGTAGGTGAGATTAATATGTGTTAATATTTTGAATGATATAACAATAATGCGTTAAAGTCGCGTTAATTCTAGTTTAAAAGTGTAAAAAAGTTTGAGAAATACTTTTTTGTTTACTCTTGAACTTTATAAAATGACACTTCTTTGATTCAAAAAGCTTTAACCCTCAAAAACATAAAAGTTTGTCCTCTTTTATTCATTTTTTTGCCCTTAAATGACCAAAAAAAGCTGAATCCCTTCACCTCTCGTCGTCGTTGTTGTTGTTTTGTATGGGAGACTCCTAGCAACACAAACGACAGACTGCTCCTGAAAACACGTCAGTAAGGATGTCTGTCTAAATCAAACATGCGGCGCTGAGTGAAGCGCTGCTGAGCGTGTATGAAAGAATTAAATACATCATACAGTGCGTAAAAAAGGCGGTAACACTGTGTCGCCTCGTACAGTATTGTTCAGTACGGCGGCTGAAAGAAACCTTTTGTTGTGAACTCAGCGGCTCAGAGCGGAGACTGTTGTGCTGTTTTTCTGTTTGTCTGACTGGTTTTATTCCCGTGGAGCCGCTTTTGTCATCTCAAATAAATCTCAGGGTTTAAATCGGTGACTGTTTATAAAAATTCATTATAAACAAAGTAAAAAAGTCGATTCTGATCAGCCAAAACTGCAAACAACTGAGATGAATCCCTGACAGCGGAGGTGAAACTAGGAATCAGAAACTGAGAATGTTCCAGTGATTCAGATTTCGACTTACTCATGAGTCAAGAGGAAAGAAAACGCTCAGGATAGAGTCAACATGAAGCTGTGAATATATTCATCCAGATAGTCGAGCATATTCACTTATTAACTATTGACTCAATACATGACAGAAATCAGAGGAGCAACATCTTGTCCTGCAGTCTGTAGAATTTAGGGATGGGAAAAGATTTTATCGATAGAGTTTTGAGGAGACGGAGAGCCGAATGAGGACAGAAACACTGACATGAATGTCCTACTCGAGTTCTTACAAATAAGCAGGATCATGAAAACCTTTGACTCTCTGCAACAAAAAACTAGAGGAGTCAACGTGATATCAAATTAAAAATTCAAGAGGCTCACCTTTTTGTATCCTCCGAGTCTCTTGACCACAGAATACATGAGGAAGAGGTCGACTGAGGACAGAGAGGACGACGCAGGTTAAAAACTGGCAGAGAGCAGAGACATATATATAACACACACAGGGCAGATAAACATGTAAATCAGGTTTAGCTCCGATAGAAAGCAGCAATCTGAGTGAATAAAAACAATCTGGAGAGATTTTTATCTGCAGAGCGTCACATGAACTCGGCGGTTTTAAATTCTCCTGCTCGTAAAGATAAAATTAAATCAAGATCAATCAAACCCCTGCAGTGGTTTTATATTTTCAGCTCTACAGAGCGAGTTCGACTGCAGCTTAAATCCTGATCAACCAGATCAGATGAAACTTTAATGACCTCTGAGACGAGAACAGAGATAAGCAGAGCGAGCATCGTCATTTCAGCTCTCAGGGCTCCGAACACTCGCAGCCTTCTGGAAACTCCAACACAGGCACCTTTATTCACCCTGTCCTCGAACCTCGCATCAGGATCCATTTAATGTTTGTTAAAGACTTCATGTGAATAAAAATAAAGTCTGTTTTAAACTCAATAATTAAAGGTGGAGCCAGAAAAACAGGAAACCTGAACCTATAAGGGATAAAGTGTGACTAAAAATTAGATTCTCCAATTTCAGAGAAAAACAGGGAAAGAAAAACAGACGCAGTAAAACGAGGGGGAAACGAAGGAGTTATAAAAAGAGTAAAACAGTTTGAATAAAGAAAACATTACAGATTAGTGAAAAGAAAGACAAACAACTGATGATAGTCGGAGTAAAAAAGAGAGAAAATAGAGAAATTAAGAAGAAGAGAAAAAGAAAGACAGGAGGCCTACGCGGCAACAAAGAGGTGGAGAAACATAAAAAGAAAAAAACTGTTTAAAAAAAGAAAGAAACTGAAGAAAGAAAAGAAAAAAGGGACAAAGAAGAAAAAACAAAAAACAACAAAAAAAGAACAGCACATCAGAGAAGACAAAAGACAAGGTAAGATAAACAGAAGAAAGAAAGAAAGAAAGAAAGAAAGAAAGAAAGAAAGAAAGAAAGAAAGAAAGAAAGAAAGAAAGAAAGAAAGAAAGACAAGAGAGGGATAAAGGGAAAAAGAAAGAAAAAAGAACTGAAAAGAAAAAAAATTAACACGAGAGAAAGAAAAACAAGGAAAGCGACAAAAAAGATGAAGAGATGAAGGAAAGAAAAAGATAAAAAGAAAATAGGACTGGAGAGAAACAAACTGAAAGAAAAAACAAACAAAGGATGAAAAGACAAAAAAGGAAAGAAAAGAAGAGAAAGACGACAAGAAGTCAGCAAAGAATGAGAGGAAGTAGAAAATGAAAAGAGGAAGAGAGAAAAGAAAGAAAGTGAAAAGTAGAGAGTCAGAATAACAATAAAGGTCAGAGAGAAGAAAAAGTGTTTTTTAAAAGTGCCAATAAAGAAAACTTTTGACTCTTTGAAGTGAACCGACAGAAATGTAAATAAGAAACATAAAAAGTTTTCGATCTCTTTTTCTGATGTTCAGGAGTGATAATCTGACGACAGCTGTAATTAAATTATTTAATCATATTTTCTTTAAAACATTTTTATAGGTTAAAAAAAAAAAACTTTTAAAGGAGATTAAATCTTTTTATGTGAAAATTGAATTCTGGTGAAATAAAAGTGAAAATTGATCAAAAGCCCCTGAAGGGTCAGAGACGGATGAGTCAGACACTTTCAGAGGAAAATCAGAGAAAATAGAGCAGCGGACAGAAAAGAAAAACTGGGCAAACAGAGAAGTTTGTTATTTACTGTTCAAAGCTGAACTTAAATAAGAAAGAAGAAAAGAAACAAAGAAAGGAAAAATATAAAAGTTTTGTGTTTCTCACTTTTCTTGAATCCCAGGTTGGGGACTTTGTGGATGGGAGAGCCGCTCCGGTCCATGAAGGAGAAAAGTTGATCCAGGAAGAGCTGCTCTTCAGGGTGAGGGAGCCAGCTGCCCTCACAGCCCACCTCCACGCTGCCCATCACGTTCTCCTGAGGACGGAAATACCGACGATGTTTAAACCGACTTCAAACTCCTAAAACACAAACATTAGAAAATAAGATCACACCTTCATCCTGTCAATCCAGGACTCCGATTGGCCGGAGGTCGGAGACTCTTTGCCGTCTCGTCCTCTCCTCTTCCGGGGTCGTCCTCGAAGGCTGAGAGACGGACATCCTGCAGGAAAAAAAAGACAAATGAGACATGAAGGTTCTGATCTGGTTCTGATCGTCCCTCGATTCAAACGCCCGCTCTGAAACACTCACTGAACTGCCAGGAGAAGCTGGCGTTACTCTCCAGCGTCGGGTGGTTGAAGGTGTCTCTGCAGTACATCAGTCGGGTGCTGGGGGTAGCTTTGACTCCGCCCAGAGCGATCAGGTGGGGGTCCTGCAGCCCCGCCCCCCTCGCTCCGTCCTGGATGCGTCTCTGCAGCGAGCGGAAGCGGCAGTACTGCGGGTAGCTGAGCACTTTGACGCCGTGACGCTCCAGCTGCTCGTCTGAGAGGAGACACATGAGAGCAGAGATTAAATCCTGACTTCTACATGATCCAGCTCCACAGTTTGGTTTTCTCCGGTCGTGTTTCGTCGTTTCTTACTCTCGGTTTTGTCTTTAAGCGGCTCGTTGATCTTGTTCAAAGTGTTGCTGCTGTTGTTGTTGTTGTTGTTGAATCCATCGCTGCTCTGCAGAGGTTTGTGGAGCCGGTTCATCCCACACTGCGGCTTCATGTTGCTGCTCCAACTGACCGGCTCCACGCACGTCCATCGCACCAGGTCCTCCACCCGCAACACCATCTTCCTGGACACCGCCACAACCTCGTCCTAAACACACACAGAGAAAATAAACTGATGTATTTTCTGCGGGTTTTTACTGATAATATCATCTGGAGTTCAGTCGTCTGCATTCATTCTTGTGTTTTTGATTAATCCATCACAAAGAAATTCATCAAGAGAGATAATTCTCTCTCTCTGATGGATCATAACAGAGTGTCTGTTTATTCTAAAAACACCTCCTGCTTTGTAATAGCAATGGTAATAATAACAACAATAATAACTATTATTATTATTATTATTATTAACATACTTAAAAAATTCATAATATAATTGTAAAAACAATAATAATTCTAACTATAATAATGATTATAATAATAACAAAATAATAACATAAATAAAAATTCTAAAAACAACAATAATATTATTAAAAATAATAATAACTGTTATACCATAATAAAAATAATACAATTATAAAAACAGTAATAATTATAATAACATTAATAATAAAAAGAATAATAATAATACAAAAGAATCATAATTATTATAGGAGCACAATAAAATAATAATTTAAAAAAATCATTTACAAAATAAAATAATAATAATCATTATTATTATAATAATAACATAAAAACATTAATAATAATAATAATAATAATAATAATTATAACAAAATAATAATAATAATAATAATAAACTTTATTTTTATCCCAATTTTAAAAACCGAAGTTTACTTAGTGCTTTGACTAACAGTCGTGATGCCCAGAACATCATCACATGATTGAAAAACAAATAAAAAACAAAATCTCAGTTAAAACAAGTCCTCTGATTCGAAGGTCAATTTCATTTGTCATAAGGAACTCAGACGAGACAAGAACCCTACAACATAAAATGAGACCAAAATAAAAAGATAAAATAGGTAAGAAAAAGAGATGTAATAAAACAGGATAGTCTCAATAACAGCAGGTTAATCTGAAGCCTTTAAACAACCTTCACAGTGCAGCAAAGCTCTTCAGTCCCTCTGGTATAGCGATCGACACTCCTGTCATTGAAGCCAACCAAAACTTAATTACTGAATTATAAAAACATTATTTTTGTTTTCAAATGTGTGAAATCATTATCACTGAACAGCCGAACAGAGAGCAGGTGAGATTAAAAAAATAAATAAAAGAAGAAGGTGCAAATTAAAATGATGCTGTAATCATGAATCACCTTCAATCATCACCTTCTGCGAACACAATAAGCTTAACGAGCTGCAGCAGGAGCTGCCGTGGGCTCTCTGTGCCCCTGAGTTCTGCCTCTCAGGCAGCGTGCAGACATCCCCAACAAACCCAACAGTCCGGTCTTCTTTAATTCAACATGCTCCACATTTACACCCTGCAGAGAGGGATCGATAAGGCGAACAGGGCAGAAGGTCTCTGCACAAAGACTGAACCGGTTTTCTGTGACCGAGCGGCTTCAAGCTGAACTTTGGGAGTAATTCCTGAGAATCTTCTCACTAACTGACGCATTATTTTTGTAAAAACATCTAAAAACTAAAAGTTTTTCTCCGTGTTTTACTTCTTTGTTCTCATCAGCAGCGTCAGCTCTCTCCCTCTGCTCCTTAAATCTGCCTCCAAAAACTTTAGGAGCAACATTTGAAGATCTTTGAGAGAAAGTCTTAGCTGGTTGTGCTAAGCCGTGTGCTTTCAAGGGCATTTCTGATGGATATACAAAGTGTGAGAGGATTTGCATGCAGACAGGACACTGTGTCTTTAAATATGAACATCTGAGACAATCAGGTGAAAAATCTGCAGCTCTGCTTCAGTGCACACGTGCAGAAAGAAAGAGAGAGAGAGTTAAATCACAGCTCTGATTAATGACGTCAGGCAGTCAAAACACATTATGACATTTCCTTTTCTTTTCATGTCTAAAACTATTAAATATCCACTAAATTGGACATAAAAGTCCACGACAGACCACTGTTAAAGTTAATCAAGTCTGAGGAGTTTAACTGTCTAATAAACTGTCTGATTTTTCTTCTTTTATTGGTCCTAAAACCTTTTTTTTCTTACTTAAATCCAAAAAACTTCATTTGATTTCAAACTCCGGGGTCATCATCCTCTGGAATATTTTATTAATTTATTAGATTATGAAACCAGGATTGAGAATCATTTGGCCAGTGTTTATAAATGCTGATCTGATGGTCTACAAATCATTTAAACTCCTCATTTCATTGGTAATTATCCAGAAGCCGCTAAAACGAAGAGATGTTAATGTTTAGTTTTAAAGATACGATTATTTTTAATTGATGTCAGCGACACGTTTCAATCAAGTTTGGACAGAAACGATGAAACACAGAAGAGGAAAACATGAAAAGAGTAGGGATGCACCGATCCGATATTTGAATCGGATATTGGCTCCAATATTGACAAATTAACTGGATCGGATATCTGATGAATGACTCTGATCCAGTCTTTTTTTTTTTTATTTAATATCAAACACAGAAACACAGTTATTCTGTTCGCTCTATATTCTATGCCTATCCTTTTGCACTAAATGTTTTCATGGAAATACACATATTAATAATAATAAACATTATTGTCATCAGTAAGAGAGATCGGCGAAAAAGCACCACAAAAAAGATACGAGTGGGCAAAAGCTCACAAAAATTGGACCTATGATGACTGGAAACAAGTCCTCTGGACGGACGAAAGCAAGTCTGAACTATTTGGTTCCAAACGCAGAGTCAATGTCCGAAGTTTTCAGACTTTTCAGACTCCAGAAACTGGTCTGCTGGGTTCACTGACGTTTGATGAAACACTTTGTTGTATTAAATGTAACAAGACCCTCAACTTTTCCAAACAAAATGTCTTCACACTATTTTAAATCAAATTCTTGAAGTAGAAACAAAGTCAGCTGATTTTTTTTTACCTTTTTAACTCTGGAGAAGCTGCGGTTGTAACCACAGATAACCTTAATCCTCTGTTTGTTCTTTGTGTTAAACTTGTTTGTGTTGCTGTCCTGCTGTCTTTGTCCTTCTGGTCAAGTTCAGCGTGTGTGTCAACATCATATAAGTGGAGGAGCTCTTTATTGGACGCTCTCTGTGACTTCCTCTCCTTTGTGTTTCCTCTTTAAGGTTCTTTGAACAAACAGTTCACACGTGTGACAAACTGTTCACCCTACTTTTAAACTTCCTCCCATTCCAGTTTGTCAGCTGTGCTCTTGTTTAGGCAAAGACGACAGAAAACCCACAACCCCCCACCTCCACCCAGAAAAAAACCCTCCACCCCCCTCTGGAGCCCGGCCAGGTGGGAGCTCCCCGCATTCCAGCTCCTGCTGCAGCCAGGTGTGAGCTCATTCGCACCTCAGTGCTCGGGGGAGTCTTCGCACAGGGAGGCTCAGAGGGACGTCGAATCATTAGTATCATTATTACTCAGACTTTTTAACTCTTGGGGTCCTTTTTAAGATGTTAAAATTAAGAAACTACGAAGAATCAAACCTGCTTTAACTCCAAACTTTTATACGAATTTTTGACCTCAACTAGGGCTGCACGATAACTTGATTTTAAATCGTAATCGGATCATTCGATTATGATGACGTTAAAAAAATAAAACTCCTCAAATCGATTTTTCTACTCTCTTGTTTCACACCTCCAGGCCACCGTAAACTCCCCAATTTCGGAAACGAACTCAGGAGTAAACGCTGAAGTTTTTTGTCGTATCGGTGTTTCATCCACACAGAAACGGCATTTCAGGTGACTGTAAACGTACTTTTTGAAAACGGGTCAGAGAATGAATAAATCTGTAAACGACGACCATTTCTCTTACATTTCGCCTGAGCGTGTCCGACCAAAAACAACCTTTAGCCGCTTACAGGCTCTTGGCATACGCACTACATCGTTTTCAGTGGTTTGGTTTTCAGAGATGATAGAAAAGTTTTTATTAAAGTGAAGTTTGGTGAAGTTCTCACTGAATAAAAAATAGAAATCTAAAATCAAGTTTTCAGAGAAAAAAAAAAATATATATATATATATATATATATATATATATATGTATATATTTTTGGCCAAAATCGTGAAGCCCTAAACTCCAGAGAAAAACTGTAAATGCTTCCATTAAATGTCGGGTCACGTTAGTCTTCAGACTGAGGAAAATGAAATGAAATCAACCTCAGGACTGTTATCAGGACCGTCTATTTGTCTCAGAGCAGGAATAAAACATGTAATCCTTCCATAAATGATCATTGTACACTTTTAAAGATAAACACACATACACACACCTCCATTTATAGACTATCACTGCTCAGATAAAAGCCCTTAAAGTTAGTTATCCTTTGCCAAAAGGGTGATGCATTACTTTAGTGCACATTATGACGTTACTTGCAAAACTTATATCTGCTAACACCAACATCATGCTGCTGATATCCGACTAATACTTTAATTTATTTGCAGATTCTAACAAATGAAAATTAAACTATTTTTAACAAGCATCTCTGAGTTTGATGTGCTTTCTTTTGGCATGAAAATTGATCTTTTCTTTGTATTCAGTAAAAAAAAGTCCCTTAAATTCATGACCAGCCTTTGTTTGAGTTCATGTTTGTTAAGTCGATCCTCCAGATTTCAGAGATTAAAAAATGAAACTTGTGACACTAAAACGGAACTTTAAATCAAACTCCCTGTCCTCTCAGTGCGCTCCGTTTTCATGTAGGAAAATAAAAATCTCATTTCAAAGCCTCCATCCGGAATATCTACATTGAAAATGTGGAAACTTTTGGTTTCAGACGAGTCACAGGATTTACATTTGGGTAATACATTAGTCTCATTCCCAAAAGGGGGATTTTCTTCTGAAGGCTGAGCTGCAGTCGGCATGAGAGCGCTGATAATCAAAAACACTGCAGCTGGAGACGCGTCTGAGACTTCTCTTCGCCGCAGCAGGTTTCATTCTCATCAAATTCAAGCTTTTGTTTCTTCATTTAACAGCTTCATGTGAGAGGAGACTTGAAATTACGTTTCCGTTTTGATAAATGCTCAAATGTTTCTGATCTGGGAGCGCAGTTAAAGCTGCTTCAGGCCCAACATGTTTGGATAAAAAAGGCGCCGCTGCTCCGGTGACGAGGTTATTAATAGATGCTGTTAAAGCAGATTATATTAAGAGGACCTTCACGTCTATCAGAGCTCAACCTGAATCTCAGCAACACGTGTCGAACAGTCTCGAATACTTCATTTAAAGGAAAAAGGTTTTAAAAGTGGAATTAAAGTTATCAGGAAGTTGTTTTCACCTCCGGTTTGTCAACGCTGGGGTTTGAATTAAAGGTCGACTGAACAATCGGGGAAATATTTTCACACAGAGAAGAAATGACCTAAAGTGTGACCTTTGACCCACCTCTCCATGCTCTCTAGTCCGGCCTTTAGGAGTGTCCTCAGGCAGGAAGTAGAGCCGGGCGCTGGCCAGCAGGTGGCGCCGTGTCTGGTCCTCCCACAGTAAAGTTACCTGCACATGAAGAAGAAAAGGAAGAACAGTGAGTTATTAAAATATGGAGCTGGGTCACAAGTGAGTCCAAACGGATGATTTTTATTTATTTATTCAGAACAATCATCAGGAAGTTAACCACGTGTAACCTTCAGCACAAAAGAAGAAGAACTCACTCGGCGTCTAATCTGAATTATCATTGTGACGAACACGGTTAGAGAAAGAACATTTCTTCACTGTGAGCGTCTGAGCGGATATCTGTGACCTTGGACAAAATGTCAGAGTCAGATATGTAATGTGAACAAAAAACAAACACAGTTATATAAAGATAAGTCCAGACTGAGAGTCTGAGGCGGATCGCTGCAGCTGCATGACGACAGAGGTTTACGTTAAATGTTCAGATTAATCAACATGTCGGAGATCGGATCCTTGTCTGCGTTTGTCGTATATCCCCGTCCGATCAGGGATTCTGGATTTGGACTGGGAGCTGATAAGAAGCCGGGTGGTCCTTCTATTCTCCAGATCAAAAGTATAGCGTCCGTGATTTCCCCCAGAGAAAATTCGTCTATTTTCTACGTCAGCTCAGGTCCAGAGGAGTCTCTGGTGGTTCTGGTTCTGGATCTGGTTTCTATCTGGTCTCCTCTTTCATGCAGGGTCTCTGCAGGTTTCAACGAGTCAAATTTAAGACTTTTAGAAGACCATCATCAAAACAATTTAAGATCCATTTCACATCCATGAAGCAAAATCAAAAAATGTTAAACTAACTTAAAATCCATCTTTATTTGTGAGTAACATCAAGACATTTTTAAGACCTTTCATGTTTGTATTTAAGACATTTTATGAGGGTCGGCAGGAATCTGTTAAAGAAGCATCTTTTTTTGTGGTATTATATACCACAAATCTTTTAAGATCAGTCAATACCTATTAGTTATTGATGACATTTGGTAATATATCGATATCTCTGTGTTCTCTTATGTCTGTGTCGTCAACATTTGAACATTTTTGAGCGGTCCGCTCTTTCTGACTGTAAACAAAGCCGTTCTCCACCTCCTCTAACCTGATTGGTTGTGAGGCAGACGCTGCTCCCCCGTGTCGTTCAGGAGCCCAAACAAAGTTAGCGTGCTACAATATCGGACAGTAGAAACCAACCAGAAAGTTCGGAAAATTGTCTGAATCCTCCTTTGGCCACGACTGCCGACACAAGCAAGAAAACAAAGTAAATACCGGAGACTCTGGAGGAATAACGGGCGCTTAAAACGGAGGTAGACCGGACAAGAGCTAAAAAGCCGGGTCAACATAAACGATGGGGGACGCTTGGGGATCTTGATGACCCTGTAACCTTTCTGCTGGACAGGTAAACCGCTTTAACAAAGTAAGACAAGTGTCTGTAACAGAAGTGTTTCTTGTCAAACGGACCTGCTGTAGCGTGTTGTAGCGCCATCGCTAAACTGTCCTCCCTCGGGTCCTGGACTATGTCACTTTATCCTCGTTGTAGAAGTCCTGCAAACATTGTGTTTGCTGGTAGTCTGTTGGCATCTACAGTAGCACCAATGCTTTTGACTTTCACCTTGACTGGGCCCCATTTGTAATGATCTGAAGTATTTATCTGCATTATATCTGAATTTAATTGGAACGATACGAGCGAGCAGGAGCGTCTGTTTGTGGGCGGGGCTTGATGGAGCAGAAATGAAATCTGTTCATAGACGATGGATTTTTGGAAGTGATTGTGAGCCGATGCAGTGACTTCCACCCCAGAGTCATGTCTGTTTTTTTGCGGTCCTGAGGGTCTGAAGATCAGGACCATCCAGTCCTGGTTTTGGTTCTTGTCCCTTTAGCACAGAGATTCCTCCAGATTCTCTGACTGTAGACGGTGAAATCCCCTCGTTTGTGAGAGACCGTGTGAGTCAACAGGTCGACAACTTTCTGAACGATAATTCAGCCTCTGTGAATGTCCTTTTTATACCAAGTCATGTGACTAACCTGACTAAAATTCACCTCATTTGTTTGAAGAAGTTCCTCCTGCTGTTTTTTAAAGCAGCAAAACTGTTTCAGTGGTTTTTTTTGTCCTGTTTGAACTTGTTTTAAAACTTGTTTCTGGCAGAAAACCTAAAATTTTACATAAAACAATATTTGTCAGCATTCATTTGTTGTATTTGTACTTTTTCCAATAAAATAGAGTCAAAATCTGTTTGTATCAACAGGTTTTCTGAAATTGAAAGTCGCTTCAAAGAGGTCGCACGTGTGACTGTTATTTTCCAACCATGTCGAGTGGCCTACATGAGTCAAGAAGGTTATAAATCTGCATAAACGGACTCTAGATCTGAGAAATCTGAGGGCACTTGAACTCATCATAAATCTGAGGGCATGGCTACAGTATGAACAGTGAGGAAACAGGAAACAGAAAGATAAATACTCCGCCTGAAAAAGCCTCAGAAAAGAGAAACCGCCGTGTGAGTGTGACGAGGAGGAGGAGCGCCGAAGTGGAGCAGAGCGAGCAGGTTTGTGGGTCAGACGTGATTCTGGCTGACTAACATCCAGACGTTTCCACATCAGCGCTGATTGTTTTGTGTTGTTTTATTTCATCATCCAGAGAGAAATGTTTGACTGAGTACACAACCGCCTGAATCAGCCGCCTCACCTGCAGCCACACAGTCACACCTGAGCTCCGCCTCCAGCAGGAGAAACACTCTGCTGCTGGACTGAGTCTGCTGCTGTTCTACCTCCTAAAATATGTCACAGATACGTGAGTTTGTGTCACCATAGAGTTCGGCGGTATGACGGTATAAAAGTGTCTACTGGTAGAAATTTTGTTATACCGTTTATACCGGAGAGGGAGAGAGCAGATGTCTGCTGCGCCTCTCTCAGTCAGTGTGTATTTGTCTGTGCTCACTAACAGGAAAGCAGGAGCGCATCAGTTTGGGTGCGTTTCTGTATAATCACCAACGTGTCGTACAGAGTTTGTTCGCTCCGTTTGATTGGTCAGGTTTGGGTCCAGCAGACTGTTTGGCGTAGTTTCCACGAAGAAGAAACAGCTTCACTTGTGGTGGTCAAGGAGGAGGCAGTGATTAGTGGCAGTGCCCAGCAAACGAAGGCAGCCCGACCCACCCAACATGAGGAAGAGGAGGAGGAACTTCTTCCGTAAAAGGGCGCGAGTCGCGACATCGGTTGTCTGGAGATTCTTTGGATTTAGAAAATCCAAAAACAATCAAAAAGCAAAACTATGCAAAGAGTGTCGTGTGTCTGTCGTTTCTGGAGGAGGAAATACTAGAAACCAAAAACTGAAGCTGCAGCAGCTCCTCTCAGACAAAAGAGCTCCGCAGAGTCTTTCACCAAAGGTACACCACATAATTAAAAAAATCACCAGAGTGGTCGGACATTTAGTTCGTATTTTTTTTACAAATCTGAGTTTAAAAATAAAAGGAAAATGAACAAATGCGACAGTCTGGTTATTTTTAAGACATGAATTGAATTAACAGGAGGAAAAACATATCATGATATGAAACTCATCGTACCGTGATACGATGTTGTTCATATTGCCCGACACTATGTCACAAGCATAAAAATACAACATGGAAGCATTTGTTGAATGTTTTTCAAAGTAAAAGCCTGACTTTTCTTTCAGGAGGGGCTTTTATTTTGAAGAATGTACCATTTTGGCTCCTTATGATCATACAGATGTGAGCATGTATAATATTATTTCCTATTAATTGATGTTATTTATTAATTCACACTAGGGCCTTACCTGCAGACAACATGATTAATAACTTTGTTTTTCTGACACTTTCAGCTCGGAATGAAGCGCTCACTTCTTTCACCAAATAACTGTCCCCTTCAAAATAAAAGTCTGACATCTGCACGGATTGTGGAATCATCAGGTGAGCTGTGCTGCTCATGTTGACAGTCATATCTGTTTACACGCGCGTCAAAAATCAAGGCCGTCGTGTAGCCGACTCAAATCCTGCATGAAGCCCCGGGTTAGTGACTGAACCAAACCGTCAGGAAAACTGCACCAGGACCAGGACCATGAATCTGGACTACGTCATATTACTGAGTCAGTATTCAAAGGTTGTTTCCTGGTTTAATGCATTCAAAACATAAAACTGTACATCCATCCCCATCTGTCACTTTTGTTTCAGTGTTTCAACTGAAATCCGACACAATCTCATTAACACGTTTCCAGCCCGCGACCTAAATTCACTAATTTTAGCTCTGCTCTGGGATCTAGACTCAATAAAACATAACCTTAGTCTTCTCTAGCTCGGGCAGGAGAGCCGCAAGGTGACCCACTTCACGGCTCCCGGTTCAGTCAGACGATGTTGTCTGGGTTAATCTGTGGCAACAGTTAAAGGAGCAGTCCAACATTTACACACACGCAGAGTAGGCATGAGCTCACCTCAGCGATGCACACGGGATCCTGCGGCCCACAGCGGATGAAGTAAAACTCCCCGAGCTTCCACACCTGCACCGGCCCGTCCGGCTGAGCTTGGCTGCTCACCGATTTGTAGAAGGCGTAGCTGCCTCGCTGGCAGGAGGGAGCACCCAACCACTGAGGGAGAAACAACAGAGAAACAACGGTGAATACAAGGTACAGATCGCTGTGTTTAATTCAGTATTTGTATTACATCCATCATAGATCAGAATTTCATCCGTAAACAACAGAAATGAAGCTCTAAATGTTGTTGGAGAGGAAGAAGAAAACGCTCAGTCAGTAAACTCCTCTAATCAGCTGAGACACAAATAATTTATAACCCACCTCTAGAAACAGGTGCTAAAAAAAGTAATGTCTTCCTGCTTCAACATCACTTTAATCCTTCCTGATAAAGGCTGCTGTATAAAGCATACATCGGAGCTTCACATAGCACCTGTAAAGTCCAGCATGTGGGTCCAAGCAGCAACCATGAGAAACGAAGCCAATGCAGAAGCGCTAAAACCTGCACTTCCTCAAGTGTCCACTAGAGGCTGGCTGCGAAAGCAACAGAAACCACATACACACTCATTCAAACGAGCTCAACTTTAAACAGCCTGTTTCTGAAACACTGTTCTAGTATGAATTCCTGCACTGAAGATGTTTGGAGGCCAACTGCCGTCCTAAACTCCACCTCTTATTTTATTTTGTTTTGTATCGACATTCATGATTCTTCCATCACGGTTTTCAATCTTTAGGGACAGAATCTGAAGAACAGAAACATTTTATTTTTCTGTTTACTTACGTTCCAATTTTAGCCCGTTTGAGACTAATCGATAATAGGCCAAAACTCGCAGATTTTCGCCGATATTTTCAGAAATAAAATGCAGAGAATAACATTCGGTTTCACAATTTGAAAAGTTCCCCGACTTATCCTGTAGATGGCGCAGCAACCTCATGACAATATTCACTTCTTCACTGTTAGCCGTGCTAGTAACGGTAGAATAAACATCAGTACACATTACGTGATCGAGCTACTTCTCTGACTGAGGCAGCTGCATGTCTCCAGATGAGACCGGACTAGAAATGAGGAACGTGAGTTAAGACGTGGAGGCACCGATCGGAGGGTGGGGGATGGGAGGTAGTTGAAAACGCTTTTCTGGTCCAAGTTTGATCAGTTTGGTCTTCCTGTCAGCATGAAGAGTAGTAGCCTTCAGTATACTGTTGATATCTACAGTATATATATATTTTTTTATAACTTAATAAAAAATTTTAAAAAATTGGCCGTTCAGTCGTTAATCTGATTTTTTTCCCCCTAATAATCGGTATCGGCATCGGCCCCAAAGAATCCATATCAGTCGGGCCTTAGTACCAAACCTTTTCGTTTTTTTGGTGCAGATTCTTGAACAAAGGCGCTAAACGCATTTTCCCACTTTTCAGCTTTTTCCTCCAATATAAATGCAGCGAAAAAGGAAAAAAGAGGAGGAGCTCATTTTTATTGTCTAGGTGTAAAATCCAAAGATACTGCAGAGGCATCAACACGTCTGACTGTAAAACTGCAGCATATTGCAGTGAGGCAGTTTTTTCTCATGTAGCAGGATATCGTAACAGATTAAACGACATGGAGAGGAAATGTTAAACATTAACACCTCAAACTGTATGTGCTGTTCCTGATAGTCACCCAAAATATGTCCAGATATCACCAACGCTGATTCAGAGCTGACTCCATAAGAGTCAGACCTGAAGGCGGGTACAAACTTGTTTAGTCTTGATCATCTGAGAGTTTCACAATTCTTCTGAAGATCCTCAAAACTAATAAATTATCAGCTGACTCAACAGAAAAGCCCCTGTTTTTAAACCCTGTGTATAAGAATCAAACCAAAATGTAAAAAAAAGACTTAATTTCTGCAGTTTCACTTTTACTTTCAGCTGGCTGACCCAAATCGATCTCTGCCACACATCGTCATAAAGTCATCACAGGGAGTTAATCATTCTTTATTCTGGAGGGAATCAAGTTAAAGTTATGGTGATGAAGAAGCACAGGACTGAATCTGTGATTGGCATCAGCACAGAGTAATCTCAACAGTAACTGAGTGGATTAATCAAGTTTCTGTTCAGACTAAATATGTTTGAAAATGTCTTTAAATTTAGTCTCTTTATTTAGAATTGAAAGCTTTTAGCCGTGACGCCCTCATTTACAATCACGACGAGTGTCTGCAAACAAAAAGTAGACATCCGTATGACTGTAATCAACCAATGAAATTCTTGGTCAACTAAAATCCTGAAATTTTCAACCAAAAATCAACTTCAAACTTCTGACTCTAACCCATCTGCGTCAAGGGACGTTGGAGCGTGGCTCGTCGGGGTGAAAATATACTGATATCGGCACAAGAAGGAAATTAAACACAAAAGACTAAGAAATATTGATCAAACCACCGGACGTGGATTAACGTTGACACTCTTCAATCTTTCTGTCTCCAGCCGTGATGCCAACTCCTCAGTAAGAAAAGTCGCTAATGGCTGTCGTAAAAGTCGCTAGATGACGTCATCGTCTAAACTGCATAATTTCTCAGTCATCACGAGACGGCGAAGAGGAAAGTTCAACAGTGTTAAACACAAAGATCGGAGCTCTTCCATCGTTAACGTTTTTGACATATGCTGCAGATCAAACAGACGCAGACGATGTCGCTGTTTGTCCTGGAAACTGTTAGCTTGTTACGCTCGTTCACACCAGTGACGACTACAGTCTCTCTGTTTTCATGCTTAAAGGTGGTGTAGTCCGGATCTGAGGAAGTGCCAGATCCCCAAGCGTCCCCCATTGTTTATGTTGACCCGGCTTTTTAGCTCTTGTCCAGTCTAGCTCCGTTTTAAGTTATTCCTCTAGAGTCTCCGGTATTTACTTTGTTTTCTTGCTTGTGTCGGCAGAAATTTTCCGAACTTTCTGGTTGGTTTCTACTGTCCGATATTGTAGCACGCTAACTTTGTTTGGGCTCCTGAACGACACGGGGGAGCAGCGTCTGCCTCACAACCAATCAGGTTAGAGGAGGTGGAGAACGGCTTTGTTTACAGTCAGAAAGAGCGCGCCACTCACAAAATGTTCAAATGTTGACGACACAGACATAACAAAACAGAGATATCGTTATATTACCATGTCATCAATAACTAATAACTATTGACTGATATTAGAAGTTTTTTTTGTAGATACACCACAAAAAAAGATGCTTCTTTAACAGATTCCTGCTTATCCCACCTTTAAAAGGATGTAATGAAAGCTACTAAATAAGACAAAAGTCAGGTGATACACACTTTAAAAACAACTTAAAAAATGATAAATTGATGGCTTTAGTTCTGATCAATAATTTTCTGTCGTTTTTGTTTTTATTTGGATATTTTTTCTACATTTTAACAGAAAACAAAACAAGCTAATTTTAGGGGCCTACTTTCAGTGGCGGATGAATCTCTAATCAGTCTGAGTGATTCTGTCTCTCTGATGTGTTTCGATATCAGTCCAGCTCTTTATCACAGGAGAGGCTGTGATACACCGGGTCCATATCAGGAAATGTTTATTTCTCTATTTTTATCAGGCCTCCTTTCTTCGTGAAACTTCTGCAACAGCTTCAACCACGACCTGCAGCTCTTTGGTGCATGACTCGGCAGTTTTTACGGCTCTGAAGAAAAAACTCTGCTGTCATAAAACTGCTGCTGTTTTCTGATACCGCTTCGGCTCCTCGGTAATCCTCTGTTAGGAGTTCAAGGAAGAAAAGACTGAGTTACAGCAGCAGCCCGACATGAAACATAATACACAACCCTGCAGCTGCACCGTCCAGAGTGGAAATTACACCAAATATGAAAGAAATGCACAAATTCAAGCTCAAACAGGGTCTGAATTTACTGTTCTTCTTCTTATATCTGCTTATTTATCATTTTGATCAGATAAAATCTCCAGTTTGAAGTCTTTTCTAATAATCAGAGCAGCAAACAAGGAGTCTTGTTTGTCTTGTTTACATGAAAAGTTGATTAAATGCAGATTTTCTGACAGCAAAGTTATTATTTCTGAGCCACAATACGACACTATGTTTGATACAAAATAAGGCTGTTATTGTCCGTATTAAACCAGCTACTATTATACCAGCGATTTGCATTTATCAGCGGCATCTGACTGCTGCTAATTTGAAGCCCTGAGCATCATCATTAATTCAAGAATTTATTGGCTCTGCTCATCAATTAATCATCTGGTTTATAAAAAAAAAGTACTTGACAAAAAAAAGTTCCCGATGCTGCATCATTAAAGTGTCTGTATTTATTATCTGACAGAAGATTTGATCATTTCCAGGACTGTGCGCATTAAGTTGACGGTATGTTCGATGTTCGGTATGAACGACACGGGGGAGCAGCGTCTGCCTCACAACCAATCAGGTTAAAGGAGGTCGAGAACGGTTTGTTTACAGTCAGAAAGAGCGTATCCTGCATACTGACTTTAGCGCCCCCTATTGGCATGTTTGTTTTTAGCACTATGTTTACCTCATTATTTCAAAACGCATGCAAAATATAATTTAACTTAGCTACTTCCTAACTTGGTTATTTTTTTATTTAAAGCTCCTGTGAGTGGATTTAAGCGCCCCCTGGGGACAGAACGGTAGCTTTCATGATATCGTTGAATTTGTGAACATTCAAATGTGACTTTATTGAAACAGAAACTTTTAAGAGTCAAATATATCTTTGTTGAAGGTTTAATTGACACCTAACCACTAAAGGCATTTTCAGACGGTAAAACATGATAAATATTATATTCAGTCTCATCATTGATGTCGTTTCTGCTTCTTTTGGTCGTACAAAAGTATTATTAATTTCAGTCTGTTTCAGAACTGTCTAAAAACTCCGCATAGGAGCTTTAACTTGATGTCTTCTTACTGTTAATCTAAAAATGAGTGATTATGTCCGACCTTTAGATCTTTTTATGTGTTTCTGCTGCTGCTGTGTTTCTCTGATTCTCACTTTCATTTGCTAAATCTACCCTGACACATTTTTTACCTTACCTGGCATAAATCTTTGCTGAATGTTTTAAAAGGGCTGCAGCTTTGTCTCGATATTACCATCACGTCATCTCCAGGTTACCTTTTTTTTTTTTAAGTGATTTTATCTGTAAATCCGTTCATATTGAGCCTTAAATGCATCTTTTTCTCAAAATATTTCAACCACAGACGACAGAGAAAGGCAGCATATCCCCACGTTTGAGAGGCTGCACACTAGACTTAAAAAATTCATATCGGTTCATCAAAATGGCTTCAAACTATTCCTCCTTTGATGCACTAATAAAGAAATGATTTGATGATTAAATGAGGAACAGCTGAGCGGCTTCAACAGCCTGATTGATTCATTTATTTTCTTATAAAGTGAATTAAAATAAAGCAGGCAGAGGTCACGTTCGCCAAGCTTATTATCCTCATTAAATGAATAAAAAGCCTTGTGTGTGTTGAAGCCGAGGGCGCGGCAGACTGTGCAGCTGCTTTTCATTTACTGCTGATAGACGTAATTTAAAGATCTGGTGGATTAATTTAAGATATACTCTGTCATTTTTCTGCTTTTATTCTGAAATATTCTGATTTTGTTAAAGAAGGGGCAGCCGCTCCGTCCGCATGTCTGTGTGTCTGCGGCTGCTGCTGACGTCTAAATGCAGAATATTCTCAAATTCCCCCTCCTGTGTTGATCATCCACATCCCCCACCCCACCCTGCACACCCTCCCCCACCCAATACCCATAACCCACCACAGTCAACCCCCTCCCTCCCTTCCTCCCTCCCTCCCTCCAACCCCCACCTCGCTGTAGCTCTGCAGACCAGCTGCAGCAGGCCCAGGATCAATTTTTAGACAGATACCAAATAAATATCAACGCAGCTTAAATATATTTAGATATCAGAGGTAGACGGCTGCAATATTAATAACACTAGAATTAAAAGAAGCCTCTGCACAACATAATGCAGTGACATAATGCTGAGCTACGTCACTGAGGAGGATCAGACATACTCTTTAAAAAGGCCTCGAGGGAAAGTCATGAAAAACAACAGAGCCAGAAGAGCTCACCGTCACTTTCTGCAGGAGCGTCAGGCCTGAATTTTAGCTAATTTCACATTAAAGAACTATCACCAAACACAGACAAGAGCGCGGCTTTGAGTCAAAAACACTCATGACAAAAAAACCACAGGAGAATCCATCAAACTCAGAGTCTCTGTGGAAACATTACAGAAACATTTGGTGACGTAACGAGAGTCAAAAACACATTTAAAAGCTTTTAAAGGCAAAACAGAGCGCTGCCATCTTACTGGAAGACTCTTCAGCAACATTACAGCGACGCTAAAGAATCAAATTATCCTTTTAGAGGTTAAATATAGCAGATATAGAAGAGAATGACCGGCCTGAAAGTTAGAGAAAAGTTACAGAGTGAGGAAAAAATGATCAATATTTACACAGATATATGTATGTATATTTCCGCACAAGTAAATTAGCTAAATTTAGATCTAAGAAGTCAAAACAGGATCACTTAAAGAGTTTGGTTTCTTTTTCAAACTATAAAGTTAAATAACAGAGTTTGTGAGGAGTCTCCAGAGGATTATTGGAGGTGATATCGGCTGATATTAAAGATTTTAATTAAAGAGTGAATGTATTTAGGATTTAGAAAAACATTTTCGAAATTAAACCGTCACATAAAACCTGATAGGCAGATAAATGTGATTATTTCTGTCTTGTTAGAAGTAGTTTGTCCTGTTTTGTCATGTGTAGTGAACCTGGCATACACATAAGTAAAAGAAGGAATCTTTGAGATGAAACTGCCTCACCCCTAAATTAATGTTGTCACTGTGATCGAGTTAGCAAAGCGAACAAGGCGGACAGCAAAAATTCAACAGCAGATCAATATAAAGATATCAACATATTCAAGTAAGGCTGATTTCATATCAACACAACATGAAGCTCTTCCAACATCTCTGCCAAACAAAGGGTCAAATAAATCTAACACGCGAGGTTATAACTGATTAATAACAGCAGGTGGAGTCATAACCGATACTGCATCTGCACAAGGTAACAACAAACATCGGCATAAGATGACATGATTCTAGAAAACAGATGTGTTTTTGATTCGTACACAAAATCGCTTCTGCACGTGAAAATTCAAAATGTAAATAAATAAAAATATAAGTAAAAAAGAAATGCTGACGAGTATCATTGTGTACTTTGTTTGCACAAGAGTTTCAAGGTGTGAACAAAAGATAATGAACATAGGCCAACAAGACTATCATTAAGTAATAGATTGTGCACCGTATAGATATATCATGTTCGTGCACACGTTTACTAATCGCTCTGCACAGGATATTAAACTTATTTGCTGTGCACAGACTTCTTAAAGTTTGTGTTATTCTGTGTGTGATGTGGTGAAGTGTTTTGAGATATATTTGGAAAGTAAAATTCTGCTTTTGCGCTCATTTTAGCATGTTTTCATTAATGTTGGTAGATGTTCAGTATCCTACATAAATAAATAAGATTACAATTATCTCAGGTGCACAAGCTTAAGATTTCACTCTGCAGGTAGAAAGGATGTAAAGATAAACATACTTTTATAACAAAAAAAATCAATTTTTAAAGCAGAAACAGCCTCCGCCCCCCTTCAAAACCACCAGATCCCACTGACAAAAATGGTGATTTAATCTTGACTCACAGCCCGCTGCTGCTGGTTCAGTCTCCCAGTTATTTGGTTGTGTTGAGTTTCATTTAAACTGACCTTTCACAAACTCAAAACTCCCACAGTTATTACAAAATCTGATAATAAATCGAGGCGGCGGAGGAATAGCAACACTCGAGCTGTGGGAGGAAATGTGACAGTTTTCCTCAATGGAGTCTGGTGGCTCTGAAGACAGCAGCACAAAAGTATCTTAAGTCTGTATGTCAGTCACTTCAAATAACAATCTGAGGAAACCAAATAACTTATTCCAGTTACTGTGTGAAACGTTTAGGTCACTAATATTAAAACAGGAACCAGGTTCAGCGCCTTAATTACTCAAGAAGACAAATACTGATCCGTACGTTTAGTTCAGTAAAGGTGAAGTTTGCTTAAGGCAGCATACAAAACTACAGACACAATCTTATCTGAGAGGGCGGGCGGGTCCCTGTAGGTGAATTAGGAGGGGCAGAATAACAAAATACTGACTTTGGAGACTTAGAGGATTATTACACAACGATTCACAGAAAAACACCAGAAATACAATCAAAGAAAATGGATTAGTATGAAACAAGTACTGAAATATCCTTAAAAAGATCATTATTCAGTCACCAGTCCACACTGACAGAGAAGCAGGATGCAGAAAGAAGGAAAAAGTCTAAAAAGTATGAAATAAAATGACTGTTTGACTCAAATCTGAGGAGCTGGGTTCATGAAATTGAACCATAATTGATTAAATATTGTTTTTGTTTGTCTCACAAACAGTTTAAGCTGAATGCTTCATTATGTCTGATTCAGGGTCTCCTCTTTGGGTCGGAAAATACAGAATTCCTGATTAATCCGGAAGAATCCCGTCCCTGCATAAAGAAACTGACAGATTATAGGATAATCTGGGCTCATAAACAGGATCAACTGTTGAAGTTTGTGCCTAAATAAGGAAACATTATGAAGGAGAATAGAGCGGATTCATTCACTATAAATGTCTGAGTCATAGATAAATCAACAGAAAAATAGAGGAGAAACAGCTATTTTTTAAAAATCAGTTAACTTATAAATTCATGGTTTAAAACTAAAATTTGCAGCTTTAAATATTTTACACACCGAGAAGTTTTGGTCATCCATGTCTGATCTACAGATCAATGAATTCATCTTTAAATTCAGCTCCAATTTGATTTTAAAACAGTAAAAATTCCTAAACTGTTTGTTAAAAATGTTTCAGACTGATTAGTGAATAAGAAGATATTCATGTCAATAAATCCTAAAATCAGGAACATGAAAAGTCCGTACTATATGAGCTTAGACCGATGAGTTTTGGCTTAAAATGTAAAAACAACAAACAGTTTTCAACGTCAGGTAATGAATGTTGAATATGTTGATCGATCAATAAATCTTAAGCAATCCATGTTTTTGAGTTATTATTGAAAATACAGAGAGAATAATTTGCTCGTTTAGAAACCCAAAATTTTAACTTTAAAAGTTTTAATTGGAGCTAAACTTAAAGAAATCTGAACTTTTTTGGAAAATAATCGTCAAACTCTGTGATCAATGAATCAATGATCTTTTAAGATCGATATGTTTTCAATACAGAAACAGAAAAACAGGGGAACATGCTAACACTTTAGCACTGTTATTTTGATTTCTTTTTTTTTTTTTGGGTTGTTTAAAATGATTCATATTTTGTTGGATATGTGGATAAAACATCAGTACAGTAGGATCAGTTTAACGTGATAATAATTCAGCTTATTTGGCCCACAGACGTCATCTTTGAAACTTTTCTAGAACTTTGAAGCATGCTGAACCCAGAAATGTAAATGTTCATGGTTTTCCTAACTTTAAATATTTAAGATATATAAATGTTTGACACACATGTGCAAAATAAAAAGTCGAAAAACAAGCAGAACGCTACCAGTCCGGTTTGAGTCTGATCGAGGCGTAAACATCGTAACGACAATTGATGTAAAAACACATGATCTCGGTTTGTTAATGCGACTATGAGAAGTTCAATGTGATTACGTGTCTTACAACACAATAAATCAGTTAACATGTGAAAGTATGATGTTTGCGGCAGCGGTAAAGCTAAAATTGTGTATCTTAAATTAATAATTTGCAGAAAATTGGTCCGCTAAAACACCAAAATATAATCAACTGAATGATAAATACCGGCAGCTCAACAGGTCGCCTCTGAATTGGAAAATTCAGAACACAAATTCATCTAAAAGAATCACTTCTAGATCATATCTTTATTCTGGGGAAACTATGACGTACAAACCAATATAAAAGTTTATGCAATTGATAAATCCTGGAGATCAGTTTGGACTTATGAGTAATAAAACAGGGAAATAGAAGCTAATAAAGTTTGATTAATTTACTTGGTAGAGCACTTTTGCGTACAAACACTAGATTATCTTCATACTGCAGCTTTGATAAACTGATAAAATGGCACCGTGACCGAAGAAAAACAAGAGATTTCAACTTTACGGCTGAAATTTAGAGACGGTTTTGTTTACTATGACCAGAAGTTATAAATATAAAGTAGGTAGGTAGATTTGTGGGTGAGTAATAACCCAATGAAGCTGAAAAATTTCAATATTTATTGTTTTGAGAGAGACTCCGCCTCAGATTTGATATCAAACACATATTTAACTTAATAACAGAGAGAGACGGACGTAAACACTACCATCAGGTGAGTATAGAGTATCATAAACATACTATTATGTACTATAGGAGTGTTATATGACCACCGGAGAGCTGCTGCTGCTGCTGCTCGGACAGCCTAGTGGTGAAAGGAGGCAGGAAAATAAAAGCCACATAATACAATCTGAGCAGAGAGAGAGAGAGAGGCAGCCCGCTGTCTAAAACGTGAACACACACTGACACACACTGACACACACTCACTCACACACAAGAATTTAAGATGGAAACCCTTAATCTGCACCCTGCCTACGTCAGTTCTCGTGATATTTCTGGGAATAATGCAGAGAGATTTTTGTAACACAGTTTCAGTACAGGAAAGAAGGAGAGGGAGAAAAACTCCTGTAAATATCAATAATAACATGTCTGCTGATTCACACAGGAATAAACAAATAAATTTAATCCAAACACACACTCAGACACACACAGACTACAGTATTGACCTTGGGTATATCCTGTTATTGAAATAGCTCACTGCAAAATATTAATATTTAAACAAAGCTTTTATAAAAATACACAGCTACCACTGTGATTTTTCTATAAACCAGGCCACACAGGGAGGATTGTGTCAAAATGAACACACTTTCTGCACATATGTCACCTTTAAAACTGGTGTCCTCTGGATATTTCCTGCTGTTTTTCTCTCTCCACAAAGCAGCCAATGTGATATGTGACATTTTCTAGGCCATAAATGGAGGATTTTGTCAAAATAACACACTTCAGGTCGATAAAAGCCCATATTATACCTACAAACTGGTGCCCTTTGGCTATTTCCTGCATTTTTTTTTCTGTTTCACATAGCAACCATTGTGATATTTGACATTCTCTCGGTTAAAAATGAAGGACTCTGTGAAAATAAACGACTTTTTCTAGCTTACATTGAACCCTAAAGCTGTGGATATTTCCTACTGTTTTTTCTTTCTTTTAAAATCCTCGCTATGTCAAGTAGAAAAACTCCAAATCCCCTCCTTCAAACACACACAGAATATTCACATTCCTCCTTAAACTGTGGTAATTATACCAGAGACAAAATGTCGGGGGGGATTTGATAATAATATCAATATGCTTCCGATTAAAACACAACACTACTGCTGCTCCACCTAGTCCCTGTCGAAAAAAAATATATTTCAATCTTTAATATCACGTCCGTGTGTGGAAATTATCTCGACAAAATGGTCAAAAAAATGTCGACGAAACGTGTCGCTTCAGCCTAAAAGTTTCCTGATATTTTTCGAGGCTGAAATTTTAATTTTATTTCGGTAATGTGTCGTTAGTGTGGGTGGGGGTTGGTAGCCAGAGGAGAAGCTGAGACTGTCGACACGACACACAAAGAAATTAATCATTAACACTGCGAAAATATCAGAAATATTAAACTGGAATTTAACGGCCGAGGCTGCGATATCAAATGAGACGACGGCGCCGTGTTACAGACGACTGTTTCCTCGTAAAAATGCAAATATCAGCCGATTATTTTCCACCTCTGCGGGAAAAAAAAAGTTGAGCCTGGTTGAATAAAGTTGTAATTGCAGTCAGAGCAACTCTCCCTGCCTGCCGCCGCCGCTGCTGCTCCGGGTTTGGTTGATATGAGAAAACAATCAATACGACATTCAAACTAAATGAAATAAAACGCCGATTTTAACCTTCGATCCACAGCGACACTCGGTTAAAAAAATCCCCCACATCAACAGGTCTGAAACCCCGCCAACTCGACGTGAAATAAATCGACATAATGTTGAAATAATATCGGCTTTACCTGTATTGCATTGTGCTCCATTGCAGTCCTGCATTCCCTCTCTGAGGCCCCTCTCCGGTTACACCGCCGGGACTCGCCGTCACACAAACAAACGCACCGGAGAAAAAAAAAAAGGGCTGCTCTTTTTTATTTTTTTATTTTTTTTAGTGAGTGTGTGGAAGTGGGACGAGATCTAGGTGTGGCCAAAGTTTGCCACAGAGTACAACTTAATGTTAAAGTCACAGTGAAACGGCAGTTGAAGCATCTTTAGCTTCAGCCGTGTGACGTATTTCCGGGTGACACGGGATTTGTGGGCGGGTTTTTTTTTGGGTACGACGGGGGGTTTAAATCAAATTCCTGAAATAACGTTAAAATCAGGAGGGAAATGGCGTCGTTTGGCGAAAAATCACAGCCGGATTAAGTTTTTTTTGACACATATTTTAATATTATACTGCCCTGAAGAAAACGCCCACTCTGAAATGAGACTACACTATTCAGATTAACTGTTGAACAGTTATCAGAATGTTGTTTTCATATTCGGTTGAGGTTATAACTGACATTATCGACATGATTACTGATTAAGAATAAATGTTGTGATTTTTTCTCCATAACTTTGATTTTCAGTTTGTTAAAAACATTAAAAGTGATGTTAAAATGGTCTACAGCCCAAATAGACTACTCCAATACTTGTTTTTTCCGACCACAGTCTTACAGGCAACATACTAGAGCCGTAGTCAGGCTCTTTCAGGGGCAGGGGCAAAAGTAACAAAAAGGGCCCCCTTTGTTTACCATGGCAGAGAAGTTTGGATTAATAAAGATCTGTATTCAGCAACTTTATGAAGCTGAATTAAATGTATCTTGACATATATTATAAGATCATACTGTCACAAAGCAAATGACTACACTGAAATGAGACTACACTATTCAGATTAACTGTTAAACAGTTATCAGAATATTGTTTTCATATTCAGTTGAGGTTATCACTAACATTATCAACACGATGACTGATTAGGGTGATTTTTTTTCTCCATAACTTTGATTTTCAGTTTGTTTAAAACTTGTTACTTGTTTTTTCCAACCACAGTCCAATCCTAAGAATTATAGGAGCCATACCAGTGGTGTAGTCAGGCTCTTTCAGGGGCAGGGGCAACACTAACAAAAAAGGGCCCCTTTTGTATACCACGGGTCACCAAGTCAGAGAAGTTTGGATTAATAAAGATCTGTATCCAGTGAAAACTATTTTGTGGACAACAAGTAGTCTTGAACTGTTTTTTTAACCCCTGATACCAACAGTATAGGGTTCATTCAAGCATATTAAGGCACATTTATATTATATTATATTACATTATATTATATTAGATTAAATTAGATTAGATTTGATTAGCTAAAATAGAAAAGAATCGTCTAATACTTAATGTTTTAATTTTTACAGCATTTAGTGTTGAAAAAATTCAAGAAAAACTCAAAATTATTGATACACAAACCTTAGTACCAATAAGTGAATGCTACCTACTGTTTGTAGCTAACAGTCAATAATTTTATCAATAATCAATATTTATATTTACAAATAGACTTTCCGAGTATTAAACTTTGCTCCCTTTGTTGACTAAACGAGAACTTGATAGTAAAGCCAATTTACCAAAAGTGGAGGGCATATCACATTTTATTTCTTAAAAGGGTATTCAAGTGGGGTGACTTTTATCTTGATTTTACTGAGAGGGCATCCAGAGGCGACTTTTTTAAAGATTGATATGCATTAAGTGCATAAACAGACATTTTTTAAACTGGAAGAAAATCCATAGCATAGTTTCTTTACAGTTTATATACTAAAAGGGCACCCAGAGAGCAGTTTTCAAATGGTTTTATACTGGAAGGGCATTCAGAGTGTACTATTTTTTTGACATATATTCACTGAATAGGCATCCAGAGGGCAACTTTTGTTTTTGATATACTGAAAGGGTATCCAGGGGGCACTTCTTTTACATTTCAAATACTGGAAAGGCATTCAAAGGAAACTTATTTAATGTTTTATGTACTGGAAGGGGATCCAGAGGGAAATTTGTTTACATTTTATCTGGTGGAATGAAAACCAGAGGACACTTTTTACATTTTATAGAGTGAATGGGCATCCAGAGAGCACTTATCTGACATTGTACAGGGCATCCAGAGGGAACTTTATATACTTCATTCACTGGAAGGACTTTACATTTACTTATCAACAGAAATAGTAAGTCTTATCAATCATTCTGAGTGACTATACATGTTTTTTAAAGCCACACTTACTCCCCCTGTTCATTTTTAAGTCTGCCTACTAATCTTTTTTATATGAATTTAATTGGCTTTGTTTGCTCATTGTATAACAGCTGTTATTTAACTACAAAGCATCTTGTATTTATCAGTTTGTTGTCAAAAAACAACTTTTTAATAAGTTTAAAGCTCCTGTGAGTAACTTTTGGTTTGTCAAAGTTGGTGTCTTTGTGGACAAAGTGGCTTGTTTCATTCAATAAATATAAAATATCTAATGTGAAATTCAAAAAAAGGTTTCTTCAGCTGCTCGGCTATAACCAACCCCCTTACACAACTTTCAAACATTAAATATTACAGTCTTTAAATTGTGAATCTTGTCACCGATGATCTTTATAAAAAGACATCAGTGTGATTTTAAGTCTCTTTCATAAATGTCCAAAAAACTTTTTATGGCACAGCTAAGACTTAGGTCAACACTCAGGTATAAACTTGGCTTCATTAGAACTATTCATTACACTTCAAAAAATTATGAAATCTTACGGATATCACATAGATACATTAAAGCCAAATTTACTGGAAAATGAACAACTCCTCAGGATGTTTCTGAGACATTTTTCAGGTTGTTGCTTAGTGACCTGTAAGCCATAGTTTGTTAAGCCATGTTATTTGTGCAGATTTTCTGGCGCCCCCTGTGGACAAACTGGCTTTTCTTCCTGCTCGCTAATTTTGTTCTACATTTCAATCTGTTCCACCCCAAACAGCTGTCATTTAAAGGTTACACATAGCACTAAGCAACCAGTGCTGACTGTAACAAATGAAGTTCAGGCTCTTCTGTAGTGGTTCCACTTTTTTTTGGACCCGTTGGTTCAGTTCTACATTCTGGTCCTTTAAAGGTTCCTTGTACCAGAAGCTTCTGGCAGTGGAAATGCAGCTTTAGAAGACACAAGAAGGTAGAAAACAGGATCAGCTGGAATCACAAGATATGTGACAAAAGCCCTAAGTCTTTGTAAGACATAAAACCATCTAAAAAAATAATATAAACAACTGTGTATTCTCTGTTATTAACTGATAATGTTAAGAAACTACTCTAACTCGGTCAATGCTATACTTCATTCATTACAGCTGCAATGAAACAATATCTGACAGTTAATCAAGAATAAATGCTTATCTTTATGTTTAGGAGTTGGCTTGTATTTCCTGTAGCGGCACATTTAGTCTTGGGTTAAAAATACTGTCGAGACACACATCAGCCTGTAGTGACAGTATCCAAACGCTAAAAATACAGATGCCTTTTTATAGCCACCACATACAGTCATTGTTAAACACTAATAATATACTCCCTGTATGCACTGTATACCTCCATAAGTGGAATTAAGTTTTAAATAGTCACATTTAGCTTCTTAAAGCTTGAATAGGCACTGCCTGAAATAATCACAGCGGTAATCATGGCAACAAAAGGATTCAGACTGCAGAGATACTAACCTCTAATCTTTACATTTAGATCCTTTAGTGAAGGGAAAAAAAATTTAATATTGATGGAAAATAAAAAATACTTGGTTAAAAGTCAGCATATCAAACAACCTGTTGACACTGTGGCAAAACTGGAAGATGACAGACAGACACCGAAGCTGCTTTGCTTTTATAGACTTTACAAACTCACTCTAAACTCTATGATGTGAACACGAGTCCCACTGAAATCACTCTAAACCATCTCATCATCTATTTCTAATGATTTTCAAATTGATGATTTACTCACATCACAAACCCTGAGACTGGAACTTCTCCGGAGAAGACTTTCCCTCACGCACTGATCACTTGCTGGACTTTTATTTTGACATTTTTTTATCTCACATGTCTCATGTTGTTGGTCAAACTATGCTTTTATTTTGAAGTTCGCTACTATTAGTTGTAAATTGCAGAACTAAATGAAAACCGTTAACATTTTGTAACCTGAAGAAGCTCAATTTTTCTTGTTTTTTTTTTTTTATTTTTTATTTTTTATTCGCTATGAATTTCTGAAAACTGCTACAGCTAGTTTGCTAACAGCTGCTGCTTCTTCTTCATCTGAGGTGAGGACACCACTATGAACTCACCCTATTATATTTATGCTTCTTTGTAGCACAACATCAGGAAAAGACAGTTATCATTCATACCAGACTTTATAGTATGTGATGTATAGTCAACAGGTTGTTTTGGTGGACAGGGTGAACAGGTTCCTCCTGGACATTAAATGGAGCAGCTCTATCCTACTTTTAAGAACTCACTTATTGCGAAACGTTATTCTCAAATGTGATAATCGTTGGCTGTTGTTCCCTCAAAGTTGATCTGGACTGGTAAGAAAACAAGTTCCCAGCATCAGAATGGGATTTAACTCCTAATAAGAAGTCAGGTATGTCAGCTAAGGTGAGAAAAGATGGATTATGTCCTAAAACATGTGACAGACTGCTACTACAGTCACTTAAAAAAACAGAATTTATGGTTTATGGGAATCTAAATGAAAGTGATTGTAATGTTAAATTAAGAATCTGTAATGTTGACATTAAAGGGTTACTGAGACTAAATTTCTTGGGGTTGTCATTCATCAAAAGTTCACATGGAAAAACAACACGTTGAATACATTAAAGGGAAGATTTCAAATCACTTGCAATCCTGTACAAATCGAGAAAAGTATTGAATTCAAAGACTTTGCATTTGATCTACTACTCATTGATTTTTCCCTATATATCTGACTGTGTGGAAATGTGGGGATCCACCTGTCACACCAATATAAATCCAATAATAAAACTGCAAAAACGAGCTCTACGTATTATCAATAAAACTGATTATTATGATCACACGGAGCCACTTTTTCTAAATTCTCATGTTGTGAAATTTTATGATCTGTATTATCATAAGATAATGCAAATAATATTTAGAGCAAAATCAAAAATGCTCCCTGACTGAATACAGAGGTTCTTTTCAATTCAGGACAGGACGTATAATCTCAGAGGTGCTCGCAAATTTACTGTACAAAAAGCTCAAAAAAGGTCTGAAAAGGAGACGTGTCTCCGTTACTGGAGACTGAAAATACGTCATTGTTTTTTGGTGTTTGTTCTCGAATTATTATGTGAAAATTATTTTTTGTGAAAATGGTTTGTAAAGCTGTTTATAAGTGCGTTAATTGTCTGTTGTTGTGGTTTCTTTGCTTTTCTGGAGGTCGTAGCCTAAAAAGTTCTGCCTTTTCAGTCAATATTCAACACATGATTCTTTATTTGGTGATTTAGTGTGAAATGTCAATATTGTGTACATTATTTGGTGTTGTCATGACTGAATAAACGACGACTACTGCTACTACTACTACTACTTTATATGGTTAAATATCAGGATTCAGCTCCAGTTAAAATAGAAAATCCTTCAAACTGTACATCTTCACACTCACAGTAAACACACAAACTGATAAAGCAGCTTCCGCTTGATAATGTCTGACTGAATCTGATCAGTCCCTGAGTGACTGGCAGCTCTGTTTGCTGATTTTGCTCAGAAACCTGATCTCTCATACAAACAGAATACAGGCTGCAGTTTACAGCTGCGACCAGCAGGGGGAAGAGGCACGTGTCCTGTCTGAACACCCCCCACCATGAGGCTTCAGCATGACTCTCATGTAGAAACAGGCCTCAGATCAGAGTGTGTCAGATCCTGTTCTGACTTTTAAAACACTTTTCACTTGGGAATCACGGAAACACGAGGAACTAAAACTGAGTCAAAGTGCAAATATTACAGTCCAGAATTACTCTGTTAATATTTAAAGTCCTTAAATAAAGAAGAACTTTTACAAAATGTGAAAAAAAGAAATATTTCCCCTTCACAGATGCAGTAAAATGGAGAAATAAAGTTGCATGAAGGAGAAATGGTTTAATAATTGAACTAAAAGTTACTGAAACTTGTAGAAAAGTTCCTTATAAAGTAAAAATACATGATTTCTTTACTCATCCACTCATTTTCATCCCTTCATTGTTTTGTATACGGAACTAAAGCCGGAGGATTTCCCATGAATATGACGGTATAGAGGGTGTCGTTTTAAAGGTGGGGGAAGGGGACTTTAAAGGACTTTACGCCCCGAGTTTTGCCTCTCAGGCGACTTTGTGCTTAAAGGAGTTGGTTGTGACTGAGGGCCTGAAGGCAAAACTCAGGGTGAAATGGACACAGGCGGCTTTACATTGCTGTTTGTAATAAGGCACAGTTTGTAACTAAGATGCATTTTAATTTACGGACTGTAAAGTCAGGGAATAGAGATGTTAAATCAAAAATATAAAAACTAATAAGAAACAGATTAACTATTAAGGGATTATATTTGACTTTGATCGATATTTATGAATGATTTGAGTAAAAATAAAGAATTTGTGATGATCCAGACTTTTAGGAGGGATCTGTTAAACAAATCGTTGATGTAAAAACCTTCAAATGAGTCTCCTCTGGCGTTCATTTGTTAAAATATATAAATATAACATGAATAAGATTAAATCTGCACACACAGAAAAACATATAAAGTTGAGAATTCACGTATTTTGTGTTGTTATGCAGCATCATTTCCAATTTACTCCGAATATTTTCTCTACACGTGGAGAAACAAATGGAAAAGTAATTGTTGTAAAAGCGGGAAACAGCGCCATCAAGAGCTGCTGTGGCCACTAAGGTGTACTGCATCTGAGTCAGACAGGCCCCTGGTAAAGTGTTCCCTAGTTTTTATAGTTTTTAATGAATTTATTCTTAAATATTGATCCGTACATTCATTCATTTATTGTGTGCCTGTGTCTGTAATCGCTGCAGGATGGTTAGATGAATAAACAGGATTTTCAATATTTTGATGTGCGTTTTTATCCAAGGTATAAGCGAACTAAGGCTATGTTCACACTGCAGGTCAATAACCATATGTGACTCATATCTGATTTTTTCATCTAAGTGTGAATAGTGCAATTCTGATTTGTTCTAATCCGACCCAGGCCTCTTTTGTATGTGGATATAAATCGGATATGTATCTATTGTAAGGTCTCAGGTCGCGCTCATCCGACCTATACGTCATCAATATGCGACAAACGTCACCGTTGTTCGACAACACAAACAGGCGCGGAAAGCAATGTGTGCTTTGTGTGCATGTGGGTCACTTCACAGACGCATTCAGTTCACATTAGACGCCGCATACGTTGTTGTAATGTGAACGACCGCACAAAAAGATCGGATTTAACAAAAAAATCTGAATTGTGCATCATGACCAATAGGGGGCCCCCAAGAGCAATAAAAAATATATAATTTTTTTTTATTTTTTGCATGTATGAGTGATGCTTTCTGTATGATCAAACATATATTATTGTAAAAAATAAAATAAAAACATTTTAGTGCTGCTGCTGATGTCGGCCGATAATTCTTAATGTCGATATGTCAAAGCTCTGCTACTGTTATGTGCCTCCTGCTGTGAAATGTGAACTGAGCATCTAAATAGCAGGTAGTTTTGGGGCAAAACAATGTCGCAAAAAAGGACGAATCCTTCAGGGGCAGAGAGAAGAGAGAGCAAGAGGAGAAAAACGCCAAAATAAAGGTATGTTTGCATGTCAGGAAATGTTAAAGAGATTTGTGAAGGTGTGTGAACGATCATCAATCGATATTATTGGCAGACATAGAGGGCCCCAAAATCCCATTTTGTTTAGGGCCCCATTGAGGGTTGGGCCGGCTCTAATTATTTCATATTTAATGATTTAAATCATAAATTAAATCAGATTTCTACCCTCGATCAGGAAGATGTAAACTTTAAGATGAGAGTCAGAATTAAGAGCATTTTTTTCACCAACACAGTAAATGAATTGGGCTTTAATTTGATTTTAGTTTTCACTGATATTGGTTGTTAAATTTGACAGTATCAGATTTCTATTTTAAAAGGAAGAGAGGAGATAAGTGGTAAGAAGACAGGGTAGGAAACATGATTTCTTTTTGACCGGAGAAGACCGATTCACACCACATAAACATCCGTCTTCTCTGGACACTGTCACCTCCCACATGTCTGAGTGGTGGTTTGATTTTAATACAAAAAAAAAATCACTTCATGCATTTGGAATATTTTGTGGTTTCCTCTGTGTTTGTGTGAGTGAGCATGATGAAGAGTCTGCAGCAGATGCTCTGCAGAAACACAGACTGCAGTTTGTCCTCTGAGTGTCAGTGAGACGCTGCTGCAGGAGACGCTGCACTGCTGCACTCTGCAGCCGTTCAATTATTCTGCAGCCAGGCAGAAATAAAGGAAAACACATCACACTGATAAGGAAATATCACAGCCGAAGATCTCAGAGAAGGATGGAAGAATAAGAGGAGGAGGATGATGTCTCATAAATAATATTTGTCAATAATAATTTTCTTCTGTTTCAGACGGTGATGGAGATCGTACCAAGAGCCTTTTATTGGAGTTAAAACGCTCAAATGATGCTGTGAAATAATCCAGAATGAAAAATGTAAACATGTTTGAACAGATTCAAGGATATTAAAATGTTTTAGGGGAATTTTAACCCAAAGGTTGACAGTCTGAGCATTTTTTGGACCGATATTACAGCTGCGTTCACATCTTTAAATTATTGTTGGTGCACAATTCCAATTTCTAACCAGATCTGCAGCAATATTTGGTGTAAAGAGTCAAAATAGGACAAAGTCTCTTTAAGTTTAATGGCTGCAAATACCATTTTTGAGTGCCAATTTTTTCCGTTGCTGCTTTTTTTGCCTCACATCAAACTGAAAACACTTTTAAAGGTGTTGAGCAGAGGGAAAATAAAGCTGTCATTACTCAAGTTTGGACAATTCTTCTGTGACTGTATTGGAGCAAAGTGGGAAATGTTTTTAGCAGGACTTATTATAAAAATGCACTTATTTTGGGAGGATTGGATAATTCAAGATTTACTTTGAGACACATCAGCTGTTATTAGAGACTGTCTTACATGTGATTGATTGATTGACAGCTGTGTTGACCAATGAGGCTCCTGTGGGGATGTGCAGAGTAGAGGAGGAAACGAAACGAACACGGGAGTCGATGAACTTTCCACAACCACGAGTGTTTCCTTCAAAACCACATGAGAACCTGTTCCTCAGTGGACCACCTGAGACACCGGAGGGAGCCTTCATGTTGAGTCTGAGAGGTTGACGGTTCGATGAAGAGGCTCTGCTGCACAGTCAGTGAACGGTTTGATTTGTTTTATTTCATGTAAATAAAAATAAAATCATGAAATGAGCTCCGGAGATCTCCTCAGATTTGAACATCATTTAATTCTCCCCTTGAATTTTTCTCTTTGGCATTTGCACATAAAACGACTCTGCAAAAACATAAATAATTCGAGAACAAACATCGTAAAATTACACCTGAAAAACACAGAGAAAACACCTGGAACCACGTGAGGCTGTAATTAGAGAGTATTCAAATATTTCAGCGACAGTTTTAAGACTCCGGCGTTGTTCTTTATCATCCACATCCTCTGCTTTTATACATCCTCCTCTTCCTCCACTTCCTCCTCCTCATCCTCTCCCTCGCTGTCCTCCAGCAGCCGCGACTGGAGAGCCAGCCGCTGCGCCACAGCCGTTACCATGGCAGCGCCCTTCCCGCTGCCGTCCTCGGAGACGAGGAAGGTGATGTCACACTTGGAGGCGAGGGAGCGCACCGTCTCCTTAAGCTCCTCGCTGAAACTGAGGAAGAAAGAGGGGAGGGAAAATACGATGTGAGTGATAAGGGATGAAAAGTAGAAAAGGAAGGATGCAAGGAGATAAGGAAGGACGGGAGGAAACAAAGGAAAAATATTAGAATTTACCCGCAGCAAAATCTCATAAATTTTTATCGTGGAAAAGCCGAATAAAAGCAGCAGGTTGAGTTGAAATGTGAGAGGAAATGATACAGCAGGAGAGAAGAGTGAGGGCTCCAAACACGCATTTATGACATTTTCTCAGCACGCTGCTCTACTCACAGAGACATGAAGAGAGTTAATGTTTGAACACACACTCACACTCACACACACTCACACTCACTCACACACACACACTCACACACACTCTTAAATATCATCTCACACCAGCCCAGAGTCTGAGACGGAGATGTAAAAGCAGCTTCCATTGTGACTGCAGACGAGTATTAACACTCCCTCTTACTTCGGATGTTTCCTGTACACCGTCCCGTCCACTCCCACGGTGGTCTTCAGGTGGTCCAGCCCGCGGCAGATCCTCATGTGGTTGGCGATGGTTGCCAGGGCAGCGCCACAGAGACGGGCGGAGCGAGAGGAGATGGTGTCGCAGACCAGACGCACAACGCGGGAGTCGACCTCGTTCCACTTCAGACCCAACTTTGTGAGGATCCTCTGGGTGTTTTCCAAACCGCTGTCCGGCCTGAAACGGAGACGCACGCAGAGAGTGAAGACGACGTCATGTTGAACCTTTCTGCGAGGTCATTTTTAGACCTCACTTAAAACAGAAATAAGAAACGACCCCAAACAGCTCATGAGAAATGACTAATCAGGACTGATGTGCAGTTGAAACCAGAAGTTTACATACACTATATAAAAAGGCACATAACCTTTTTTTTCTCACCGTCTAACATTAAATCAGATCAAACTTTACCTGTTTTTGGTCAATTAGGATTTCCAAAATTATTTTTATTTGCTAAATTCCAGAATAATGAGAGAGAGAATATTTTAGACAATTTTTTATCATTTTCTCGAGAGTCAAAAGTTTACCTACACTAAGATGACGATGCCTTTAAACAATGTGGGAAAGTCCAGATGATGATATCATGTCTTTGGAAGCCTCTGATTGGTTTATTGACAACATTTGAGTTAATTAGAGGCACACCTGAAACACTTCTGCTTCTTTGTGTAACATCATGGGAAAATTAGAAGAAATGTGCCAAGATATCAGGAAGAGAACTGTGGACCTACACAAGTCCAAGATACCTGAAGGTGCCACTTTCATCCGTTCAAACAATTGTACGCAAGTATAAACACCATGGGAATGTCCAGACAGAATACCACTTAGGGAGGAGACGGGTTCTGTGTCCTAGAGATGAATGTTCTTTGGTCCGAAATGTGAATATCAACCCAAGAACGACAGCAAAAGACCTTGTGAAGATGCTGGCTGAAGCTGGTAAGAGTGTTTGTGGTTATCAACAGTGAAAGGAGTCCTGTACCGACATGGACTGAAAGGCCTTGACTCCAAAAAAACAAAGAAACATAAAAAGCCAGATTACAGTTTGCAAATGCACACAGGGACAAAGACCTTCATTTTTGAAGACACGTCCTGTGGTCTGATGAAACTGAAACTGAACTTTTTGGTCATAATGACCATGAACAGCCTGAAAACACCATCCCAACTGTGAAATATGGGGGTGGCAGCATCATGTTGTGGGGTTGTTTTGCAGCAGGAGGGACTGGTACACTTCACAAAATAGGTGGCATCATGAGGAAAGAACATTATGTGGAAATACTGAAGCAACATCTCAAGACATCAGCCAGGAAGTTGAAGCTTGGGCGCAAATGGGTTTTCCAAATGGATAGTGATCCTAAACATACTGCCAAACTGGTTACAAAGTGGGGTAAGGATAACAAAGTCAGTGTTTTGGAGTGGCCATCACAAAGCCCTGACCTCAATCCTATTGAAAATTTATGGGCAGAACTGAAAAGTCATGTGTGAGCAAGGCGGCCGACAAACTCGGCTCAGTTACACCAGGTCTGTTCAGAGAAATGGGACAAAATACCCAAAACATTTGACCCAAGTCAATTTAAAGGCAGTGCTACCAACAAATACTAATGAAATTTAAGTAAACTTTTGACTCTTGAGAAAATAATAAAAAATTGTGTAAAAATTTTTCTCTCTCATTATTTTGGCATTTAGCAAATAAAAATAATTTTGGAAATCCTAATTGACTTAAAACAGGAAAAGTTTAATCTGATTTAATGTTAGATGGTGAGAAAAAAAAGGTAATGTGCCTTTTTATATAGTGTATGTAAACTTCTGGTTTTTACTCTTCGCCGCTTTGACCACAGCCATCGATGGTCAAGACCGTGGTCAGTTTCAAGCATGTAAACCTTTCATAAATCAGGCCCTGGGTACGATAAAGTCATTACTCTTGAATGAGCACCGTTTGCTGATCTTGTTTCACCGACTCCAGATTTTCTTGCACCACCGGCGGGAACGTGTATATCTTTACAGAGTTGTTTGCTGGTTTTCTATAGACGAAATCGTCTTCCATTGAGCTACCTGAAACTGAAGCCTGACTGTACAGGTGTTTTTTCAGTGTTTGAGAGGTGAATCAAGGTAATCAGAGGCCTTTAGGTGCAGATCAACCAGTCAGACGGGTTTATCAGCGAAAAGAGAGAACTGGCAGGTCAACTAAAGTCTTTGTTCAGAGGTGTCATGTGTCTCAGAAGTAGATCTGTGAATTCCCCATCCTTCCTAAGACACTCACTCTTCGATCTCTGAGATGAACTTTGTCTCGAATCTCTCCGGTGTCTTCAGCGCCTCCGATATTTGTCCTTCAAACAGCAGCTTCTCCTCCGTCAGCTTCAGCAGCACCAGGCGAACGATTTCCCCGAGGTACATGCCGCTGATCATCTTCTCAAAGCTACAGGAGAGGACGGAGATGAGGGAATTCAGTCAGACAAATCAGTCACTGAAGAGTTAAGACATCTAAAGACTGAGGTTCTGTTCTCTCTGTCATGTAAACATCATTTTTTAGATTTTTCTCTTGATTTTCCTGAAAACTGAAACATTTTTACACTTTTTTTTTATCACAACTGAAACATCTCACAAATATTCACAACCTCTAAAGGCTCAAACCCTTCCAGTTTGGGGATCTCATCTTTTACCGTTTATGTCATTAATATAAATGGTCGGAGTTTTACATTGAAGTTATTTAAAATAAGCTTTATAGATACGAACAAAATTTGGTGTAACCATTGATTGTACCATGACGGTCTGTTCCGCCAAGTTTTGTCAACTTCTAACTTTGATTGGAGCGCCCCCATGAGGTCAACAATCGTGGTTTTGAGGCAAATATAAAGAGGCAATATAGATAGATTGTGGTGATTATTAGTGCAGATATTCATGATGCGTTACAAGACGAACTGCAACATGTTCTGGGATCATCTAGCGCCATCTTCAGGATGAAACTTTGGGTTCGGTACTTTGGCGTGTGAAGGAAAACTGAAAATCTAATAAAGCTTTATTTGTGTTTATAACTAATTAGCAAATGTTAGCATGATACTGCACTTAAATAAGGTGTCTAAGATAAACATTAATCTTTGCAAAACAATTTTTTACCAACTTTTCACTATTCACAAGGATGACGCATCAAGTTCAACAGTTTGGCCCATTGCCAACTAGAGCTAAAGTTGACTTTAGAGGTAAATATGTTCAAACAGTCACACCCAGCGGACTGCCTGATTTACTTTCACTGTATAAAAACAAAAAAAGTGCCTCACACACTCTTGGATCCACCAAGGGAGGGTTTTATCATCTCCATAATCGAGCTCTCTTTTTGATTCGCCCCTTTCTTCAAAATGGACATCAGTCTGTTTTGAAGGAGTTTCTTGGGGGGACAGATCCACTCCAAAGAAGTTGTGAATACTGATTTGTCTGTTAAATATTTGACCCAAATCGCCCCTTTAAGTTGGCATTTCTACTCAGTAACTCCGGAATCTTCAGGTAGATGGTAGATGAAAAACTCAGAGGAGGAAGTCAAGAATATTTTACGTCTTTGGACGAACTCGTGGTTTCAGCTTTTACGCGATTTTCGGAGTGATCATCATACGTACGTGTGAACGCCGGGGTTGATGGACGTCTCGTCCACCTTCAAGTCAAACTCAGTCTGGATTCCTCTCAGGGATTTGTCGTCTCCAAAGCCGCCCCACTCCGTGTTGATGCACATGCGCCCATCCTCGCCCTCCACCCGCTTCACGTTCTTCATCTCCTCCATGTAGCAGGCGTTGGTTCCTGTACCTACGACCGAATTATACACGTTTTAGGGACTTTATGTTTGTTTTGGGGGCAGATAATTAAAGTTGGTATTTCTGAGGTTATTCAAAGGAAACACTTTATCTGTTTGATAAGGACTAACATGGTTTTTAAGAAGCAGCTACACCTCCTGGGTCAAAGTATGAAACAGAGAAACAGGAATTTACTCATTAATCCAGTAAAACAGATCTGAGTGTTTATTCACAGAAAATTACAGGTATATTCAACAATCTTCATGTCAGGTGTATCTGAGCACATCCCGGAGCTGTTGAAGGGATTCAGATTGTGATTATTTACCGATGATCATGCCAATCTCACAGCTCTGGTCTCTGTAGCCGCAGCTCATCATGGTGCCCACCGTGTCGTTCACCATGGCAACAGAGCCGATATTAAAGTCCTGCAGAGAGAGAGAGAGAGAGAGAGAGAGACACAGACAGGTGTGTTTATGCCCTCCCTATTTATAATCTGTAAACCAAATAACCAGCCTACACACACACACACACACACACACACACACACACACACACACACACACACACACACACACACACACACACACACACACACACACACACACACACACACGAGAGGAACTGCTGAGTAACATTAATGTAAAGAGAGTCTGAGCTGAACCCTGACCAACATCTAATGAGCTTTACACGACAGAAAAACCTGCATAAATCAACCGTCATCTTGGCGTAACTTTTAAAAATATATAATTCTGATGCAGATTTTACCCCGAGGTTTGTCTGTCAGGAGAAATCCTGCAAAACGATCATCTGTAATTACATAAATACAAGTAAAAGCCTTTGTAACACAAGAGTGTGTTAAATTATGTTATTACTGAGCTGTTAAATCTGTTCAATAAAGTTAAATCTCAATAGAAAAAGTGACACAAGGTACGACCTGATCACCCACATCAAATCAAATCAGTCTACAGGAAGGAGTCTGGTATATTTCCTGTTTGCCTGTTGACACTGTGGCAAAGATATCCTTTCATATAACATCTGTTTAATCTGTTTCTCTTCTCTTGTTTATTATCTCTATTTTAACTCAAGTTCAATGAGCTTTCATTTAATATTTGAAGCACCAACATCTGCAGTACCTTCAGTGTCCACTAGAGGCTGTCTCTAAAGCCCAAAAAGCCACATACACACTCAGGATGAAGTTAATTAGATGACAAGAACTGTCAATTTTTGATAAAATTTAAGGATTTTAAGTGCGCATTATAGTCCTAAAAATACAGTATTTATTATTTGAATATTAATAAAATGAAAATCACTGTGAGTGTTTCAGACTGACCCCTCGCCGGTGGATCGCCTCTTTCAGTAACTTCACCACGTCTTCACCCTCCACCCCAGAGCAGTTGAAGCCTTTAGTCCAGCGAATCAGGATGCTCTGAGGAGGGAAGGGATTCGAACGTTAAATTTGATGTACAGTCGTGTCTATAATGAGGTTATTTCCTTAAAATAATAAAAAATGAACACAGAGTGTTTGTGTCAGACCTTGTCGATCTCTTTCTGTTCACAGGGGAAGGAGAAGGTGAAGCCCAGAGGAAGAGTTTGACCCTTCAGATCCTGAGAGACGAGGAAATCGCTGAGACACGCCGCGATGTGGTCGAACAGCTGCAGAGAGGAAAGACGGCCGATTAACTTCAAACAGATTTATTCTAAATGTAAAAAATATAAAACTGTATTTGTGTGTCACCTGCTCTCCAGTCCCCAGCATCATCTCCTTTGGTATGGCGCAGATCTGACTGTCCATCTTCAGCACTTTCTGCTCCTCCTCCACCACCCGGACATGAAGCACCCGGAAGTTTGTTCCACCCAGATCCAGGGCCAAGAAGTCACCTTTTTCTGCAAGAGGAGATTATTTTGGTGAGAGAGAAGAACTGGAACACTGATAAGATTCATTTTTAGTCTGGGATGAACTATTTCCAGCTCCTTTTATAAGTGCAAAAATCAACATTTTTCTTGTGTCTCTTTTTTGTGTTCCTCTCTCAGAAAAGGAAGACGAGAGGAGAACCTTAACTGTCATCATCCAGTTATCCATAATAACAGCTTTAAATTGAAAACGGTGCTACTGTACTGTAAAATTATATATGCACAGTTAAAAATATTCTTGTAATCGACAGTAAAACCACATAATGTTATTGTGGTTGTGTTTTGCACCGAAATAATCAAGATTATGCACTTCCATTGTGCTTTCAAAGTGCATTTGTATTTCGCATGGTTAAGTAGATTACAGTATAATTCATATACGCTCCGCACATGATAATGTCTATTGCAGAACAGTTGACATCCACGTATTTGGGAATTTTGAACGACACATGACAAACGGTGTTCTGCACATGACGTCTATTTGGCGTCTTACCTGTCCCATCAGGTGTGGCCCTGACGAAGGTGGGCAGCATCTTAACGGGCGCTTTGTTGTGCGAGTGTTTCCCCAAACCTCGGATCATGTCCTTCCTCAGCTGAGCGGAAACCTTCTGCAGCTTCTCTTCAGACAAACAGAACGAGTCCAGGTACATATCCACCTGTGGAGACAGGTACGCAGAGAATATATTATAGATATAAAAATCAATAAAGTGTCCAAACAGAGACTTTATGTTGGAGTCACTCGGTTAATTTTCAGCAGAGTATTATTATAAACACGGATACACTTTGATATCTGCTGTTGCTGACTGTCATTCAATCAATAATCCAAATAATAACTTCATTGACGTATGAAGGCAGAGTTACACTGCAAGTTTTAAAGTCCGAGCTTCTACTTAAGCCAAATTTATCACCCTAATATCTTAAATTCATAAATGATAAAACAGTTCACTACCTGCACAGCGTGAAGATACAGAGAAATATGAAACCAAGACCAAAATCTATTTTTGTACCCGGCTGTAAACATGTTTTATTTTATCTAGAGAAACCCTTTTTTGAGTGAGTGTGTATGTGGCTTTTGAAGTTTTTGGAGCCAGCCTCTAGTGGACACTGGAGGAGCTGCAGCTTTAGGCACTTTTGCAGCTGCTTCATTTCTCAAGATTGGAGAAAACAAGTGAAAAAATGCCAAGAATTTACCAACAATTGTTTTCAATCATGGAAATTATTAATCCTTACAGAAAACTGACTCATCGAATATTTTTTAATCCCACTAGCAGAATTTTTTTTTTTTTTTTTTTGAAGCACAACAAGCGATTCTGGCATCTTGAAATATGACATTTATCCAGACTTATCAGGTGAAAATTGCTCTTTTCAAGTTTGATAACTAATTCTCTTTCACATGAAATGTGATGAAAACACTTGTATGTGGTTTTCGCATAAAATAGTGAATCCTGAAATAAGAGATTTCAGCACTGCAGAGACCATCTTTGAAATAAAACCCAATAGATCCACAAGAGGGCAGCATTGAGTCAAATCTGCACTGACTGAATCATCAACTGGAAAAGAAACAACAGTGGGTAATCCAGGACGATTTCTGCTCATTCGGAGATGTAGCTTTGATTACAAAGGATACAAACCTGAACAGTGAGACAGTGACACTGTTCAACAATCAGAACTGTAATTACGATGATAATGAATCAACCACTGTCACACCTACACGCCTGATAAAACCTGAATCAGCTGTATCAGGATGCCGCTCCTGGTATTTCAGGAATCTGGAGGCACTTAAGAGAACAAAGCTGATGATGATATTATCTTAACCTGGGAACTCGTCAAACAGACACTTGAAATAGAAGGAAAGAAAACCTGAGAGTCCAGCAGAGACTGTCTGACAGGTCTGTGTCAAGAGGCTATAATTATCAATAAACAGGAGCAGATGGAATACATTCAGTGAGACTGATAAATAAATATGCACCAAAGACAGCTCCCTAAACAAGCCTTTAGCTGCTTCTGTTCGCAATAAACCCGCAGACATGTGACTTGATTACTCTTAAAGCTCCTCTGGGAAGTTTTTAGATGTTTATGTGATTGACTGAAATTTATGGTCATGCATTTTTATGATATTCAAAAGCAAACATGTCCATAAGCGACAAGATCGACCGTTTTTACATTTTTAATGCTTTAAATCAACACGAGGGGGTCGGTACGAGCCGACCAGTTTGGGAAACAGCTCATTACATTTTACGATTTTAAATGATGTAGATAAGAATTTTCATGTTACTGTAATGGACAGAACGTTTCTCACGAAGTTTAAAGTTTGTTTGTTGATTCCTGTATCTCAGTATTAAACAGTGTTGGCTAATCAACAGAGGGAGTCAGAGATTAAAATACAAAATCTGCTCTCTCTGTCTTAAGTTACTGCTCTTGTCTTGTTGGCCTGTATTTGCAGTTGTTAACATTTGTGCATCAGCATTTACATAAGAAAGGGGCTTTTTGGGGAGCAGGGAATATGCACCCCAAATACGTTACACAACCTCAAAATATGTCTACAAAACATCATGAGTAGGGCTGGGCGATAAAACGATAACAATATATATCGAAAATTAATTTCCCTCAATATCAATATAAAACATGGTCAACATGATTTTAAATTGTCAGCATTCTGTCATGTTTTGGTAGACTATACGAATAGCCAATGAAAAGGGGAGTTGCTCCGGGTCTGAACCAATCATGTGCTGAATTAGAACCAAGAGGCAAACAACTGCATCATAGCAGACAGCAGCTACACCCAACCATAGCACTTTAACAGGTGAAGCCGACAGCAAAGAAAATGAGTGCTACCCCCGACAGAAATGACCATGAAGGCTCAACAGATGACGACATTGTCGACAACACTGGCGTTAGGAAAACGTCGGTGGTGTGGAGGTATTTTGGTTTTTGGAGGTCGGACATGAAGCAGAGTAATGTGGACTGTAAATTATGTCGAGTACATGTTCTCACAAAGTCGGGGAATACCTCAAATCTTTTTCACCACCTGAAGCAGCGCCACGCCGCAGAGCATGCGCAACGCAAAAGGTTACAAACCCTGAACGGTTCGTGATATACATCGACTGATATGGAAAAAATATATTGTGATAAACTTTTTCCCATATCGCCCAGCCCTACCCATGAGGTTAGGAAAAGATGAGTGTGGAGTTAGGAGGATCAGACGGCCTTTAAACTGTGTAGAAAACAACAATCTTCCACATATGGACTACAATAAACACGGTTCTTTTTTACGGTGTTGTTTCATGCGGCCAATTGCACCACACACCCCTGCTGTCAACATGAATAGGTTATCCCTGAACCTCTGAGTCAAAAGCTCCTGCATTTCTGCTCATTAAGGAGTTTCTTTGGTAAATCCATCAGGAAGAGGCCGGGCTGGTATCTCATGTTATTAACCCTCTGGAGATGGCGGCAACAATTCACATCGCCCTTCCTGTTTTCCACTTCCTGCGAAGCTGGAAAAACCCTGCACAGTGTTTGAATGCTGCACTGACTGCAGCAAAAAAACAATAAACTACATTTGATTTTTAGATATTTTCCCAATCTTTTTTTTACTCGTCTTGTTTGGCATTTTACCGGAACGTCCCTTAATCCCACAGATCAAACATGAGTGGTTGCAGACACACCTGGATGAAGCACACCCTCCACACTCTGGATAACTTTGGGAAATGTTTATGGGAAGTTCAGGCGTGTCTGTTTTCAGCCTGTGTTTGAGTTCATCCAGGTTTTAACATGGAGGCTCAGACTGGATCACAAAGGACCAGTTTCATCACAGCTAATCTGTCGTGTGACGGTCTCATGGACTTTGTTTTCTTTGGCAATCAGCACAGCGTTTCTTACATCACACATGCATCTAAAAGCCCAGACGTGTTTCAACAGCCCTCCAAAAGTCTGATCCAAAAGATGGTATCAGGGAGGAACTCTGGGAAATAAACTGCATTCAAGCACAGCATCAACTTGTCCAAAGTTATGTAACAGAAATGTAGACGCCATATGAACCATCTTGTATCCTCAGTTGGGACCCTTGTGGTTGTTCCAAGGTTGAGGCTCAGATCTAAAGATGATCAGCCTGAACAATGTCCTTTAGGAAAGAAGGACTTTAGAATGACCTCCCAGAAGATGAGGACTTTAGGACATCCTCCTTTTGAGGGTAAATACTTTGGAAAGATCTCCTTGAGTAGATACAGGCTTTGGAGCAACTTACATTCGTAGATTAGGGATTTGGAAACAATCTCCCTGAAGAAAAAATGGGACAAACTCCCAAAGGAATAAAGAGTTTGGAATGACCACCATGAGTGGATAAGGACTTTAGAGTGACCTCCTTGAATGACCTCCCTGAGTGGGTAAGGACTTTGGAATGACTACCCTATGGAGATAAGAACATTTGAAGGACCATCTTGAGTAGATAAGGACTTGAGAAAGACCTCCCTGTGGAAGTAGGAGTTTGGAATGACCACCATGAGTGGATAAGGACTTCTGAATAACCTCCCTGAGTGGGAAAGGACTTTGGAAAGACTTGCTGTAAAGGTAAGGACTTTAGAAGGACCTCCATGAGTGGATAAGGACTTCTGGATGACCTCCCTGAATGGGTAGGACTTTGGAATGACTACCCTAAGGCGATAAAGACATTTAAAGGACCATCTTGAGTGGATAAGGACTTTAGAAAGACCTCCCTGTGGAAGTAGGAGTTTGGAATGACCACCCTAAGGAGATAAGGACTTCTTAACGATCTCCCTTGGGGAAAGAATAACTTCGGAATGACCTCCAAGGTGAACTAGGACAGAGGAATGACCTCTTTGCACGACCCAGGTCCCAGCCTCAGGGCTGAAGTGATAGATATGAGGCTTTGATTCAAACAAACACCGCTCCTCTCTGTCTCTTCTTTTTATTCTCCCTCTTCTTCTCGTGGGTTACTGTAATTTTCCACAGACGTGTTCACTCAGGCCTCGTCTCGCTCTTTCTTTCTCTGCTGTTAAACTCTTTCTTCATCTCCTGCTCTCATTATTTCCTCCTTTTCTGTACGGTTCTTGTCTCTACACGTTTGTTTAGCCAAGAGGAGGCAGGGCCGACTTCATTCCTCCATCATGACTCTGATTAAAATGCAGACTCGGTTTATTGGTTTAAGACAGCCTTCAGTATGTACAGGAACATCACAGATCTGTTACATAAGAGAGTATAAAACATTATTGAATATTATCTGTATAAAAAAAGTGTTTTTGCATGTAGGGTGGTATAATATATATAAAATTATATTATATAATGAAGCATGAGTGGAGGTAGCCATGGTGATTGACACAGCAGAGACTTATCATGCTTTTTTGTTCTCTATTCAAGGTTTAAACAAACCTGTCAAATTAACCCGACGTCATCTAAGAGTTTGACGTAACGGTCTTTTCTCCAGGGTTCAATGGCCACACCCCTAGCAACGATCTGTATCCTTAGAGACACTCTTGTTATTCACAGCAAGAATCTTCATAGCGGTATTTGTAGCAACTACCTGTTATTGATTGCAACCATCATTTAGTTATAGCAGGTCTGTTATCGAAAGGAGTGGTCTGTTATTCATAATGTCATGGTGGTCTGTTCCTCTTGGAGACAGACAGTCTGCTATTTATAGCATTGTCTGTAGTTTTTTTGTTATTGTCTGTTATATTTCGTAGCAGTCTGTTCTTCTTAGCTATAGCGGGTCTGTTCTCCATAGCAACGGTCTGTTATTTATCATTAGCAACAATTTGTTCTCCATAGCAACAGTCCGTTCTTTATAGTAATAGGTGGTGTGTTATCCGTGGCCACAGTCTGCTATGTATAGCATTGTCTGTAATTTTTTATTATGGTCTGTTATATATTGTAGCAGTCTGTTATGTACAGCTATGGTCTGTTATTAATAGTAGCAGTCTTTTCTTCTTAGCTACAGAGGGCCTGTTCTCTATGGCAACGGTCTGTTATTAATCATGAGCAACAATTTTTTCTCCATAGCAACAGTCCAGTCTTTATAGTGAGGGATGGTCTGTTATCTGTGGCAACAGTCTGCTATGTGTAGCATTGTCTGTAATTCATTGTTATGGTCTGTTATGTATAGTAGCAGTCTGTTATTTATAGTGGTGGTCTGTTCTTCTTAGCAACGGTCTGTGTCTCACATCCATGAACTGTTATGTTACAACTGATGAATGACAAGGACTTATAACAGTTGTGTTATCATTGTTAAACATTTTCTTTGCCTGAACATTAAATGTTTGTTTCATAAACAGCTTCAGTAATGGATCAGAGGTTTCCTACATGACTGTATTCAATAAAAATATTGTAATGAACAAAAAACTGTCTCCTCTGGACTATGCCAGCGTAGTTGAGTATTTCTAATGTCAACAGTAAAGACTTAGTGTGATAGTGATGAAAGTGTAGCGTTGGAATTATTGTTCGAAAATGTCATCATGGAGATTCACAGCTGGACTGACTTCCTGAATGAAACCTGCAGAAGTGTCAGTTTCTCCTTCTGTTTGACCTTCTGCGGTTTGAACTTTTTGAACTTTGGACTAAAATCTGGAAATCTCCGACAGTAAATTTCAGAAAATGTTTGATGACTGATCCTCCTCTTTGAGTCAGACAGAAATGAACACTCTGATTACCTAATCTGAGAATCCTCCCGTACACTTTGTTTCCTCACACTGTGTGCAACGAGACGTTAACCACACAGAGGAATAATTTTACACAATAACACTTCAGCAGCTTCTTTGGATCCTGATTGAAGTTTTCAAGTTGAACAGCTGGAGAAAGCTGAAAACTGAAGAACAGTTTGTTTATATTTTTGTGCTTTTTGACCCAGTTTATCTCATTTTTTCTTCATTGGTGCAAAAATCAATCCCACGGGTAACATCAGAAAAACACTAACATTACTCAACTACTCAGAAAGATTTTTAACCCGGCTGTAAACACGTTCGATTTAGCTTTTAAAAAGAGCTTTTTAATATGCAGCCGAATGGATGTTCTTTTGTATTCGGAGCCGAAGTCAAATACACTTTTGTCTTGGCTTCACTGTCCAAAAATGGAGATTGTCCCTCAATTATACGACAGAATTAAGAGTTAAAAACAGTATTAGGCATAAATTTACTTTTACAGAAATAAAGTGAAAATCCAGTTTTAACCAAACATTATTTTTCAAGTTCCTAAATCGAGGGTTTGTGATATTGTTGAATAGAAACAATTGAGGAGCCTCTAATATTTCTAAACTCCCTCCTTCGTTGACACCGACCTTACTGAGCGTGTCGGCAGGGATGCCGTCCCGGTGTAGGTGTGCTGTGTCTCCACTCATTTTGGCTTTCTTGGATATCTTTGTGGTGCAGTCACCGTTGGCTTCTCTGCTGCTCATCTAGAAAAGAGGAATTAAAGGGTTAGTTCACCCAAATTGCAAAATATACACAGTTAGAAAATGTCTGTAACTGGCTGGACGGTTTGTCTTTGTTTCAGTGTTTTTAGCGCTTACAGTGAGTGTGGACTGACTTTAAAAAAGATGTGTGGAGTTGTTTCCTGATTGAGAGTCTGATAAAGCAATCATTGAAAAAAAAAAAGGGGTTAAATAAACAGCAAAAACCACAGTTTGACTCAAACTGTGTCGTTTTTCCTTTTAAAAATATTTCTGAAATTGTACTACAAACATTAAAATCAAAGTTTTTCTACAGACGGGTTTAGCGTAACCATGTTACCATGGTGATCAAGTGACCATTAATGCTACATTCGAGTTACTATGGAAGTCAGAAGTAGAAAATGACGTCACACTTGAGTTCCCTGTGTTTCAGTTACCAAGTCGGAAAAAAGCAAAATCGGAGGTGGAAACAAGATGGCTACATCTACGAAAGCTATTTTAGCGCTAGCCTTATATTTGGACAAGGCGAGCGCTGAAATAACTTTCGTAGATGTAGCCATTTTGTTTCCACCTCCGATTTAGCTTTTTTCCAACTTGGTAACTGAAACGCTGGTAACTCAGGTGTGACGTCATTTTCAGCTCCGACTTCTGAGGTAACTCGAACGCACCATTACGCTCGAATAGACACTGTTTGGAAAATCAAAAAAGTTAAATAAAGTTGACTCTCATTTCTTAAAAAGTGCTTTTTCCCGCCTCTTAATTCAAAGACTGCACCATTTCTGGACTTTTAAAAAACCTTCCAAGAATTACCGTAATATTTGGCGTATAAGTCACACTTTGATACCTTTTAATCTTCCAAAAAGTGAGCTGTATCTCACTCAGAGGTGTGACCAATGTATTATTTTTAATTAAAGAGAAAGATTTTCTTTTGTTTGAAGGTGGATGGCACTGAAAGAAACAAACCATAATTAAAAGAAATAAAAAAGTACCAAAACTGTCTATAAAGTTTGAGCCTCTCCATCAAATTCACTTCCCTATGATCTGGTAATTCATCAAACACTGAAACTCTCTATGTAACCTTATAAAACGGCTTATAAAACAATGTAATAAAGAGCTCGAGTTCCTGATTATGTCCGGTCTGGTGACGTTGTTTCATGAAGCAGCCGTCACTTCATTCAGTTAATACGCTCTTATATGGCGCTCAAATATTTACCGTCCTCCACTGGCTGTGTGTGGACTCACCTTACACCAATATTGGCGCTGGAGCCTGAAGTGGGTTGAGTTATTTTAACTCCTCACGAGTTGATTAGTTGGCCTGAACCTGCGGCGCTGGATTCTATTTCTGTTTTACTCTCCGTTAACCCGACTGACAACCACAGTGTGTTCGCCAAGTTAGCGGTTAGCAATGTGAACTGATTTAGTCCTTCTATCTCAATTGTAATATATTTGGAAACAATTAACCAAATGGAGTAAAATTTGGTGCAGATGTTCATTTTTTCCAGACTATTAATCCGTACAAATTGTGAGATTGATTAACTTTATCCTTTAGTAGCAGGTTTGGTTTTTGGCTTAGATCAGAGGTTTTAATTTGGATCTATTACTAACCTCTTAAAGTTGGCATGCAGTTAGTTTAAAAGTATTAGACAGAGTTCATCAAAAATAGTTACATAAATAACTGAAAATTAGAATTCAAGTTTAATCTGTGTTGACAAATTCAAAGCTGCCATCTTTAACACCAACGATGAACCTTAAAACTGAGTAGAGTTGGTTTTATTAGCTATCTTCCACTATTAAAGGGATATTCCGGCATAAAATTAATTTAGGGTCAAACACACAATGACACCAAGTTTAGACCCCCCCTCAAGAGATGGATGTTGCCGACCGCTTGCTTCTCTAGTTTTACCAACTTTAGTAACGACCACACGATAGCAATACACAGCGGTCTGAGGAGCCATAAACAAACCTCAACCAAAACGCCACTCTATAGCCACAAATAATGCTCAGAACAGCGCCTGTTCTTCCTTAAGCAGCTGCTGGAAGAGAGTAGGTGAGTTGTGTTTAGTCTCTTTGCTAAAGAAATGAGTCGAAGTTAAAAAGATGTTTGGTGTCTAGTACTATGGCTGTGACCCTATATGTCCTGTTGATGAAGTTAGGTGCTGTTGTGGCTATAGAGTGGCATTTTGGTTTGAGGGCGTGGCTCTCTGTATCGCTATCCTGCGGTTGTTACTAAAGTTGGTATAACTAGAGAAGCAAGCGGTCGACAACATTCATCTCTGGAGGGGGGGTCTAACTTAGTGTTACGGTGTGTTTGATGCTAAATTAATTTTATGCCAGAATATCCCTTTAAATGACTGTAATTAAAAACAAACATTTTTAGTAGTTTTCACCAAAATTATAGATGAGGTTGTTTTGTCTGGATAAATTCTTATTTGTTGAATCTACGGCTTGTTCTGTGGGGCCTGAGAGACAAAATTGAGGGAAAACCAACGAGACAAAATCCCTCTGGATTTACTGCTGATATTCAGGTCACTGTTGAAGCTCCTTTTTTCGATCATATACCAATAAAAATTATTTTTTAACCAGAGGGGGAAATGAAACAATCATTCCAAAAGTCTTACTCGTTCTGCAGGATGATAAACCCTAACCCTAAATGGAAACGAGCTCTTATTTCACTTCTACCTATTTCAATCTTCAGACTGGTCTAAAGGTCAGATAATAAATCTGACCCAGAACATCCCTGTGTGAGTTCCCTTTTTATCTGACCATATCCATGACCTTAGAGGAGGTTCACAGATGGGACTTTTATTTAGAGAAGCAGGTGGTTACTGAGAAAAGCTGATTTTGATTTTTGTCCCTGAACCGATGAACCAAACTTGACCTGAGACTCATGAACTCAGAGTTCAGTGACTTTTAATGGCTGTAAAAGTAAATAAACGAGTAAAACTGAAGATTTTTTTAAAGGTCTTAAAACGCCATAAAGCAGAATCTGAAGGAGCCGGACCAGAAAACAAAGACGAGGCAAAATCGAAGAGAAGTCGACGATCGTCTGAATCAAAAATGGAAATTTTTACAACAAAAACGAGAAGAAATCAGAAACAAAAAATCAGAAAATCACAAGCAGCAATTTAGCAAAGCTATAAAACTATTGTGTTACAGTGTTTTTATGGGGAATACTGATCATCCAGCAACTCTACAATCAAAAGGATCATGAGAGAAGTTCGACAGAGCGATGTGCAAATATTTATCATGACTTAACAGCAAAAACTGCTGCGCATAAAAGATAATGTGCACAGTCTGACATTAAAACATCTCAATATTGTCTAATAATATTACCAACTAAATTTCAAAGCACTAAATAAAACCTAATAAATAAAACTGGAAATATTAGAGTTTAGCTAAATGCACATTTGTTAAACTCAAAATTAAACACATCTTTTTATCAGAAGGACTTTAAAAGACCTTAAAATGTTTGTTTGTGATTCAGATCGAAACGTCTGAGTCACCTCTTTAATTCTGATATGTTATGAGAAAATATGATGATGAACAGTCATCCTGATTCACATCATTATCCTCCCTGAAACAATGCAGAAGATGAGACATCTGTGACCCAGAGGCTGATTAACTCACTCACCAATGTCTGTTGAATCTTCGGGTGGAGCTTACCGTAGACACCTGAGGCGCTTTAACCTGTCCCTGTCCCTATATGTGGATGATGACCTCAGCCTGAACGAGGTTTATTCTGTAGGCCACGCCCCCTCACAGTCACACCTCAGGCGTGTTTCTGCTCTTCCCTTTTCTTTTTTAAGTTTGGTTTCAATTCAGTTTCAAAGTCTCTATAAAAGCCGATAAAACATCCGTCATAAAACTCAAACTTTTAACCATATTTCAGAATTTATCTAAGGAAAAATTGGGTTTATATAAATGTCACACTACACTTCTTGTCCTGTTCTTGTCACTGTTATTAGGCCACGCCTCCTTAGAGTTAGAGCCACCTAAACGTCTGTTCAAAATTAAACCATCAAGAAACTTTAAAATGATTTTTAAGTTTGTTTCACCTCGACATTAAAAATAAAGTTAAAATTGCTTTGAAAATATTTCTATAATCAACGTTAAGTAACTTTAAAATAATTTCTGAGGTTCTTTTCTAATACTTTAAAAACTTGAAAATAACTTAAACCTCAAAAGACATTTACAGCTCATAAGGTGTTTTAAATTATACCTTCAACTTTAAGAACACCACTGACATAAATTTGTACAGAGAAGACCTTTTTGAAATTGACAATGACAAAATATTTATACCCTTTAAAAGATTTTAGAACCAAAACTAGATTTCTGACCGTTTTAAACTGTGAACATCAGAAAATCAACATAGAGAAACATGAAATCCAAATTTAACCCTTGTCCACCCCTTAAAATTTACTGACACTTGTTAACCTCGTGGACACAAACTTTATGTAATGGCCTCTAGTTGTTAAAGGGGGTCATTACACCTAAAACATATTTTCCCTAAATTTTGAAGGTAAAAGCTTAAATCTAGTAGGTATAAATAGAAAAAAGCATTATAATTTGTTAGGATTATAGTTTATGACAAATATGTGGTTATAATGGGAGTCAATGGGCCAAATTTGGTCACGAGGTTAACAAGTGTCTGTGTGATGCAAATCTCTCATTCTACACTTCCAACAGACAGGCTTTTGGAATTAAGAGAATAAAATTTTTTTTAAATTTGTGCCAAAATTTCATCCAGCTAACCTTTAAACCGACCGGGTTACTGAGAGAAGAACAAAAAAAAAAAAAAAACACCCAAAATGTCCCTTTTTGTCCCCAAGATGCCCTGAGGGTTTAATAAAGGTCACCCTCAAAAAACATTATCTACACTTAAAGACGTTAATGATTGGATAGGCTATCATTAAGCCACGCCCCTTTAAAGGCATACCTGAGCCAAAACAATCCTAAGCAAGTTTCTGCTCATTTCTTTTTAATGTTTTTGTTTTATTTTTAGATCTTCAGTCATTTTAAAATTCAGTGTCAACAAAACAGCTTCGAAAATAACTTCAAAATAAGATACTAAAGAATTTAAAAGGAGAAAAAACGTCCGTGTTGGCGAGATCGACAAACTTCATGACGTCACTTACACCTGGTTGAGGTCTATTTTTGGTAACCTGTCATCAAGCCCCGTCCCTTTAAAAAGCACACCTGAACATAAAGACAACTCTAACCTGTTCCTGCTGCTTTCGTTTCACCTCCATTTTACTGTCAGTAAAAGTTTTTCCTATTAAGCCCCTTTGAAATCGCTTTTAAGATTATATTTTTATTTTTCAAACCGATTTTAAAAGCTCTTAGATTTTTATTTTAATGAAATTGAAAAAGAATCCATGAAGAGAACAACTCTGTCTCTGTTACCATGAATGACAACGTGTCTTACTTTACACATACCTGAGCGAGCTTTACTATGATAGGCTGTTTTAAGCCCCGCCCCCTCAGGATCACACCTGGGATAGGACTCAACTTAAGCGTGTACCTGCTTCTGATCTTTCTTGTTTTTACAGATTCAACTTTGACAGCCTGACAAGCAGAAAGCCGAAGGAAACAAAAAGAATTAAAGTGGAACATGATCTTTGAAAAGAACTCCATGGCTTTTAAAATTAGTTTTAAAAGCCACTTAAAAAACTTACCAAACTCTTTTAAAACAATCTGAAATATTTCTTTTTTACAGCGCATTTAAAGCAGCCCCAACTGAGGTTTTTCTGTCTCTTTAAATTGTTTTAAACTGAAAAATACGTTTATTTTAAACTCTTTGAAATGACAGAAATAACAAAGCTGCTTAAGTCACGTTGATACAGGTCAAAACTTACAGTTAACAGATTTAATTCAGTGGTTCAGGACAACTGCAGAGATGAAGCAGATTGTGTTTTAGTGACATTAAGAGGCTAAAACTGAACATTTAATCAGCTTTAAGATCTCCACATCCGTTTAAAGACCGAGCAGAAACCCAACTGTCAACATTTCTGAGCATCTGATAAAACAGAGTGACTTTAAAGACTCACCTTTGCGTCCTGCTGTGCGTCTCTCTCTGACTGGAGTGAACTTCCTCAATGAAAGAGTAGAAAGAGTGTGAGAGCTCTTTGAGGGAGTTTACACCCACTTCATGTGCGGCAGGAATGTCGCAACACGAAGAGGAGCTCCGTATGTTTGGTTCCTGAGCGGACTGAGGTGGAGGATGTGCCAAAAGCGCAAGGCTGACATGGTTTTACGCGCGTTTCCAAACAGCTGATTGAAGCGAAAGTCGCCGAGAAAAACCGAACCGAAGACGAGCCGAGAGGAGAAGGTCCGTGAGAGAGAAGAAGTGAGAAAGACGCTGAAGGAGGAATAAGAACCAAAACACACAACTGTTCCCTCTGATACCATCACTACTACTTCTTTAACTACCTGTTTACCGTGCGTGATCACACACACACGCGCGCGCGCGCGCGCTATCTGATGAAACCTTTGAAGATCTGGTGGCTCCCTGAATGTGAACCATCCATACATGTCATAAATACTTGAGCTGCTTGTCCACATACTGTAAGACTGAGTGAAAGTACATAAGCTCTGAACAGACAGGTTGTGTCAGTTTGTTTCTTTTCATCCTGCAGAGGGAGTTCGGCTTTTTCACACCAGCTGTCAAAGAAAACAAGATTTTAAAACACGCCATGAAGCACAAACATCAAATTAATATCAGTGATTCATTCTGAGTCCATTCTGAGTCCATTGTGATTTCTATATTTGTACTTTTCCTTTCTGATGATGGAGAAATACAGTTGTGGCCAAAATTATTAGCCCCCCAATGAAATATGAGTCCTTGCATTATTTTACTTTACACACAGAAACAAAATTATTTCACAAAACACAAAAACTACCAGGGTAAAAAATATTAGCCCCCCTGAGGCTCACGGTCAGTTGTGTGTCCTTTCTGCTGTAGTTTGTAACAAGGCTCTGGGACATCTCCTGAGGAATCCCGGCACATTCCTCTTTGGCAAATCTTTCAAGCTCCTCCAGATTTGAACTTCTGTGTTGGTAGTTGTTCTAGGGTGTTTAGATGCATCTCTCACCGGTTTTCTTTCCAGTCTCTTTGAAATTTTTCACTTCCTACCTCTCCCAGACTTGTTCTGTGCTGTGTGGCTCTCCTTGAATTTCTTCATGATACTTCTCACTCCACTTCTTGACACTTGGAAACGCTGTGATAACTTTTTATATCCTTCTCCTGCTTTGTGAGCATCAACAATTCTTTTCTCAAGTCTAAACTGAATTCTTTTGAATTTGCCATGATGCCTTCTCGAGTGACGGCTCAAACGTGTAACGAGGTTTTTATACTGTGTGTAAAGTGTAGGACAACCTTTTGTTTTAACTTAATTGTTTGGTTGATGACAAGTTGTGAGCGCTCGAAAGTGAAAGCACATGATAATAATTTCGACTCTGATAGTTTTTTGTGAAAAAATTTTGTTTCTGTGTGTAAAGTAAAATAATGTAACAATCTAAAATAAAACTAGGATGTTTGGAAAAGCTGTGTAAAAAAATCATTAATCTGTTGAACAGCATTTAGGAAATTTTGGCCACAACTGTATCATCATTCAGTCTCAGCAGCATGAAGAAGTCGCCTTAAATTACAACGATTTATCTGGACATTAAAAGCAGCATGTAGGGTCCTTATATAGCAAAACATTTACACTTTTTAGTTGTGATATTTTTACATGAATTATTAATATGAGTAATCAATAGGACCCAAAACTGACCCCTGTGGGACACCGTTTTGTATATTCATAACCGAGCATAAAAACCTTCATCTCTGACACATTACCTCAATTTTTCAGGATGTTTTTGAAACACTAAGTCTCAGCAGCCCCGCTCCTACGTCCCGGAGCTAATATACCCTCACGGTCTGTCGGACCCCCTCCTTTTAGGGACCGCTGAGACAGAAGAAAGGACTGGATGGAGCAGAAGAGAGGGAACGTCGTCCAGCTCTAAAGTCGCCTGTTTATTATGAGGGACAAAATCAAAATCAAGTGGCACAAAGCCAACAGAAAACCAACATCTAATGGAATTTAAAAATTTATGAAATAAAAATCCAAAGTAATAAATCCTGGTTTGTCAAACCAGGTTGGATTAAGTCCAGGATTATGTAAATTTTGTTCATTTTAATATTGTCAATTTGATCTTTTTGTGTCTAAAGCTTGAGGATAAACAAATAGAAAATAGTAAAAAAGAAAAAAAGTTTTATTTACATGTCAAATTTTAACTGTAAATACTGACATTTAAATAAATACTTACTTTTGACGTCTTTTTGTTCCAGTGAGGGTTAAAATTTTAGATATGCAGAGAACAAAAACTAAGATTTAACTTACAGGACAGTAAAAAAAAGAAGAAAATTTAAGAAAATAGAAGAAAAAAAGAAAATTTATTCTTATTCATCCACATTGACTCCAGTATTCGAGCTCCTTTTGTACATTTAGTGCTTTAAAAACTTCCACTCCAACAGTTCCACTCATTTTCTCACTTCTAAATGAAGTTCCTCTTTTCTGTTATTACAGCGGCTTATTAATGCCCGTATTGCAGCGATTAAACGAGAGGGAGGTGTGAACTGAAGCAACAAAGTTGGTGTAACAGGATGAGACATAGCGTGACAGATTCTTACTAAACAGCGAGTCTCACAGGAAACACGTCCGTCTGAGGTCACATTTAAATATGACAAAGTCACCTTGTAAGAAACTCGGCTGAAGACAAAAGTCCAGTTTAGTTTCTCCAGAGAGTTTACGTCTAATTTACCAAATATTTTCTGCAGTGCCGATACAGTTTTCAAAAATGTAGTCGAATTAGAAAATAAAATCTGAAATATTTTTACATTGCAAAAGTTTAAATTGTGAGGAGGATTTTCTGACTGATGCAGAATGAAAATAACCAACTTCAGGGTGTGTTCACTGTCAGTGGGTCAAAACCTTCGTGTTGATAAAGCTCCTGGAAATGTCTGTGAACAGAAACATCAGAATTTTTCATTCCTGGGATCATTTGACGGAAGGTGAGTTAATGTAACGGAGTAAATCATCCGGATAATTCCCCTCCGAGTCGTGATGGAGGATGCGTCATCTGCATAAGCTGTTGCTTTAAAAATAAAATCACTTGATGACTGAACGGAAACTCAAACTTGTGGAGGAGTTAAACTGAAGGATCAGGAAAGTGTCGTGAAATTTTCTGGAGCGCACATCTGTAAAAGGTCTTGTTGTTAGTGTGTTGCTGTCCTAAACCTCACCGTTTTTTGACCGGCAGGTGGCGCTATAGAGTGAGTGAGGGGGGATTCTTTTTCATGAGCATGAATGTTGAAAACACGGGTTTGTAAAGGGCGGGGATGTTTTGTTTTAAGCCAGTTTTTGCTGTATAATCAGAAAAAAACACAAACTTCTCGGACATGAAGCAAAAGTCTAAGAAACAGAAATGTCGTCTACGTGAAGAAGAGGTAGTCTGAAACGGAAACACTGCTCGTACAAAAACATGTAAGCGTTAAATAAAGGTGAGGTTTCTGCTCGTTCAGGTGTTCAGTCAGTCTTTTTTTTTTACCTGCAGAAATCTCTTCAGTCTGAATCCAAACCTTCATCATCTCTGTAATGCCATTTCTGACCTGATAAATCCTTGATTTAAGGCTCTGGGTTCCAGTTTTTTGTTTTTCAGTTTTTCAGTGGTCCTCATCTCCGTCTTTGGCTCGGCTTCTTGGCTCGTCTCTGTTTCTTGAAGTCGATAAGGCAGTCGGTGGCCTCCGAGATGGGAGTGAACGCTCGGATGGGAGAGTTACTGATCCTGAGAGATGAGACGCCGTCTTCGTCGTCATCGTCGTCCCGCAGATCAATAACTTCTCTGTGGGGAGGGAAAAAAACACAAAAACTAAACGACGACGAACTCAAGAATATAGTTTAAGAGTGGATTGTTTTAAAGTGACTGTGAAGGTGATGAAATGTTTTCCTCGTACCTCGTCTGAAGTCTGGATCCAGATGGTCCGGGTTCTGCTGGACAGAAAACACGGATGTCAGTTTACCACGAGTAGCAAAAGGATTCCCGATCAATCGTTTATTTGCATCGTTTCGGTACGAGACCTTCATCGGGCAAACAGTTTTTTTGCTCTAGAGCAGCCATCTTAAATAGGGAGTGGTCGTTTCTCCATGACCAATCCCGTTCTCAGGTGTAAACGGGGGACAAACTCATCATCATCATCGGGTCATTTAACCGAAGAAACAGAAAATAAACAACAAAACACTCTGTGTGACGTCAGGCTGAAGTAACACCCACATGTCCAGAAGAGAAATCCAGAACATAGTGAATCGGTTATTAATAAATCGGTATTTTAAAATATTTTTTAGGAGAAAAGTTTACATTGTAAGTTAAAAACAGACATATTTAATTATATCTAGTAAAAAGGGCAAATCTACCATCAGAATATACATCTAATAACAATGATCCAAAGTTCATTTGTGTGTAATTTTGAACTACACACATTTTATAGATGTGCGAAGTGCTTCTTTAGTTTACCAAAAGTAAAAGCAGGTTCATCATTTCAACTGGACTCTGGAGTTTCATTTAGACAATCGTCCTGCTCACCTGAATCCCTGCCGTCTGTCTGCTCCAACGCTGAAAGAAGATTTCCTCTCTGAAGAAAAAGAAAAAACAAGTTATTTTACATCTAAAACACAAGAGTGACTCTTAAAAATGATGTTAAAACAGAATCAGACGGTTTGAAAATCATCTTAAGTCCAGGTTTTACTGAAAATAGAGCAAAGACGACATACAGACATGAAACTGAAAAATGGTGTAGTCGTGTGAAAAGGTTGTTCTGATCATAGACTGTATTTGGTATGGACAACTTGGCTCCGCCTCCCGTCACTGCACGAATTCGAAGCCGTATACACCATGCGCGCAGTAGTGTTGTACGCATTTGGTGGGAGAGTCGCTGTGATGGCGCTCGGCTCAAACGGCGTTTACACAATCTTCGTACCCCCATAGGCTGTATCAAGTGTCAATCATAGAAAACATGAACCCCCTAATAACTTTTACAAACGGAGCTGTACAGAAAAAAGAGGACTTGAGCACAAACCAGTCTGACAGTAACTACATGTCAACATCACAACCAGGGGGGAGAAACATTTATACCATATTTTTCGGGCAATAAAGCGCACTAGATCGTACGGCGCATTAAGCGAAGTCCAGTCCAGTAAATCAAACTTCATTAAACTCAGTTTTAACAACAAATACCGGTACAGAAAAATACGCTCATGTATCAATTCATTCCTCTTCCACAAATCCATCAAATAAAATTCTTCATCTTCAGTGTCGGAGTTAAACAGCTGTACGATTTCGGCATCAAGCATGTTCGGATCCTTCTCGTCATTATCCGAGTCAGTCTCGTTGCCGTTCAGCGATGATTCCGGCTCAGACGACAGTTACCGTAAAGCTTTGAATATCCATTAAGCGGAGCGGCTTTGTTGCTTACCGAAGTCGTACTTACACATTTCGACAGATTTTTGATCGGTCAGTTAACAGGAAGTAATCATACATAAGGTGCACTGTCAATTTTTGATAAAAAATTGCACCTTATAGTCTAAAAAATACGGTATTTTGTGTAATTAATTTCTAAAGTTTGTCCACATCTCCATAGGGATTGCTGGAGGAGGCGAGATTTATGACCTATACTGCAGCCCGTCACCAGAGGGTGCTGTTCTCGCAGTATCTTCACCCAAATGACCCCCTAAACACCAAGTCCTGGACCTCATGTGTGTTTCTGCGGTCATCATGAGTCTCACCCCTGCGGTCTTGGGAGCTCGTCTCTGGATGCAGAGCTCCGTGTGTCTGCTGTAGTCTCTCAGAGGAACAGCTTTCTGACAGACGTAACATTTCTCCTGGTTCCTGTGGAAAATAAAACCGTTACATCCAGATTAAAAGAAAAAGTAAACGTCTGAAGTCACTCTTTGACGGCACAGGTCATACCTACTTACTTGCCAGTGTTTAAGGGTTCTTCAGTTTCTTCTTCCTCCCTCACTTCTGCTCGTCTTGTTCTCTTCCTACAAGGCTTCGACAAAACTGGATGGAGGAAAACGCAGCAGAAATGTTTAATATTTTACGCTTAAGAGTCTCATATCCCAGTATACACAGAGCCTTGTTGTTAAGTTTCTATCACCTTTCAAACTGTCGGCTTTTGGCCTCCTCTCGTGCACCACGGCGACCTCTCCGTCGCAGTAGGCGGCGTGCATCTCGATCTCCGTCACAGGAAAAGAGCCCTGACAGATGGGACAGTCCACGTTGGTATCGGGGCTCTGAGCAGCGGTGGCGGCCAGCTCGATTTCAGGAGACGTCGACCTCTGAAGACGATGGCTGTTCACCTCCTCCACGTCGATGTCTCCCTGATCGTCCTCTGTCAGCGCTTTTATTTCTTCCTGACCTCCAACATCTCTGCTGCTGCCAGCGTTGATGTTTCCTTTTGTCTCTTTGTCCGCTTGAGCTGAAAAACAAACAACAAAGCTTTTTAAGTTATTTGAAACCGTGAAGAAACAGGATCCAGAAACCAAAAACTATCTCTTCTCTCACTAGTGAGTGTGCAGTCTTACCGTCCACCTCCATCTCCACCTCCGCCTCCTTCTGCGTCTCCTCCTGGACAGGAGAATCGTCTCTGAGAATCATGTCCACATCCACCTCTTCAGGGCTTCCACACTGAAGCTTTGGAGAAACCCAAACAACATCACGAGGGTTAAGGTGTGTCAGAAAATCCATCTGCAGGTCATCAGGTGTTTCGTTTTGATTCTGTGTCGCTTCAGGAACTGAAATTTCTAACACAGACTGAGGATGATGATGATGATGAAGATACGAGGATCTAAGCTCACCTCTGCTTCAGCTTCGGTTTCCATCAACAGATCTTGCGTCTCGTCGTCATCGTCATCTTTGTTACTCAGCTGTGTCTCTGTAGACGGAAAAAAAAAGCTCGGAGCTGTAAGCCCTTGTCGTCCATTTTTAGGTCATCCCCTCGTCACATCCTGTCACATTTAGTTCCATATAAAACTTATGAATGGAATTATAAAAGGTGCTCCGATGAAACCCAGAGCTTCAGTACCTGGACAAACATCACAGTCGTCAGGATCCACCCTTCCACTTTCTCCTCCTTCATTCTTCATTTTTCCGTCTTTGTCCTCCTTCGTCTCCTCTCCCTCGGTCTTTTTCTCCTCCTTCTCTTCCTCACGCTCAGCGTCTTCATTCAACAGGTTTCTTCTCAGGCGGATGCCACGTCTGAAAATATATTAAAAAATTGATTAAAGTGATTAAAGATGAGTCTCATCTTGAGATGAGATCAGTAGAAGATGAAGAAATAAACAAATCTGGACGAATTTAAAAAATTTCAGACGTTACTCAAACTTTTCTCCATGAACTGATGTATTGATTAATGCAGTAGTGACATCTAGTGGCAGAAAGAAGGTATTGCACGGTCACAGCGGCAGATTTTACCTTCGAGGGACGTCTTGTTGGGATGACTCCGGTGACTGTGACTCAGGCGGAGGAGATTTCTGCGGACAAAACCAGATCAGAGTTTCTGAATTCTGCCTGTTTTCAACTTAAAGCAAAGAAAAATATCAATATTGGTGTTTCACCTGATCAAATAAGATCAATCAAAGCTGTGAGTAAATATGATTGTGTTCGTCACACTGAGAAGAGTTCTCAGCATCAGCGTCGAACTCGTCGTACCTCCACCTGCGGCAGCACGGCCTCCCCCCACTCCACCTTCCTCAGCAAACACCTCTGAGCCTGTTTCAGACTCTTCTCGTACACCTCCATCTGAGCCAGGATCACCTGAGCGAAAGACAAAAGACACAGAAACGAACAAATAAAACATCAACGTCCTTCAGTTTCAAAAGCCAAACCTCTGTCTGTAATAAAAAATAAATCTGAACCCAAATCAGAACTTATTTCCAATCATAAATATGACATAAAGAGTCAGTACGGCACAACGCTGAGACATAAAACCACGAGAATGACAGAAAAAGTCACGAAGGGGCCAAAAGTTTGAAGTTATAAAAAATCATTTACATTTCAGTACGACGCAAAAAACTTCTTGTAAGGAGCATTAAAGTCTCAATAATAACTTAAGGGTATAATAATCATGAATTTTGAATTAATAACTTTGATTTTATCTAATAATAACTACTTTTTACTTGATAGTTTACATTTTTTTCTTCATGCTAATAATTTTTTCCACCTAAATTTTTAATTTTTAGCTGATGAATGTGACTTTTTATCGGATAATTTAGACTGTTTAACATTGATATTTATTTTTTTACATTACAGTCAATAATTTTGGGGTTATAATTATAATTTCTATCTCACACTTTTGTATTTTTACGTCAGAATTATGATGTGAACTGAATTCCATAATTAGGAATGATTATTTGTAGTTTTTATAAAAAATTAAACGTGTATTATTTTGCCTTTTATCACATGAATTAAAATCTCTTTTCTTATAATTTCATCTGTAAATGTTAAAATTGTGACTCTGAACCTTTGAGTTTTAACGTCTTCTGTTGGACCTGAGACTTTTCCTCTCATGAGACATAAACATTTATCTGATATTTTATAGTTTAAAAAACTTTTTTTTGTGAAACTTAAAAAGAAAAACTGTTCGCTGCAAACAGACGTGACTACATGAAGACTTTTATACAGACGTTTGATTTGAGTGTAAATATATCAGAGGATCTGTAACAGAAAACACCGATAGAGTTAAACTCCTGTTATCTTCAGCTCTCACCTGTGTGTAGGAGTCCGGGTTCACGCCTCGAGGACAGAACGGAACCCCCCAGTGGTAATAAACCGTCGTCCCGCTTGCTGGTTCTCCTTCTGACCTCTGAGAGTTTGTCTCTGAGGTGGAGATCTGCTGTCTGCAGGAAAAATGGAGTCCAGTTAGTTTGTATGTCGGCGTCATTCTTACACTAACATTTATCTCAGGTGGATTCAGGTGGGATGTACCTGCTGTTTGACCCGCTCAGCCCTGCAGAGGCTGCGGTCACATGATTGATGGCGGCTGTTTCAGCGTTGGCACTCTGAGCTGTCGTCTCGTCTGGGAAGATGGGGCTGGGCGAGCCGGCCGGCTGCAGCAAAGAGAGAGAGAGAAAGAGAGAGAGAGAGAGAGAGAGAGAGAGAGAGAGAGAGAGAGAGAGAGAGACGTTCAGATCAAATGAAATACAGTCCATCTTCAAGTCTCTAATTTAAGTGTTTGTCTGTTTAAAACAAAGTGGATTTGGTCTTTCCTCTCGTGAACAAGATGAACGTAAAGAGCTCTGCCTCGAACTGAGAAGGCTGCAGAAACAGGAGGTGTAGATTTGAACAAAAACTACAGAAACAGAATGAAATCGTGCATCATTTTAACCTCTAAAGCCTTGAGGCTCAAATTATGATACTAGCTCATAAAGAACGTTTGTAAGGGCCTGTTTACATTCGTGTTAGGGTCAGAAGGATCGTGAGACTGTGATGCTGCTTTTCCTTTAAATTAATAAAATAATCCCGATGAATAAAGCTGTTAGTTAGTTACCGTGACCGTATCGTCATCGTCCGACCAGAGCAGCTTCATGTTGTTGCTGAGCTCCATCTCTGCTGGGTTACAGTCTTTGGATATTTCTGTCAGATCCTCCTCTGAATCATCTGCTCAGAACAAAAACAGAGAATGTGCGTGAACGTAGTGGATTCAAGTTTTAAAGACATTAGAAAAGTAGGGAATCAAACTGGAAAACCCTCCTCATAGATGCGGCCGTACCTGACTTTGATGGCTTGTTAAACTTGACATCGGCGTTCGTAGTTTTGTGAGATTTAGAAAAAAGAAAATCGAGTTTTTCTTCGTGACTTTCTCCCCGTGAGCTCCCCTCGTCTGCGTCCTCCTCGTTCACTTTCTGCGGAGGCAAACACACGACAGCGACACGTCTGCTAGCGTGAGTGAAGAGGAGCTCGTAGTTTCAGCTGATCTGAAGAGTCAGGACTCTGTTCGCTCACCTGTTTCAGACTCTGAGAGAGTCCTCTGCTTTCAGGACCTTCTGAGTGTTTCTGCTCTCCTTCCGTCCTGTCAAACACCGGGCTCGTACTGGGAACGTCTCTCTGCTCGCTCTGTTCTCCATCAGTCCCTGAAAACTCCGGACTTCTCCAGACTCCTGATCCTTTAGCGGGGCAGACAGTCTCTGGACGACCAGGACTTTGTAGGAACACAGGACTCTGCGGCCTGCAGGACGTGGATTTCACAGAGGAAGATGAACTGTCCTGAGAGGAAAACGTGAACCCCGTGTTACAGTCTTGTGGTCTGGAGGCTTTCTGGGACTTCTCATGCTGAGTCGTCTGTCCAAATACTGGACTTTTAAAGTCTCCTGGACTCAGCTGGGTCTCTGAGTCGTCTCCCTGCTCCGTCTCTGAAAACACAGGACTCTTGGAAGGAGAAAGGTCTCTGGAGGTTTGGGGGCTTTTGGGGAACGTGGGGCTCTTGGGTTGAGTTGATGGAGACTTAGGAGGGGCGGTCACGCTGTTCTGAGAGCACAACACAAACCCTGAGGTCCTGCAGGAGTCCAGCAGGTTCTGGCTCAGAGGAGGGACCTGGACCTCCGCTCTGCAGCTGACGGAGGGGAAGACGGGGGATTTACAGTCCTTGATCTGGGTGGAGTCGCAGCTCTGATTGATTATTGAGAGAAAAACACACAAACATTGAAATAATAAGTCTCTTGAACGTGTTTATAAACAGGTAAATGAAAGAGAGGGTGAACCTGAGGCGAGTCCAGCTGCAGGTCCAGAAGCTCCGGGGTCACAGGCGAGTCCTGAGTGGAGATCTTCTGAGTCTGAGATAAATCTGGCATCTCCAGCAGAGGACTCCCTTCCTTCTTTCTACGTTTTTTACTCCTTTTCGGACTCTCATCTCCGGCACCTTCAGCTCCTGAAGTCAGATTATGATTTATGCTTTAATAATAAAAGGGGAACCGGGTTTTACGAGGCTTTAACTGCCCCGGTATTTTCCTTCAGTGACTCACCTCCGTTCAGGTCAGTCTCCTGCCAAGTGCCGACCTCTGACGCCTGCTTCCTGTTGGAGTAGGAGAGTTTCCGTCGTGAGCAGAGTCTGAGAGGAGCGTCAGGATCGGAGAGCAGACTCTGACTTTCAAAAGGAGGGCAGGGTTGAGTCTGACTGACCATCTGTGAGAGACAAACAAACAAACACAACTGAGCGCTTCATCCATACACTCAGGCTTCAAACTTTAAACTAAAGTGATATCAAAACCTTTTGTAATGTTTTAAAATTAACGTTGGAGAAGATTTCTGATCGGTGTGGTCCTTGAATGTTTAGAGCGAGTTAAAAACAGTCAGTTTTATTGTTCATCAGTAAAAAAAACAACTTCTCTCTCTTTTTCTTCGTCTGTTTCAAATTAAGTATTGTATGGTTGTTGTTTTTTTAACTTGACTTTTAAGTTTCTTTTTTTAAACGTTTCTGTATCTTTTATTATTTCTGTTCTGTTTTTTATATTTTTTTTTACTTAAAGGTTTTTCTGTTTTCATTTTTTAAAGTTTCTCTGTGTGTCTGTTTTGTGTATTTTTGTTGTTTTACTCGTGTTTCTTATTTTTTATTATTTCTGTGTTTTTGTTTTCTATTTTCGTGGGATATTTTGTAATTTTTTGTTCATCTTTTTAAATTTTTTGGTCCTTTTTTTCATGCATCATTTATGTGTTTTCTTTATGAAGTAGTTTTGAATTTTCTTGTTTTGTTTCGTTAATTTATTTGTTTTTTAAGTTTCTCTTTCGTGTTTTCATTTGTCCTTTCTCCTTTATTTTTCCTCTTTTCATGGTTTCTTTAGTGTATTTTTCTCATTCTGTTTTTTACAGTCTCTTTCTTCAGCATGTTATTAATGTTGCCTTTCCTTTCCTGTTTTGTTGTAATTTCTTTTTTTATGTTGTTATCTTGATTTCTGGTCGTCTGTTTCTTCTTTTGCTTTTTCAATCTCTTTAGTTTCATTTTTTTTTGAAAGAAAGAAACAGAACAGCTGTTTTGAACTTTTACAGCCTCAAACTCTGCTTTTTTTGACAATACTTATTTGTTTTTTCATTTTTTTTTAAAGCTCAGATTTAAGCACACTGCAGAAAATGAGACATGTGTTAAGAAGTTCCTGATTTCAACAGTTAAAGCAGCACTGAAGTCCAGCTTTTCCACAGAGAGTCTCTTTTATTTAGCTAAGAGCAAACATGACAGAGCACAATCTAAAAGCAGCACAAACTGAATCCTTCTGGAATTCGAGACTTGATAAAACAGAGCTGACATAAAGAGATAAAAGCTGAAACAGGTCACTCACGCTCTCCTGGATGGCTTTCATCATGGCCTCTTCCTCCTTCTGTAGCCTCAGCGCCGTGATGTTGGCTTCTCGTTCGCTCAGACGCAACGCCAAGTCCATCATCTCCTCCTCTGTCATCTCTGAAAACAACACAGGCAAGCCCACGACGTTAAACATGAAGGTTTAATAATGTCTCCTACAGTGACTTTGAATATGACACACAGAGATGTAACCAACAAGATAAATCGAGCTTTTATTGCAGCAGCTTCATTCAACTTCTGGTGGTCACAAATGTTCTTTTTTGTTGTTTATCCTGCAAAAATACATTTAAATTGACTATTTTTCTCATTACTGTTGAATCCTGAATGTTGTTTGATTTACCTTTAGGCTTGGATTTGTTCTCCCTCTCTCTTTTGCGTCTCTCTCTTAAAGATAACGAAGGCAGAAGTGATGATGACTCCTGAAAGAAAAGACAGATTCAGATTGTTGCATTGTCTTTTCCCAGGGTTCCTCGTGTTTCAGATGTTGACAGAGGTTTGACCTACAGCACGGCTAAACCGTTAGAGCCACAGTCTCAACAAAAGAGATGAGTGGTGAGAGTGACGACCAGGACAGAGTATGAAGGAGCTTTAGCAAGTGTGTGAATTTCAGACCAATTGCACATCAGCCACATGATGTATGAGCGTCCATGAAAGGGGCTTTTTAGTCCTTTTTTCACCTCTTAATATCAAGATACAGCTGAAAATAAAAAATGTTTTGTATTTGAAGATAAAACAGGAAAACTTTCTACTCATGGAACCACGAGTTTGAACTTTAAAAGTAAATCAAATATGAATTTTATTAAATTTGTGGAAAGATTCAGAGAAAGGCACGATGAAAGAGTCACATTTTTTTTCACACTGACATCTCTGTCGTTCAGGTCTCCATCCTCCTGCGTGTCTTCGTCGCCCTGCTGGCTTTCAGAGGAACAGTTGCCGCCATCCGTGATGATCTGTTTCCTTAGAGCCATCCTGTTCTGCTGCTGCTGAAGGACTTAAACCAACATAAATACAAAAACAGGAAATGAGCAGAATTTCCAGAATAATTCCAGATATCATTTAATTTTGGCGGAGACTGACTGAAATTATTGAGTAAAAGAGCATAGTGCTTCATCCTAGTCCTTTTCGGACATGTTGGGTTTGCATTATTATGATTTATTTTTTTATTTTAACTTTTAACTTTTTAATTTTTTAAGTATTGTTATTGTTGTTTTGAATATTCTCACTGGTTCTGTTTGTTTGTTTTCATTGTACTTTTGGCGTTGTACTCACGTGTTGGAAAAAAAAAGTACAATGGAAAAATAAATAATAAAGTGGGAAAAAAATGAAATGAAAAAAAAGAAAAAATAATAATAAAATGAAAAAAAATCAATAAAATGAAAAATAAATAATATTAAAAAATCAAATCAAATAAAAAAAGTTGACAAAAAATAAAAAAAAAATTAAGAAAAAAAATATAAAATGAAAAAAGAATAATAAAATGACAAAAAAATCATATCAAAAATAAATAAATGAAAAAATTAAATAAATTGACAAATAAATAAAATGAAACAAAAATGACGAAAAAAATATAAAATGAAAAAAAAAAGAATAATAAAATGACAAAAAAAGAATAATAAAATGACAAAAAAAGAATAAAATGAAAAAAGTAAATAAAATGAAAAATGAAAATGAATGAAAAATAAAATGAAATGAATGAAAATAACATAACAGATTAAAAAATATTTATTCGATTAATTTATGACCTCTAGTATTATATAAATTGTATATAATAAGCATAAAATGGATAAATTAGCAGGTTTACACTGAGCTGTAAACCTGAACACAATAAATCACAGCTACATTAACATAATGTAGGATGTTACCTATTGAAGTTAAGCCCTTTATTGGATAATAAAAAACTCATGTAAGAGATTTACCTTTTCTTGATATCTGCTGTATTTACCTGCTGATGATGAAGATGATGAAGACTGTCCTCTTCTTCCTCTCATTTGTCCGGGCTATGGACTCCAAACCATCAAACCTCTGCGTCTGAGCTGAAATAATGATTTAAATGAAGAAGCTGAACTGAATTGAAGCAGTTAAGTTGATAAAATCAACCCTAAAACTCGTATTTCATACATAAATTCGTTATTTCTCCGATTCACTGACTGAAAGTGTCCCTGAGTGACAGTTAGCTTTCACGGCGCGAGGACAGCCGTTGGTATGGAAACAAACTAAACCAAGAGACACGAAAACTACCGGTAAAGTCAACATTTGTGATTCTTTAGTCAGATTAAGATAAAACTAACGTGACGAAACTACCGTAGAAACATTTATTTCGTTTACAGCTGCGTAGAATATTAATTTATTAAACATTTTTCAGTTCAGGAACACTCACAGTAGAGTTCGCCTCACTTTCGCGGCGCCATGTTTGTTTCTGTTTGCGTAATCACGTGACGACAACGCGAGGCGTGTGTGTGTCGCGCTGCCTTCAGGAGCACTCGGGAAAAGCAGTTACCGTGGTGCCTTCATGGACAGAAGAACCGTCAACGGTAAAATGAACGTTATATCAGGCAACATCTATTTTTATCTCAGTAACTTAACATTTTATCACATAATGACTTTAAATTTGACCTTATATCTCATAATTAATGATAATAATAATAATAATACATTTTATTTGTTAAGCGCTTTTCACAGACTCAAAGACGCTGTACATAACTAAAATCATATATCAATATACAATAAAAATACATCAATATACAATAATTATGTTTTTTAATTATTATAATTAATTATGTTCTTAATTTGACAATCATAGCAAATAGTTAACAATTTAACATCTTTCATATCATAATAATGACTGTGTTTCTCATAACTATGGCTTATATCTGCTGATTTTGAACTCTAATATAATAATCGCTTTTGTGTCATAATTTAGGCTTCGTACCTTATAATAACGGCCTTTTATCTGATACTTTTGAGTTTTATCCTAATAATTTCAGCTTATTTCATAATTTCAACCATTTCTTGTTTAGACCCACCTATATGTATTTCTTTAATTTTATTATTACTCATCTTTTATTTATCTATTTTATCAGCTGCAAATTTCTTACTTCTTCTTTCCACTTTTCTTACTCACTCCTAACCAGCAGAGGGCACTGTCTAACTACAGATACAGGTTGAAGGCAGAGGTAGGTCAAGAGGCCAAGCATATGAAAACATGAAAATCTTTCATTCATTCATTTTCCTGAATAAATAAATAATATATATATATATATATATATATATATATATATATATATATATATATATATATATATATATATATATATATATATATATATATATACATATACATGTATGTATGTGTGTGTGTATTTTAACTTCTTCTTGGGAAAGGCTACCTCAGTTTTAAGCGCCCGTTATTCCGCCAGAGTCTCCGGTATTTACTTTGTTTTCTTGCTTGTGTCGGCAGTCGTGGCCAAAGGAGGATTCAGACAATTTTCCGAACTTCCTGGTTGGTTTCTACTGTCCGATATTGTAGCACGCCAACTTTGTTCCTGAACGACACGGGGGAGCAGCGTCTGCCTCACAACCAATCAGGTTGGGGGAGGCGGAGAACGGCTTTGTTTACCGTCAGATAGAGTGGGCTACTCAAAAAATGTTAGAATGTTGACTACACAGACATAACAAAACACAGCAATATCGTGATATTACCAAATGTCATCAATAACTAATAACTATTGACTGATATTAAAAGCTTTTTTGTATTTACACCACAAAAAAAGATGCTTCTTTAAACGAAATCCTGCCTACCTCACCTTTAACATTTTAAAATGTCTGTATTTGAGCAAACTTACCAGGATACGTCTTCTGCAGGTCGGGAACATCTGTACCAAAGTTTATGCCGTTTTCCTTTCATAGTCGTTTATTTATTTCAGATTTGACCCAAAAACAGTGACCTTCACATTTACCGCTTACACGTTGGTTCTTGATGTTTCATGAAAATTTATTGACAGAAATGGGAAGTCAAACAGGAAGAAACGGCAGCGATGGGGACAATGTCAACAGAGCTTTTGTTCTTGCATTGGTAGAAAAGAAAACTACAGACAGAGCAGGTAAACAATATTTACAATCAACCGTGTGAAATCACAACCGTTCCTCTCAGAAACAAAGAGGAAGAAGGCAGAGCAGAGGAAAATGTGCATCAGTAAGCAAAAGCAAACGTCAAAAGGTTTCACAGGACTCAAAGTGACGGCTAAATTAAAGGAGCAGGAGCTGGAACCAGAGAGCGGCTGCATAGGAGGAAATCTCCTGGTTTTCCTCTTAAATGCAATGACATCAATAATTCAAGTGTTTGCTTCCTGAATTAACAACAACATCCTGGTAAAGACTTGAACCTGAAACAGTTTTTAGTTTCTCCAGCCTCAAACTGCCTACATTTCTATTTAAAACACTAGCATGCTCATCGAACCCTTCAACCTTTAGGCTTTTGCCGACTCCTTATCGCCCCCTACAGTCATCTGTACACCGTGTTTGGCCCCTTTTACCTTCAGAGGCCCCAACAAAGTCAAAAGAAAGCAGCAATATAACCCCAGCATCATTTTAAACAAACAAAATATTTACAATAAAAACGCTAACATCAACATGCTAACATGCTCACAATAACGATGCTAACATCCTGATGTCCAGCAGAACCATGATTTCTGACGCGGTTTAGCGTGTTAGCATGCTAACATTTGCCAACGAGCACTAAACATTAAATACAGCAAAGATTGAAAGGAAGTGCTAACTTTTCCAGGACGTGAATTTAAAATAGATAAAACCACATGATGGCGCCAAATAAAAACGACATGTTAATACAATTCACCCTCTGGGGACCATGAGTGTTGCTGCTAATTCTTACGGCGATCCATTAAATAGTTTTTAACTTATTCAAAACAAGAATTTAAGGGAGCGGTACTCTCACAGTGCAGTCGAGGTCTTTGTTTGCATGCTAATGACCTGCTCACACGTGAAAGTGCGGATCCCGTCGCATCGCTTATATTACAATGGTCAAGTTTAGTGAAGTTATGCCATGCATATCATTTCTCTGTATATCAGAGATATAGCTATTTATCCTTTTCCCCAGTTGCTACACAGTTTTGGAGAAAAGTTAACAGGATGTTGCACATGCCTACGAATACGAGCCGATACCCCTGAGGCCGTTTTCTTTACTGTGATTGAATTGGAAATAAACTGTGATTCAGATTTAAGAGCAGAAAAGACTTTGGATGTATTTGGAGCCTTTTCTTTAAACTCTGTTTTTTTTCTTTCTCCTGCAGACTGTACCTGATCTTGGTGCTACACACAGAAGGAGTGTTAGCTGCATGATGACCTTAGCAAGTCTAATGGGGCGCTCACACCAAGCGCGAGTAAAATAATCTACCTGCTCAATTTGCGCGAATCTTGACGCGCGAATGAATAGTATTTACTCGCTTTATTCGTGCGTCAACGGTAATTTCAACGCTGGTTGAATTGGGAGGGATCCAGTGAGAGAGTAAAAAGGTTTTTAACTTTTTACCTCCTAACTCACTTGCTTCCAGGCGAGCTCCTTTTCATTCTGGTTTCGGTAATTGCAACAAAAGGTATCATAAAATTCGGGGCACCTACAAACCGCCACAATCAGTTTCTTCTCCGTTTTAGATACCAGTAAACAACCGTCCATTTTTGCTGATTAGTTATCATGACGCGAAAATAATGATCTGATCGCTTTTGCAATGTTTGCAGGACTTCTACAACTCAGATAAAGTGACATAGTCCAGGACCCGAGGTAAACAGTTTAGCGATGGCGCTACAACACGCTACAGCAGGTCCGTTTGACAAGAAACACTTCTGTTACAGACACTTGTCTTACTTTGTTAAAGCGGTTTACCTGTCCAGCAGAAAGGTTACAGGGTCACCAAGATCCCCAAGCGCCCCCAGAGTTTCTATTCCTCCAGAGTCTCCGGTATTTACTTTGTTTTATTGCTTGTGTTTTCCGATACCAGTGAACAACAGTCCACTTTCACGTGTCACCCGCCAACCTTCGTGCTGATTGGTTATCGTCACAAAGATCCGCTCCAGTCGAGACATTTTCAGCTCCCGCCCAATTCGTGTCATTCCCGCCGCCAGAGTAGTCGGAGCATCTGATCACGTCTTTGCATTGACTTAACATGAGAATCATTCGCACGAATGATTTTACTCACGCTTGGTGTGTGGAGACAGTAAAGACCTGAAGCGCCTGTTTATAACCCCCTGACACTTTTAAAACACCGGAACGCATTTCCTAAAATTATCCTGCATTGACGTCGTTCGGTTTACTGATCAAATTAAATCAGGTTGGGAGACATAATTCCCCTCTATGCTGACAGATTTGAGCGCCTTCAGAATAAGAGCGCAGGAGATACTTACAGTCAGCTGCAAAACACGAGCAAACTGCATTAAGCACTAAAACTTTATGGGCGGGTCTTGAATATCATAAATTACTCCTTGTGTTATGAACAGACATGAAAACTATTGGTCTGTACTAAGGCAACTAAACAATTCATACAGAAAACAATCAAAATAATCCGTTTGTGTACAAACTAAGGGCAGAATATCTACGATAGTGGTCGTCCTTAAAGGTCAATTTATAGAAATAGAAATCTGTTTCACTTAAAAAAGCTGAATCACAGTAAAGAAAGTCCTCCCGGGTACACGCTCTATAATATTTACACTTTATTGGAATTATAAAAAGATTATTGAGGAGAGGTTTTCACGGGGTTGACGAACAGGGTATAAAATCTGTTTTAGTTTGTCTTGTTGGTTTGAAACAGGAGAGTCATGTCGTCCGCAGGCAGTTTTCTCTTCAGTGAATAAACTCAGTGGTAGTGCTGGGCGATTGGACGATATATATCGTTGGCACGATAGAAAATGTCTATCGTGCCATTTTTATTCTTATCGTTTCGGGCGATAGGCTGTATTTTATCCATAGGGCTTGTGCCATCAGATGATTCATAGTAACAACAACAATAATTGCACATTCAGTAAGTGTATTTGGTGTCGAACGGGAAAGAAAACAATATTTTCTTAAAAAGAAAAGGATGCGTTGACATGTAGGCTTGCATTTCTCTTTCGATTTTGCGACATGACGCCGCTTTACGTGCCCTCTTTATGTCCAGCGTCTCCCGCCGTTGCGGGTTACCTGGGTTACACACGTGAGGGGATCATTGTAAGCAGTGCTTAATTTGTGCCGGAGCAAGTCGGAGCGCGATCCGGGACCTCTTTTGATCGGATCTGGGACCTATTTCAGCCGCTCCGGCACCTGTTTCATCTGCTCCGGGACCTTCCCTGTGGAGGATGACTTTTTTCGGGAATTCCCGTGAGTCACGTGATTCCCGCGGGATGGGAGTCATTTTTTTATTAATCTCTTGATCGGGACGGGACGGGAAAAAAAAGTGGGCAGGAGCGGGAACAACATGAAAAGATGATGCCGTGTTTAACAACCAGATGAACAGGTGCGTCCATTTTTGTAGTCATCTCTCAGTGAGAGTAAACACTCTTGACCGCGCTAGCAACACAAAAGAACTACAACAGCGGTTTGACTTCCTGTCAGCTGGGAGCGCGGCTGCGCATTTGTACCCTTCGAGCCAGGAGCGGCAAAACGTGATTTTGTGACATTCTGTAGTTTTTCAATCATTTCTGGAGTCGTGGCGAATCAAATCACCTTACCTGTCTGCCCCTGATAGGCGAATAAAGCGCTCGGATTCATGCTCGGGTCTTGCTACGTGCTTCAAGAGTAAAGTAAACAATGATGGAGGCATAGAGCAGCTTTGGAGGAGAAACATCCAGCAGTGTGAACAACCTCTTCAAAAGAGCCCTAAAGACCTACCTTTTTAATAAAGCCTTTGGTTAGTTTTCCTCTATGCTTTATGCTTTTACTACCTTGCCTCTTACATTGCAACTCTATATATTTTATTTTTTTTAAATTCTTTTTTATGCTAATCTGTGACTGTCATTCTATTGCTTTTTTTATTGTTGTTGCTCTTTTTTTACTGTGTACTGTAGCACTTTGAGATTTTTTTGTAAATGTAAAGTGCATTACAAATTAAATTTATTATTATTATTATTGTTATGGAGTGCTTCGGCTCACACTATCGGCGTTTTCTGTAAGTGTTACATAACTTTGGGTGAGCACAGACATGAACGCACTTCAGCCACGTATTTATTTATTCATTTTTCTAGTTTTAAGTGCTGGTCTTGTACTGGTACTGTACTAGTGCAGCTGTATACACTTACATTTTTCATAGAACTGAAAGCATACCATAGCTATATCGTGATATATATCGTTATCGTGATATAAAATGATCCATATCGTGATATAAATTTTTTTCCATATCGCCCAGCACTACTCAGAGGTGTGTGTGGGTGTGCGTGTATGAGTGTATCACATTCATCAGATCATTTTCATCAACTATGCAGGTTTATGAAAGGAGCAGTGCAACATTTATTGTCATGTTCAGATCAGTTTCATCTCAATGCTGTAAGAGCCCGAGTCCTGATTTAGTGTTAGGGTTTGAAAGCAGAAAAAGGAGGCCTGGTATTTTTGAAGATTTGTTGATCATAACTCCAAATTTTTACTCATATTTGGCTCTAAAAGTGACTGATCTGAAATGATTGTTTTTAAGACTTCTGAAGATTACGCTCAGAGTGAAATGGAGTGGATAGGCAATGCGGAATGGAGAGAAAAGATGCATTCCTGTGTGTGATATTGTCTTTTCTTTTACTTTGGCTCCTTTCTGCGAGTAAACTTGACATCTTTTCCAGTGTGAGAACAAATACAATCAAACTCTGAAACAGACTAATGACTTTAAGTCCACAAGAAATGGTTAAGAAGTGGTTCTGGAGCCCAGAAAATAGGGCAGTAAATTATTAAGTGAAGAGAATCAAAGCCGGAGGAGGCCCGTCTGAGAGAAAAGAAATGAGCAGTTTCATTCCTTTCCTTTTAGCACGGATTATCGAACTGATTGAACTGAGTCACATCGCTTAATCTGATTGGTCCTCTGTGTCAGGGGCAGAGGTGCAAGTACAGTAGGCCCTGTCATTTCAAACAACCCCTGAATGCACGAAAATGGCGATAAATTCGAGTGACAAAGGTTGAAAGTGTGATCAGATAAAGAGCAAAAACCAGAATGATCGAACAGCTACAAGCAAAATAGCTGCCATCAAAATATATCTCTTGATAAATTGTAAACCAGTTTTTTAAAATAAAAAGTCAGAGATGGAGGTGAGATGGTGAGCGCGACGCCCCCGTAGATGATTCATGACGTTTAAAACACAAAGATCTGATGAAAGATGTCGACATGGTTGTTTTCCGTCTCTCTTCAAAGTCTTCTCTCACACTTTGGTTCATTTAAAGATCAAAATCATCTCGACTGTATTTAGGGACCATGCTGCTGTTTTTGTGGGTGTCAGTGACGCAGCAGTGTAGCGTGCATGTTTACATTTGACAGTCAGTGTTTCCATGTAGAGGTCCGGTTTGGTTTCGGGGCAGATTCGGTCTAGTTTGGTACCACAAATCCTAAAAGCCATCCAAGTATTTCTTTGCTTTTATTTTTAACCCTTTGCACATGCAGCGTGAGGTCCTTCCTTACACCCCTCCTGTGAGATTAAAGAATAAACACCGCCGCTGTTTGATTTCTCAGATCTGGAAACACCTGTGCTCAGCGTTTAACACTCGATGTAAAAGCTTCCTGCAGCTTCTCTCTCACTCGCTCTCTCTCCTTCTGCCGGGCGAGCATCTGCAGCATCTTGTTATATTTTTGTGTCGGCGCTCTCCTCGACACCTCTCACCGTACCGTGTTCACACACCCACATGCACAGTGCTGCTGCTGCTACAGACTTCATACACATAGTGATCTGTTAGCCGCATAAACAGTGTTGCTGCTATTCTGCACCATCTTAGTTTTGCATAACTGTAAAACACGACGTCATGAGCAAACCTCGTCCATGTACAAATCACCTAACGCTGGTTGTGACGGAGAGGTGGGGTACACTGACTGTCCATGCACAGTATTCACATTTTCTGCTGTTCGAAATCGCTGCACAGGTTTTACCGAATACGTTTCAGGGCTGGACACTCGCTATTTTCACATGTGCTCCGAAGATTAAAAGTAAGGAGCACACAAAGAGCTAGTGATGGGCACGGCAGTTCTTTTAGATGTGCTGAATCACTAGAATCAGTTCACCAAAATGATTTGTTCAAAAGATTCGTTCACCGAATCATCAAATCATTCAGCGCTTGGCGGGAGGAGCCTGCGACTTTCTGGGACTGGGAGACGAGAGTGTTTGTCTGTGTTACTTAAACAGGTTTGTAAGAATGAACTTGTCTATAAGTCACGATGTTTTAAGTGTACTGTCCTATGGTATGCTATTTATAAGGTTTAAATTGGGGTCAGTGAGTGATTCGTTCACTGAATGTTTAGAAGAATTCACACTGAACATGAACCGTTACCTCACAAACCGCTGTAATGATAGGATGCTGCAGGTTTTATGCACGACTTGTTACATGCTGTGTCCTATTGTATGAAGGTTGTTGTGGTGGAAATTTAGCAGTTAAAAAAAAGGGTAGTTTGGGTAGTTTTGTCCTACAAAAATGATTCCAGAGAGTGTAGTTCAATGCATGATTCGTTTACCAAGTGATTCAGGCATTGTGCATGTGGTCCCTTGTTCGCCGGCTGCTCACCTGGCAATGCTGCGTGTTATAGCAGCGGCGCGTCCGACAACCCAAGTGAAGTGAGAAACGAACAAATCACTTTGGGAAGTGATTCCGTTCAGTACGTTCACTTAAAAGATTCGGTTCTTTTGAACGAATCGTTCGTGAAAAACACAACACTACAAAGAACTTTAAGGGCGCAATAAAAAATGATCAAATGACGTTTGTCTAATTGTCTGATCTTAGTACTATTATTTAAGATCAATTTTAAGTCAACTGGTTACATGGAGGCTATTGAAGGAAAACAGCCTTTTCTGAGAACATCAACCGGTAATTTATTGACGGTCCCTTATTCAATACCCGATGTTGACAGTGAGGGTGTCGAGTAGATTTAACCGCGCTGCTGTTGTTATTCCCGGTTATGGAGAGAGAGAAGACACCTGTAGATCTGCAGTGCATGTCCGACAATTTCCGACCTAAAACTAACTTCACCGTCGTATTTATGTGAGCAAAACATTTGTCGTCTCGGCTGATTTTTTTCTTTACGCACATGTGACCCTAAATACATTTTACAATTCGCTCACATCTATTTTTAGTCGCCAATGCGAGTGAAACACTCGCTGTCGAGCCCTGCGTTTAGTAAAGAGCTTTTAGTTGTGCTACTGCCACCCTCTGGCAAGAATATTACATTACAACAACATTATGGTGTCTGCAGAGTCCGGAGCTGCAGCTTAAAGATATCAATTCTGGGACCCCATCTCTGGGACCCTCATGTTGTTGATTCTTTCACCCTTTAAAAACAGCGGAATGGTCCTTTAAATTTAAATTTTAGAGATCAGGGATGAACATCATTAGCGGATGGTCTATTTAGTGTGAAGAGCAGGCACATCCATCAGTAGATCGTGTGTGTGTGTGTCTGTTTGTGTGTGTGTGTGTGTGTTGGCAGCCTATAATAACAGTGGGATATATCTCTAGTGGGTGGCATGGCGTTCCTTTGGGTTCGGCAGTGGGTGTTACGTGTTCATGCGTCTGTCCTCATCCATACGAGTCTTCATGCAGCGATCTGCTTTACACCCTGTATGTGTGTGTGTGTGTGTGTGAGTGTGTTTTGTGCGTCACTCTCCACTCAGTGTTTATTGGATGCTCCTTCAGCAGCCTGGGTGCAGTTCAACTGTCCGAAGCCGGGTAGGGTGACTCTTCCGTGGGTGTAGATGTCGCGGTCGGGGCCCTGGTTCATCCGCTTGACGAGGTTCTTCTCGTACAGCAGCGGATGGTAGGCGCCGAGCGTGCAGGCGGCATCGAAGAAGCGCTGATAGTAATGGCAGAGCTCTGTCTTCCTCCTGGACGGAAGGAACTCATAAATGTGCACCACCTCGCACAGAGACATCATCAGAACGGTGCCTGAAAGGACACAATAAAAAAATATAGTTATTCAGAGAGGCGCACCTTTACCTGTACTACGGCCTTATCTAAAGACCTTATTTACTCACCAATCAAAGGCCTGATAAGAAATAATACTGCGGGTTTCCAATTGGTGGTTTTATAGAGTAATGAACATAAATATAGCTGTAAAACTGGGATATACTGTCGATGTGTTCAGGGGTGGATTTTGATCATGTCTTTTGGATTTGGAGCAGATCAAACACAGTATGAAGGAGTGACATTAACTTCCTGTTTAATGTTTTACCTGTAAAGATCACCTGATTCAGATAACAGAGTTTTACGTACCGAGCAGGCCGGAGGAGGGCGGGTTCTTCTGAATGGGTTCGGCCATGTTGTCTTGTATCCGCTGCCACACCTGCCACTCAAAGCGAGGGTGAAGGATGTAGAAGGGCTGCATAGGGTGGAGCCTCCTGTATCTCTGGTACTGGGTGAAGATGGGGTAGTCTGTCCTGTTGAGCCACTGTGAGCGGAGACACACGCTGAGGTTAGAGTACGTTAATAATAATAATAAAACTCTTCTTCTAATGTGTGTGTTTAACGTCACCTGAGTGAGGTCAGCAGAGAAGGGGGCGGGGTCCCAGGCCACCAGAGCACCTGAGCTGTACAGGGAGCTGGAGAGGAAGCGGTGGTCCTCAGACGCCATCACCTGAAGGGAGAAGAAATTTAGCGGACACTCGCACCTTCAGTTTGTCAGATATTGTCAAGATGCATATACCCAGGGAAGGGTGATGGATCATGCCATTTAGACCACACCCAGAAACTTAACATGTATAAATATGTCTTCGCTCAACTGGGTGATTTAAGGCCTTCAAAATACTACCCCCCGCTTGATGGCAAATAACGCGCCGCTGTGGCAACAGAGTTTGGCGTAGACTTCTGCACTCTTAAGGGGGATTGGGGGAAGGTCCGAGGATGTACTGCTCGAGTCCCGCCCTATCCCGAGTCTGTCCGTTGTGTCCGTGGGCAAGACACTTAACCCACTTTGCTCCCAGTGTGTGTCCTCCACTGGTGTGTGATTGTGAGTGATGTGTGGTGGTCGGAGAGGCCGTCAGTCTGCCCCAGGGCAGCTGTGACTACTAAGGTAGTTTACCACCACCAAGGTGTGACTGTGTGAGTGAGTGAATGAATGAATGATGTGTCCAATGTAAAACGCTTTGAGGTCACTGACAAAAAAGCGCTATAAAAATCTGATGCATGATTGTAATTCTAGATATGATTTTAGAGTGGTTATTTGGAGGCAGTAACTTAGTGAAGACAGCAGGTGGCACTGTGATTTTTGAGGTGGATGTGTTCGGGCTGAGACTCCTTATAAGTCCAGGGATATAAGGCGCAGAAATGTTGACGCAGACCTGAGCTAGATTGATACCGGAGCCATGATTTATTCTACTTTATTGACAGCTTGGCATTTCCATTTTGCTGAAACACAAACTTCACTGCTGAAAAACTGTCGGTCTCACAAACTGAGTGGATTTTACAGTTAGTTTTAGAGTTCATATTGTAATCACAACAGTTTTTAGTCATATCCGACAGTGTTTTGGACCGCTCCTGTCTTCTGACCACCATCTTTACTTCCTTGGTTGTTGTTTGCACTGACTGTTTCTCGTCATGCGTCATGTCGTTGTTTTGTAAGGCACACATAAGGAAAACATGAAGACGGTGTCCAGGAACAATTTCTGATCTGGAACCAGTTTTTTGTTTTCCTTTCCTAATTTTCACGATTGAATTTTCTGTCAGGGCGTCTTTCCTGCAAATCCATATTAGAATAAACCTTTAAAAGCCGTTATGAACCAGTTTTGCTAAATAAGCCAGATGCTTGATTTACATTTGACTCTAATTTTGACCCCTGGTGTCATGATTTAGGGTCACATTGTGTTTTTTTTTCTCGTTTGAACTTTTTATATGATCGTCAGACAGACGCTGTGTCTTTCTGCAGGTTGCCACGGTTACCTGAGAGTTGATGAGGCGTATCGTAGTTTTGGACCCGACGTCCTTCTCGAAGCCGGTGGTGGGAGCGGCGTTGAAGCGCAGCACGGCATCATGAGAGTCTGAGAAGTAACATGTGAAACAGACGACAGTTTTTGGAGGTTAGAGGAAGTGAAACTCCTGACTGAAGCAGAAACATCTTCTGCTGGTGTCTGTAAATAATTTACGGAGAAAACAGGAAGAAAGAAAGAAAGAAAAGCAGCTATTGTGTGTTTCATGCGAGAAGTGTCCCTGGGGTGCTGCAAAATGAAGTCAATGTGCAAGAGAGAAAAAAAAACAACAAACTGCAGTTCCTTTAATGTCCACTGGGGGCTGTCTCAAAGAGAGTCGACACCATGATTCAAGACATCTGCTTTACGTTTCTTTGAGATGACCGCAGTGAGGAAACTTTGACTTTTAATCTTTCTGATTTTAATTATGTTGTTAAAACTCTCCTGCTGTCTTTCATTGTTGTTGTGTACTTCTATGTCAATCCTCGCCCTTTAACCACTCAGTTTATAGATTCTTATTTCTTCTTCACTGCTATTCGAAGCTTCCTGGTTTGATTTGATGTCTGTATTTTAGCATCATGCAAATTTATTAAAGTATATAAAATGGAATAAAAAGGGATCCGTTAGTTTTTAGGTTTTAAACATGGTGTATGGTTGCTCAGTGATGTAGTTGTTGCTGTGTTGATTTTACCTGCTGTGTTGAGTTGCTGGTCGCGCTGCTCTCTGACCCCCAATTTCCACCGCATCCGGAATGATTTTTGATGTCAGCCAATTCCTACCAGATCCATTTGTGAGGCGAATTTTGTGTCGGATTACGGACATCAGGAATCGTGAGAACTCACAAGAACATGTGAATTCACGTGCAATCAAGCGATAACTTGTAGTCTTTAGCCACACAGAGGCTAACCGTATAAGCAGTAGATTGTGTCCTTCCAGAGGAGGAAATCTACTTCTAGACTTCTAGAATCAGCATCTCCTCATCCATGGTGTCATCGGGGTGAAATGACGTCTAAAAACCTTTCACTTGTTTGAGTGTTTTATTTTGAAAAGAAGCCAGATGTTTTATTTTGTGTCTGTGCCCGACTTCCTTTCCAGCACGGGTTAATCTGTGCTGAATTTATCCGCCATGCTCCGGCGTCCGGAAAAAATAGAACTTGTGCGATCCGCAGCGGAACGGAAAGAAACCTGTGGAAATTGACACGTTAACTTGAATCGTTACGATTAGCTGCAATCCGCGGATACAGCCTTTTCGTAGCCGTTCCGGATGCGGTGGAAATTGAGGTTCTTAGCTCTGGCTGTAGGTAGGGCTGAGCAATAAAACGATAACGATATATTTTGAAAATTAATTTCCCTCAATATCAATATAAAACATGGTTTTGGTAGACTAAACGAATAGCCAATGAAAAAGGGAGTTTCTGCTTCGCACTGAACCAATCATGTGCTGAATTAGAACCAAGTATCAAACAACTGCGTAGTAGCAGACAGCAGCTACACCCAACCATCGCACTTTAACCCCGAAAACAGCCGACCATTCAGTCCGCTTTCTCTAGCGCAAAACGTCAAAGAGACACAAAGACCTCACAGATGCAGTAGATTATTGTATTGCAAAAGACATGCGACCAATAAGCACTTTATATCGTGATATATATCGATATCGACTTTTGTGACAAAAATATATCGTGATAAACTTTTTCCCATATCGCCCAGCCCTCGCTGTAGGTAATCAAACTCAGACCAGCACAGAGGACTTGAAGACCTCTCCGTTATTTCTCTGTAAAGAACCTCGTAAAAACACAAACCGTCTCACCGATCTCTTTCCCGAGTCCAGAGTTGCGGAGCGACCCCGCGGACGACACCACAGCGCAGCTCTTGTACGGTCCGAGGTCAGAGGTCAGCTGCTGCTGCGGCAGCTGGGAGGCCCAGGGCAGTAAGGAGAACGGGTGTAGGTCGGAGGTCAAAGATGAAACCTCCACATTTTCTTTCATTTGGCAGAGGAGCTTCGGGCCGCTCAGCTTGGGCCGGCTGGACGACCCGCCGGGACCGGAAACCTCGACTCCATATTTATTCATGGCCTGATGTTATTAGAGACAGAGACGAAGACGGGGACGTTAAAAACTGCTCTGGTATAATCTGAAAGGTCAGCTGGAATTAAAAACGTTTGAGGGGAAAAGTAAAATATTTAGAACAAACAAAAGTCACTCATTACAGCTCTCACCTGGTAATTCTGCACCACCTTCTTCAGTCTGTTTCCCAGCATGCTACTGGACATCTCGTCATCCCAGACCTCCCCCAGAAGCCCTTTGGGCCCGAAGAACTCTGCGTCCCCTTTCCCGCTCAGCTCCCCCTTCCGCCGGCCTCCAAACAGCGTCTCCAGCATGCGAGTGACGGGGCGCGGCAGAATCCGAGTAAAAAACCCTCCGGACTCTCGATCTTTAGTCTTCTTCTTCTTCGGCGTTGACTCCGCTGCTTCCTGCGTTCGGTTTGGAGAGGAGAGGACTGGGATTGGACGGTGGGGGTCGCCCGGGATGACGCCTGGGAGCTTTTGGGGGTCGATGTACACGGGTTTGGCTCCGCCTCGCAGCACCTGTGGGGGTCAGAGGGAGAAAGTGGTGAAACAGTCGGGGTATTTGTGGACCTAAAAAAGCCGCTTTAAGAATAACTGCTGACCTTGATGACAGAGTGTGTGCGCGGCTGCGCTCGGGTCCTCGCCCGGACCCCGAAGATGGCGTCGGTGACAGGCACGCTGTTTTCAGCACAGATGGCGTAGAGCAGGGCCATGCAGATGCAGAAGAAAGTCATGCAGACCGCTCCACGGCGAGCCCGGCGTCTCAGGCGCCACAGTAGGCTGACCCTGTCCATCGCTGCCCCGGGGATCTGCCGGACAAACATGAACAAAGACTATTGGTCAGAGAAACTCATCAAAACACCAGAAAACGACACGTCAACGAATTAACCGGGAATTTTCACATCGGATTGTTTGACAGGTTGGTTGGCCTGAGGAATCACGAATACCTGAAACGGATTTACGGTCTTCTCATGCGTTCACACTGGACGCCAATGAGACCGTTTTCTCGCTTAATTCACGTGTTTGAACGTCGAAATATTTTGTAATTATTTGTGCAAATATGTCACTCCAGTTGCATGCTGGGAAGTGACCGAAAACAAAACTCTTTGGAAAGAGAGGACGGGTTTCTGTCACGGTACTTCAGTCTGTTTATTCCCCCACTACTCCTGCCCACCAAACATCGGACGTCAAAGAGACGTGCAGATCAAGTCAGTTGGGTTGGTCCGTCAAAGACCACATCTAGACGTCGGTACGAAGTGCAAAATAGGTCCAAAATTTCGATGTCCAAATCGGTCCTTTTTTAGACGTCGCTCTGACGTTTAGAATTTGGACGTCATCTGAAGACCAAATTTAGACAAAATGGATCCAAGATTTAGACGTCATTGTTGGACCTCTTTTCGACGTTGAAATGACGTCCACATCTGTACCTCATCTTCGAAAAATACGTTAAATAGATGTCATTTTGACGCTGCATTGCGAAGTGGGTGGTGGAGACCAAAAACAGAGCTAAAAGAGAGTGACCATTATTGTGGATGGTCAGAGTTTAGCCCCTCCTTAAATTCCTTTTGTTCAGGTTGAAGTGTATTTACTGTTAATTCTGGGTGTGGACTGATGCAGTTTGTTTAAAGTGACTGAATGTTTCCCCTCATCGGCAGGATTTCCCTTTTCTCCTGCCAAGAAAAACCCACAGAGGAGATCCGAGGAAACACTCCTTTGCTTTGCAGTCACTCAACTCAACTCAACTCAACTTTATTTGTAGAGCACTTTAAAACAACCACAGCTGTACAAAGTGCTGTACATAACAGGACAAAAACAACAAGATAAAAAACAATCAAGAAACAATTAAAACAATGGATAAAATAAAAGCAGAATTAATAATAAAATATAGCTTCAATGCTTTTAAAAACTAATTTAAAAACATAGAAACAAATAACTAAAAACAAACCATAAAACACTAAAACAGGAGCCGAGTCTCATGGAGGGTTAAAAGCCAATGAATAAAAATGGGTTTTAAGACGAGTTTTAAAAATGGACAGTGTGGGGGCTTCTCTAATTTGGAGGGGTAGCTTGTTCCATAAAATTGGGGCAGCAACAGAAAAAGATCTATCCCCTCTGAGCTTCCGTTTGGACCTCGGTACCTCCAGGAGCAGCTGATCAGCTGACCTGAGGCACCGAGCTGGGGTGTAGGGGTGGAGAAGCTCAGAGAGGTATGATGGAGCCAGACCATTTAAAGATTTAAAAACAAATAAAAGAATCTTAAAATGAACTCTAAAATGCACAGGTAACCAGTGGAGGGAGGCCAGGATGGGAGTAATGTGCTCCCTCTTACGTACTCCAGTTAAGAGCCGGGCGGCTGCGTTTTGAACTAACTGGAGACGTGAGAGGGAGGACTGGCTGACTCCAAAATAAAGTGCGTTACAGTAATCCAGCCGAGATGTAACAAAGGCATGGATTACTGTTTCAAAGTGCGTTCGTGAAAGGAAAGGCTTTGCCTTCGCCAGCTGCCTAATATGATAAAAACTGGATTTCACTACGGAGCTAATTTGCCTGTCGAATTTAAAATCACTGTCCATCTTAAAACCCAAATTTGAGACGGTTGGCTTTAAATAATCTGCTAAAATACCCAAGTTTACAGGAGGGGTTTCACAAGGGCCACTGGGACCAAAGACCATCACTTCACAGGTTAAGGACCAAGGTCTGGATCTGTATTTGAACAGCAATATTTGAAAGTTCCTGGAAATAACTTCAGTCCCGACTTGTCGTGGAAGTTTTCTCAGCGAGTATTGGTAAGTGTACAGGTTTGAAACGTGGTTATTTCACCTCTTATCACAAGAAATCTGTGTTTTTATTTCTTGATCTTTTTATTTTTTAATCCCAGTTTTGTCACTTTCATCAGTCTCAATCTCTAGAAGGAAGATTCGTTTTTAAATTGCAAAACTGGGGGAACATTTGTAAAGATTAAAACCTCCTTTTATTTTCAACAAATGCAACAAACTGAATACTGACAGTGTTGGAGCAGGAGGGAGAATTAAAACCAAAAAAGATTCTCCAAAAACATAAATGGATTCTAAGATTCTTTCATTGGTTTTTAAAGCTCTTAATGTTCTCGAACCAACTTATCACATTTTCCTTTACTATATGAGCCCTGTTCCCAAACCAAGACTTCATGGTGAGGTCTACGTCTTTGGAACAGCCGACCTGAAGACCTGAAGAAAGCACAGAGTCTACTGTTTTAGTCTGGCTTTTAACTAAATTTAGACTTCTTTCACTGACCAATGATTGATTTCAGTATTCTTTTTAAATGTATTCTTGTATCATCTTATACTTATTTAAAGGTGGATAAGTGATATAAGAGCAGGGCAAAGACAGTGTGACAGCATCTGAAAGAAGAGAGCAATAATAATAATAATAATTATAATAACTAGATACCTTTGGAGTGACACATACAAATGGACAAAATGTGCCGAAAACAGCGGAATAACTCTTTAACCGTGCGTCCGAGAAAAAAGTCCAAGTGCGCGAAATCAGAGATCTCATTAAGATACACGTGCCTGTAAAATTTCGGGCAGATCGGAAAAAGATGGCACTCTTAATCGACGAGCCGATTAAATCTGCCAATTTTAGCCCATTTAATCGGCCAAAACTCGCAGATTTTCAGAAATAAAATGCAGAGAATAAGATTTGGTCTCGGTCACCAGTTTGTTAAATACACAATAAGTCAACAAGTTTCAGTTCAACCCACTTCACCATGTTCCCCGCTGTGCTGGTCTCGGTCACGTCGAGTTAACAGTGAAGCACCATGTAACATGCAAGCTAAAGTTAGAGTTAGCCACCTGCTATTAGCCTTGCTACACTGTTAGCCGCGCCAGTAACAGTAGAATAAACGACAGTACACATTAGTGATCGAGCTACTTCTCTGACTGAGGCAGCTGCATGTCTCCAGATGAGACCAGATTGGAAATGAGTAACAGGAGTTAGGTTCAAAGGTTCAAAGGTTTCTTTATTTATACCTTGCGGTAAATTTTGTTTGCAGGCAGGAACCCAGCCGTCCAGATAAGACACACATAAAAACAACAATACAACAGTCAAGTACAAGAAAAAATGCCAATTGTTAAGAGCCTGGTCTGAGTCGGTCTTCCTGTCGGCGTGAAGAGCAGTAGCCCACAGTATAGCCAACAGTATATAGTATACTGTAGATATCTACCGTATCGGCCCCAAAAAATCCATATCCGTCGGGCCCTAGTACAAAGCGGTGCAGTTTGCCTCAAGCGTGCTGACCAGAGGGAAGATAGGGGCAAAGTTTGGAGGAGGAGTTTTGGAGAGTCCATGACAGGAACGTGAGACGGAGACATTCGCACATTTGGAGAAATGAGAACTTGTTGGTTTCTGTGGTCGACTGTTGCCTTTATTTCCACTTCAGCCTGAAGTCTCATGAAGATGATGCAACGACACATGGAGAACCAGTCCAGGACAGTTATTAGTCAAACTGAGACACCTGCACAGCTGAGAAAGTTCCAGGACTTTGTCGTATTGATGCTAAAGGAAAATATGAAAAATGTCTCTTTCCTGCTGCCTCTTTTTCTTCCTTTTGCAGTATTTGTGAGTTTGTGAATTTTTTTAAATATCACTGGATAAAAAGCGTCTGATTTATCTGGGGGAAACGTCCCGGTGGAAAATAAAAACCCGCAGGCCCAGATTAAGAAGCTGTCTGTGTTGCTCAATACGTCTAGAGGGTACAGTGAAAATAATGAGTTTGTTTTTGAAACCAGCCTCATTAGTGAGGGAGATACTCCTTTTCTCCTCTGAATTCCTGGTTCTGATACTGTAAGTAAAAGAGCAGAACAGCGGCGAAGAATAAGGACAGTGGAGCGTGCCATCTCAGCCTCGGGTGATGAGTGAAATCAGGGAGAAAGAGGAGGCAAGAGGGGGAGGAGGAGGAGGGGAGAGGATGCTTGGTTCGTGGAAGGAAAGGATGAGTCCTCCATAAAGCGAGGATGAGTGAGCGAGAGGAGAATAAGGTTAAGACGAAGAGAAAGAGGCTGAAGTCCATTAAAGGATCCACAATTAAATTTAGTGCATTTGACCCGACGGTTAGACTGACTTCATTCACACTAAGAGGTCAGAATAACGTTAACCCTCCCTTTATTGTTTCCTAAAGCACGTCTGCGTGTCAAACGAGATGATCGAAACTTCTCAAAAAGTCACATGAGCTACTATACGTCACTTTTTCACTCAAAGAGCTTTGGTTTCATTTTTTTTAAAGTCAGATTTCTTCATAAACAACTGGAAGATTTGAGCTCTTTAACCGTCTGCAGATCAAACAATCATTCAGTCTTTTTGAGCGAAAAGCAATGCTTCTGCTTTAACATGTCCACCACCAAAGACCACAGTAACGCGGCACGATTTTAGACAAAAATAAAACCCTTTTTTTTTCTCTCTGAAAACTTGATTTTGATTTTTTATTGAATGACAACTTCACCAAACTTTACTTAAATAAAAAGTTTTTCTATCATCTCGCAAAACAAAATAGCTGAAAACGATGTAGTGCATATGCCAAGCCAGTAAGTGGCGCTGCACAGGAAATGCACAAAAGGCAGAAGAAGTGTACAGCGCGCGCTTACAGGTCATTTTGTCCGGACACGTGCAGGCGCCATAAAAGAGTTACGCTGTGTGTCACATTTCCAGCGAGGCAGATAGACATCCACACGGAGATGAAATAGTCGTCGTTTACAGATTTATACACTCTCTGACCCGTTTTCAAAAAGTACGGTTTACAGTCACCTGAAAAGACCTTTCCGTGTGGATGAAACGCCGATACGACAAAAAACTTTGGCGTTTCCTCCTGAATTTTCTTCTATTGGAATAATTTATATAGTGATATAGACTGGAAGAACGCTTGGATCCTACCAAGGAAATTTCTTATTACAAATAAAGTACGAGAGGTTTCATTTAAAGTAATGCATAGATGTTATCCTGTCAAGACTAATTTAATCAAATATAAGATTGATATAGAGGCACACTGCTCATTTTGCGGAAACTCAGACGAAACAATATCCCACTTATTTTGGGAGTGCACTCATAGCCATGTCTTTTGGATTGATCTCAATAATTTTATAAATACCAAAATTGACTCTTCAATCAAATTAAATGTTCAACATGTGTTATTTGGACTTTCAAAAAAGGATGTTAGTAATGTAGACAAATCATATATTGTGAATCTTCTTTTAATTCTTGCCAAATATCATATTCATTGTGCCAAATTTGCAAACCATCGTCCAAATGTTAGTGTTCTTAAAGCTGTACTATCTTCTTATCTAGAAACTATAAAACATTGTAAAAACACTAAAGCTATCAAAACTAAAAGAATATGTGATGAATACATTAATGATTTATAACCTCGAGCATTTTCTTTTCTTTTTAGTTTTTTGTTTGAATTGATGCCTATAATATTGTTTTGTGACTACCTTTTGTCCTTTGGTTTGTGTTTGTACTGTTAATATGTGTCAATAAAAAATAAAAAATAAAAAATAAAAATGTTTCTGTGGTGACGGGTTAATACCGCCTTCAGACAGACTTTGCAGGGGGGAGTGGTTTACTCTTCACCTGAAACTGTGAAGTCATATCAATTCCATCGCCTTCTTTCGCAAACGCCATGGCCTGGAGTAAGGCTGCACGATATTGGAAAAAAATACTATTGCGATTTTTTCAACCCTGCGATATATATTGCGATATTAAAAATACAGTATTTTCACCAGATGACCTGAATAGCACTTAATGTTATGCTGCACTGCTGAAATCTTGAGGACAGTTAATCTGCTCTGATCTTACCTCTTTTTGTGAATGTTAGTAGAACGGCTTCTGTCTGTCTCAGAGATATTTTTAGCTTTTATTGTGCTGGGACGTTATTGTGGCAACAGATGAACACAGAAGACGTGTTTTGGTCGACATCATCCTTCTTTTAACCGAAATAATTCTAGATAACTGACTTTCCTTTTCTTTTTGGCAACAAATCTTTATTTTCTGTGGTTTTCGCTTGTTCGTTGCTCATTTTGCAATCGTTGTTGTTGTTGTTAGCGGTGTTGTGCCGAGAAACGCATGTCCTCCGAGAATTGCATGCACCTCGCAAAACGCGCACTGCTTATAGTAGAGTGGTCCACGGAAATGTACAATTTAAAACCCATACAGTTCTTATTTGTTGGGCTTAATAGTCATGAGTAAAGTTCCGAAAGTAATTCTCAGCGGACACACGTCTCCCTCCATGTGCAGGGGTGGGTTTTCTCCTCCCTGATTTTGATTGACAGCTGGCAGGGTAGTCTGATTGGCAACTGAGAAGTGAGTCTGATTGGCAACTGAGTTAAGGACGAAGGCGATTGGTGGATCGCTGCACAGCACATGCAGAGTCACATGGAGTGTATCTCAGTCGGTTACCCTTGAAATTAAATGAGTTCATTCACCTCCAATATCGCAGGCTCTGCGATGTGACTATCGCACACACGTACATCGCGATGACGATAGTCAAACGATATATCGTTCAGGCCTAGCCTGGAGGCACGAGACTTGATAGCACTTCTGTATATTTCCGGGGTTTGCGATTGAGATGAAAAAGATTCATGAGCCACAGAGGTCAGGTCGGTGCAGGTGCGTCCACTGATTTGCCTTTTAGTAGCAAATGTTTCATCAATAACCTCGAACCCAAACGTTGTAATTTGTTTAAAACATTAACCTCCCTCTAGGAGCTGGAACAAATCCAGGTCATGGACGGAGGGAACACAGACATGATTCAGCATAACGAGTTTGAGATAATGTTAAAAAAAACAAGCTCGAACCTCTAACAGCTGTAAAATTGTCATATCTTCAGTTTTCTGCATCCATGAGGACACTTTAAATAAAAACCAGAGCTTTAACAAAACACAGGATGAGACCGAAAATAGAAACGCTGAAAATAATCAAACCTTTGATGATTATATAAAGAATAAAAGTTGATATCATCTCCTGTCGTGTTTCGTCCAAAGTTCCTTTTACCTGTGCGGCAGAGCGAGCGCCCGCGAAACAACAGCGATAAAGAGAAATGAAAAGAAAAGGGATCAAATAAATCCCTGGAGTGAAGGAGGAGGTCTGACATGACGAAGCATTTTCTGCAGCGGTTACAAGTGTCCGCAGTTCCTGATGCCTCAGAGTCAGCTCATAAAAGACCGACAACTCGATGTGCGTTTATTACACACTGTGTCAGTCACATTTGCAGCGTATTTCTGATTTTGATCAAGTATAGATTCATTTAGAGTATTTGGTGGCTGAAATGGCTAACTGAAGGGTATAACAATGAACTCTAATTCTTTGAAATTTGAGGAAACAGAAGAAAAATAAAAAACACAAAAGGACGAGGAAGCTGAAACGGAGCCAAATAAAACCACCACATAAAAACAGCCTGTGAAAGAAAAGTCGAGGACACACTGACTCAGAAGTCCTGACGTCCTTGGGAGGTTTTAGAGCCTCCAGTCCCGGAAATCTGAATCTGTCCCTGTTTAGTTTTTAACCCTGACTCTGTGAGAGACAGAAGACCTCTGCCCCGGGATCTCAGACTTAATTTTGTTTGACGTAAATCGCTGAGTAGCTTCTTGACCCACGGATCACTGAAGCTTTTTTTGGATTTAGTCAGAATGAACCCCGTAATAAAAGGTCTCCTGATCAGAATCAAGGGTCACTAAAGCTGTTCGCCTATAAAACCGTCTCAGATCTTATTATGCTTGAAGGGGGCATCCAGACCTGACTCAGCTGGAGGATCGGGCTCATCACATCTGGACTGAGATGTGATGGGGGCACTGGAGGAACTGGAGCATGTCAGAGGAGATCCCCTGATACTGGTTTTACTTCCAGTCCTTGAATTTGTGTCCCGGATGATTTTAGACCTACTACCGGTTACAAGTTACATTTTATTGAACGACGATAATCTGAAGCGTAGATCTATCAGATGACGGTCAATCTACCGTTACCGTGGTCACGAGTGTTCGGCACATGCTCCGCAATTTGTATATCGGACTTTGACCAAGAAATAAAACAGAATAAAAAGGACGCAATAAAAGAAACATCTGTCATATGAGGCGTACAAAGATACAGAGCTGTAAAGTTATGAACCCATTAGCCCCTCGCCGTCGTGTTTGTTGACTGTTTTGGCGACACGGTACGTCAACAACCCGATCATAAAAAGCTATAAGGGGGACGTACTTATGTCAATAAATGGACCTCGGACCTTAGGACCGCAGAATTAAACTGAACTCATTCGGTGCCAATAACGGATTTGGACGGATTTTTCAGTTTTTTTGTTTTCCGCCAGAGGGCGCTCCTCCCCAACATGCGACTAACTAAGCTTGGGGTTGTTCTGAACGCAGAAAAGCCGACAAATACGTCATAACCATGTTACAATAAGAAAAATAAGTACTCGCCAGTGAGAAGTGCGCCAATTAGCCTAGTTGTGGAGTGTTTTTTTCTCTTTGAGGAGAGTAGTAAAACGCCAAAGTCATTAGCCAAGAGCTAACGGTCGTTTCTGGATCCAGTGGAGACCCTGGTACCTGACCCTAACATCGTCATGCAGACAATCAAAGAAACAATTTTTCGGTGTGTCGTTGTGCCGCCGGTGCCGGTACTGGTGAGCGAGACTGAGCCAGAATTCAGCGACGTGAGCAGTCATGGCGTCAGGTTCTCAAGAGCCAATACGACTCCCAACCTTCACAGAGTGACCGATCACAATCGCATCTGAGTGATGTCCAAGGAGGGAGGACCTTGATGCCACCAGTAAAATAGTTTGAAGTGAAATGAAACAGACGATCAGAGTTTGGCTTGAAAGTCTCTCCTTTGTAAAAATGTGTTTTTCGCAGAGATGATAAAGATGGTATGACCACGCCGCACTGAGCAGATGATAACTAAAGAAAAGAGTGGGTTAGAGACTAACTTTTTTTTCTGGTGAAAGAAAAGAATCACCCTTTTCTTTTGAGATATTACACTTAATTCTAGTCCAAACACAAGATATTCCGTGGGTCCTGAAAGATACAGACATTTCTATCGCGGTCGATGGTGGCACAGGGTGAAAATTGCATCATAACTCACATCAAAATCAATCAAACTATGAAGAGAGCGGCGTCTACGTGATCAGATAACCACAGCGATGGTCAGACAGCATTGATGGGGGTTATGGTGGTGATAATTACAGTCATACCAAAGGAGAACTGGTTCGTGTCGTTAGCCAAGTTCACAACTTCATCCAGTATTCAGTACCTGCAGATACTCCGAGCTCAGATACCAGGACTTTACAAAGCTGGATAAAGTCCTGGGGTTGCATGAGGCAAAATGCATTATAACCGAAATGGAGAGCGAGGCAGTAAATGACCACCACATGAACCAGAAGAGGACAGAAATCAATCGAGCCAGTCGAATACTGTAAACACAGATCAGAGCCTATAGACCACAACACGCACAGATGGCTGCTGTTCTACATACGAGTGCAGAGACGTTACAAAATCAATGTGCTGCTGCTGCTGCTGCTGTATTTCTGTACTTAGAGCAGATGGTTTGTGCACAGCCAGAGGCAGAACATGCAGCAGCTTCATACTGTGCGGTCTGACACATATGATGCCATAAAAAAAATCAATCGTCACGACTTTGAGCGTATGAACAGCCCTTCATTGTTTCAGGAGTCTGGAGGGTTAAAAACTTCTGTTTCCAGAATAAATCTCTTCATATTCGCAGAAATCTGATTTAGAGTTAAACAATCTTCATATTCTGAGAAAGTATCTTTCACTTCCTCTTCAGTTTGACTCAGAAAGGACAAAAAGGATTTTAAAACCAGAGCTGCAACTTTAAATGTTCCCATTGAAGGAGCTGAAACCAATCAAAGTTTGGGATTTTCTAACAGTGTGAAATAAGTTCTGACAGGACGTCAGTGTCTCTTTCTTTTCAGATCATTGAATGAAACCCTTTGAGGCCGTTTCTGAGTGAATGAACCATCTGTACTCCCATCGGAGATAAACCGAAGAGACTGAAGAGACGGAGAGGATTTCAACCATTGACCTCTGGGGGGGAAATAAAAAGGCCTCGCAGGGGAACCAGCTGCTTCCACTTGGCTTCATCTGAAGGAAGCAGCTGAGTTCATCCTGTTTTTGGACATGTTTGTGCTCGTGTCAGCCAAAAAAAACCTGATGATAATTCAGTCATACTTTACTGTGTAGAATGTAAACATGCACATGAGTCAGGACGCTGCAGATAGACAAATTCATGTCATTTTTATGACAAGAGCGGGACATTCATACGGTCTCTTCTTGACCACAGAATGTAACCGTGGAGGTGGGTCCAAAATCAAGATGTTTGTCGCCTTTGAGTGGCAGGATGGGGACACTTCCTGTCTGCTGTAGGGCCCCTTAGCTAATCCAGCCACAGAGCTGAACCTCTCCCTGGGGATTCCACAGGATCCGGAACAGCTCCGGACTGGCAGGCGGATCAAATACGCAGGCATACGGCGTCCACTGGATCTGATCCGCTGCAGCAAGCGAAGGAGAAGCGCTCGCAATATTATAATGTTATAATGATAATTCTTACAAGATTGGACAAGCTCTCATGAGATCTCGTATGTTTCCCCAAGAAACACTGAATGAGATCCGCCGATCGGTGTATATAAACTGCGTTTTATTGCTGCGTTCAAGTTACCTCAGGAGTCAGATGTCAGAGCTGAAAATGACGTCACATCCGAGTTACCAGCGTTTCAGTTACCAAGCCGTAAAACAGCAAAATTGGAGGTGGAAACAAGATGGCTACATCTACGAAAGGCATTTTAGTGCTTGCTTTGTCCAACTATAAGGTAAACGCTAAAATAACTTTCACACTAGGAACTCGGATGTGACGTCATTTTCAGCTTCTACATCCAACTTCCGAGGTAACTCGAACGTAGCATATATAAACACCCATGTCCCACAACCCTGGCCACAAAGTGACTTTATTTTATTTTGAAAATTAACAGGATATTTTACTCTGTAGCCACGTACAACCTCTGCTGCCACTCCTGCTGCGCTGCATTGAACTGATGCGCCGTGCTGCGGCGTCCGGCAAAAGTAGAAGCCTTGCATATCTGATCTGACCACCGAAGTGGATCCGCAGCGGAGCCGGACGAATTGTTACGGACACACATTGAACATAATGCTTGCATATTTGATCTGCCTGCTGATCTGGATCGGAGCGCAGACGCTCCAGAAACAGCGCTGCTGAAAAGACCCATATCGCCCCCTAGTGTTGGGGAGGAGGACACGTTCATGTCAATAATTCGATTTTCACAGCTGCATGTAAACGAGGACAAGGAGAGAAGTCCGATTCCTTAAAAAAACGAACTATGATCTTAGTCCAATTAAGCTGTGCATGTAAACGCACTGAGTGTGTTCAAGTTATGAGAAATATTCTGCTGAATGTGTCTGAGGGCCTCCAACGGGACGCCTGAGAGCGAGCGAATCAAGGAAATAAAAGTATTAATATAAGGACTGCATCACTGCAGCGCTGCCGGCTTTAGAGCTCCAGACAGATGGTGGTGTCACCGATATCTGCTTAAAGATGTCGCCCTAAATCCCCTGCTCTAATACACACACACACACTGCAGACACACACAGGCAGCCAGAAGTGTAGTGTATTATGCATGGGCTTGTGGAGCCATAAAGTACTCAAGATTAAAAGGTAGGAGTGTGTGTGTGTGTGTGTGTGTGTTTTAATCTGGTGGGGCAGAGTGAGAGGAGTGAGGTGGTTCTGTACGTGTCAGCAGCAGCAGCAGCAGCTCTGAATCAAACAGCAGGGAGGATGACGGGCCGCTCGCTGTCGGCTGTAGCATGACATTTATGTCTCTGCTCTTCAGATTCATAAATCCATCTGCACGACTCACTTTCTTACTCTCCTTAAAAAATTACATTATGTATAAATCCAATAAACTGTGAAGTGTTTCTGCCTGTTCAGATACCAACTGATCAATCAGCAGAGACCGAGATGATGGGATTAGAAAACCAAGAATGGCCAGCGCGGATTTTCTGGGCTGATACTGAACCGCACCTGATGTCAACTACAAACGAGATTTCATATAAATAAATAAAAAAAGAAGAGAGTTTTTTTTTTTTTTTACATTTTGTATTTGAAAGTTTTAATTTTATGGACATAAGGGGGAAAAAGGCCAAAAGTGAGTGAGAAAAAATGCATTATTTTTTCCATTATTATAATTATTCCATTATTTTGCTTTTTTTTTTAAATGTACGTCACGATTCTGACTTTTAGATTTAATAATAAAATGAATAAAACTGTTTTATTACTCTGCCTAAATTATTATGTTTTTACAGTGAATCTGCTTACTCAGATTTCTACGCAGGAATATTACAACCCTATATCACTAAGAGGACGGTGTTTAAAGTAAAGAGACGGAGAGGACTGGCAGGAAGCGGTTTAATGGTCAGCTGCAGAGTAATATACATGAGGGAATTCATAGCTTAAGCACAGCACTGATTGGCATTTAAGTCTCTCACAAGCTGACCAAGATGATGGTTATGTTTGCCTCTTCTGGAGGAGGAAGGGCAGCGTAGAAAACGGGGAGAATGAGGGGAAACAGAAGAACGTCTGTATACAGGGGGTGGGGGTGTAAACTACGGCGATAAATTATTGTTCACGATATATCGTCAGAAAAATCCTCCATGATAAATATTTACCATCTCACGATAAATACAATAAATAAAATTTGATGACGTTAGTGTGAACGACGGACTCGCAGCCGTGGTGATGAAGACGTTTCTGAGCAGCTCGTTACTGTAAGAGGCTCCAGATGACAGATTTCCTTTAAGACTGGAGTTTAGATGAGTTCGATCAGGTCTGCCTGACATCGGACAGTGGATCTGTTCAATCTTTGGCAATAAGAGTTGAAAATGTTTTCGCATTTGAGACTTGTTTGATGTCATTAGTTTTCTCCATAACCTACCACTCAGGTCGTTATAGTGTAGAGGTTTGAATTGATGCTTGAGAACTTCAATGGCTTACTCAGATATCAATTAGTGCCTTTAGCTAGCCCAGCGACACAGTTCAACAAAAATCCACTCTGGAAACGAAGAAAAAATATAAAGAATCTTCAGTTTTATTTCTCAAATCCAAAGATATTATTCCGCAAAATTACAAAGAAAGTAGCAGGCTAAAGGTCCTTTCACACCGAGACCGTTTTCTTTCGTGCGATTATTATTATTATTAGCACTGACTGCCCGGCTCACGATCAACGAAACATCTCACGCACATATGCGGTCTTAAAGGGGGAAGCGCCCTTTTTATCAACATTCACCAAATCACAAGAGAACATGAACTCTGGTATATTTTTGACATTTTTAACCACTGTTTGAATTTATGAAAGAAACTATTGATCTTTTTCACACATTCAATCATGTTAACTGTATTTATAACTATGAACTGTTCTTCCACCTCTACATATAGATTAGAATTATAATATTTTTTATCTGGACTTTTATCATTATCGCTAGATCGGCAAATCTTAATGTGATAAATTTTTTAGCCCATATCGCCGATCTCTAGTATGAACCACTAGGCCAGCAGGGACCAGGGTGAAATCTTGAGACATGTTGAGTAACAGTAACTGGAGTAAACAACAACAAAAACAAATGTCTTCTCTACGTCATACAGGGGGTATTAGATCGTATATGACGTTTTATATCAATAAACACACAGTCAAATGTTTCGACAGCTAAATAATCCTCCATGGCTGTAAACAAAGGTTGCCTAGATTAAATTTACACTCCCTCAGACGAACAGGTCGCTAAAACCTAATTTCCTTGTTGTCCAAAAGCAGTGCTAACATCCTGAAGCAACACTTGAAGGAAACTTTCATCTCGACTGCAGCAAAAATCTATTCAGGAGGTCTAAATCAGAGGAGATGTCATCTCACTGCTGCACTCCGACTGCCTGTAGTCTCTCATGCAATCACACAGTCCTTCCTGCTTCATCTCTAATCGCCGCTAACTCACTTTGAAGCACGGAGCAGATGCCCTGGTAAGTATTAGATACACATCAGACGGGGTCCAGAGACAGAGGAAGCAGAGTGGAGCCCATTCTGGTCTCTAATGTGATAAATCTGCTGCCATGCATTGACACCGGGAAACAGCAGCGTTACGTAAGCCGATAACCTGAGAGCATTTCTGCTAAAACAGAGCCGTGTGTGAGCGCTGACTTTGACCAACAAATGAACTCTGAGTGGCACACAAAGACAGGACTGAATCCTTCACACTCTCGCCAAAATCCAGTCTGTATTTTTCCTTTGAAGAGGCAGAGAATATGACTGATATCTTTAAGTCTCCTGTTGCGTTTATCATCATTTACCTTCATGGATTATGTGTTTATTTGTACATTTCATCTATAAAACCTCAGACAACAAAGTTTGGAAATGTGCAAAAGTGTGCAGTCAGTTTAGAGGACTGTCAGTAAACCTCTGCTGATGTTTAAAGAGGCACTGAGGGGTTGACTTTCCAGTATTACTCTTCCCAAACTCAACAATCATCATATTAATGCAGTCCTTTCATATGAAGATTACAGTTTGATGTGATATGAAGCGTTCCCAAATACCTGGACACAAACAGAGGGGCTAAGGTACCTCTTAACACGACTCAAACAAGACCCTGATCCAGCTCAGCGTCTCTACATCTGCAGGATGAGCTCTTATTCAGCTGACAGCTCATCTCTACAAGCAGACACAAAACAAGAGCAAACTGTACGAGGCCGGCCTGTGAGGGATTGAATATCGTAACGGCAACATCTGATGCGCTCCTGTCGGTGCTATTCCACTCATACAGAGCTCGCCTCTCCGTATCGGTTTCAGGCGTGAGACATTTCCACTCCACAGCGCCTGTGATTTTCTCCCAGCTGTCTGTGCTCCCAGTCTTTTCTAGTTGAATCTGCATATTTTATTCTGCTGAAGGTGTATGAGAGTGATGAATGAATCATGTCACCGGCAGTAACTGCTACTACAGCTGAGGCTGTGAGTCATCTGGAGACTGCTGGAGCTCTCAACACTGACTGACGAGTTCAGCGGGAACAGATTTATTTTTATTTCAAACACTGATCTGGACTTCATCGTACTGAGTGTAGTGATGTTACCTTGTAGCCCATGGTTGTGGGGTACCCCACGCTGTGTTGCTGTTGTTGTTGCTTAGAAACAGGCTGCAGCCATCAGGTTTCCCCTCATCTCCTCTGTGGATGAAGACATTTACAGTTTATTCGTACTGCCAGCTCTCTGTATGGGATGATATAACCAGACACATTTTATCACATACATAAAACTCAAACTCAAAACCCGGTTCAATAATGTACTTCTGCTTGCAACTTGAGAATGAAAGCATTACAGTATGTGTCGTCTTTTACACCCGGTGTAATTCATCTTTGCTTTTGGTTCCCCTTTGCTCACAGTCTTTGACGGCAGCGTATACACAGCAGGAAACTCTCTGCTATTTGTGACCTGATTAGAAGTTTTAATCAGCCTGGGTTTGAGGAAGTGGATGTGTGATTAACTTGTACATTTTACAAGTCTGTGCAGTTTTTTGTAGATCTGTTACCATGGAGGAGCGAGCATGATAAACAGTGTGTGATAACACTGCATCTCGTGTCTTTTTAGAGGCGCTCAGTGTGCTTCTTGACTGTTTGAGAAAGTATGGACTTGTGCAGTTTTATTAAAGGGATACTCCAGCGTAAAATTAATCCAGGGTCAAACGCACCGCAACACAGTTAGACACCCCCTGGAGAGATGAATGTTGCTGACCGCTTACCAACTTTAGTAAAGAGACTAAACACAACTCACCTACTCTCTTCCAGCAGCCGCTTGTTTGTAGCGAGACCTTAGGCCAGTCCATTATGGACTACAGCGGAGTGACGCAGCTCAAGGAAGAACATTTATGATCATTACTTCATGGAAATACGATCAGACTGAGACGCTAAGGCAGAAGAACTCCTGCATCTGCAGAGCAAAATGATTAATATGGTGATTATAACTTCAAGAATGATCAAGAAATGATCACAAATGTTCTTCCTTGAGCTGCGGCACCCCGCTGTAGTCCGTAATGGACTGGCCCGAGGTCTCGCTTCAAACAAGCGGCTGCTGAAAGAGAGTAGGTGAGTTGTGTTTAGTCTCTTTGCTAAAGCAATTAGGCTACGTTCTCACTGCAGGTCAATTCCGATTTTTTAACCATATGTGACACATATCCGATCTTTTTCATCTAAGTGTGAACAGGTCAATTCTGATTTTTCAAATCCGACCCAGGCCTCTTTTGTATGTAGATATAAATCAGATATGTATCCAATGTGACTGCAGTGTGGACGCTCAGGTCACGTTCATCCGACCTACACGTCATCAATATGCAACAAACGTCACCATTGTTCGCCAGACAAACAGGCGCGGAAAGCAATTTGTGCCACTTGTGTCACTTCACGGACGCATTGCGTTCACATTAGATGCCGCATTCGTTGTTTTAATGTGAACGACCGCACAAAAAGATCGGATTTAACAAAAAATCCGAATTGTGCATCATAACCTGCAGTGTGAACGTAGCCTTAGTCAAAGTTAAAAAGATGTTTGGTGGCTAGTACTATGTCTGTGACCCTATATGTCCTGTTGATGAAGTTAGGTGCTGTTCTGAGCATTATTTGTGGCTATAGAGTGGCGTTTTGGTTGAGGGTGGGGCTCTCTGTATTGCTATCCTGCGGTCGTTACTTAAGTTGGTATAACTAGAGAAGCAAGAGGTCGGCAACATTCATCTCTGGAGGGGGGGTCTAACACGGTGTTACAGCGTTTTTGACCCTAACTTAAATTTACACCAGAATATCCCTTTAAGTATAAGAAGTAGCAGTAGTAAAGTAGGATAACGTTGTATTTCATTATTTTAATTTCTGGCACTTTCTGAACATTCTTCAATGTATCCTGGTGATGTATTTTGTTTTTGGTTCCATACTTGGGTTTATTTCAATAGTTACTTATGTCTCAGAGGGTTGTATTGATTTTATGTGTCTTGTTTACATTCTGATTGGTGGAGTTGGGGGTACTTTATATCATATTTACACGTTTTACATATTTATTTCTCACTGTGTGGTTTGAGGTTGTTTTGTTATCAGGTGTCAAACTGGGTCACATCATCTTGCTACAAAAAAACTCGACCTGCAACGCAAACAAAATAAAGCCATGTAGTTCGCAGAGTCGGCCACAGGGGGCGGAAGGACAAACTAAAACTTCAACACGAGAGTTTTGAGTTTACTCTTTGCATACTCAGACTTTTCCTCAACATCTATCAGGCCCTTTATTTAACTAACATTTAAGAGGAAACCCCCCAACAGTCTAAAATACTCTGACTGAAAAGAGTAGTTATTGATAGTACCTCACACAAAGCCCTCAAAATTTAAACCTCTATTTGAGCACAAAACCGTTTTAGTGATTAAAATTCTCCTACATCAGTCAGTTTAAAAAGTTAAGTTCATTTTTAACATCTGTGTGAACAGTGGCTGAGAAAGTTGTTGTTCACTTCCTCGCTTCCGCACAGAAATACAGGTGTCTGAAAATGTGGTTAATGTTTTGCAGTTTATTTAACCGTAAAACTGTCTGCCTCCCATGTGGTTGATGTTTTTCTCCTTTTATTTGACGTGTATTGTCTTTGTGAATTTGTGTTATTGAGTTTTATTAATGTTTTTTTTTTCCTAGACTTGGTCGAGGGGAAGGAGGAAGTGAAAGGGAAACAAGTGATGATCAGACAAAAACAACAAAAACAAAAAACTAGACACAGAGAGAGAGAAAAGGTATGGAAGCCTTCAGCTGATTAAAGTTGATATCCATTTGCTTCCTCTGGATTTATAGAAAATATCTTGCGATGATCTGATTTTCATAATAAACGTTTCTCAAACATTGTTGTTTTTCTTTATTTTCATCATTCCTCTTTTGCTTCATGTTATGATACCAGAGCTGATTTTCTTAGGTTAAAGATTTTTAAACTCCCTACTTGCTGTATTGAGATATAACTTTCAGGATGCTCTGCGAATACAGTGTACAAAAAGTGCTTTTTTTCAATGGATTAAGTATGTATTTATAAAATCCCCTCAAAATGTCCTTTAAACGTGTAAAACATAAACACAGTGCCATCTAGGTGTTCTTTCAGTGTGTCAGAAGTAAAAAAACGGTGCCCTTCTGATGCCTTCCCAGTGAATATAATGGTAAAAAAGGTTCCCTCTGGATACAATTCTAGTCTGGATGTCCTTTCGCTATACAAAATACAACAAAAGTGTCTTCTGGATGAAAACCTCAACAAGTATCCTCTTAGATTATGAAAAGTAAGTAAGTGCATTCAGGAAATTAACAAAACTTAATATGTTATCTATTTGGTGGTTTCCTCAACAGTAAAGTTAATGTTTCGCTGTATACTACTGCCAACTTATCTCACCAACCCCGGAAACACCAGTGTTTCCGTTGATAACCAGTATTCTCTGAGTATTCTAGATGTTTTAAACAAAGTCTGGGCCAATTGCTGCTGTTATCCTAGTGAAGCAGAACAGTTTTTCTTGTGATATTGATAAATACTTTCCCCAAAAATAATCTTGACTTATTTTTCTCTTGTTTCTTGAGATAACAGAACCCCCAAAAAAACGTTTTCTATGGTATCTGGGATAGCTTACATTTAGCCATTTCTCAATTTTATACAAAAGAATATTTCTGTTTGATTTTTTTTGCGACTTTTGGCATTTGAGTCATGGCTGTTTGATGTGAAGATGGAATATCAATGAAAACAAAACAAAGTAAGGTAATTAAAATGTATGGATGCATGTCTATTTTGGACTTCCATAAAAACAAAACTAAATTCTTCCAAAAAAATAAAAAATAAAAAAAAAGTACCCCAGGAAGAGATAAATTGAAAATGAGAAAACTACTTATAATTTTTCGACCAAAAATCGTTTTGTTTTTTTTCAGTGTCTTTATACACTTACTTCAAATACAGCAGCTGACCGCCTATGGTGCAAACAGATTAATTTAAAGGCAAATCACAATCAGATATCGTCTTTTTATCACCACAAATACACGACAAACCGCTCGGATTGATGAGTCCACGCTGTATTGATCCCCACATTTTGATTCTTACTCCATCTTGTTTATCTTTAGCTCCTCATAGGTGTTACGCTCAGATTTGCTGACCTGCCTTAAGTGATGCTCCTCAGTTACTTGCGCACGAGCCGCCTCGTTCCTCTGATTTGTCGTCGCTACAGTCTCGAGCAGGTCGTTGTTATTCCCGCCGCCATGTTTCCCGTGAGTCCCCCCCTGCGTGTGGCTGTCCCGCCGCTGTCCGTCCGTACGGTCCGAGGCCGCGGTCGTTGTCCGGTGGCATTTGGAGGCGCACGAACCAGATCTACGAATCCCCCTTCTCCCTTCTCCGTCCGTTACCCCACCGCGCAGGACGCAGCAACGAGCGTCGAACTAACGGAAGGTAGTAAGTGCGTTTCCGGGGAGGTTTTCAAAATAAGAGCCGAGAGAGTGGCTAGTTGGAGTAAGCATTGGTACGAATGAGAAACAGATAAATAATCCAAGTTAAAAATATCGATAAGCATATTGATAACACAGTGATGAATAGGCATCATTCTTAACTGAACTGCATAAAAAAATCTCTTTTTTAAATTTCCTCTAAAAATAAATACCCAATATCTTTAACATGTTTTCTTAAATGGATATTCCGGCGTAAAATTAATTTAGGGTCAAACACACAGTAACACCGAGTTAGACTACCTCCCCACTGTAGTCCGGAATGGACTGGCCTGAAGTCTCGCTACAAACAATCGGCTGCTGGAAGAGAGTAGGTGAGTTGTGTTTAGTCACTTTACTAAAGAAATTAGTCAAAGTTAAAAGGATGTTTGGTGGCTAGTGCTATGGTTGGGACCCTATATGTCCTGTTGATGAAGTTAGGTGCTGTTCTGAGCATTATTTGTGGCTATAGAGTGGCGTTTTGGTTGAGGTTTGTTTATGGCTCCTCAGACCGCTCTGTATTGCTATCCTGCGGTCATTACTAAAGTTTGTATAACTAGAGAAGCAAGCGGTCTGCAACATTCATCTCTCCAGGGGGTGTCTAACTCAGTGTTAAGGTGTGTTTGACCCTAACTTTATTTTGCGTCGGAATATCCCTTTAAAGGGGGAATTAAAAGGAGATAAATCATTTCATCGAGTCTACCCATAAATAAAAATAAGAAAGGAAGCCCTACAGGACATTTTGTTTGATTTTTCAAAACTGTAGATCATTGTATAATTCCTGCTTTGAGAGTGTCTCAAACATCATGAGTGTTTGGTCTGAGGTTAGGCATTAACTGAAGCTGGTCGAAAGCAACTGAAACTTATTGAACATGTTATAATTTTGTTCAGCCAGGACTGACTGTACCTTTAAATTTGACTCTATAATGGGCGAAAGAGGTCTGGATACTTGATACAAAAAATACAAAAAACAAAAACAGATAAATAATCCCTTTGGGTGTATACATAAATCCTAAAGTTTAAAACTCGAATTCTTTGGCTGTTCAAATTTAGATGATGGGTAACATTTAATTCAAATGGGGGTTTGATGTACATATTTGGAACAAAATAATAACAGGAAGTTACATTTTTATTGGGTTTACCTTCAGAAGCGAAAGTATCCAAATTATCTGGCTGCTGTAAGAGAGCTAAGTTGTATTCTATTTATCTTTAAAATTGGAGTGATAACACACATTTTTGCAAATAGTGTATCGCTTTTTTCACATTTTATTTTGAAGGGAAAATATGATGAAAATCATCATATATCCGGTCCACTCGTGTTTAAATCATTGTAACTTGATGGATCTCTCTGCAGCAGCCGAGACACGCAATCTCTCTGCAGAGAAGGAGAGAGATGTGGATGAGAGCAGAGACAGAGGGCATCTTTACTTAGAGCCGGTGTGTCCTCAATCCGAAATTTATCATTCATTTTATTTTGAAAATCATCACTACCACAAATATCATCATTCTACCACACTGGGTTTCTGTACGTTAGTTAAAATGTAAAAATCAATGTTGCTAGTTTAACGTTTTCATTTGTTCAATGTTGTGTTTTGTCAAGCACAGTATTTCATAATAAAAGAATAAAATAGATGACAATTTGTTCTCAAATTAAGTATTAACATGGAAAGGTAAATCAAAGTATGTCCCAAAGAAGTTAAACAAATCAAAATTAGTATATTTTGTTACCATCTTTAAATATTAGGTACCAATGAGATAATTAAAAATAAATGTATTATTGTTATTGATTACATCCTATGGTTTCCGGCCTGTACCTTAACACTGAGGAGCCACTAAAACAGGGGCCTCTTTCCAGGTGACCCGTAACTTTTTTGGCGAAAACAGGAAAAAACATACACCATGTATGCCAGCCAGCAATTTATAAAGACATATCTAAACATCATTTTAAATTGAATACACACGTTTACTACACTTATTTACAAAATGTCGTGAAATGGATTAACAAAACATGTTCCCTGACCGGGAATCGAACCCGGGCCGCGGCGGTGAGAGCGCCGAATCCTAACCACTAGACCACCAGGGAGCTGTGTATTGTAAAAACATAAAGAGTATTGAACGTGTAATTCACGTTGTTATATAGCGACATAATGATGAGATAATCAATGATGAGAGAAAACATGACATGGTTTATTTAACACGAACATGACGTCGCCTCTTCAGCTTCAACTGGTCTATACGTCACGTCCATAGCCTGTATATATGTACAGTCTATGGTTACGTTCGAGTATGATACCACTGCCTTGTTCTCCTCACGTCATAATGGCGGTTACACAGCCAGCTAACTGAAATTAAATGATACATTTATACATTTTTACCATAACTTACAAATGTTAACTTAAATTGGAGAGTCGAATACATCACTTTCGTTATGACGTACATTTTTCTCTTTTAACGTTTGTCTCTTTATTCTTGGGATCCAGGTCCTAAACGATTTTCCAGGATGGAGAACATTTTCCGTTTGTCTCACTTGTGTTTTTCGTCATTTCAAACATTAGAGCACCAAAATGTCACAACAAGTTGATTCCGGGCGATTTTTTTGCAGGAGGGATTACTTATTCTTCACTTTTGTGGTGAAGTAAGGGGTTTCCTTCCTTATCTTTTCAGAATTTCAGCAACCTTTTTTGTCACACCAGCCACGGCTACGCTTCCACCCAAGCTGTTCTGTCACAAAGGGTAAAAGTATAACCAGGTGGACGTAACAAGGTGGACTTAAGTATGATTTTGACCGAAAATAGAACAAATTAAACGAGTGAGATGAATATTTTTATAGAGTAATTTTTACTGAAAGAAGCGTGGACCTCGTGGCGCAACGGTAGCGCGTCTGACTCCAGATCAGAAGGTTGCGTGTTCAAATCACGTCGGGGTCAAAGTCCTTTTCCTCTTGGTCGTTCTTAACATGCATATCTGCGCAGAGCTTCTATACTCATGTCTTGCTTTGTCTTGCCCTAGCAAAGAGACTAAACACATCTCACCTACTCTCTTCCAGCAGCCGCTTGTTTATAGCGAGACCTTAAGCCAGTCTATTATGAACAACAGAGGGGTGACGCAGCTCAAGGAAGAACATTTATGATCATTTCCTTGAAGTAATCATCACCATATTAATCATTTTGCACTGCAGATGCGGTAGTTCTTCTGCCTTAGTGTCTCGGTCTGATTGTATTTCCAAGAAGAACTGCAAAAACACAAGCAGCCGACAACATTCATCTCTTAAGGGGGTGTCTAACTCGGTGTTTGACCCTAAGTTAATTTTTTCGCCTGAATATCCCTTTAACATCAGCGTTGGAATTTTCTAAAATATTCCAATCACTCTAAATTTTCCCCCAATAAGTGCATCCCTAAGATTAATGCTTTGATGATGGCAGTGAAAATAATAAAACACATCACAAAATAAACTGTAAAATGTTAATAATAAGCAGACTATTAGAAAAAAAATGTTTGAATAGTGAGACTAATAATGCTGTTTTCTGAATCCTTACATGTTATGATTATAGGGTTTTCATTCTGGTTCTTGGACCCGACTCATGAGTATTTCATTAACAGCCAAGGAAAAACTAGAGCGTTTGCTACTGAAATACTTTTTTTTGTCCCCATCATCTTCACCCTTGTATCTAAATGTGCCGCACGTTGTTAACCTCGATTCTTTTTAAAGACTGACCCACATTTGTGATGACTCTGTGTAGTCACACAGGGGGCCGCGGTACAGATGACAGCATAAAAAAATTCATTGTTATATAGATGACTTGGTTTCTTCAAACGTCAACCAGGTTTGACTTCCTACCTCATAACCCTCAGAAATAAAAGAGCACAAGTATTTTAATGTTGCATGAATATAGAAAATATAAAAAATATTCAACCCATGATTCACATTGTTTTATAGTGACTTTCCTGCAGAATATGTTAAGCATATAAATGTTAAGCACATAAATAAAACAAATCTGCTTAAAAAAGATCCAAATGCTGGCACACATTAACTATTGACAGAAATATAAAACCTTCCTTTTACATTGAACACTTTTATAACAAAGTAAGGTAATAAATTCAACTTTTACGGGTGAAAGTCAATTTTTAACTTGTATCCTGCCTCTGTAACCAAATTGTGAGAGGATGTAAATCCAAGCAAATAAAACTCTATAACTGAATGGTGATATGAACCATTAAAACTGTGCTGGGAAAAAAATAACTCAGTTAAACCAAATGTATTTAGGTGTGTGTATTTTAAGATCTCTGTGACTCCTGTTATGACCACTAGATAGCGCCAAATGAATGGTCTGACAGCTTGTAGCTTCTTCATCAGCTTATTTATCTTACTTGTACATGTCAGTCAGCACTACTGTTGTCCAAACCAATAATTTTGACATTTACATGAAATAAAAGTTCATTTAATAGTAAGAATTAACCACTCCAGCATTTTTGTGCAATAAAAGGTAATAAAGTCAAAAAAGTATAAACAAAAAGTAAGCTTAAACTGAATTCAGTGACATACAGAGCACATTTTAAGCTTTGGTCTCAGACAAGCGGAGGCTGACTTTCTTGCGGGTGTGGTCGCTGCAGCGCTCCATGATGAGCTCCGCACTCGGCCGAGGAGGGATCACCGGAGCTTCCTTCTTTCGCTCGCTCTCCGAACCGGACCCAGACTGCTCAGGGATGTTATCTGTTGGTTTACAGAGACAGTTATTGGGCTTTGTTGATTTTAGGAGGAGATTTTTGTGCTGATGATTGACTGTATGTCTTCTAAACTGTAGAATAAAATGAACTGGATCAGTCTACAGAGATGAAATCAGTGTCATTGATTTCTTTCTAACGTGCCAACAGTTTTCATTTATAATTTTGTGTTTTTAGATCGAAATATGGGGTGAGCATATTTACAAACCTCTCAATTACACTTTGATTTTCCTTGTGCCTATTGTTTATTATTAGTAAAATACAGATTTAAATGTATGCTTTAAAGGTGGGGTAGACAGGATTCCACTGAAGAAGCATCTTTTTTGTGGTGTTTATACAAAAAATCTTTTAATATCAGTCAATAGTTATTAGTTATTGATGACATTTGGGAATATAATGATATCGTTGTGTTCTGTTTTGTCTGTGTAGTCAACATTTTAACATGTTTGAGCGGCCCGCTCCTTCTGACTGTAAACAAAGCCATTCTTTGCCTCCCCTAACGTGATTGGTTGTGAGGCAGACGCTGCTCCCTCGTGTTGTGAGGCACGCTCCACATCCTCGTGCACGAGCCCAAACAAAGTTAGCGTGCTACAACATTGGACAGTAGAAACCAACCGGAAAGTACGGAAAATGGTCTGAATCCTCCTTTGGCCACGATTGCCGACACAAGCAAGAAAACAAAGTAAATACCGGAGACTCTGGAGGAATAACGGGCGCTTAAAACGGAGGTAGACCGGACAAGAGCTAAAAAGCCGGGTCAACATAAACGATGGGGGACGCTTGGGGATCTTGGTGACCCTGTAACCTTTCTGCTGGACAGGTAAACCGCTTTAACAAAGTAAGACAAGTGTCTGTAACAGAAGTGTTTCTTGTCAAACGGACCTGCTGTAGCGTGTTGTAGCGCCATGGCTAAACTGTCCTCCCTCGGGTCCTGGACTATGTCACTTTATCCTAGTTGTAGAAGTCCTGCAAACATTGTGTTTGCTGGTAGTCTGTTGGCATCTACAGTAGCACCAATGCTTTTGACTTTCACCTTGACTGGGCCCCATTTTTAATCATCTTCAGTGTAAACATGTTTCTGTCTTCTTACCCTGGTTCTTCCTCTCCCTCAGCGGTGACTTTGGAGCATTCCTCACGTTCTTGTTCTCCGTTCGTCGGCTGCCTTTCTGCTGGAGGTACCGTCGGCTGTTCCTGCGGTACGTGTCCTGGCTGATCCGCTGGCGAGCTTTGTTGTGGATGCTCTTAGCGTTACTGATGGATGACCTGAAGGTGGAGGAGGAAGCGGATAAACTCTCAAGTCAGTGTTGTGGTTTAAATTGTTATTTTTCAATGAGTATAAACTGAATTTAAGTCTCATACGACTAGTTTAAGCATGCAGTTAGATATAGATGTAAACATTTTTTATGTTGTATGACTTTTATGTGACAGAATCTTTTAATTTTACAGTGTTTATGGTGTTATTTTGTACTTGCCTACGCGGTGGTGGTTTCTGTCTCTGCATGTTCAGCCTCTCTGCTTCATATATCTCTTTCTTGCCAGCCTTTTGCAGAAACATGGAGGGAAAGTAGCCCGTCTCATCTCCTTTCCTGCAGAAAAACAGCTGAGGATTAAAGACGAATTCAAGTATTTTACAACCTTGTTTTGTTTTAATCATATTCCGGGGTTTCTAGAACTGTTCACCCTTGTTCTTATTATCCACTGCTATCTTCTAAACTGTTTGTGCAAAGAGATTAAAAACTTCTTTCTTCTAAAAACAACCACAGTAGGAGCTCTGAGACTGAACTGGAACACTTCGTCATAGGGTTGGTAGATAGAAGCTGAGCTGGATGCAGTATAAAGCCCCACACCACACTAGGGTGACCATATTCTGAATCCTCAAAAAGAGGACTCGACTACCGGGAGCAGAGTCATGGAGTCGCACGTAGTTAATTTTTGAGTTTTGGGGGCGGATCGAGTGTCTTTTACACGCTTCCAACTCAGTAAATCTAAGCAACACAAACTTGAAACTTCCAGACAAAACCCAAGATGTTTAAAGGATTACATTATCTTCCCCGCCGAACAAGGCTGGACAACCCCCCAAAAAAGAGGACATATCCGGGTAAAAGAGGACGTATGGTCATCCTGCACAACACCTGTCCTACTGTTTTTACATACCTTTTATTTTTGTTTATTGCAGCTTTGGGAGTGCGTACATACCTGACTACCCACCAGCCGTCCAGCAGTTTGTGAATCACCTCGATGGTCTCACCCAGCTCCAGAGAGATCTCGTCCCCCTGCTCCGCCTTATAGGCTCTGACGGTGATGTGCAGCTCTCCTGCAAGAGGACATAACATTGTTATAAAGACACTCAGAGAACGACTGTGAGAATATTTGATTAAGAGAATATAACAAACAAACAGCAGACCTTCGTAATTCGGTTCAGCCTCTTCTGACTCATCTGGCGTGTCCAGAGGCTCCAGATACGAGGAAGGGACCCAGCCGCGTTTCGACTCACACTGACAGAACCACCAACCTGAACACAGCAGAGGGACGACAGCAGTTCAACACAGAGCTCCAATCATTGGAGATATAAGATTATAACAGTATATCCTACTGACTCTCCTCAAAGTGAGGCTTTGTGGCGCTTTGAGGACGAAGACAGCGGTTGTTGTGCTCAGACCTTGGTAAAAAGTCATCAAATATACGCTCAGACTAACCGTGCACAGCATGAGCAGTAAGTGGAGAGAAAGAGCGGGGAAAGGTGATGCTTTTTACCGGTCTCACAGAGCAAGTGGATTTTACAGAGTAGCTACTTCATACCGCTCTATGTTTGGAGCTGCAACATTTTCTTTACAGTGTCAGCACCTATATGAACACATGATGATATCTCTACTTTGCTTCAGTGGTCCAACATATAAGAGGCCGGGAAGTAAGACAGGTAGAAAGACCTAAAAAGTCGACTTAGGTCTCAGTTGAGGATATGGATCAAAGAACTCAACTGGGACTTGTTTGCAAATGAAAAAGTCACCGCAAATTTGTAATTTCAACCCAAACTGAAGTTAATTTTGCATGCATTCAATAAAACAGACAGCTTTGGTGTTTCAACAAAGAGAAAACACTTTTTTTAATCCTCACCATTCTGGTTTTTCTCCACAATTTCCACCTGGTCTCCGGTGTGCAGGTTGATCTCGTGTTTGGACGTCTTTTCATAGTCTGCAATGACTCGGTACGTGTCCAGTATGATGGGGCCGGAAATCTCTGAGAGGTGAAACACAATCATCTTTGAAATTTTAGGAAACATCAGCAACAGTCTGAAGAAACTGACGTTACAAAACTTCATCCAGCTGTAGTTAGTTTGATTTGTAGCTCATGGGAGAAATCAAACAAACAGCAAACATTAAAGGAAGACATTTAAAAGACATCAGACGTGATCTTTATCGGTGTTTTAGTCTGAAAAGTTATAAAAAGAAGTTTTAAGTCGGTCTTACCTGACGCGTTATCTCTGGCTGTTTCCCTGGACTGCACAAAGTTCTCGTTTCTTTTCAGTCTGAGGATAAAATCACATCTTTATCAGATCAGTGAGTCTAATAGAGAGTTTAGTTTAGTTTTGATACTTGTGAATATTAATAATAGTAGGGGCTGGGTTGGCTGTGGTGTACTGACGTGTTCGGTGCTGGTGGGTTCTCGTCTTCAGGTCGGACCTTGAAGAAGCTGGTCAGGAGTGTGCAGCGGGAGATGTGGGGCGGCAGGTCGGTGAGCGAGCCGCAGTACTCTGACAGCGTGCTCTGTCTGTTCTCTGTTGACTTCTGACTGTCCAACCACCGTGGCGCTGAGGAGGACACACACAGAGTTACGTTTAAAAACAAGGTAGTTTCCAGGCAGGTCTCTATAAGACACCGTTTTTGTGATTTCTGAGGTTTCTTGGTTTGTACAAGAAAGACACAAGAAGAAAATCAAGATGGTATAAAGTTTTAAGATGACTCCATGAATGACTCAAATTAAACGAGTTAAAGGGACGTTGATATTTTTTATGGATTACAGCAGGGCCCGACCGATTTATCGGCGAGTACCGCTTGAGACTAGTCAGTAATCGGCCAAAACTGGCCGATTTTCGCCGATCTTTTCAGAAATAAAATGCAGAGAATAAGATTCGGTTTCACTTTGAAAATGTTCCGCCATTTAAAAGATCCCCCGATTTATCCTGTAGATGGCGCAGTGACCTCATGACAATCTTCATCCACTAACTACCTCACAGCGCAGCAGAGTGACGGATCTGAAGCAGCAGCTCAGGGACGCACGGAGGAGAGTGGTCCACCTCAACGGTAAATAAACCAGTTTGTGAAAAACACAATAAGTCAACAAGTTTCAGTTCAACCCACTTCACCATGTTCCCCGCTGTGCTGGTCTCGGTCACGCCGAGTTAACGGTGAAGCACCATGTAATATGAAGCTAAAGTTAGAGTTAGCCACCTGCTATTAGCCTTGCTACACTGTTAGCCGTGTCAGTAACGGTAGAATAAACAACAGTACACATTAGTGATCGAGCTACTTCTCTTACTGAGGCAGCTGCATGTCTCCAGATGTGACCGGACCGGAAATGAGGAACGTGAGTTAATTAAAAGGAGGAGGCACGATCGGCTGGGGGGTGTAGTTGAAAACGCTTTTCTGGTCTGAGTTTGATCAGTCGGTCTTCCTGTCGGCGTGAAGAGCAGAAGCCTACAGTATATCTACAGTGTATATATAAATTTTAAAACTTCGTAAAAAAATTTCAAAAATCGGCTGATTAATCGGTAATTGGACTCCCCCCCCCCCCTTAATAATCGGTATCGGCATCGGCCCCAAAAAAATCCATGTTGGCCCTAGTTTACGGTTCATATCTTACTCTCTTGGAAAATCTTTTAGGCACTCATGAGTGCGAGTCCAAGTAGTGCGAGGAGTTTTTACTGATAAAGTGTCAACAAGAAATGAAAGTTTCCATGGAGAGCAAAAGCAGGTCTAAGATAATCCACTGTAACATGCTGACTCCTCAGAGTCAGAGTCAGTCATTTGTGTGCCATTTGTAGAAAAGAAACCACACTGGAAAGCATTTGCGAGAGGACGATAAAGACAGACAAAGTAAGTCACATACAGTAGAAACAAAATAAAACAAGTCCACAATTACAGTTAAAGTTAAGTATAAAAGGACACTGCAAGTAATAGTAGTAATTATAATAATAAGTAATGATAAAGATATTTATAGTATTTAAAAGCTTCTGTTTGATGCGCAGACACAACATGAAATAAAGTGGTAAACTACTATTGATGAAATGATCTCTGAGGTGAGGGGAAACAGGAATCTTAATTCTTGATTCTTAAACTGTTGATTTTTTAACTTTTTCCCCCTTTATCCACCAGCAGCCCGTTCACTACATGACAAACCTGCTGCTTACATCTCCTTTTTAATCTCCAAAATCAACACTACATTCGTGTGCGATACTTTCGAGAACTGGAAATTTCCAGACCTGTGTAGGTGCCACAGTTGCATCAGGGTTTGAGGTTTTGTCTTTGCTTCTCTTTCTCATAAATGCAAGATGCTTTGTTATGAAATTAATGTTTCACCAGGGGAATGTTTGCAATTTAAGTTCTGCTTTTTAAAAAAATCTACTCTCAATACCCGAACAGGAACAGAAAATGACTGATGACACACAAACCTGAACCTGTCTCCGGACACCTGTCTGTGAGCGTCAAATGAAAGTGAGAATTGACGTCAAGGTGTGGTTCAGAGTTTCACTGAAGAGTCTATTTTAACCTCAGACAGGAAAGTTTTACTCTGTGAAAGAAATATTGAAGTGCTCACATGTCCTCATAGTAATATCTTACATTTGATGAATCCTGCGAAGAGCCTCTTTTGGCCAGTTTTTAAAATTCAAACCCAAACAAGTAAGTGTGATTATGGAGGTTTTTGACTGTTTGACATGTGGATTTTGTTTTAATCAACTTCCTCTTTACGCTAGATGAGGTATGGTCAAGGATTTCAAAATAAAAGCCCAAGGAACAGGATGGAGATGGTTATACAAACAGTGTATGCAGTGGTGGGCTCCCCTTATTGCATATTTCCTTGAGTACATAGTCAACGATGATGACTGCTACCATTAGTAATAGGTGTCTTAATAGTACAAGTATTCAACATTTTAAACTTTGGCTAATATGAGTTTAATACCAATCACTTAATCTTTATTTTATTTAAACCCAATTTACAATAAATGTTATTTCAAGACACTCAACAGAAAGAGCAGATCTAGACTCCCACTGATAATTAGACTGGCTGTGTTGGAGAAATAGCGCCATCTTCTGGAGAAACTTTAATGCATGATAATGAATTTCTTTGCTGTTGTCTGTCTCTGTGTTCGAGGGCCCTGTTCTGTCTGCTTCTGTCTTCATTATTTGATTCTCTGGCTCGCAGATTTCGCTCCAGAAGCTGCTCACTCACAGCTGCGAATTACTGCGACACGTTAGTTTCAGCTCTGTTGCAGCAGCTGCTTTAACACTCAGAAAAACGAGAAGTAGAAGGACACAAATGTGTTTAATAACCACAGGTTCCTTTTTTGGACGATATTTCAGCATGGGGGGATGATGTAAATAAAAAGCAGAGGTTGGTTGTTGAAACACCCTCCTCTGGTTTGCACTTCTTTTGCAACATGATCCTCCTGCTTCTGTCAAAACTTTAAACCAAAATCGAAACTTGCACATGCAAAAATGAAAGACATTTTGACCTCTGATATGCACAGATGCAGTTAGTTAGACTGCAGATTTTACCTGGTAACTTAGGGATGATTCTGTCCTTCCTTTCTATTTGACCAGCTTCAATAGGAAACATCTCCTTCAGTGATTTCTGTCAGTGAAACAGAAATAAGAAAAAAAACTGCATTAATTTAATTTTGCTGAATTTTTCAGAGGTAAATTCTGATGTTCACAATGTTCACAGTGGGGATGACTATCTCTGGATGTTTATATTCAAAAATTAGAAAGAAAAGCGTTTGTCAAACTCACGTGTAAGGTGTGGAAGGCAGGATACGTCCTGTAGATGAGTTTCTCCGAGAGGTCGCTCCATTTCACCATCAGCATGTACACCTGCAAACACACCATCACTGAAATGTCCAAAGTGCAAGTAGATCCTCTTTACACTCAGTTTTTCAGTTTGTTTTCTCGAGATCTCATCTAAGGTCTGGTATTTTCTCTCTGAGTTTTGACCTCCTGTCCACACCAAGCTTTGGGACGGTGAAAATAACGTTTCTTTTTTTAGTGACTGTTGATGTTTGAAACATTTTTATCTTTGCTGTTCCAAAGGGGGACCGGACTTGGTTAAAGTTCCTTAAGCTTGAAAAGACTTAAACCAAGTCCAGTTGAAAAACTCTGACCTGGTTGAACCTGCAGACAAACCTGACAGTTCTACATCACTGAACTGTAGAAAGAGGGGGGTGTATATCATGCTCAGTGGTTGATAATTCGCCGCTCTGTTCACAGTTTCAAGAACAGGGTTTAAAATTTCTAACCTTAATGCAAATGAACGTAAGAGTTTTTCATCAACAGCACAAAAAACACAGTTTCCATCTGCCTTTGGATCAAGAAGACTCTTCACACAGGCACAGTGTTATTCTTTGGTTTAGCTGGTCTGATGTGTTTAATTAGCATTTTTAACCCTTTCTTTGGTGCCATTTGGACAGTAAATATTCAGAATCTTTGGTCCACAAAACTGTTTTTGGAAATGTTCAAATACCATGGGTCAGCATGTTTTATTCTCTACGCGGCAAATAGACAATAAAGCAAGATGATAAAATAATCTACAATAATGGGAAAAACTAGCTTTGTTATCCTGGAATAGAGTTGTAAGAGCAAAACAAGCTCGTTTTTTCCCAGAGACAGCTAGATTATGGGAAAAACTACCATCTTATCATAGTTTTCCAGATTTTTAGAAGGAAAATGGCTTTTTTACAGCAAGATAAAGAAAAACACCTCAAAACAAACACTTAAATTAACTTATCATGACCAATTCAACATATTCATCCTGAGATAACAGTAAACAAAATCAGCAGAGATCAAGAAATCAGTCTTATCTTGAAGAAACAGGTTATAATCAATGCATGTCTTTCTTTAGCTTCAAGAAAAACACCTAAAATGTTCAGTCAGCTGCTGACTGACACCGTATTTCTATCATTTACAGAAAAATATGTTTAGATTAGAGGATTTTTTGTCTTTTTAACAGAGTTTTGATAAATCTTTAAATTCTTACGTAATGCTGACTGGGGAAAAAGCGTTTCTCGAAGCCCAACAGCTCCACATGTCTGACGTACGTCTGCTCCATCCTGACAGAAATCGACTGAGACGAGAAGAAACTAATGTCACGTTTAAATACTGTGTGTGTGTGTGTGTATACAGTCAGTCATCACCAAACCAAAGAGTTAGTTCCTCTTTTCACGTGTCTGACAGGATATTCTGCTTTCACTTCTAAACTTCAAAAATAAAAGTATTACAGCCCTTAAAATTTAACCCCTAAAATCAAGTCTTGGTCAAATGTAGGATTAAGTTTGATATTTATTTTGATAGTTTGGTAGTTTTGCACCAGGTGACATATAAACCAGTGAACTAGGACGGGCAGGATTATGTTTTTTGTGTGAAATTGTTTCTGTAGACACAAAAAAATGCAGTTTTTGCCAAGACTGTGAAAAAGTGAAGGTACAGTTTGTTCAATCCTGGTTTGATCCACTCTCTCTGTGCTGTGAGGCTGGTTTGATTTAGACAGAAATGTTAAAGTGCCATGTAAAGCTTAAAAAATGCAATGTATTGTGTAAAGGTTCAGGTCAGTGTTTCTTGGTATAGGTAGTCAGGCATTCTTCATTTCACATAACTAACAGTGCTTACTAGTTCCTAGACCGAGACGCTAAGGCAGAAGAACTACCGCGTCTGTAAAATGATTAATATGGTGATTATTACTTCAAGGAAATGATAAAGAAATGATCATAAATGTTCTTCCTTGAGCTGTGTCACCCTACTGTAGTCCCTAATTGACTGGCCTGAGGTCTCGCTACAAACAAGTGGCTGTTGGAAGAGAGTAGGTGAGTTGTGTTTAGTCTCTTTGCTAAAGAAATGAGTCAAAGTTAAAAAGATGTTTGGTGTCTAGTCCTATGTCTGTGACCCTATATGTCCTGTTGATGAAGTTAGGTGCTGTTCTGAGCATTATTTGTGGCTATAGAGTGGCGTTTTGGTTGAGGGCGTGGCTCTCTGTATTTCTATCCTGCGGTCGTTACTAAAGTTGGTATAACTAGAGAAGCAAGCGGTCGGCAACATTCATCTCTGGAGGGTTTGTCTAACTCGGTGTTACGGTGTGTTTGACCCTTACCTAATTTTATGCCGGAATTTCCCTTTAAGTTAGTGCTTAAGTGCTAAAAACTGCAGTTCCCTAAGTGTCCAATTGAGGCTGTCTGCAGAAAAATCAGAAACCACATTCACACTGAGCCAAAAAAAGCCAGTTTGTAATGAACACATTTTTGGTTCGAATGAAAAAAAAAAAAAAGGTTATGGTCTGAATGATGAAGATCTTCTACAGCACCCACTGTACAAGGAGTGAACTTTTCAATAACGTGTTTAGTAGCAGACATTCCACTCACCAGGCTCTTTATCACTAGTTTCACTTAAAGGAAGAAAAGCACTTGTTTTCCTTTAAACTGACTCAAAGACAGTAAGCCATCAATTTTAGAGAAATCATGAAACTAAATAGTTCCCCTCCAAATCTTACCCAAGAGTCCAGAAGGGGAATCACCGTGTTGACGCCACACTGGCTCCATCCGTCCACATGCAGCTTTTCTCTATTGCAAAAGATTAAATGTAGTTTCATATGTCGGGCTTTCAGGTGCAACGTGTGATTTCCAAAACTTTTGCAATAGGGGAAGTGGAACAAACAAAACAGTGTGAAAAAAAACACAAACAAACCCACATGGCTGAACTTCCTCCCTTATAACCACTGAACAAAAGTCAGGCTGTACGGTTTGATTCTTTAAACAGTCTTTGGTGGGTTTGGGTGTTTCTATTTGTAGAACGCAGATGATTTCCCTTCCATGACACTCATGAATCACATTACTGTCACTAAGAGAGAAGTGTTTTGCAAGTCGACATTGAGTCATTTCAAACAAGGTGGCTAAAAGTTCAGTTCAGACGGATCAAAACAAACTTGTTCACAATCATCAATTTCTTGCTCTTTCTTTTCAGATTGAACCTCCTAACCTTGGTCAAAAATACAATGTTTAATTTAAAAGTCAAGAAAATCCATTTGTGTTTTAAAAGTCAAACATGAGGCTACATGTGCAGCTGAGAAAACATTTGAAATCTATATGAATGACTTTGCTGTAACAGTTTAACTCGAGCAACAGATGGGGCTACTGAGCACTGAATGAAGCTTCGAGTAGTGAACCTTTGAGCAAAGCAATGTGCTGGAAAGCCTCACTGCTTCAGAAAGCTTCATTTGGCCATCACTACCGCACAGTGCCCTGCTGCAAGATTATTATTTTTTTTAATATAAGACTTTTTTTTTCTTTTCTTTTCTTTTTAAAGCCAACTCTTGTAACTCAACTTCCTTTCTCGGGGTCCTAGAACAACTTATTTTGAGATGCAGGTCCAGCGTTCCAGGTCTAATTTAAAGTTACAGGGACCACAAATTAGTTGGCAAACAAAGTTCTCAGGTTTATAGTGTTTTGTCATTTCTAGGTAGCGACTGGGGATAAGGAGCGGGCCATGAAAAAGTGTTACAAATCATCACCTTATAATATATGTTATTTTCAAAAAGCTGAATAAACTTAACAATTTGAATATTTAATAGCTGGCATTCTAGGTGCAACTGAAAAGAGACTTCAGAAGCTTGCTAAGTTTTACAGGTCCTGCAAGAAGTACGTCTAGATGTGCACTATTTGAGATTTGGTCAACCAAGTAAGGGCTATTTTTAGATCTTACGAGGACCTGGCTTATGTTACTATAGCACCGAATTATGGATAGACCTATTATCATTCATCTGTCAATTCAATGTCCTTTCAGAGACCTCTAGAATTCCTGCTAACAGGTACAAGAAAAGACATGGTCAATTAAGGTGATGAAATGGTGCTGTTAACATGTGCACATCACCCCTCCTTATTGAAGACTCCGAAGATGCAGGGAGTGATAGGATGGCTACACAAACGTGAAGATTGTTCTACTACTGTTTACGCTGTAGCAATTTACCGTGTGGCTGACTGCCACTTTGTCAGTCACATGTTCTACTGTTTACATGTGTTCTGTTTACATTTTGTGGACTCAATGTCAGACACAACAAATAAAATTTGTATACTTGTAAACATGTTTATGGTGCGTTTTGATTACATTGCAACATTTGCATCTATGCTGCTCCTTTCTCCCTTGAGAGGTTTTTTGGTGTTCCCCAGCTAAATCATGAGTTCGTACAGTCATGGGCTATTAATAACATCTGGGAATAAACTCACATTGGTAATGTTTGCAAAGGTGTATCTACCAAGTTTGAAATGCAGTTTCCCTAGATGACTTTGACAGCTGCAGAAAGTTGGGGTCCCATAACTTACTTTATTTAAGTAGCATGTGAGGTGTCAAACTAGGGTTAATTCATCGCAATTTTATCTGCTCGATAAACACTCATTAAGCTTAACAGCCCCACAAAGTTTGCGATAAGCTGGAGAGACTATGGACCCCTCCTGTTTGAACCCTCATGCTACTTAAAAGTCAAGAGTTGACAGGTCCATTTTAAGTCAGTCAATCTAAGCCAAATAAAGGTCTTTCCCAAAAGAAATTGCAATAGTAATACAATACAGTTTTTATTGGCCCTTATATCCTCCTGTATCATATATTAAAAGTTTCCCTTCGTAGGAACACTTTTTCAAGGTAAAAGCAAAGTTTTTAGATTTAAAGCGGTGTGGTCTTGGACAAATGGTGTTAAATAGTGAATGCTTTATACAGTTATCCAATATAAACATTTTCTATTTTGGGGGTCAATCTTTCCAATGATTTTTGAGAGGATATTTTAATGTCTGATGCTTGTATTTTGTTTGCCGCCTTTGGCCCTTACAGTTTGCCGCACTGCTCAGACAGGAGTAAAATAATCTAACCTTATAGACATGGTTAAAGATAAAATAAGTAAAATGTATAAAAGTGTGTCACCCCCAGAGGTCAGATTGTGAAAAACTGCAACTGTAACAATATTTGGAAAAATGACAGCCAAATAGTCAGAGGCTTTGACATAAATCTTGGAATAAGTTTAAAAAGGTGTTTGATGGCAGGTGCTGAAATGTGGGTTACCCAGTTGTCTGTGGCACATTTTTGATTTACACGCCATTAAAATGTTCTTATTTTGATCATAAGACCCAATTACTAAATGTCCAGGTTTTATTCAGAATATGTATGACACTTTTTTACTACAAAATATGGCATATGAGTCCAATATTACTAGACGTTATCAATTGTTTTATTTGCAAGGACAAATGTCGCCACAAGCTTACTATAGATTACTATTGAAATTAGTTTTGGGTCAAACCTCAGATTGACTTAACTATTTGGTATCATTTTACATTCTTGGGTTAAATTATTAACACCAGAGTAACTGAATTTACAGTCTACCATTAGAATGTAAGAATTTATTTGCCTGTTTTCTCTCCTATGGTACCACATCAATATATGGAATTGGACAGAATCGTATCAAACAACAACATACTCAAAGTTGAATGGAGAGTTGGTAACCAAATGGACCTTTTAACAGATCTAACCCCTTAGATCTAACATCTAATTTTAATGGTTAAACAATTTACACAACTAGTGTACAGTACAATATTTTTTATTTTGATCTATGTTTGCCTGTTTTCCACAAGTACATCAGTATAGAATGGAATTGTGGACAAAGTTGTATCTAACAACAACAAAATATAACATTTTGGATGTGATGCTACATCTCAAATGGTGGTCCATGGCTCAAATACCAAATAAATAATGGACCTTGTAATAAACCACTACTGATATATGGCACACGGTTTAGTACATAATTCAGTACAGCTAAATAAATGTCTTTTCCATAGGACTCGGATGGTCTTGTTACTTCAATAGTTGTCGTGAGGCCTGCCATATCCTGTTCACATAGGGGACATTCAACACGTGGAAGAATGACACCATTCCTGCAATGCATGACACTGGTAAGGACATTTCTATCAGGCCTTGTAGTTCCTGAGGACACACATCATATTTTGGCCGTCCCATCTCTCCTTGTAACACTGGCACCTGACTCTGGGTCTGATTAGTGTTATCCTGTATATTGAGAAGGGTTGACAGTAGAGTGAAAGTGTTGATGACATCCTGTGGCCTCTCAACCTGGCCTAACAATGATCTAAAAATAGCCATCTCCTGGTTGACTACTGATCTCAAATAGTCCACATCCAGAGGTGGTCTTTGCAAAATCCGTGAAACTTTATAGTGGAGCCTCTCAAGAAAGTCTCTTTTCAGTTGCACCTGGAAAAATCAAACATAATTTCACATTATTGTACTGGCTTTACAACATTTTACATTTCACATACTGTACATTTTTCAACCAAACAGCATGCATTTTAACATTAACAGTGTCTAGTGGGCAAACATAGCCATGTTTGCAGAAAGACATGTTAGTTTTTTGTAAACTAAGAATATCCACATAAAATTAAAACATGTATTGACAAAAACACTGGTTCCAAGAGATAGCCAAAAACAATAATGCTCGAGTCTTTTTAGATAAAAATAATAATAATATATAGGTCTACATGCATGAATACAATGCATAAAACAATCTTTGTCCAAGCGCTAGTCCGGACTAGAGCTGTATCTGTCCCAGAGTAAACTTATTATTACTATTATTACCTGAACGTCTCCTGGAGCTTCTGCCATTGTAGGCTAAGCTAATGTGTATTCATGCCACTTCCTGAACGCAGGGTGATGACGTCATGGATGGGGGGTGGAGGAGGGGGAGGCCTGTCACTCATGGCAGACCACGCCCCCCCATTCGCATCCTGCGCTCATCAACTGTACCGCCCGGGCCGTTTGCATGCGAGACAGAGGCAGACTGCAGGCTCATACAGACGAGTCCGATTTAAATTAAGCACCGGATAACAGACAGCAAGTGTGCATCCTTCGGCGAGGAAGGGAGGGAGGGAGGGAGGAGAGGGAGGCAACTATTTAGTACCTTAGTGCCCTGGGTTAGGAGAGGGGGAGGAGGAGGAGCGGAGAATGAGCTATTCTTGTACCAGCAGAGGCAGCAGCCAGGACCCATCGAGCGCTAAGAAGCCTGCCGGTAATAATCCGGCCAGAGACACCGGAGGCGCAGACAGCACCAGCAACGGCAGTCCGACGCAAACGGCGGCGATGAAGGTGAAGAAGGGCTGCAACTCGGCCGACGTGGGAGTCCCGGTGACCACGGAGGAGGACCTGCTCGCGAGCGCGGTGATCACTCCGGAGGATGTGCTGGGTTTGCAGAAGATCACAGAGAGTAAGTTGAGAGAGGAAAAAAAACACGCAGGTCAATAATCACAGCTGCTGGGTGAGTCATGATCGGCGTCATTACCGTGTCCCCCCCCTGTTTATGTAATGTGTCCAGGCCCCAGTTTAACACATGGTGAGGTGTCTGTCTGACAAGCCCCTCTTTCTGTGGGAGATGTCCAAGTGTCTACACGTGCTTTTAAAGGCTCCTTTACAAGCATGTTGGCAGCCCTGTGACCCGTGGAGAGGAGGTCACAGTCGGATGGAGTTATGATGAGGTTCAGTCTAGCAAAGAAAACCATGGAGTGTCTTCTTCTTTTCTCATGATCAGCCAAGAGAAGAGAGTTAGGTGTTGTTATTGTCATCCAAAATTTATAGATATCCTAATTTAACGTAACTCAATAACAATGAAATGTACAATCTGCTATCCGGTAGAACTGATATTTGTTTGTGGTTGCAAGTCTTCCTGGGGTCCAAAAACTTAAAAACACAATACAATTACATTTCAACAATTAATTAGTAATAAATACAATTACAAATTCAATTCATGATTCTTCACAATATTAAAACATTAAAATCACTCCAAAATCTTTGCTTTTATAGTTCATTCATTCATACAGTTTTGTTTTAAAGTCCTTTTAAAATAAAACCTACTGCTTATTTGCTGTGTTGCTCCAAGGCAGATGAGTCCACATTTCCAAAGATTTAAATAACACTGTTCTCCTCAGATATTGGACATTTACATGACCAGAGCTAACCTGCCCAGTGATATTTACAATGACTGCAGCAGGATAAAGACACAAACCAACAGGAGAGAAAAGACTTATATGACAAAAACTTTCAGAAACAATATGAAAGTTTGAAAATAATCAATAAAAGATCCCTTTGTAATCCAACTAAAGGTCAAATTAAGTTTTTTTCCCCCTGATAATCCTCACTTCTGCGATTATTCTTTCCTTTTTTTGTGCAGTGAGAGTTTTTAAAGCTATTGAATAATGTTAAATCTACAAACTGTGTCATAAAGTAACAGGCCATAGTTTTAATTTAACAAGTAACCAAAGCTGAAAATTAAAGTGTGGAGGAAAGGAATAGTAACAAACGTCAACACATTAAAGCTGTCTGTCCTATAGGATTTGAGTCTTAGCCTGCAAATCACGGCCTGCAGCTTATTTTAAAAACACTTAAAGGTTTTTAGTGTTTAAAATTGGAAATATTCTGCATTACCAAGCAGTTAGATCCCAAGTTAAAGTCCCTTGTTCACCCCTCTTTTTGGTGAAGTTCCGGAAGCGTTTGGGGGCAGAAAGCTACTGTGAGACATGCGTTCTTCTATTTCTCAAGTTTTTTACCACCAACAACCTCTTTTTCTTTGTCTTATCGTTCAACTGCTATATTTTGCGCCACCACTCATGATATCCAAAGATGTGAATGTCACTGAAAGGCACATTTTAAGTGAACAATAACAGAATTATTTTTCATTTTCAGGTGATTACACACCACTCACTGCACCTTTTGATATCAAAGAAAATGTGAAAATTGGGGATCCAATTTCAGAAATTTTGTTTTGCTGTAGCTCTGAAGACAACACTGTAATTTCCATGTATTTTGTGTGCTCATCAATGCACCGTTCATTGTCTCTTATAAATCTTGTCAAGCCGAGGCGTAAACACTTGAAACACAAATACATGCTGCATTTTCAGTCCTGAGAAAAATCACTGGCTCTGCTTGTTTATTATGTGACAATCAATCAAGGTGCACTTTTAAATATGTTACATGTCTAAATCAAGCCTCTTATAGAGAAATACAAGGAGAGATAGCCGCCAGTATAAGCTCTTATGTGCACAGGAACACCTACACCCATCTCCACCTCAGCTCCCAAAGCAGTCGTTAGCTAACAGGTGGCCAGCAGGGCATTTGACTATTTAAAGGCCGGCATAATACCTCACTTACACAACACGGTTACATTGGGCGTTAAAGGGTGTGGTTACATGCAAACACCATGCTGGATTTTCTCGTAGCTATTTTCGAAAGTGTTTGGTCACCTAAACTCACGTGGTGCTTTATATGATGGTTGTGTACCTGTTAGGCTAACACGTGTGACTGTGCCACTGAAATACAGTCACTGATAGTGCTATTCCTGTGTCAAAGACATCTTTATTCAAATCCTACTCTTTCAGTTTTCTCCTTATTGTTTTCATTTGGCTGAAAATACAGAAAGTTATAATATAACTAAAATATACAAGGAAAATTGAGATGTTGCTTGTCTAGTTTAGCGTGAACTCTGAGGATCTCTGAGGACATCCTCTTCCGGCTCTCACTGTACAGTCTGCTGGTTCCTTTTAATAGCCTTAAACTTGTCCTTTGTGAGGACAGCCGATTAAAGGGATAGTCTGGAATTTTTTAAGTGGGTTTTCTATTGGCTGCTTATCGATATTATGTGTGTGTCCAGTATCTAACGTACACAGCCCCTGTTTAAGATGATGTCTGGAAAAACACTGAGGCAACTTAAAAAAAATCTTTCACATAAAAAAAATCATTTTGAGTCAGTTTTTATCGCTTATTTTTCTTATTAGATCACTTGAATATCTGACAGCCTTTACTTTTGGGACTGTTTCTAATGATACAAATATTCTGTATCCCTCCACATGCATCTTACAGTTCAGGTGAGCATTTGATTATTCTCTATTTACAAATAACCAGGAAGTCCTCTGGTATTATGTTTGTCATCTTAAGTTGTATAAATCAGTTGTGTATCTGTGTGCTTTTGTGTAAACGTTTCAGTCAGCAAAAGCTTGCATAACACAATTCAACATGATGGTACCCCAGTTCCTGTCTGTGGTAATCTGACAACCATGTACTTGTATTTAAATGTGTGTAAAAGCTCATACAGTTCAAGGCCTCTGTCAGCCACAGGTCCTTCGTTTTGATTGGCTAGAGATTAGGTTAGATTTCCCAGCATCCTTGAATGCATTGGAAGTTGTTGACCTTAACTCTGTGCTACAAAAGAAGCGTTTTAAAAGTTGTTTTCTTTCAGAGGACCAAAGTATATTTTCTATTTCAGCACCATTAATTGGAAGTCATTCATGAGGGAATTGTTTTTTCCAGGCTAACATGAGCAAGAGTAGATTCTTGCTGCTGTTGAACTGAGACTCACCAGAAACAGATGAAGAGGGGCTAGTCAAGGATATGTAATAGACCAGCACAGATTGGCATTTTGTAGAAGAGACAACACAAAGTAGAAAAAGTAGAGCGCAAACTTTGTTAGTACTTTAAGTTTATCTACATGTGAATTTAAGTTTGTTTGTTTTTGTCTGTAAAAGCGTTCAGCTAGTGAACTTACGAGTGAGTGAGTGAATACGTGAGCATCATTGCTCGGCTGAACAGAAACATGGTTTTAACTCTTGTCTCCCACGCTGGAGCTTAATATGGTCAAGGAAACCCTCACTTTTCTACCTCACAGCGTCATCGCAGGAGGTAAAAGGAGGAGGCATGCGTGAATCACCACAGTAACGTGGATGCACGCTTGAATCACTACGGCAACGTGAAGCATCTCTGGCTACATGCAGCCAGGACTGCATCTCTTCTCCCACACACTTCCTCCTTTATTTTCCTCTTTTACCCTCCGTGTTTAACACAGCAGCTGTGTAGTTCCTCACACACAAACGGACAGAGGTACACTCACACTGGGGGGTCAAACAAAGCAGGTAACCTGCGCTCTCTCCTGAGAGCCCACTAAAGCCCTGCTGATGTTTTGTGACTTGTCTCTTTCTGCTGCACATTCTCAAGTGGCTGAAATTGATTCCTTTTTTAAGTGGCATGATATATAGCCAACAGTACCCAACACATCCCTGACAGAATCAACAACACCCCAGAGCCGAGCACTTCTTCCTTGTTTGGAGCACAGATGTCTCAGAGGAGGGGAAACTTTCTGAGTAAAATTGACTTTAAAGTTGCCAGGAATCATTTAGAGCTCCATCTGGTAATCAAAGCAAGCTGCAGAGCCTGATGAAGATTTGCAGAGACAGAGCGAGCCTTCTGCTCAATCCACTGATCTGATACAAACTTATGCTCTTAACTGAGTCTTAATCTGTCGAGTCGCAGTGGGACTCATTGCAGCTCTCGGTGACTGAAAGTCCTCTCTGCAAACACTCGTGTCTGCTGCTGACAGTCTGAAAATCACATTTCTGTTTCATTTAGAGCAACAATGACTTAATCAGGTGAATGACTAATAATGAGAGAGTGCTACAACCCTCAACAAACAGCTTTGATTATAATTATAATGGTATAAAATACTATTAAATAAATAAATAATATTTCACATATAACAAAAAATTGTGATAAGAAGTAGAAGTGGTAACCTATAGGGGTGGGAGAAAAAAATGGATACCGCATAGTATTGCGATATTTTACCAAGAATCCATTTTTCAAATTAATTGCTAATTTAAAGTCAAATCTATGATAATGGAAATATAAAACCAACCGTTTGTCCAGTGAGGTTGGCAGAGGTGACGTCATAGAGCAGGAGAAAGTTAGTGCAACAAATAAGGTTTGTAAGATGTGCTACATGAAAATAAAATACAGCGTTAATAAGACAAACATAAAAGAAAGACAAATGATAAATTAGCTAAAATGTAAAAAACTGCAATAATCATAATCATAATAATCAATAATCATATCATGGCCCAAGTAACGTGACAAAATTGTATCGTGGGGCCACTGGTGATTCCCACCCCTTAGTAACCTATGTATGATATAAAATATAGACATGTTTATAAAAGTGTCAATCTAGAGGGTGATACCTGCATGTTGTGCATGTTTGGTTTATTGCAGGGAGGTCTTCTGCTGATACAAGTTAACATTAAGAACCTACATGTACAGTAAAGATAGACTGATGAAATGGTCGGTTGATTAATCAAGACGATTTACGGCATTTTGAGCTCATCGTGATCATATTAGGCGATTCATTGAGACAGAGTCTCAAAGATTTCGTCGAAATGAAAACACATTTTCCTCATCCCCCATGACAGCAAATCAAATCTTACACAGTCACTGACTAGTTCAGTATCGATTCTGACATAAATAATAAATAATAATAATAATACATTTTATTTAAAAGCGCCTTTCTGAACACTCAAGGACACTGTACAGGGCATAAAAACACAGTTAGAAACATATTTAAAATAAATAAAAACAACATACAAGTGTGAAAATATCAGCTATGTTCTATAATGAGCATTCAATATTGGATTTATACATCACTTCCTTTTTGCCAAGGGATTTTTGTGTTTTTATAAATCACATAAACTAACAATAATCAATGTTAATTACAATATCTTCACTTAAAAAAAATAACCAATAATGCTCATCATGCCACACATAAACAGGTCTGATCGTAACTCTAATTTGAAAAAGTGAGTTAGCTTAATTTGATTCATTCTCACGCTGAATTACAGCCTGATTAATATCTGCTGAACAGCCACGTTTCAGATTTTTAAGATTAAATGAAACCATAATCTCTCAGATTTCCTGTTATTGTTCACACGTTTTTTAAACAAAGACTGGGTCTAGTGGAACACAAAGTCATGACAGAAGCAGATGATTTATAGCGTGTGTGTTTCAGCGAAAGAGTAAGATTGTAAGACACAGGTGCGATCATGTTGACGCTGGCAGCATATAGAAAACATCCTTTTGTTTGTCATCATTATTATAATGTTGTGAATACAGGTCACTGTCTGTTTATTAGGTGATGACACCATGCTGCAGACGACTTTTGAAAATTGACCATTATTACCGCGTCAGTTTTACTTTCAGATATTGATTAATTATGGAAAAAAATTATACCACAAATATCTCTTTGTTATTTCTGAGTCAAGGGTGAGGTTTACAAGATGTCTGAAGCATCCACCTTTGTTCTCACTGCCACACCACACACAGAAAACAGCACAGTGTATTTCTTAGTGGCTGTTGTAACATCACATCATCTCAGCTGTGGTCACTCTTCTGTCCGTCTGAGAGAAATCAACATGCATCTACTCACATTCACTGCCAGTTCTGCTTGCTGAAGCAGTTTCACAGCTTTAACTGACATTTCCTGAGTCTCATCTTTAAAAGGACCATGCTGTTTGTTCTTATCGGCTTTTTTTCTTTGTGACAGACAGAGCTACAAACCACACTGTGTGAAAACTATAAGGTCGCCGGTGTGACGGGAAAATAACCCCATGATGATCTGTGAGAATCAACAGTTTGACAAACCACAACGTGTGTTAAGCATGAAGAGCTCATATAACCCACTCAGGCCCACAGTGTTGTCGGTGAAGATCAGATACAGCCTGCATTGAGAAGTTAAAAAGAGTGTCAGATGATTCAAAAAAGGCCTCCTTCATTTGTTGACCACATAAATGTCCGACTCCTTTTTTCTCTTCTTTGTCTGTGAAGCTGTTTGTCGGTGTCTAAAGGGTGTCGGATGCATCCTGACCGTGTTGTCTCAGGTTGTCCCTCTTCCCTTTTTTCCATATCTGGTATTTTTGATCCTGAGTCTGAATCTATAACCATTTCTGTCTTAGCTCTGTTGCCATGACGCTGTGGTCATCAGCAGACAAATTCAGGTCAGTAAGGCAGCGAAGGATGCGCCATCCTCTCTGCGTGCTCTCAAACTTAATCACAGAGTGTTTAGAGGAGGAAATTATTTCAGAGTCGGTTTTCTGTTGATCTGAAGAGGAGAAAAAAGAGTACCAATGTGCTGTTATTTAACACATGAGTTTTAAATAACAGTGTATTGTTTATCCTATGTTAAAACGAGCACATAACACACCTAACCTAACGACAGATTATTTATTTCACTGAAGACCTAAATGTAGACAAATTACAACCGATCCCAATGGGCAGAAAACCTTTGTGGTTTCAGACTTAGAAAGTCAAAACTTTACACTAAATTTTCTCCCAATGAATGAAAGTTGTTTCAGGTTTTCAAAACTCCGTATTTTTCCACTGTTTAATTGGTAAAACACACTGAAATGGGATTTTCTTGGCTGTTGGACTTCTTATCAGTCTGCGATTCTACAGTTCATGATTGATAATCGATCTGATTAAGGGTAGGAATCAAAGTTAAGGAAGCTCTTTGAATGTGAACCAGTTCATTTAGTTCATTCTCAACTCAACTCAACTCAACTTTATTTGTTAAGCACTTTAAAACAACCACAGCTGTACAAAGTGCTGTACATAACTAGACAAAACAACAAGATAAAAAACAATCAAAAAACAATTAAAATAATGGATAAAATAAAAGCAGAATTAAAAGTATAGTTTCAATGTTTTTAAAAACTAATTTAAAAACATAGAAACAAACAACTAAAAACAAACCATAAAACACTAAAACAGGATTCTGTGATAGCTGAACTTTGAGCTGGCTATCTTTTAGTGTGACTTACACTGATAAAATATGTCCTTGTGGTTTTTAGCAGCTGGAAACAGAGCTAGTTTGAACCACAGACAGAGGATGAGATTGAAATCCAAAAGCGAGACAAAAAGAAAGCTGTCAGAAGCTACAGTTTTTCTACTTACCTCAGATACAAAGAGACATTGTCAAACATCATGAAAATTCCCATCAGTGTTTGAACAACTTCACACTGGATCTTTAACCCAGAATTTGTCAACTATGACAGATTAATTTGTGTCAGTCGGGGTATTAAGGGACCTAAAATGATGAGAAAATTAGACTTTTTTTCAACATCATGTCACTGAAAAGCAGAGTAGTGTGAAGAAGGTATAAGGTGAGGTTAGATGGCTTTGTCAGAGTCCAAACCAAGACCAAGATTAGGACAGCCGGCCTGTACGAGCACTGTTTACAAGTTAATTTGCAAGATTGGAACAAATAATGTGGGTTTAATATATTTGAATTAAAGATATTTAGATATGAGAGACAAACACTGATATTGTCATGCAGCAAATTTTTCAATATGTTTATCCAAAAACATCTCTATATATTGGCGTCTTGTGGCGAGCAATGCAAGGAAGAAAAAATAAAAAGTGAATTAGAGATTACGTCATCACAGAGGATCTCCATGAGTCCTCTTACATCTTGAAACTGAGAGTTGGGTCACATTTTGATGAAAGAATTGTCGCGTTACGACCCCACCTCACCCCTGCTGCTGTAAATCCTCCCCTTCGCCGATTAGTTGGATTTGCCTTCATACATTAAACTAAACTGGATTAGTTCTCCTGAGCCATGTTGACTTAGGTCCCTTTGTCTGCCAAGTTTTCAAAATAAAAGAATAAAAGATAAAGTGTGAACAGAGGGAGTTTGAGGACTCTGCTCTGTAACGAGACAGTCTCATCTGTTTACTTGTCCACCTTCACTTCAATCCGACCTTTTACCTGAGCCCTGAATCACAGCTGTTGGGTGATCAGGAGAGCAGGTGACAAAGTGTGTGGTTTCTATGCCAACAGGACAGAGGGTTCAACGCCAGGGAAGAAGTGGAGGTCAAGCGGTACAGGAGCGACAGCAGAGATGTACTCTCTGACCTGAAGGGAAGCTTACGGCACTTGAAAGATAAATGGAGTCGGTCATGTCAAGCCAGGTTGACAGAAATAACCGACAGCTGAATCACGCCTGACAGAGGTGTGTTAATCACTTTACTAGGAAAACATTAATCGCCATCTTTTTGCTCAGAACCTTAAATCTCTTACTTTGTGATGTTTTCAACCAAGTCCTTAATTTAAGTTTATTTAAGTTTATTTCTGTGGCCCATCAGAACTTTTATCTCTCATGTCTGGTCAAGGCATCCCCACACTTTCTGCACAGTAAGCTTTTCAGATTGAGACCTGTTCATTATTATCAGATGTTTCCAGCATGCATGTTGTCTAAAGAGGCTTCTAATATAGTTTTATTTGATATTTGTAATGTCAAACCGCCCTCTGTAGAGTCTTCTGGATCTGTCCCTGCAATCCGTTATCTGGGTGAGCTGCTAAAAGAAGCCCAGAGCTGTTTATTTTGGGTGAATCTAGGTCATATGGTACAGTATTTGCCGGACTGTGGACTGTAGAGTCTGATTTATTACAGACCTTAGCAGGAATGAGGGATGTCAGCTGAAAGACGACACAAACAAAACACGTGAAGTGGTAAAATCCATCTCTCTCCTGTTCTGTCATCGCTACTCTGCTGTCGTTTTGGTGCTACGGTTGACATCGAGTTACCTTATTTGTCGTATTGAAGACGTATCTTTCTAGAGGTTGTTGTGATATTAAGGCAAAAAAGCCATCATCACAAATACCCGTCTTCCTCTCGCACAGTCAACCCTTCTTCAAACTTGTGGTACAGTTGGGCTTTGCGAAGATGAGCACCCCCAGAGTGTTGTGTATCAAAGAGAAAGACAGACCTACTTACCTAGATATCATCCGGATTTGAGCACAAACTGAAAATAATGAAGCCTCACCAGTCGGATGCTTTAAAGTGTGAACTCACAAACTGCAGCTCTAATTTAGTCTGTGTTTAGGAAGACTGAATTGATAATGTCTCAATCAATTAAAACTTCTCGAGAGAGAGAGACATGAACCGAAGCCAAAACACAAACTGCAGTTCGAGAAAAGACACTCAAACTGTTGTTCTGATTTGCAGTCGTGGTAGTCTGCGTCTCCTTGAATAGTATCATAGGCATGTATAAGAAACATCAGAAGAGAGACGAATGCATTTAATTCCGTCTGTAACAAGAATCAATCCTGGATGCCTGCTCTACTGATGAAGCCAAAAGTGCCTCTGACACTGATATGATACATCAGCATTTATCCACTCCAGTGAACAAAAAATGCTCATAGTTGCCAGGTTACCTTTTGCACAAACAAGCAAAAAATGGAGACGGACCGGCAACTGGTGACAGAAAGCAAAAATAGAAACTAGACAATTAGGGTTTGGGCGGAGGATTGCAGGGTGACGCAGACGCACATGTATGCAGCGCTCACAAAGTCAACGCTGGAGTATAAACAAGCTGTAGGTATTACACTGAACACAAGCCCTGTAGTAATGTTCATGCTGTCATCACATGATTATAATTTACCCTTAAAATGTGTTCATGTTGTGATTGGGTACCTTGTTTAGGTTGTAATTTAGACAAAAGTCTAAATTAAGTGAAATATTGATAATATTGATAATAATATTCAGCTTTACCTGAGGGGGTCAGAATCAGTGGCGGCTGCTGGTCTTTCAAGGAGGGGAAGCTCATTTTTCTGGCCTACATCATAATTGTATTTGTTTATTAGTATGTAACAGAACAGAGTCGCCAAACACAACGGCAGTCGTTTTTAACAAAGACAAAAGTCGATGAGGATCGGTAAAGTCTCTGGAGCAGTTAAGAACAACGGAATGAATGACTTGGAAAATGCTCTGGTAGATGTTTTATTCTTCAAGATCGCTGATTCGCTTATTTAGCTGTCAATCAAAAAAGGATTTCGCCTCAGACAGCTCATCCAATCATGAATGCAGAAGCTTGGAGTCCGGGAGCAAGTCGGGACCGCCCTCTCGCCATAGAACTCCAGTGAAGCTTAGCTTCCATTGGGCGGGACAAAGCCCAGCATTTATCCAATGAGCGTCTAGTTTCGCTGCTGGAACAACCCACTTTTAGCTTCCACATTGAAGTCAGCAGAAGCCCAGCGTCCGACTGTTTGAAGCGCTGAGGCGCTGCGAGGATGAATGAGAACGAAGTTATGCCGGTTACCTGTGATTATCAGCTTCTTATCACAGTGTCTGAACAAAAGTTGAAGGCTTTCTAGTACGTATTTAGTTAATGAATGTACACACAGCAGTACGTATTTCACCACTTTTTCTTTTTTTTGGGGGGTGACATTTTAAGGGAAGCTAAGCTTCCCTTGCAGTCTTAGAGCAATCGCCACTGGTCAGAATCTACAATACACACTTTGATCTCTCTCTCTCTCTCTCTCTCTCTCTCTCTCTCTCTCTCTCACACACACACACACACACACACTAATAAAGAAAGCTCGTTCCGTCTGGGTGTTTAGAGTCACAGAGGGAGATCTGACAGTGATAAACTGGAGTCTGTGGCTTATTAGCATCTGGCAGCTAGTGAAGCTCAGCTGTTCATGTGTGTATGTGTGTTTCTCCGTGTGCTTGTGTTTATCCTGGGGTAACAGACTGGGAGTGAAATTTACTACGAGCACCTCAGGTTTTGTGAGGCAAAGCAATCATACACACACACACACACACACACCAAACTCTCTGAATTATGCTCATTGTCCTCATGGGACTTTATGGGCTCTGAGGTTAGCGCAAGGTTAGCAAAATGACACAGACAGCACCAGCTGTGGTCCAGGATGTTGTACATACACACACAAACACTCTTGTGCAGAATAGTAATTTATCTTCACATGTTGTGGAGGCTGAGTGAGTTTGTGTTTTTTATTGTTCATCTCCTTCATGTGTGTTTCGTGTGAGTGAGGCGGTAAATGGAGCAGGTTATGCAAAGCTGATGTGTTTCAAAGACACGACCTCAGCATCCAGACTGACAGAGGAGCAGAAGCATCACAGTGTTACAATGAATCAGATCATCTGTGTCAGGCACACACCTCTTACAGTAAACAGAGTTGACACCGCGCTGTGACTTTAGGGTACGGCTCTACTTCTGGGGATGCTCCATGAATATATTAAATCAAAAATAACATGCAGAGAGGAGTATAAATAATCCTCAAGGGAGGGGATTAAAGTGAAACTAGAAACACCGTTCAGGAAGCAAAAAGGCAACACGACCATGAGGAAGTGACTCCACACACTTCTACACAAAATGCTCCTGACCTACATTTTATTCATGCCTCACTTTTTTTTTAATGAAAGACGGTAAACTGAATTCAATCACCAGAACAGAAACTCTAGTGAGCATTTTGGTATCATAGAAATAAGGTTATAGAACCACTAATAAATAAAGTATCATGTTTTTGCAGAGTGAAATAATCAAAACTACACTTGTAAATCATAGACTGTATAGACTATGGACAACTTGGTTCTGCCTCCCACCAGTACACGGATTTGAAGCCAAAAAGCTCTCGGTAATTCTGCGTTTTTTCTCCACTTCCTGAAACCAATATTGCGCTGTAGCGTTGTGTGCATTTGGCGGGAGAGTCGCAGAGAGTCCCTGTGTTGACGCTCGGCTTAAACAGCGTTTCCCCCCGGGTGAGCTGCACAATCTTCGTACGCCCATAGGCTGTATCAGGTGTCAATCATAGAAAACATGAACCCACTAATAACTTTTAAAAACGGAGCTGCACAGAAAAAAGAGGACTTGAGGCGGGATTTATGACCTATACTGCAGCCCGTCACCAGGGGGTGCTGTTCTCAAGGTGGCTTCACCCAGACGGCGTCCATTCTATATACAGTCTATGTTGTAAATAAATAAGCATGATTGGAATTGAATTTTATCTCTAAATGTAACCCATCTGCTAACAGAGGTAGGCTTTAGGACTTATACTACAGTCAGCCAGCAGGGGGAGCATCACAGTTTTTTATATTTTCCTTTTAAACACAGTATGAGCGATTAAATGACCCCCCTGTGTCGAGTTAAACGTCCATGTCTTGATTTTTTTCCCCCTGTCGCCTCTGAGCTGACAGATGTGGTTGGCATCCTGTCAGCAGACGCGGCGGACAAATATTCCAGAGACGCAGAAGCACATGCCAACACATCATCAGATTTACAAACATCAAATGAGATGGAAAACTCAGAGATAATGTTATGACATGATCTGTAATTACACACCTTTTCTGACTCCCTGTCTCTCCTCCTGGCTGCTCAGACCTGCTGTGATTCATGTTTAAACCCCTGAGACGTGTTACCCAGATTGATATCTGACTTTCGTTTTCATCCTGTGAGATCTCACACGACAAAAGAGGGATGTTGTATTTACACCTGCTGGCTATTGGTATCATCAGATCAGTCAGGAAACAGGAAGTGTCTGCTGCGCTGGGGAACGCTAATAAGCAGTGGCACAGCCTGGAGAGGGCAGGAAGGATTAGAGGAATAAAAATAACTCTTTCTAACTGTGTGCATGTGCGTATGTGTGTGTGTGTGATTCAATGACTTCTTTAACATGGTTTTTCACTCACTGTTAGGTCTAATATTTACTTCATCTGTTTTGAGATTAGATCCAAACTATTATCCAATTTTTTTTACTACTGCAGAACTGTTGAAGGTTAACTTTAGGTGTGTATTTTTGCTTTAAATGATCTAAATTGTCACCTATGCTTTTGATTTTTAGTATTTTTATTGTTGTGTTATTTTATTACTGTAGGCTGACAATAAACTGTGTAATAAGTTGTAGTGCAGTCACCCTCCACTGGTGGGGGCTGTAACTCTGTTTGATGACGAGTACCAGACCAATGTGGACCCAGACATGTGAGGTTTAATATCCACATGTTAGGAACCAAAGGCTGCTGTTAAATACATCAAACCATTTTACAGCTTTTTGACTACAGATCATTCCTGCTCAAAGAATAGAGTCAATCGAAGTTATTATTTTCCCCCTTTTTTAAACCAACTTTAATAACCAACCGCTATTTGTTTTCTGCTCTACGTTCAGGGATTGAATTTCTATGCAAATGTAATTTTCAAAAAAATAGAAACTATCTTAGAAGCTGAGAAAAAGTATTAAATATGAGATCAAATACAGGTATGTGGATTTCCTCTAAAAGATGGGGTTTGTTTTTCGTTTGTGTCTCTGGCATTTTCACATTCATGGTTAAAATCAGACCTGTGTTTTACAGTTTTTCTCAGTCGCTTTGGTACATTTCTCGAATCATCCTCGACATTTGCAAAACAGTAAGTCCTTTTCTCAAAACAATTTGTACAAACAGCAAAATACCATGGATTACCTGCAAAAGCCAGTCTCTTGCTCAAAATCCTTAGTACATCTCTCAAAAGTAAATATCTGTGTTAATGAACATGTCAGTGCCATCAGAATGACAAGTCCTTGTGTCATTGTGTATGGATAAGACAGTCAAATTGCTTAGTCATGTTGTCAATATAACAGTGTACTCTGGAGGGATGTTCTGATGTAAACTATGGCTAAAGTTTTGATGACAATCATTGTAAATTGTAAGTTACACCTCAGTGTATGTGGGAGATTGATTGCAAGAGACTGTAATTTGATGACAGACCATGTCATTGCGATACAGAAAAGAAAAAGACAGCACTGCAGAGCACAATAAAAAAAAACAAAAAAACAAAAGTAGAAATGTGAACATACGACAATTTCCTTAGGGAAAACTGGAAATGCAGTGCTGTAGGAATTACAGTACAGTCTTCCTACACCTCCTGATGTTCCTGTCTGTTGGGCCACAAATTCTTATCCACAAAATGTCACTCATCCAAAATGTCACTGTATATAGTATACTTACTGTATATTGTAAAATGAAAGTCGAATACTGCAATATTGTATGAAGCATTACAGAAAGTATACAGTATTACAGTACAGTGCCTATTGTTAGAATACATACCTGTTCTGTCAACGAAAAGTCTGAATGATTGAGGACACAGTTGTTCTCCCAACATTTGGCTGCACCCTTTGGCCAGCCTCAGCCATTGTAAGCCCATGATTGAGAACGTGGTCTACAAGTGTAGCTCTTATCTCATCAGGAATGCACATTTGTCCTCTGCCTCTTCTGCCTCTTTCTCTGTTTTGCCTCCCAACTCCTCCGCCACGCAGCCTCACTCCTCTTCCTCTTCTTCTCTCTGGCTGTTGACCCCATCCAATTCCTTGTCCTTCCATTGTCAGACATTGTAACATTGTGTTGTGCTCCGGCAATATATATACTTGCCAGTTGATGGTTCATGAGATGCACCTTTGAGCTATTTCAGAAAAGTGGTTGATCATTGGTTGATCTAATGCTTCACACATTTCCCATCGTTAGAGAAAGTCAAGATTCACCTGGGAGCAATTTACCAATTCAGGACAGATTCAGAAACGTCTGATGGAAATGTATAGAAATATGCTTGACATATTATGACAGCTTGTTCAACCATTTTGCATGTAAAGACAATGAACTAATGCCTAAATGTTGAGGGAGGTGAGACTATTCAACAGAGACCCATTATAAAACATTTTGATCAACATGATATAAGCAATTGATAATGTAGAAAACAGCAGAAAATTGTACATAATCAATTGCATGGATGTACCAAAGCATTTGCAAGTTGTTCAAAGAAATGAGAAACTGCTTTTTTGATGTGCACAAGTGGCACAATGATGTGAAGATTGAACACGTAGTTTTGAGAATTTCAATTCTGATCTGAGAAATGTACCAAAGCGACTGAGAAAAACTGTAAAGCTGAAGAGTGCAAACCTTAAAAAACTAGTTGTATTGTTTTTCTATGTCCTATTGGCCAGTGTGTGAAATAACAAGACCGCCTGATGGATTTACAGCTAAATTAATCAATGAGCTCAGGAAACTCCAGATTTTAAAAAGTCTCCAAAATATTGGGGTCTTTTATCTGTTCCTCTCAGTCATACTTCCTGACATTTTGATCAGGTCATGAATTTATTTGCTCATGAAATTAGTGCCTCGTTTAACTACTTTGTATCTAATCTGTGACTCTCCTCTCTGTTTCTCTCTCTCTCAGATTATCTGTGCAGCCCAGAAGAGAACGTTTACAGCATTGACTTCACCAGGTTTAAGATTAGAGACATGGAGACAGGCACTGTGCTTTTTGAGATCACCAAACCTCCATCTACAGGCGAGTCACAGCACTGCTTCACAGATGTAATTCATTCATCCTTTACAGACTTTAAAAAAACAAGATACAAGGAAGTGGAACACACACACACTGAACACATCCATAAACCTGAAGAAACAGTGATACTCTGTTACTCTGATGTTTGAAACTATAGATTTTCTTGTCTTGCAAGTGACGTGTTTTCGATTATGAACCAGTTTCTTATTCAGTCTACCTCAGGATTTTCATGTCTAAAAATGTTAAAACTGTTTATTTTGTTTTTCTTTACACAAACTTATTCCCACCTTAGACAAAGCCGGTGAGAGGAGAGATATTGACCCGAACGCTGGCAGATTCGTCCGGTACCAGTTCACCCCTGCTTTTCTCAGACTTCGGCAAGTTGGAGCTACGTAAGTGTGAACATCTGTGAAACCTGATTTTCTAATCTGCTCGATATCTATCCAACTCACAGTTTCTCTACTCTGTTGTCTGTGTGCTTTGACCCTTCAGGGTGGAGTTTACAGTTGGAGACATGCCGATTGACAACTTCAGGATGATCGAGAGGCATTATTTCAGGGAGAAGCTGCTCAAGAGCTTTGACTTTGAGTTTGGCTTTTGCATGCCCAGCAGCAAGAACACCTGTGAACACATCTATGAATTCCCCCCTCTGTCAGAGGACAGCAGTAAGTAAAACTATGTGGATGTGCTGTGTTTCTGCTCGCCGATCAACTTCTGCTTTCCTCGAATTTTCACATTCGACCTTTTCACTACGACAAAACAATAACTGCTCATTAATACCTGCTGGAAGTGCAAACGTGTATTTCAGACATGAATTCATAACTGTCTGTTGAATAAAATACAAAAGAAAAGAAAAGAAATGACTAGATGAGGTCAAATAGATAAAAATAGAATAGAAAAGAATAGAGAGGGAAAGAGAAGAAGAGAATAAAAGAGAATAGAGTCAAATAGAATCAATAATAATAATAGAATATAACTGAAGAGAGCAGAGTAGAATAGAGAGGAGTAAAATAAAATTGAAAATAGAATCGAACAGTCTAGAATAGAATACAATAGAATCAAATAAAATAGAATAGAGTAGAATAGAATAGAATAAAATAAACTAATACAGAGTAGAATATAATAGAGTAGAATAAAATAAAATATAATGGAGTAGAATAGAATAAAATAAACTAATACAGAGTAGAATATAATAGAGTAGAATACAATAGAATACAATAGAATTGAATAGAGTAGAATACAATAAAATACAATAGAATCAAATAAAATAGAATAGAGTAGAGTAGAATAGGAAAAGCCAGAGTTGAATAGAATAAAATGGAGTAAAATAAAATTGATGAGAATAGAATAGAATTGGACGGTAAAGAAGAATAGAAGAGGACAGAGTAGAATAGAAAAGAATAGAAAAACTAAATGACGACAGTGTTTCTTCACTTTTCACTCGTAGTGTAGTCATGTAGGTCACAGAAAGGATGTCCTCTTTTTTTAACGGCGGGCTCTGTCAGAGTGCCAAACAGTTGGCTTTGGTTCTTTAAAGCATGGATCATTTTTAGACGATGATTGTAATTAGATTCAAAATAATTATGATGGGACTTTTTAGTTACAAAACTGATACTTTGGCTTTGGGAATTATTCAACTAGTAGTGATGGTGGGATGTGATGTTTGGGTTTATGTCTCAATGCATGGAAATGGCAAAGATGATATCCAAAGTAAATTATCCGAACTTTATAAAATAAGATGTTACTGTTATCCTCAGAGTCCACATCTCTCTGATGTTTTCATGACTTAAATGATGTTTTGACTTAAATGGAGACTTTTTAAGGCATTGAATTGATGGGGTTAGTAACCAGCTCCCTGACAACAGTGGTATCTTCTGTCTTCTCACAGTAAGAGAGATGATCCTGCACCCATATGAGACGCAGTCTGACAGCTTCTACTTTGTGGACAATAAGCTGGTGATGCACAACAAGGCAGACTACTCGTACAATGGCGGGACGTAGAGACATCACGCTGGCATGGAGGATGAAGGATGTGAGGACTGATCAGAGGGACAATTAGAGGACACTGTCGGGGTTAACTTCTTTCAGCCCAGAGGTCTTTCTCTCTCTCTCTCTCTCCTGTTATTTTTCTTTCTCTCTATCTTCCTCTCTTTTCTCTAGATGGGAGAATGCTGACCAAGAAACGTCCTCGCAGTTGCGATCTATGCGTGTGACTGCGTGTGCAAGCATGGACAAGTTAAAGAAAGCCAGAAAGAAAACATGCCACACAATCAACACACGCATAGATGAGTTTACAGCTCAGTGTGCATCTGTAACAAAGTGATTTTGCAACATGATAAACCAGCAAGTGAACAACTTCTTAGGAAATACAAGATGGTTTTTGCTCTCTAGCCACATCATGTAGTGAAAAAAGTACAAAACTCTGTATCTTCAAATATAGATAGAAGTTATTTTCTCATTCATGTTCATGTTAAGATTTAGGAACAAATCTTGCATCTGGAAACGTTTGTTTTTAGGATTTAAATGACCGGTTTGATTATGTTATTTTTCAGATTCAGTGAGCATGTGTGTGTGTGTGTATGTGTGTGTATGCATACTTTTTATGATTGTGTCTGAGAGTCTGTAAGTATGTTAGTAGCATGACTACTGGTCTGGTATAAATATATTGATCTAAGAGTCAATAATGTCGTCATCTGGTCAATTAGATTTAGACCTTTTAGTGCATTCTTTCCACAATAGGAAGTAGTTTTGAATTTATCAGGGCTATTTCCTGCTTCCCTCTCCTTGTGTTTCTTATTCTGTCTCCAGTTGTGTGATCTGTACAAACTGTAGGCTGTATGTGATTGTTAAACATAACCACAAGGGGGCCGTAGAGTGAGAAGCTCAAACGCTGCTATGTTAGCTCATTTAGAAATATCAGGAAACCAAAAAAAAAGTGAGGATTTCATGTCCTCCTGATTGATCAGCACCTGAAAATAAGATAAAAGGGGAAAATAACCACAACGTTTTGATTGACAAGCAACTCAAATACAATTTATAATGAAAATATGGACATCAGGCAATTTTTCGAGGTAAATCATCAAACTACGTGTCCTGAAGCTACCTGAAGCTAAGTTTTACAGCTGCTTTTATAACACCACCATTGAAAGCTGTATAAACCGTAAGCTATTAAAAAGTGAGGTTCCTTTAGTTGTGGTCCGATGGTTGCTAAAATACAGTCAGATGTTCCTCCTAAACTTGATGATTTATTTTCACTTTAGCTGCTGATCAGTTAAGAGGCAGTGAAATAAAAACCTCAGTTTGATATTAAAACAGCTTCTGAGTATCCACCTTGAAAACGATGAGCTATCTCTGTTCAAAGCACAAAACATCTATTGAACCCTCACAAAGAAAGCTTGTAAAAGAGATCTGATATAACCCAGAGCGTACTTTATCATCCGTGAACTCATCCAGCCTCATGTGGCTTTTTCGAGTGATAAAGAAGCTGTTGAAAAGTTGTGATTTGTGTGTCCAAATTTGAGTTTTTCTGTCTAGGAACTCTTTACGGGAAACGTGGATTTGTAAATGTTGATATTTTTCCGTCTGAGCTGTGTTGTAAAAGAGGGAGGTTTGGAGAATGTAGTCCCTGAAATCTAGCTCTTTTTCATCTCTGTTTTCTGTTTCTGCAGCAGCCCTAATCGTGTCTTTCTGTTACCTGTTCCTGCCTCTCGTACTGTTTTCAAGTATCATTTTCATTCTGACACATTCCAGTGAATTTGGACCTGAGTGCGGTGATCTCTGGTTATTCGAGGGCATTTATTTCACAGATCACACAGCGATTAGTCGTTGAACTGCTTTCAGACGCCTCTAAACTGTAATATGCACACTGAACTGTCCTCCACCTGTGCTGAAACACAGCCTGATTCAAGTCGTATCAAACGGTTTTCATTACATTTACCACCTGATTGAACGCACTTAAAAGCCAGATTCACATTTTTTTCCAAAACTGCAGTAAACTTCACCCTTCTGTTACAGCAGGTTTATTCAAAGGCTAAAAATTTGCCAATACTTGTTGAACCTGGTTTGTGAAAAGTTGCAGCCAGAGGAAAAGGAAACGTCTTTCTAAAATTCTCCTGTTGTGAGTTTGCAAAAAAAAAAACAAGGTGGAAAAGAAATGTGGACAACTCAAAGTTGTAACCAGGAGGGGACTCAGATTGACTTGAATGTTATGTCGAGGTCTAGTATAGATTTATTTAATATGATTGTGTCTCATGTACAAATATTTTGAACTAATGTGAAGTTTTTAAATGTTGGTGTGACTGAACAGAAGTAAAATAAATCAAAGATTTATGGGACTTTTTGAAATATAACAGGCCCTCAGTGTTTGTGTTATGAAGTACACAATGTGATATTTGTTTGGAATAAAAAAGACTTTGCACCGTAGATATACAACGTGAAAAAAAAATCACTCACTCAGTTGGAATTTCATCTTTTGCTTTTTCACTTTATTTAAGCTGTCCTAAGCACATCAGAAAAACAACCTCAGCTGCGATAATTTTGTGTTGGCAGCCTCTTATCTCAAAGTTATCCATCAACCAAACTTTTTATCTCTTCATACTGAACAAAATGTGAGTAACACCTTCCTGATATTGATTTGTGCGCCCCCTTTTGTTTTTATTTCCTCATTGCTAAAGACATTTTGCAGAGTCACCTGCACTTATTCCTGCATCTACTCAAGTGGGCCTCATTTTTCATAACGTGCCTGCTGTCTCACCGAGACCTACACGAGACAAAATGTGCCAGTCTCATGTCTGTACGTTAATTGTTAAATTGGCGCTGGTTGATGATTACCTGAGTGTAGCATAAAGATAAAAACAGGATCAAAGCTGGCCTTGCATTGTCATAAGGTAAAGATTTGCCAACAAGCACTTTTCATGCCCACTCTTTTACGAGTTTGATCGATCCAGGGTGCTAAAAAGGTTTAATCAGAGGACGATGTCCAGGAGGCCACTACACAAGAACTAATCAAGTACAAAATCAATGAACATTTTTAATTTCAGTTACTGTTTGGCTTGAAAAAAAAGACATAATCTTAATCTGACATGTACAGATCCTGTTTTCTTTCTTTGACGTGTGTCATCTGACTTTAAGACGGAGTTCGCCTGTCTGTCAGCAAAGTGAACCAGCTGTTCGATGTTTTAAACTGGATGTTCGATACGGATTGAAATCGATACTGATGTCTCGTCTTGACCTTGAAGAGTAAAAGAGACCATCAGAAACAGGACTGACAATTTTTAGCAGCTTTTGAGAGAGTGTTATTCATCTGAAAAATAAATAGAAATAATTCAAAATGTCCACTATTCCTGTTTCATATTGGGAAACTATAACCAAATGTAAGTTTAAAATATCAAATTTTGCAAACAACCACAACTTTGACATTTACGGGATGTGATATAAAAGATATGACATATAAAGTCAGTGCTTGTCCATCATAAAAACAGCTTCAAAAATACAGATAAACAACAACAACAAGAACACAACAGAAAGACTTAGTTAATAAGTTAAATTAACAAACACCATTCATTCATTTTCTGCTCATTTAAATGCTATGTGTTTACATCATGTGGTATTAGTAGTCATTACATCAAAGTGTACTGCATATTTACATATTAATACAATTAAAAGATTAAATTATATTCAGGGGATCTGACCTCATAAACACAGTTTTTTTTGTTCTATCATTAGAGATGGAAATATCGAACTCTAACAGAGATTTCACAGTTTATTTTTCACCAGGTCCTGGTTTCATTGCATCACAAGTTTGAATATAATTTCAGCATCAAGTATTTCTGTTTTTCAGTGAGTAAAATGGATCTACATGGTTTTATACTTGGATCTGGTTCATCTCTAAATGTATTCTTTTACTTTAAGGAAATAAAAAGTGTTGAAATACAGCTGTGGTTTCTCCTGATAACTGAACTGTGTGGGTATTTTTCTTATTTTAAAGACTTTACCCACACAGTCTTAATGGAGCTCTTATTCCTCTACCTAATACCTTATTTGACGCCTCTTTTATACTCAGGATGTTTCTTCTCAAACATGAGTATTTGTGATTATATTATAGATCTTATAATTTTTTTTTGTCCCCCTGTATTCATGGCTTAGGACTTGAAACATTGGCCCACTGAGGGAAGGTGCCCATGTCAAACATGGCGTAACCCCAGGTGTTAATACCAAGATTGATGGTCAAAATCCCAATGAGGTTCAGTATGGTGCCGGCTCTCACCTGAAGGAACAGACAATTAAATTCAATATTGTTCAGCATAAAAAGTCCAATTAGCAAAGATTCTGTACGTTTAAAAAACAAAACAATAAGTCAAAAATGTGAATAATTTGAGATTTGAACCAAATACTTCCGGGACTTAAGATGTGACACAAAGATAAAAAACTGTAGGCCTTGTTTAACTTGCTTTTCCCCTAAGTTTTTTATAGATTGAACAATTTTGTTAGTCTCCAGACAAACTGATGATATTTGGATCATTTATTCAGTTTTATGGACTGTATGTTTTTGCATCTTACCATGTCAAAGACTTTGAGGTTTCCAAACGAGAAGGCGATGGCGTTGGGTGGCGTGGCTACAGGCAGCATGAAAGCCAGAGAGGCGGCGATGGTGCAGGGCAGCATCACATACAACGGGTGTATCTTAATAGCTATGGCCTAAAAAAACACAAACAACACAACACACTTAAAAACATACAGAAACTGTGTGTTCAACTGTGATTTTGCACGATTATGGACATCTCGTTTACCATTGAGGCCAGGATCGGCAGGAACAGGGTGGTGGTGGCGGTGTTGCTGGAGCACTCAGTGAAAGTCGCCACCAGCAGGCAGAGCAGCAACGAGATTGCAAAGGGAGGAATTTTCTGCAGGGGTGTTAAACAATCTCCCAACCATGTGGATAGACCTGACTCCTGTTAATGGACATTTCAAGGACAAAATTAAGGAACATAAAAATAATTATAATTACACAAGAAATTATTCCATGCTGGATGCTCTTGGACTGAGCAACCAGGGGGTTACTTTCTTACTACATAAAAAAAACTGAAGGATTTTCTTCTAACGTGGATTCAGGTTAATGTCTTTGTTGATCCCTCAAACCTGCAAGAGCTGTTAGCCTATCACAAGTTCATGCTGTAAACAAGGACACATGGGGTGTAAGTACTCCAGTTAGCACAAAGGAGTAATCGAACAAGTGGCAACAGAAATGAAGGTGGATGAAGACCCCAGTCATACTGCTTGTAACTAAACATCTAAAGCTCTATAACAAACGGACATGATTTATTCTACCTTTGACATTTACAAATCAAGAAAAAAGTTTTTACTAACAAACAGTGTCCAAGCTAACTGGGCTGACATGCGTTTGAAGTATTCTTCCACTAACCTTTGGCTCTGTTTTGGTCTCTACCAACTAGACAGAAAAATCTCGCTCTTCTGAGACGAGTGCTCTACCGTGTCCTCGTAAACTTTAACAGTGGACTGTGGTGCCAGTCCTATCTGCAATAAGATAGCTGCACCAATACTATCACTTTACACCTTACAGCAGTGGTTCTCAAGTCCAGTCCTCGAGGCCCACCGTCCTGCATGTTCTGGATGTTTCCCTGCTCCAACACACCTGATTCAAATGATCAGCTCGTTATTGAGCCGTTACAGAGCTTGATAACGAGCTGATCATTTGAATCAGGTGTATCCAGAACATGCAGAACGGGGGGCCTCGAGGACAGGAAGAACAAACATCCTCAAAAGGTCAAAGAAAAAGTAGTGAAATCCACGGCCTTACTGGAGCTGTACAGCAAAGTTTCTACCAACATACTAGACGATGAAAATCATGATTTGACTGCTGTTGGAGATCCCTGATATTTAGAAACCAAAACATGACGTCCACTGTGTTTGTTTACCTCACTGCCAGCAGCGAGAGCGAAGCCTCCTCCCAACAACAGGATGATGTTCCAGGGCATTCGCTCGTGGACCACGTCCCAGTTCAGCAGAGTCGGGAGGGTCTTGATCAATTTACCTACGAGGACCAAATGAAGTGAGAACACGACGCTGTTTAACAGAGCGGTACCAAATCACCGCAAAGAGCTCAGACGAACGGAAGTTTGTGTTCGATAGATGATTTTCTTCACATTCAGAGTGTTCAGAGGAACTTACAAGAACTTCGTTTTTACCTTTTTCATTGTAACCGTAACCGTTACAGCTCGGCAGCTGGGAGGGGATGACGAAGAAGAGCATCGACATAAAAATAGCCGTAGTTCCATCAGACACATACCTGGGGTTTAAAAAATAACCGTGCTCAGTTTAATGCTGTTTAAACATGAGAAACTCTTCACTGCAGTTCAATTATTTCATGGAATTTGTTCATGTTTATAAAAAGTTGATTATTTTCCAAAACTACACAGAAAAACCGAAGAGAAAGGCGGAGACTCACGCTCCATTCATATTGAAGAGCAGTGTTGCCCATCCATCGAAGAAGCCCGGCTCTCTGGTGAACCAGAGGATCACCAGCAGGACGAAGATGAAAAGCACCGCCACCTCCGCGAACTTAACCCTCCCCAGCTTTCTGTACTCCTCCTTCATCACCGCATACGCCTCCTTATCTCTGTCGCTCTTAATGCCGCAGCCGAATGACTGCTTAAAGCTGAGGAGAACAAAGGTACAAAGGATGAAGATGCTGCAGATAGGAAACCAAACACGGACATGTGTACGTTAATGAAACTGTTCGAAGTTTAAGTCACATGATACGTTGAAAATCGGGTCTGATTAGAGTTTTTAAGGAGGAAGCTGACAACCTTTTTTTTATTCAAATGCAATAAACAGAGAAAGTAATTCCCCATGATCTTTGTACGATGGGGTAATTATTAGGGATGCACGATATTTATCGGACCGATAAAATATCGGCCGATTGGGGGGAAAATTACGTCATTTTTTATCGGTCCGATAGGTGCATTTTTCCGATAGAAAGATCCGATATATTAATGAAATTACGAGTAACGTTTGCAGGCGGAGTAGCCGCCCGTCGCGCCTTACTCGCAGGTCCCAAGCCTGACCCCGTCACTACCTGACAGATAATAAAATGTCTTCACCAGCATGGTCGTTTCTCTCAGTGGCAGAAGATGACAACAGCAGTGCTATGCAAAACCTGTTCAGCGAGGATTTCGAGAGGAGGAAAGAAGACGTCAAGTTTTAACACAACGAATCTGATAGCTCATCTGAAAAGTCGCCATCGCGGCGAAGCGGTAGTAAAAGAATATGAGACAGCCGCCGAAGCTGCTAGCGGTACTAAAGCTAAGACAACAACACTACGGAGGATCGATGTCCCCATTCAGCAGCCGTTTAAAAACTGCAAAAGCTTCTCAAGAGACAGCGAAAAGGCTAAAGGCATTAACGACAAAGTGATGGAGTTCATAGCGGTCGACGACCAGCCTTTTTCCGTCGTTGAGAACCCGGGTTTTCGTAAGTTCATAGCACACTTGGAGCCACGTTACACTCTCCCAAGCCGCCGCTTCTTCTCGGATGTGTCTCTTCCTGCACTCTATGATATTGTCGCCACAAACATTCACAACCTGATCGACAAGAACGGACTACACGTGAGTTTTACCACAGACATATGGACGTCAGATGTTAGTCCGGTCAGCATGCTAATCCTAACGTCTCATAATAGCTCCTTTACAGTTTACAGTTCTGTTGAACCGTTCAGGGGATCAAATGAAGTTCTGCTTTTTGCTCTGTTATTGTTATTTATAGCAAATGACCACATTTGAAGAGCCAAAAACTTTTGTTTGTTGTTCTAGATAGGCCAGAGCAACAAAAACATCAGTTTTCAATCGCTGCATCCTGCACAAACTGCAGATTATATGAAGATTATAATAAATGTAAAAATATGAATTTATCGGTTATCGGTATCGGTATCGGCCATGAGAAGAAGAAAATTATCGGTTATCGGTTTCGGTTGAAATTTTTCATATCGTGCATCACTAGTAATTATGTTTTATTTATCATAGCATAAACATATTAAAGGGTAGCTCCACAAAAAAATGACCTGAGTTTGTTTTGAGCAGGTTTTCTTTCGTCCCTGCCCTGATGAGAAACTACACCAACAGAAAAATGTTGTTAATGTCGTCTTACTTGAAGCCCAGGAACATGATCTGAAGCCAGAACCACGTCAGCACCAGCATGAGCACCATGTTGGGGAAAGCAAAGCCGAACCAGCTGGCGAAATTGATCACATCCCCGTTATCGGGAAAGAGCCTTCACAAAGGAGAAAGAGACAAAGTCATGAGAAGAGGAGTAAAGACATTTGGATGTTACATTAAAAGAAATGCTGCGTTTCTCGATGCCGTACTTATCGATTTGACCCTTGAGGATGATGTTGGGCGTGGTGCCGGTGAGGGTTGCGGTGCCCCCGATGCTGGCAGAGTAACACACGCTCAGACTCATGCCTTTGGTCAGGAGGTCATACTTTTCCTCGACTGCTTTCCTCCTCATCTCCGTCAGGCTGTCTGGACTTCCCTGGACTTCCCCTGGAATTCAACACGCATCAACTTTGCTGTAAAGGTTACTTTCTGAAAGACCACCATCTATTTTTCCAGCATACATGTTTACTTACAGTTTGTGTCTTTTGGGGTAACATCAATGTTCGTCTGATGGTTCTCCTTTTCTTCTCCTTCTTTTATTTCTATCTCTTTTGTTTCTTTCTCGTCAAGCTCAAAGCCCTCGTTGTTCATGGCCGCAACCTGAGCGTCTCGAGAATCCGCCTTCAGCTCCGTGGCTTTCAGCTGTATCAGTACGGCGTGTGCGATGGGCAGCATCATGGCTGTGGTGGCTGTGTTGCTGATCCACATGGACAGGAAAGCTGAGACGACCATGAACCCGATCATCAATCTGAGTGAGACGACAGTGAATGACAGCGAAGCAATTATGATCAAAACGGTGATCATGGTTCTCAGATCCACATCAAGCCCTTTAAGGTCATAATACACAAAGACTAATGCTGTGTAACTGTAACACGGCTGTAAAGTGTTTTTATCAAGGATCTCATAAAGTCCTAATTCATCTTGTTCTGCTCTAATGTATCCTGCTAACACAAGTTCAAAAGATTACAACAAAGTCATAAGAGTAAAAAAAAAGAGTACGGGACACATTTAAAAAGCAAAATTCACTCGTTTAAGAGAATAAGAAGAGAGACAACTGCAAGAATAGAGTTCCCATAATTCAAGAGTTAAACTAAACTAAAAAAAACATCAAGTCCAGTCATTAAATGAACAATAATGAAGTTACAAATTGACAAGACTACAGTTATTCTTTGAGGAGGAAAAGTAGTTTCAGATCTTACACTCCTCGTTCTCTTCCTGCACAACTTCACTCACATGAAGTTTTTACTTTATTCTTGTAATTTGTTTTCATAAATTTATAACTTCTGAATTTCAAACCTGATTCTCATCAATAATAACGTTTGTGTCCGTTTTTGTGCCCCCTGTGACAGAGCAGCCTTTGCTTATCTTCTCCTTTACAAGCTGAAGTGGTGACCTCTGACAAAAAAAACCTCATTATTCTGACCTTTGACCTTTAAATTAATCATTTATTGTGAACTTTATACGTGGAAATAGCAAAAACGGGGCTGTTCTTTTAGCTGCTTTGCTGACACTTTTCCTCTCACATCAGTTTCTGACATCAAAGATTCGAATGAATAGTTGTCGCTGATGGACTTGTTTGCTTTTAAATATTGTAAAAAGGCATTAATTTAATATTTAGTTCATTTTATAAATTAAAAAAATCACTGGACCTTTAAGAGTTTAATCCAACATGTAAAACACTTTTTTGAATAATTCTAACTTTTATCTCTTACTGTTTTAGTCTCTTGAAATTCAGACTAATTTCTCCCAATATAAGATTTATTGTAATATCAAAATTGAATTCCAGGAGATGGTGTTCATTTTTCCTCAGTGAGTCATGCCGTCCTCTCAGAGCAAAAGTTTTGAAGGTTCCCGTCATGTTTTACTTTTTCTCGCCCTGTAGCATCTCCATATCCGGTTTTCTATCCTCCATCTACAGCTTGTTCCTGCGGTTGAAGGTTTTTGTCTTATATTGGGAATCTTCATCTAGAATTCTTCTCCCTGCTTTCAAACTAGAAAAAAAAATAAGTTTTCCTTTCTTTTTATCCCCTAAATGTTTGTGGTTGTTTCAAGGAAAGTCCCTAAAAAACTAGCCAACATGTCAATCAAATCAAATCAATCAAAACTGGTTAATTTTGTTCAAATATCAAACTGATGATTGGTGCATTTTGTACTTATTTGTGGAAAGAGATCCTAAAAAATTAGCAAGTCAAGACGATAAAGACCCTTGTAGGGACCTTTGTCTCTTCAACTATCTACTGCGAGGAGCACAGGTGAGCTGTAACACAGGTGAGCTGTAACACAGGTGAGCATTCTTACAGTGAAGGACGAACGCCAACCAGCAGCAAAACTTGGAGAGCGATGCGCTTATGAAGGTTCCAGTGCTCCACAGCTATGGCCACCAACAGACCCCCAATGAACAACATGTTGGAGTCTCTCAGATACTCAATACTGACCTGAAACAGAAAACACAGCCACTAACTTCAGCACAGCCATAAAACCTCCTAACATGTGCCAAACACGCATGAAAGCTTCTGAACTACGGAGTAACCTGTGTACCTGCCGTGACACAAGAAGGTAATACATCATCATTTTTTTATGAGCAATAAAAGGAAAACACGAAGCTCAGCAGATGTGACTGTGAAGGTTAAATACGCCCTGTAAGAACCGACTGAAAGGTCAAATTACACTGCAGGAATCTGGAGACGTTCAAACGTGGTTTTGGTTCTTTGTCAGGGAGTTTAGAGAGAGAAACACTGATATAATTCCACTCCTACAGGCTTTTCTATTGATCTTGTATGTATTAGCGATTGCTGGCCCGCCTTATCATCATCAGCTGGGCTCACAGCCTCCTTGAGTTTAGGAGAGAAGATAATCTTTTGTTTTTGCACTGAACTGCTCTGTTGTGTGTGTTTGCTGGTTTTATTCCAGGTGAACTTTCATGGTAGTGGTTTCATGCATGTTGAAATGTAAAGATAGAATAATACGCCTCTGCTCTTTGTTGCTGCTGGAGAAGAGACGTTATTCATGTCTGGTATCAGGACAACTCCAGTTTCCTTCATTTGTACAAATCCGATTTTCTATTCTCTATGAATCCTTTTTTTCTTTCTTTTAACAGCATCTTGTTTGTTCTCCAGGGTAAAGCAGACAACTTGCAATATGAGCTAGATGAGATTGAAAGAGAAGCTGTTGATCAAAGTATAAAAGGACTTTACATCTCCAGCTTTCATGATGCCCATCATGGGGAAGAGGACAACAGGCAGCAGCGCAGTCACAGCGAGAGGCATACACTCTGTGCACCAGTACAGAGCCATGATGATGATGGCGTAACCACATCTGGATTCCTGTAAACACACAAACACACAGCTCTTCAGACAGAAGAAGAACCCATGAAGCATGTTGTCGGTGAAATCCAAAATACTGTCAGAAGCTTAGAGATCCATGTTTGATGTAAAACCTGATTTTCAACACAGAAGCAGAGACTGACGCACAAATGCGACACAATAGTTCAGTTGACTTTTACGTCCTCTCTCTTATCTCCAGCTCTCTTTAAAAGGCAGTAAGACTTTACACATGCAGATAGCAGTAATCCTTGATCATAAAACAAACTGTTTGTTGTGCGTTTGTCTTAGGAGATTACTCTTTATGGTTACTCAGTAAAAACCCTTTACACAAAGACCGTTTAATCACCCGACACAGAATTTTCCACTGAGAAACGGATGAGATCCCTCTCTAACTGGAATCGTTTATTGACTTCTTGTTGGGTTGTTGACACCGTTGACTTGTCATAAACAACAAAATCAGCTAGCTTAGCCAACTCATAACAAAAGCTCTTCTACCTGCACCTCGTCTTACTTCATCAAAAACAAAGTTAACATGAGTCACGTTTTTGTTTTTAAAATGCGTTATTCCTACAGTTAGACAAAACTGGAATATTAAATCTCCAGGTCAAACCCTTACGAGCGCACTCCTGCGGCACTGAAATTTGATGAATTCTTCCTTAAAATAAAACAGTTTTTCTCCCACTTTCTCCCTGGTCCTAAGCTAAACAAAGTAAAGCTAAATTAATGAATTTCGGTCACCTGTGAAGAAATGATAGAAGTTTAAACTTTCATGTCTACGACGAAAGAAGGTATGAAGAGTAAATTCTCCAGTGGCTGCCTTTTTATGTACTTGAGAATTAGCAATGCTTTCACTTATTGATAAACAACTTTGGATGAGCTGTGTTATTGGACCGGCAGCTAAATTTATCCATAGACTGTATATAAAATGGACAACCTGGTTCTGCCTCCCGCCTGTATACGGATTTGAAGCCAAAAAGTTCTCGGTAATTCCGGGTTTTTCTCCACTTTCTTGAAACCAGAGCTGCGCAGTAGCGTTGCGCGCATTCGGCCGCGCAGTCGCCGAGAGTCGCTGTGATGACGCTCGGCTCAAACAGCGTATCCCCCCCGGGTGAGCTACACAATCCCTGAACGCCCATAGGCTGTACCAGGTGTCAATCATAGAAAACATGAACCCCCTAATAACTTTTAAAAACGGAGCTGTACAGAAAAAAAAGGACTTGGGCACAAACCGGTCTGACAGTAATTACATGTCAACATCACAACCAGGGGGGAGAAACATTTATATTCTGTGTAATAAATTTCTAAAGTTTGTCCACAGCTCCATAAGCTTTGCTGGCGGAGGTGGGATTTATGAGCTGTACTGCAGCCCACCATCAGAGGGTGCTGTTCTCGCGGTGGCTTCACCCAGCGAGGAGGCAGACTCTGTCCATTCTTTATACAGTCTATGAATTTACCATTTGATTTTTAAGAGGCAAGTTTCTATATAAGAGTGAAGAAGTAGAAATGTAGTTTAAGATCAACTGTACAGAGCGCACCTTCTCACTTCGTCTCTCTTGTTCAGTAAGTTTTAGTTTGTTTGTTTTTAGCGATAGTCAATAGAAATCTTACAGCAAGTCAGTGCATGAATGAAAAAGGTTACCCGATTACATAATTTACACCAGTAACAAGTAACCTGGGTCACATGGTGCGTAATTTCGTGGTGCTTCTTGCGGTCATGTTTGGGGTTTAGCCTTGAGGAGATACTTTATCTCCCTACAAGATTAGGAAGTTCGCTTTGGAGTTAGTGCAGCAGACGTTCAATTACAGTAACTCACAAACATATGAGTGCATGCTTGATTTTAATAATATAATATTCTGTGTCAGCAGTAGATTTGTAGTGAACATAAATATGATAATGGATGTTACCTTGATGGTTTCTGTCGTCTTTAATAGTCTGGATTATTGTTCTGGCTTTAGTTAACCAGATTTTACATAAAATACTACATCGCACTAACACTAAGCCGACAAAACATTTAAGACGACAAGTCAGTGATCGACCAACATCATAACAAAACTGTTCCTTACATTTGTAGCCTGATAAAAGTTGCAACTATGAAACCACCTGCTATTGTCCATGTCAGATAATTAATCTATTTAAACAAACATTTAAAGAACTGTCTGGATGAAAACATGTTGGTTAAACAGAACATTTATGATATCAAATCGTCAGAACACAATGAACACTTTAAACATCTTAAACTACATGAGGTCTTTTGTTTGTTTTCACAAGACGGCAATAAACGTCTCCATGATTTACCTCTCTGTCTCGTATTAAACAGCAAAGACAGAAGAACATTAAATTAAGTGACACAAAGGGAAATATCTTTCGGCCTCTTTATCGCCGTTTTTATTATTTAGACCCAACTGTGATGCTCTTCATGACCTTTTAGTTAATGTAAAAGTAACTTCCATGTTCAAGCTCAGACACACTTACCGATCCAGGGATGAGGAGCGGCAGAGGAAGGAATAAAAGTGGAATGAGAACAATGATGAAGTAGTTTCTGTGGTACCACAGCCATGACAACTCTCGGTTTTCCTTGAGTGATTGAAAGACTGCGAGGAAACCCATGGTCGAAAAGTCTTGTAATAGTTGCCCAATTAACTATTAGCAGCAGCTGCTGACAGGTTAACACCTAAACTTAAACTAAACTCAGGAGAGCTGATTTCAAAGCTGTCGGTGAAACAAAGTAAAGAAGTGGACGCCAGGAAACCACTGAGGAAATGAGACTAATATGACTGCTATCTACTCTATTTTTATCTTGTGTAGCATATCAAACATTAACTTAACACGAGAGATCAAGATCCTTGACAGAGAGGCAGATGAAGCTGTTGTGAAAGGGGAAGGTTAACAGTAAAGACAGGAAGAGGAGGGATTAAGATGAGAAGAAAGATAACCATACAACAGAAGACAGCTTTTTCATATGAAGAAGTGCAGTTTTGTCAGGTTCAGTCAAAGGTCGTGCGTGTGTGTGTGTGTGTGTGTGTGTGTGTGTGTGTGTGTGTGTGTGTGTGTCGGCTGAGTTAAAAGAACTCTGCAGCTCGGGGTCTGCAACAAGTTTTACAGAAGCTGAATGTTTGCAGCTTCTGTTACATGACTTTGTTGTCTTACTGAGAAAGGAGATAAAATGTTCATTTCACTCGACTTTGTGTGTTGAATGTCATTTTTTGGACAATAACAGCATCAATAGTTACAATAGTTACTACACTAACTTAGTTTAGCACAGGATTCAATTGGAGTATGAGGTAAACACAGAACTTTGGGAACCTAATAGCTCGTCTTTATCTGTCTGAAATGCTTTTGTGTTAACAGCAAGGTTGCATTCACATTTTGTTATATTTGTAGCTTGACCAGAAGAGATGAATAAACCCAAAGAAAAGGGAGCCCCGCATAGAACGTTTCTTAACCGTAGATGGTGAGGAAGAGGACCGAGTTAGCATCATAGCTGGCAGATATGTCAGACACTGTGCAGTGGGTCTCAGGTTCGCGTAGTGCTTTTCTGAAATAACCTTCAAACTTATTCCATTTAGTGTCACAGTCACTTCTGCCCTCAGATTAAGTTTTTTCTAAATCTATTTAAATTTTTTTTCTTTACTAATTTGTCATAAATCCACAGAAGCAGTTTGTGCCGATGAAAGTTTAGATTTTGATTTTCTCTTTTTTGTGTAAACTGATTTGGTAATACGCAACACACTAAGTAGCTACAATTAGCTTCATTTTCACTGACATGGCTGAGTCACGTTTTGATGATAATTTGTGTTTTTGTCACTTGATGAAAAGTACTGCTCCCTCAGCATTGTTTGTCCTTTAAGCCTCAAATCTGTTTGAATTTAGAGAGTAACAAAAGAACATCGATCACCAGATTATTTTGTCGAAGCACGTTAATTTTCATCCCGTGATTTTACACAGAGTAGGACAGTATAAACTGTATGACTGTGCTGTTTTTATAGCTGTTCCGGCACTCTTAATATGAGATAAGGTCAAAAATAGCTCCAGTCATAAAACACAGACTGTATTGGAGTATTATGTAAAGGAGCTGTAGTCATGAAGATGTCCTAAAATTGACTCTAATTTATTTAAATCAGTGTAAATATTAACAAGTTTGACACTCCACACTCACAAAAACTGCTCACACAGTCGGACGCTTGAAGTGAAGAACACACCTGAGCTCCTCACCACGGTTGAATTGAGAGACGCGGTCCCCCGTCTTTACATTAAAGACTCAAAGGTTTATGTGATCTTGTTCATCTTATACTTCATGAATGACTGATGATTGACTGGATTCATTTCTGAAACAACAAGAAGCCTGATATATCAAATGGGTATTTAATACCATTTCAGGTGACATTTTTATTATAAAAAAAGGATTTACATCAGTGAGATCATGCGGATCATTACATAAAGGTTGCTATAAACCTATTCAGGTTTATTGTGTTTTCTTGTGGACTAAAACGCAATAAAGTTGTCACTATTTGTAATCATTCAGAAATTGTTAATTAAAAATGCCTCGAATCACATTTGAGTGAATGATTTCTCTCAGTACATTTCCAGTATCCAAAAAAAAAAACAAAAACAAGAATCAGTTCTACATTTTGCTGCTTAAATCAAGACAATAGATCTAAAAGATAAGAGTTTATCGGTTTATTTGTTCCTTAAAGTTATCTTACATAACAGTCTGACTTATTACGGGACAGCTTTGAGATACGGCCTAATCATCAGTATCCCTTCTGGCTGATATAAGAGCCAAAGTCCAGCTGCTCTAAAAGGCTGTCCTCAAGTGGTCGACTGTTAGACTGTTCTCGCTGCACTTCAAAGGGGTTACTGTATAACTGACGGACTTCATTCACGGTTCGGAGGGTTTGATTCAGTGTTGGACTGCTGCTCACACTCAACAGATTCATTCTTTCTAGTAATAAAATCATTCATGGCCTTTTAAAAGTTACTGTAATGATTTTTTTATGTTAAGAAAAGAGACAAATCCATTTTGATGACTTTACATGATATCCAAATGTAAACAAGAGGATCAGGCATGAGATTCACTATTTGTATATCATCCTTTCTAATGCCTGAAACGGTGCGAGGAGGTACGTCTCAGGTGAAGAAAGAGCCTATTTCAATCATTTCCACATAAATAATTCATTTAATCATTAAAAGTCAGCAGGAAGTTTTCCCCCTAAATAAACTACTTAAACATTTAAGGGACAAGACAGTCAAAGACTTGACACAAACCAAAAGTTCCTCACTGGAGCTTTAATTTCCGGGTGTTGATGTGCTGTTGACATGTTGACAGATATCACATTCTTTCAGAAAACCTACATTTGGTATGAACTGAAAAACAGACCCTTTGTTGTTCTTGTTGAATAGGATCAGGGTTGTGTTTGCTGTAGGGTTGTTATTTTACACCACAGATCAATAGAGGAAAAAAAGGCTGCCCTGGTTACACAATGTTTGTGCTGAGATTACCGCTCCATCTCTCCAACGTGAGTTCTAGTTTCAGTGAATTTACACACTGTAGTATTAACACACTGGTGCATTAAGTGTGTTTAATAGTTTCACATGTCTGGTATGTACTGAATTTAAGTGTTAAGCTGAAGCAAACCACCAGTCTGACAGTTATTTGAATTTAGGATGGTGTTTCTGGGACAGAGCGGACAGAGATCAGATGTCACAGATTAATCATTATCACAGCCGATTGCTGACCAATCAGAAACAACAGACACCCGGGGGTCAGCAGCTTCTGAAAAATACTTATTGATCATCTCCAGTCCTGCACCCCAAAGTAGGACAGTCAGATCAGACTCATCGGGCTTTGTGGTGTAAACGGGTGGAGAAGAGCATCGTTTCTTCCACAGTGAGCTAGAATTACAAGTTTCTATTTCTGTTTGCCAACATGAAGCCAGCAGTGGTTCTGCTGGGCCTCATCCTGCTGCTGGACACCACCTTCTCTGCAGAGGGTAAGTCTTGTGAATTGTCTGGTTTAAATGCTGGATGTGCGAAGGCTAATAAATATTGCAGGTAATGTCAGTAAAATTCTATGCTGTCCAGTATTATAAGACGTTTTTAAGGTTATTGATGGAAGATTTCCTCTGGATTTGACTTGCCATGGCGTTTCTGATTTTCTGTTCATAAAGGATCAAATGTTTTTAGTATAAAATATTTTTAATGTACTACATAAACACCTTATAACTGCAAAAAAATATCATATCATAGTATAAAAAAATCATAGTGCAGTCTCAATTCTGAAAAACTGATGTTAAAAAAATTGGTGTCTTGCATATAAACCCCATTTTAGCCGAAAATAATGCAAGTAGGCTACAACATATCAAATGTCAAAACTGAATAAATGTACGGTTTCAGCAAAGATACTGTTTTAAATCTGATGCCAGTGACATATTTCTAATAATGTGGTACTGGAATAACAAAAGGCTTTCAGAAGTCGTGTAATTCTTAAAATAAAAACAACCAGAGGAACATCTAATTCATGAGGTTAACATGCCACCGGCTGGGAACATGACTGGGTATGAAAAGAGTAATTTATAGGTCTCTTGGGAGTGAAAATGGGAAGACGTTCACCTTTTAGGGAGGATTTTCCTGAGCATAGTATTGTAAAGAATTTGGGTATTTAGTCCTGAAAATATTCTGAGAATCTTGAGAAATGGAGGGAGAAGACCCCCAGGCATCACTGCAGACATGACTCTGGAGTGGAAATCACTGCATAGGTGACTCAAAATTACTTTAAAAAAAACAAAAACACGCTGAGTATCATCTTGGCATCCAAAAATGCAGGTTCAAACTTTGATGGAAATTTTCTAACAGGATACAGAAACACCTATTTTACTGATAACTTCTTAAATGTTTTTGTACATTAAGGGTTAAAATACCGTAAACTTCTCTTGAAAAGTAAAGTTTAAAGAATCCTTGATTAGTATGTAGCAGATCTTTTGTCTCCGTTAATAAATGATCCTCTCACTATGACCCAGATTTCTGTGACCCACTGTAAGGGCATGTCCTAGATTAATGATTTAAATATCATGTAAATATAGCATTTAAAACAATGAAACATGGCTACAACATTAAACTGCTGCGTATAATACTCATTTAAAGAATCACCATTCAATGTGGGGTCGTTTTTTACAATACTCTAGTTCTTTCACTTCCTCAAGGAAATGAAAACTTCTTCTAGCACCTGTTGCTTCGTGGTAAAGTCTGACTGGTATTCTTCAAAAATAAAAAAATAAACTACATTTCCACAGAGTCCTGCGTGAGTCGCTGTGGCTCCTTCGACCCACAGAGGAAATGTCAGTGTGACTCCATGTGTGTGTACTACGGAAGCTGCTGTGCCGACTTTGACGCTGTGTGCCCTAAAAAAAGTCAGTACACTCACAGATCACTACTTCATACTACTCCATGAACCAAATCACAAATCAAAAATAAGTTTGATACTGAATCTTTTTTCTTCTGCTCTGCCTCCAGTCGCTCGCGGTGATACCTTTGAGGAAGCAGAGGAACTACCTGAAGCAGTGATGAATCCCAACACCACAACTATCACACCAACTTTCAACACGATTGCACCAACCACCCCTGCCTCCCCACCGCCCACCACCACACTACAGCCCACACCTCCTGTAGACCCTAATGCAGCGCCATGCAGCGGTCGGCCATTTGATGCTTTCTTACAGCTGAAGAACGGGTCTATCTACGCATTTAGAGGTAAACTAATCTCAAAACATTTAAATACAAATCTGGACTTCAGTACACTGGACTTTTCATGTGATTACTTTTGGAGTTTGATGTATGATACTGATCGAAAGTCTACCTTTCCTCTAAGGTGAATATTTCTTTGAGTTGGATGACAAGTCCATACTTCCTGGTTACCCCAAACTTATTCAGGATGTCTGGGGGATCCCTGGGCCCATTGACGCTGCATTCACACGCATCAACTGCCAGGGGAAATCCTACATCTTTAAGGTAAAGAGGTCTATCCCTCAAGATCGTGAAGGGTTTAGAAGCACAAATAAAAAGAGAAAGAAAGACAAGAAAGTGCAATAAACTGTGAATAAAGGTCCTTACACACCGGGACCGATGCAAATATACAATATACGCAAATTTTGACACGTCTGACTATACACATCAAGCGCGATGTGATTTTGCAATATTCCGAGTAGAAAAAAAGACGCGTCCCGGGTGGAAGCGAGAAGACCGACCCAACAGCAGACTGATGCTGCGTCCGAATTGCCAAGTAGTAGTCGAAGTAGTATGTAGCATGTCTGAATATTTGTCATATTTGCCCAAGTAATCATTTTATGAGCAAATATGTGGCGACATCATGGAGGTAAAGCTCACTTATTCCATCATTAAACTGCACAGCTGCAGTAATCAGACAGATCTCATTGAACAAACGATCACCACGTGAGTGAATGAAGGCTAAAAGTAATGGAAAAGCTACTTTGTGAATTTCTAAAGCAGTGCAGGAATATAATACAGCATATAATACAATTACCATTCAAAGAGTCTAAAACGGGCGCAGTACCTACTCTCTGCCTGCGGGGGTCGTCTTTCCCCACCGCTCGTCTAGTGTGTCCAAATTGGGCCAACGTGTTTAGTATGTAGGAGTAGGATCTAGCAGTTGTATATAGCAGTAGTATGTAGTATCCGAGCGGGAAATTCGGACACAGTACGAGTGTTTTTCAGTTCTGATTAGACTCTAGTGTTGAGATGTCTGTCTGTCATGATAGCATGGACTGAGTCGGGGCCAGGACCAGATAAACACATTAAACTATAATCCATAAACGTAAGGGAACAACCGAGACCTAATGGTGCTGTGACAGCAACGTGATTGAGTTTGACACAGTGAAAATACATATGGTATGTTGTATCTGAACAGATTAGCTTACGAGCTAAAGTTACTTAGCACAGATGAAAGTTCAAACAAAGACGTTTATCAAACTGTTAAAGCTCACAAACCATCGTCATATGAGAAATCCGACGCTATGACTCTCCACATGTTGTCCTTCAGGTCATTATCTTTGTAATGTTTGTGTCACTTATCAAAAATCACTCTGTTCTCCGACACGTAAACAATCAGCCGGTCGGCCATGTTGAATATACCGGTGAATCTGACGTCGCAACAACACGAAATCTGATTGGTCAGAAGTGGACACACAGTATGCGAAAGTTTCGAAAATTCGAATGTGATAGGAAAAAATAAATGCGCAATATCGCAGGACGGGAAAACATCGCTGATGTGAACGCTTGTATTGACAGGATATGGATTTGAAAAAAATATTGACGTCCGAAATAATCGCAGAACAAAAACGCTCCCGGTGTGAAAGGACCTTAAGGCTTGCAGATGCATAAAATGTTCGATATGAATAGATGTGTGTTAGTGTCTTCATGTAACAGCAGCAGCAGCATCAGACCTAATGAGTGTGACCTCTTCGAATTGACTCTGTCTCAGGGGAACAAGTACTGGAGGTTTGACGGAGACGTCTTGGATGAGGACTACCCCCGGGACATTTCAGTCGGCTTTGACGGCATACCGGACGATATCGATGCAGCATTTGCAATTCCAGCACCAAGTCACCGAGGCAGAGAGAAAGCCTACTTTTTTAAAGGTAATCAGCAAAAGAAAACAGCGCAAGTCACTTGTGGATTTTGGCTTCACTTTAGCACAACAGAAGGAGATGGAGATGCGTCATCAGGTGTACAAGTGCGTCCCATTCCTCCAATAATCAAGAGCGCAGTGCGCTTCATCTATACTTTATCTGACAGTGAGGCTGCAGCTGGGCAGTATGGTTGAGTTTAAATCGCACAATGCGTCATGTAGGGGACGTTTTTTCCGACTTAAAGAGCTACAAATTTGCTACTAAAGACATTTTAATGTTAAAAAGATGTTTCAAAAAAGCAAATGAAACTCCGCTGTTTGTTTCTGTTTTCAGGAGAGAAGTACCACCAGTATGAATTCAAGCAGCAGCCCTCGCATGAAGAGTGTGTCCTCATGAGCAGGTCCTCTCCATCGGTGCTGTTCACACGATACACTGACCTGTTCTGTGATCAGACGTGGGAGGATTTATTTGCTGAGCTCTTTGGAGGCCCCTGTAAGGCTCTGATGTGTCTATGTGCTATTTAGCGCGTCATCTATGCGTCTCAAATTCTTGTTTGACCTTTGTGAATGACTCCCCCCCATTGCACAGTTCATGATCCTGATCTTGCTTTTCAGATAGCAGTCACGACATAGGGGCACGTTACACCAGCAGGGACTGGCATGGCATCAGGTCCCCTGTCGATGCTGCCATGGTGGGACGGGTTTACCTCAGTCCCAAACCCACACCATCCTCTCCTCCACCATCGAGGAGGCGTGGCAGCCGGAGGAGGAGGCCAAACAGGAGACGCGGACATCGAGGAAGGCATAGCCGCCATGTGTTGTTTGATGATTTCTGGGGTTATGATGACTGGTTTGACTACAGCCACTTCAGTGACATGATGGAAGAGATGCCCACAGAGGAGCAGAAGAGCACCCCCGTTCAAAACGTGTACTTTTTCAAAAGAGGTACGAACACCTAAGGTCATTTATCCATAAGTCTTAATGTGTTCATCAGAAAAAACAATAACACACTAGAATAATGATGTTATTTAGAGCTCTTATTTTTTTGCATTATTTTCTTTTCTGAACTGCAGATAAATACTACAGAGTGGATCTGCAGACCAAACGTGTGGACTCTGCCAGCCCTCCTTACCCACGCTCCATTGCAAAATACTGGCTGGGCTGCAAACAAGAGGATACAAGTGATTCATCAAGAGCAGAGAAAAAATAGCCAGATGATGGAGTCTATGAAGAGGAAATGATGAGAAATGTATATTGTGTTTCCCTTTTCACAAGTCTAAAGTGTAGTAACATTGTGGACCTGTAATGTAGCTACTGCTGTTCTTGTGTTTAAAAATTTTCTTTCTTTTTATAGATTAAAAGGTCAAAGTTCTGCATGATTTGACACTGCGACTTACAGTTTTGTTGCTGCACATTTTATGTTGTTTAGCTATCATAACTACCCTATTTACCTTATTACTAACTGTCAAAATACATGAACTGCAGACAAACCAGCACTCAAAACAAGTTTTCACACACTTAAAACAGCTCAAATATTAAAGGTTCAAGGTTTTGGATTCTTGTATAGATGGTCAAATCTGGTTCGATTAATCTACATCCAAAAACAAAGCTGCATTGTAGTCCTGTGACAATGTTATTTATGGAACCTGTATATTTGAAGGAGCTGCGCCCTCTGTTGGACAAAAGGGAAGTTAATCGGACAATATGCATAATATCCCAGTTTTAAAGGCTTTTTTTTGTGTCTGTCAATGGCATTTATGTTCTAGAGTCAATTAAACAATAAACTTGCCTCCCTTCCAGAAATACTTCACAATCTGTCCTTTAGTGTTTTTGGTTGTGGGCCTGTGACAAATACAAACTGTGTATCCTGTACTCTCATATTTGTGGTACATTTCTTGGTGACACTTTTCCTGACTCATTTGACATTCAGCACATGTTCCCTTGTAGCTTTGTGTAAATTGACTTTTTAAGTCTATCATGCTTTTTTAATACACCATTTGCTGTATCCTACCAAACTGCACTTTACTAGAGACGAGAAAAGTAAAATATATTCTTATGAATTACATAACGAGGCGACGTTTCTGCTTTTTTGGACATATTTATATAAAAAGGTTTACATTGTATCAAGTCATTTCAATAGCAAGTGGGGCTCAAAAGGCACCGCTGGGATTCGAACCCAGGATCTCCTGTTTACTAGACAGGCGCTTTAACCAACTAAGCCACGGCGCCCCTGTGACGACGGCACGCGGTAGACATGTCTAGACTACGAATCCGCCGGATACCTGGAGGTTCGAATCTCAAAAAGTGTGCATCCGAGTCAATCCGTGTTGATGTATCATATTTATGAAATGAATATGATAGGAAACGGATACATTTCAGCACTCAAGTCAAAATTTATGAACGTATTTTGACGTATCAAGAAAGTGAAGATTTGGTAATAATGTTGGAGGACTGATTGTGGATCTGAGAAGGACAAAGACACGCGGTGACCCCTGTTTCCATCCAAGCGTCAGTGTGGTTATTATGAAGGGCTTAAAGTACCTGGGGGTGTATCTGGATAACAAACTAGACCGGTCTAAAAAACACTGTAGCTGCCTCAGCCATCTCTATTTCCTCAGGAGGGTGAGGTCCTTTAACTTCTGCAGGACCGTCTTTATTCGGGTCGGGCTGGATTCGAACCCCCAGAGATTGGATTTCTACATTCTACAACCATCCATGGTGAGCTGCTCCTCTTCCATTCAAGACTTAAACATCATATCCCTCAAACAGCCATCTCTAAAGGGGAGTTTAATGTAATATAACCGTGTATCTTGGCTTTAGAAGGGGATTCATTTTTATTTTAAACTCACATTTCTCACCTTGAGCCTGGACACAACAGGCTGCGAACCCAGGCCCGGAGAAGTTGCGTTGAAGTCATGGTTGACGATCTGAGAAACAGTTGAAAAAAATGAGCGGTTGAGGCAGATTTGAAAAACGCATCCCACCCCACACACACATATACCCCTCCCACGATAACTACCCCCCTGAACCTGTATCGTCCTCCCCACGACACACCCCCTCTGACAGAGCGAAAAGCCGGCCGGCAGAAGATCCTACGCTAGCTTCAAATAGGATTCACCATGTTGGATTGTTAGTGACTAGCGGCAGTAAACGCCAGCTCTGCTAGCGAGCGCCATCTGCAGCTGCCTGGACAGATACAGTGTTGACATGTCAGAGACTAGTAGGAGTTATTTATGTAACATGTGCCACGATAAAAGACAAAAATTACCTGTTCAACAAAACTTCTGCTGTCTTGGCGTTTGTTTTCAGGCCCAGATCTTGGCGAAGCTTTCTCCACTGCTCGTAGGATGACCCGATGTTTTTTAGAATTTGATTCCTCGCTTGGTCACATTTCCTCTTCAACTCCGCCCTTTCTTCTGTCGGCTTGTGTTTTCTTTGCTCTTTTAGCAGAAGTGTATTTTGTGTCCTTCTCCATCACAGCTCCTATAGCTAAGCTGCTACGCTACTTTTAGCTGCTCGTAGCTCCGGGAGAGTGGGAGGGGATGAGTTGGAACTACGGGAGAGGGGTGTGTCAAATACAGCAAGGTGATTGGATGGAGAGGCAGAGCAGGAGATTGACCAATAGGAGTTGTCTGGGATGGATGGCTCCCATTGGTCAATGTTTTTGCAGCCCTGCACCTGCTAGGGTGAAAGGATCTTTTCAATCTTTTTTCTCTTCACTTTGTGGAGATCGCACTATAGGACCATGATCGCCATATAAACAAAGTTCATAATAATTATCAATCTCTCCAATCGTTAACTTAATATTAAACTTCTTAATAATAAACTTCTTCCTTTCTTTATATTTTCACTGACACACTTGAGCACAAACCAGTAACTACATGTAAACATCACAAGCAGGGGGGATAAACATTTATATTCTGTGTAATAAATGTATAAAGTTAGTCCACAGCTCTTTGGGGATTACTGGAGGAGGCAGATTTATGACCTTCACAGCAGCATGTCACCAGAGGATGTTGTTCTCCTGTTGGCGTCACCCAGCTAGGAGGCAGACAGCGTCCATTCTATATACAGTCTATGGTTATAACCATTTTTTCCTGCATTTCAAGAATGCCTAGAAAACCTAGATTATAAACTATTCAAGTCCAATTTCAAGTGTCTACAACACCATCTTACACAGCAATGTTTGACCTACATCTTAATTTTTGCACTTATTTTAAACTTCACTCAAGTTTTTAACTGATTTTTGATATGTAGATATGTTTTCCCCGCCATTAAAGCCCTTTGAATTTTACCCACTATAAATGTGTCCAGTACCCAGTGATGCTCAAAATTTTCAATTTTTTCCTGTATAATATAGGATGGCTTGATATTACTACTGTAATACACTTTGTACAACTAAAAAAGGATCCCTCACAAGAGTGATAAAAGCGTATTTTGTATTTTTCTTTACCAGTCTAAATTAAATTGTTTCTTCACAACTGTTTTTGCCTTTAATTTTGTTTTTTTGATTCCCTGAGTTTTCAGGATATACAACTGACTGTGTTTTATCAAAATAAGAGACCAAATTGAACCATATCTAGCTTGAGTTTCTACTTCATGCAGTTTGGCATCATCCACATCCACCAGGGGTCTTTTTTTACTGCCAAGATAACGTTCATTTATTTAACATTTAAACTAAGGTGATGTAATCAAATAATACTGATTCAGACTAATATGAATTAAAGTATTTAGATTTTTCATTTGATAAATATTACTTAGGTGGCTGTAAAAGACTGAACCTGATTCCTCTGAGGGGAAAAATAAATAAATGTGACAATAATTGCAGCATGCATGCCATATTAGCTATACCAGGTTGTTGGTTTCACTTTGCCATTTCAACATTAAAATACATAATCCTGTAAACTCAAGCCTGTTAAGTTCAGCCTACTAAATACGCTCCTCACGATCAAGCTGAGGACTTAAGCGAGGAAGAAACTGTAGTCTGCAGTCATTCTCCTGTGACTTCGATCACACTTAATAGTAACATTAATCATTAGAGGTACACAAATTATTACAAACGAATATGTTTATTACTAATAAAATTGCCAGAGACACTAGCTGAGAAGACTCCAGAGACCTGGAGCCGCTCCAGAAAAAAACTAAGCAAACATTTAACTTCAGAGCAGTAATTCTAAAACCAGCGGCACTTGGAAAGCACAAACTAAACGTGCATGGGAACTGAACAAAATTTGCTGGATCACAAATAAAAAAGATGCCAACTCAACAGGAAGTCCACATTTGTGTGAAATCTAATACTTTTCCCTCTTACATCCCCACACCTTTTCATTCTTGGATGTTAATCTACCTACTTAAGTCAAAAAGTCCCTGAAAGACAGAAGCTGGTTCACCTTTAGGACCAGAAACTACTTCAAACTATCACATTAACAAGGAGGAAATACCAATCGGGTCATTTTGGGGCACGTGAAGCACAATTAAAAGTTATGAGACAGCTTAAACTTTTTAAAATTACAGACCAATGCATTTTATGGCTACAAAACACTGAGAAATCAATGTGAAATTTTAATAGGAAAACTTTGTATCCTTCATCTGTTCAACATTAACTCAATCTTCAAGCCCAGAATCTGGAAACTAAGAACAGAAAAAAAAAGTTACTGAAAACATTTTTTTATTTGTCAAAAAAGCTTCTTTACAGCGCCATGATTTAACCTGTAAAGCCAGCGAACATGTAAAATACAAGCCTTACAATACATTAGAATCAAAACGGGTACCAAAAAGTACAGTAAAAATTACACTTCCGTGGGTGGAAATGTGGAAGGGGAGGAAAAACAAAAAAGAACACCAAAGGGTAAAGTAAAACCTAAAAATGAAAAAGGATTAAAAAAAAAAAAAAAAAAAAAACAAAAAAAAAAAAAAGAGAGAGAGAGGAAAAGTTACATTTCAGGTGTTTTCTGTACAAATGGTCTTCTGTCATAAAAGAGGTCATGTCATGCCCAGTGTGTCCGTTCAGCCATCAGTCTCACTGGATCACTGGAGATCTGAGGGGAGACAAACAAAAACAAAACAAAAAAAAGAAAAAGAAAAAGAAAAAAACACCGTTACTTTCTCCAACTCAGGATCTGAAACCCCTATTTACAAAGTTATAAAACATTTTGTCGACCATAAATAAGGATTTAAATGCAATTTAAAACTCAAACTAAAAAAATATTTAGGTTGTAGGATGACAAAACATTGGCTTCATCTTTATGCGTCTCTTCTTTGTCTGGATTTTGTTTACCATCAAAATTCTGATGCACTGTGCTCTCTTTGTCCAGCCTTAAGTTCCTGCATGTAACCTTAACACTCCGGCTAAATGTAATTACAACCTGCTACCTTTAAAAGTCCACGATAACGGTCACATTTCAAGTTTTGGGCAACATGACTGCATATAAAAAGGAGGGAAGTGACGGCCATGGCATACCTTGCACTAACCAGTGATCATCAGTATGGCTTGTAGCTGGACTGGTGTCCCCCCCGTCGTGGAGTTTTACCATAGCTTGCATTGCCCTGATCTGTGGGGCAGACAGGATAGATCAGATCAGAGTCACAGCATGCAGCAACGACAGTTTCGGGTTAATTTTACACACAGTGAAAGTACTTGAAGACTTAAATAATAAATGGCCCAATTTTGCCTGACTTTGAGGAGTTCACCTTTGTTCGTAGGGCTGGGCAATACGGCCGGAAATTATAACAAAGTCAACTACTCCTGGATGATCAACATCTATACATGCCAGCAGTGTTTCTGCAGAGCAACAGTAGTCTAGGTTTAACTCTACAAAGTGCCTGTATAAAATCAAAACAAATGACGTAGGTGATACAACCCCGATTCAACAAATACAGTTAGATAGCGTGCAAACCATGAACACTCAAAATCGTTTGGGCAGGGGTGTGTTTATCATTGTGTCGAGTCACCTCTTCTCTGACAACTTCTACTAAACACCTGAAAACACTGACATCAGTTCTACAGTTACAAAAGTGAAATTTAAAATTTTCAGCTGCTCAACAGTTCAGGTTTAATTTAAAAGAAGTCTTTTTTTTTTTATTCCAAATGTTTTTGATGGGTGTTAAGTCAGGACTGCAGGCAGCTCATATTGCCGCCTGTCCTCTTCTACTACAGAGTCACGCTGCTGTAATCCCTGCAGGATGTGGTCTTTACAGATGATCCAGTTTTGAGGACGTTATGTCCACGATTTCCAAAAAATAAAAACCTAACATGTCAGGCTGCAGGGCAGTTTTCTCTTTGCTGGTCCATCTGTACTGGGCCCATTTCCAGAGGAGTTGCCGGTGTTTCTGGGCCATGTTTATATTTGGTTTCCTCTTTGCATGGTGCAGTTTGACCTGCATTTGTGGATGCTGGGCCAAACTGTTCGTGGATGCTGGCGAATTCACGCCCATTCATTGATTTCTGAGAGAACTGTGCTATTTTTAATCAGTGCTGTCTTCGTGTCAGGGTTGCTTAAACTTCGTCCTTCCTGCTTCTCTGAATCTTGAGTACCATGTACTTTAAAAAAGAGAAAAGCCCCAAATTCTTAAACAGTTCTGGGCTGAGGAAAATTATGTTGAACTGAACTGTTTAGACTCCTTCCCAGCTTGTCTAGAATTCACTTTTTATACCCAGTCATGTTTCTAACCTGTCACAAATCAACCTTTGGAGAAGTTTCTCTTGGTGTTTTGAAGCATTACTCAAGTTTTTCAGTATTTTGTTGTTCTGTTGCAGGAATCAGATTCAAAAATGATCATACAGTTCAAGAACGCAATGCATGAAATTTCACTTTCAACACTCGCTTTGCTGTTTTCGCACCATTTGCGGTTAAAATGGTGCTTATGTGATGTGCATACGACCAGCAAATCATATCAGGTCACGTTTTTCAAACAACCTGTCCTTGACTTCTGCCCTGTTTGTCAGTACATCCAGATTTATGATATATGGGATCATTTTGTCAGAATGAAAAAGGATCAAAAATCTGAAGCTTGTATGATACAGAAACTCGTGTTCAGTTTTAAATGTAAATCTAACAGAGTGTGGCAGCGCTCAGTTTTGCTGAATAGTTGTCTTTACAAGCTGCTCAACGTGTGAAAAGACGGCTTTAATGCCCAGCCCAAAGATCAGGCACCAAAATGGTCCCTCCCTCAGCTAAGGAGTTCACTCATTAACACACCTGTCGCAGACTTCATCAACTCACCGCACGTTGAAAATGATCAAAACCTGCTAATTTTGACTTATTTGTGCCTCAGTTTCAACAGTATGATACAAATCAAAGATACGAAAAAGTGACGAAACGTGTACTCACTATAATCATATCCGGGACCGTATCCGTAGTAACCAGAAGAATAGTCATAGTTTCCATAGCCACTGTATCCACCATAGCCATAGCCCTGGTTACCATACCCCTGGTTCCAGTAGTTTCCGTAGCCCTGGTTCCAGCCCTGGCTCTGACCTGAGACACAAAGTTTTCATGTTTAGGATTCAGTCTCCAAGTTTGGATTCATTTGTTAATCAAAAAGGTTCAGTTTCACCACAAGGTGGGGGTATGTTCTGAGTTCAGATGGTTACCTCCACGGCCCCTGCCTCCCCGACCTCCATAACCACCGCCACGTCCTCCTCCGTACTGTTGCTGCTGATACACCTCCTTCGGCTGGGCAATCTTCAGCTCACACTAAAGAAGGAGGACAGATAAACACATGTTACAATAACGGACGAGGCAACTCCGGACCCACTGTAAGAACGCATGTGTGTGTGTGTGTGTGTGTTTGGTTACCCTGCTGCCCTGGATGCTGTGAAACTTCTTCTCCAGACACTTCTTGACGCTGGCCTCATCTTTGTACGTGATGAAGATGAAACCCCTCCTTTTCTTTGACTTGGGGTCAATGGGGAGTTCAATGGTTTCAATCTGAAAGCAAGTGTGGAGGAATGATTTAAGTCTGACTTCAGAGAATAATTAGTACAGCTCTCTAAGATGACGAATCAGATCGTTAAACATGAGTTTTCTTTTTCAATGCTGACTTTCTGTTTTAATTTTACTGATTTTTTTTTGCACTTTGCTGTTGTAACCCTGTTCAAACTCAACTGTTCTCCACTAGTTCAGTATAAAAGGTCTATGCCAAGATAAAAAACTCAGTTTAAATGACGTTGTCGAACCAAACCTACCTCTCCAAATGCCCCAAAATATTCCCTAATTGTTTCCTCTGTCGCCTCAGGGATCAACCCCCCGACAAAGATCTTCTTGACGGGCTCCTTCTTCATGGCCATCGCCCTCTTGGGGTCGATTGTACGCCCGTCCAGCCCGTGTTCCTTCTGTGCCAGCACCTGAGGAAAGACACATTTTATTTAATCCAGAGCTGGTACAGATCACAAACTTATGAATAATATCTGATAACCGTCTCCAGCATGATTCTGCTCGATTCCATTAGTTTTACCCCTCAACAGCCAAATCAGGCCCTATAAACAATGACGCTTCCAGACTTGCACAAGTTCCTGAAAATGTCCTGAATTACCAAGTGGATGAGCTGTATGTGTGAACAAAAACATCCAAGTTTTCTGCCGAAATTTGCCTGGAACATTTCCTAAATACCCCCCGATATGATTCAGTGTTAAGTCTGAGTAAGCTGTGATACTGAACACTCTCATATCTTGTCAGAGTTTGTTGGCATTAAAGTTGGGATTTGAAGGCATTCAACTCGTAAACATTGAGCACCCTCACATCTTGGATGAGCTCATGTAAACCCAGCATCATCCTGCAGATAATCTCCGGCTGTGTTGACATATTTTCTGTTAGAATATGCAGCATGTTAAACTTAAAGATTGTAGGAGAATCCACGCTCCCAATACAGTCACTTTATAATCACCTGACTCAGATATAGGAGTGTGATATAATCCTCTATAACATAACCTATCATTGCGTTCTATAGAAGTTTTCCTCCATGGTCTTTTGTCCTTTATCAAATAACACTTCCATACATGGGGCACACGTAAAGCAGCTTAGATTTCCACTACTCTGGTGTTTAATTTGCAGTCAAGTCAAAACAAGTGCAATTGAAGAGGTTAGTTTTATCCTACTCAATCCAAAAGTGTCGACAAACTCAATTTAAGCGTTTGCATTTCAAACTGTGACCAGGAAATCAGACGAACACGCACCTTGTCCACACTGGCAGAGTCTTTGAAGAGCACGAAGCCAAAGCCTCGGGATCGTCCAGTGCTTTGATCCATCTTGATGGTGCAGTCCAACACTTCACCGAACTTACTGAAGTAATCCTTCAGGTCTTTTTTACTCGTATCCCAGCTGAGGCCGCCCACAAACATTTTTCTGCAGAGGGAAAGAAAACAGTCAATTTGAGCCCATAATGTCTTCTTTGTAATATTCTGAGTTACTTTTAATGACTCCATTTTTCTACTCTGCTTAAATTATTGTCTTTTATCACTGCACTTGATAAAATCCTGACATATGAACAGGTTCCTGAGCAGAAATGACTCCATCTCCATCTACACATCTCCACGCTTTGTTTGAGCCTCTTTTACCCACACCTTTCAAATTAACCCCCAAGTATAGCGATACATTTCTTAACCATGGATGCACCTCGGCTGTGATCGGCACTTACCCAGCATCCTCCTCTCCTTTGCTGGCATCGATCTTCCCTCCATCTGTGCCATTGTCTGTTTCTTCCTGGATTTCGTCTCCGGTCATCAGTTCCTGCTCGGCACCGTTCTGGTCCTCCTCTTCCTCGTTTCCATTCTGATCTGATGTTTCCATGAGGAGTGTCTCAGCATCTGCCATTCTGACGGTGGGTTTTTAAAGAGACTGGAAAAGAACAGAGGAGACTTTTAATCAAGTTATCAACCTCTGATTTTCTAAAGAAAGACAGAGCTTTATTTTGGTATGTAGCTGAACAGTAAATTCTGTGTATGACTGTCAGAGAGAGAGAGAGAGAGGCGTTCATGCGTGAAAAATCTACATTTTTCTGCCTAAAGTACACCTAAGAAAAAAAAAAGCTTAAAAACACAGAAATTTGTCGCCGATATAGCCTTGTTTAACGTTTACCAGCACTTACTAAGGTCAATGAAACCTCTTACTATGAATGGTTATCATACACAATGCACAAAGGGTGAGCAGTCCAGGAATGGTCACTTATTTTGGAGCAAAGCGGCGTCGTTTACTCACTAAGAATAACAAAAGTTTACGTAGGAAAAGCAACGATAACGAGGGGGGACACGCTGCTTTAGCGCGACCTCATTAGCCCATAGGAAAAGGAAAATAGGTGATCTAACGGCTATCGCTTCCTTGCAAAACTATCGTCCGCGCATGCGCATAGTTAAGAGAGTAGCGTTTGTACGTTTATTTTGTGTATTCATTTGATGAAAACTGCTAAAGTAACCCCACAATACATGATACAAGTAACTTGGTGTGAAATGTTATCTACTCTGTTTCTGTCCCGATAAAAAATTAGGAAAACTTAAAGTTTGGGTACGCTTATCCTTTCTATTCTCACAAAAGGCTAAACCACACATCACAAAAGGCTAAAGCACACAATACACATATACGAGCAACCTTCAAGTGATCTGTAACAACTACAAACGACGGATCTTACAACGTATTTATCACGTTAGAGTTTATGGCAATATTCGCATAAAGGTACAATTTGTGACGGAGTGCCGCTCTAAGCTATGGTAGCAGCTTTTGTCAGAACACTGGCGTGAGTCTCCAGTTTAAGCGGACCGCGCTTTGCTCCGCGTCAGGTTGACTGCAGGCCTGGCTAACAGGTACCGCGTTAAAACTGAATGAAATGACCCCCACGGTTTAATTAAATAACAAACCAAAAGTGACACAATATGCAAGAAAGTAAAACGGAGTAATTTCTCCTGAAATAGACGAACAGACCGTTAACTGAACTCTGTAACCGCGTTAACGTGCTTAGCAACACTGATGCTAGCAAGCAACTAGCTACATTTCATGCGAATAAACACACACATTGCGTCTAAAATAGTTCGATTAAAACACCATTATTACACACAACTTAATTTAACGCTCAAATCCCTTTTTACAATCCAAAATCTGGAGTATGAACTACAAAAGTACGCTTACTTTAAGAGGGAAAAAACGGAGGCGCCGATTCGCTGCTCAAAATGGACACTCTCCAAATTCGCCGCTAACTCGTGGCAAAATATATACGACCGGATGTGACCGAGGACTCGATGACGTTGTTATGACAAAATATCTGATTGGACCAAATGGTTCAGAATGCGAATGAAGACGTTTTGTGATTGGTGGATTGTTAGAGCAGCGATGACACGCAAAGACAACAGCCGATTGTCTTTCCTGTCTCCTCTATCCCCGCTGTTTCTCAAACCGGGTTTCGCGTTGTGATTCGTATCATTTTACACTCTGCGTTTGGCATTGTGAGGATTAAATGCATCAATAGTTCTATATTTTTATTTATATTTGCTCGACCAACGTAAAACTATCTAATGCTTTCATTTGTGAAGTTGATGTTGATTGCCCCTGTGCGTACGCAGTTTCTATCAATGAAAGCAAAAACAGTTCAATTTAACACTTTTTAAATTAATGACAGTGTAAAATCACGGCTTAATAGCCTCTACGTCGATGCTTACACAAAGTACAACAGAAAATTTTCACAGTGTAATTTAACACACGTTATTGTAACTGAGTAGTGTAGCCCCCCTTTTAAGAACTAAAAAACCACATCTGTGTAAGTACTTTTCATTGACAGTCTTGTATTTTATTACATTTTAATACAGCATCAGTGAAAAACAAACTGTAAACATACAGGTGCAGCTAAAAAAGGTTCAATTTGACTCTTTAATCAAGATAAAAAAATTGAAACTTCCATATTCTTGCCTAATTTCTCACTAGACTTTGGCTTGAATCTTGATCACAGACTACAGCTCATAAGAATTAAAATAAAAATCTATCTCAAAACGTCAGAATATGACAAAACACGCACACACATGATTTATATACAGGAATGTCAATCTTTGGGGAAATTATGTTCAGTTAAATTCTCAGTACTTGGTTGGGGCTCTTCTTGCATTAATTACAGCATCACCGTCAGTCTGTCTTTCTGTTGCGGTCTTACTGAAGTCAAGGGTCTGATAGCTCCTTCTGCTCGTTTGTATTGTTGCTCTGGTGCCTCGTAGCTTTCTCTAGATGATACCCAAGAGATCCTCTGTGGGGTTCAGGTAAAGCGAGTCATACCATGTCAGCAAACCATTTTCTGGTACTTTTGGTGCTGTGGGCAGGTCCTGCTGGAAAAGGTCATCTGTATCTACATAAAGCCATAAACTGGATTCTGGGCCCCTCTGATCTTCCTGCAGATTGTTGGACCTTTATTTCCAGAGAGGAATCCAAACTAACTTTGATCTGAATAGAGGACTTTGGACCACCGAACAACAGTCCAGTTCCTATGTTATGTCTCTTTATTATGGACTATTATACTTACATTTTCAAGATTGCACCTCAAGACAGAAATGTTTCCACTTTACAGAACTTTAAGATCAACACCACTTTAATGTGACAACATGAAAATGTCCGCTCATCCAGACAAGATTCTAAAAACTCTCAACTGTTTTTCTTTCCCACCAAGGCAACAGGGGTGTAACACTTCTAGACTGTGAAGGGTGATCAGAGTCGGTGCAAAGTTTTCTTCCAAACCAGTCATTCACCATTCCCCTCTCTAAATAAGTATTAAGCTCTACCTCCACCATCTGGCAAACAAAGCAGAAACAGCAGAGTGTACGGACGGGTGATGAACACAAAACAAAGAACGGTAAGACGATTCAGAATAACCAGCTGACAGACACATTTATTTCTTTTCAGTCAGTTAAATGTTACTTTATTCACACTTACTTGAATTAAAAAAAGACATTCATAAAGAAATTTAAAACTTTGTTCACTATTATTAATTTAAAAGATGCTTAAATAGCATGAATCCATATCATTAATTCTTTAAATCACACAGAAAACTCTCAAAGATAAATTGGCCAGAACTCTTTTTGACCCCCGTAAATCATGGCCACTGTCCCTGATCCTGGCTCTAGGGTTCATCTCACTTTAGGATCTGGACTTGCTGACCCAGTGGTACTTGTCAACACGAGGCCCAGTGAAGGTGAAGGTAGCTCGATAGGGCTTGAAGCCTTTCTGGATGGGGAACTGGGAAACCGGGCCTCCAGGTGGAGGAGTATGTGGAGGGAATGAATCCCCTGCAAAGGCCCTCCGCTTCTCCCTGTGCCAGTTTTGTGGGGCAGCGGGTGAAAACTCACTGAACTGAAGACGAGAAGAGCAGAGTGTTAGGAAAAAAAAAACATTTACCTTATGATTCGAAACTTTGCTTGCATCTAGTAGGACACCAAATATTGTAACTTCACAGTATTTGTTGTAAGTGTGGAAAGGCATGATACCCCCACTTGAAGTTCTTTAAATCACAGATATGTAAAATACTTGGTTCTGATTGCTCAAAACTCCGTAGGAACGGTCTGTTATATATTGACAGATAGTTGCTATGGAGACAATAATCACAGATTCGACGACTCAACATCCAACTCAGACAACCATGTTTCAATGGACTGGGCCAAAGTAGACTGAGCAGCGACTCAGAGGGCGAGGGCTGAGATAGATTATTGTGCTCTGCCTAAAAGCATTCACATTGTAACTGTCCAGCAGGTGGCAGCAGTGCTGACACTCTCCTTTGCGTGGTTATTGTAAGAACATCAGTTCAGCTCAGGTTTTTATCCTCTCTCGTGTTAAACTTACCCGGTAGACACTGTTGGGGTTGCTGACCGTTGGGATGCTTTTGGGTTCAGGATTGGAGGGTGGGATTGGAGCAGGGCACAGAGTCGCCAAGCTGCTGCAGCTGCTACTCATACTGTTGTCTCCACCCCCATCCTCCTCGTCCGAAGAACTTCCTGATCGGACGTCAAGGCTTGCCCGCTCAACGGCGTCGTGGATACGGCGGGAAAACTCACCGTCCCCACGTCGACAGCTGTCTGCAGCTGAGACGCAGAATGGAGTGCTGTGCTCTCCGTACCTACAAGAAAAACAGAAATGTGCAAAAACCATATTTTTAATCCAGAATCCAATCCAGAATCAGGCAAATAAATACGCCATAGTCTTGCCTAGCAATGGACCTAAACCTCTGATTATTGTTGGGATTTGGAGATCCTCTCCTTGAGTTTTAAAGTAATGATGTGAATAGACCAAAACCACTTTTTAAAAAGAGGCTGCAAACATCTTCACTTCTGCTGGGAAAATATAGAGCTCAACAGGTTTCATTGGCTCTTGGGGCCAGCCTTTGGTGGACTGGAGGAACTGCAAATCCTTCAGTTTTGCACACTGGCTTTACCATTCATTACCCTAAGTTACTGGATTGTTGTGCATCAATCTGAGATCTAAAACTAATCAGCAGCCGGGATCAATATGGGAGGATATTTGCCAGAAGAGTTCATGGACAGTTGCAGTTTTCAGATCGACTCTGAAATGACAAGTGCATAACCACGACTGCAATGATCGGTTCTGGTCAGAAAGAGATTCTTAATCTCACTGAAGCCTTCTTGATCAGGTTAAACAGAACCCCTGACCTGCAGGACACCTCTCCAGGATCGACCCACACCGTCATCTCCAGAGGAAGACCCAGATCCTCGTACCGTACTGCGCTCCGCTTGCAGGCCTGCTGTAGCACCAGATCCCTCAGCTGAGCACGGTTCATACGCAGACACCTGAAACTCAAAATTGCAGAATTGGAATATTTCTCCCTTTCCTGTGTTTGGGTCACTCATCATTTGGTTTAAATCAAAGCATAAATTGGTTGTACTGACCTGTAAGCCTGGCCTTTGGTTGGCGTGTTCGGGTACCAGTGGTTCTTGTAGCTTTCAAACAGAACTGAGGTGAGCGCAGCAGCAAAGCGGTCCCTGCTTTCAATATCCAGACAGCCATATCTTTTCACCAGACGAGCGACAAAAAACACAGCAGCAGCGATCTCCTCTTTCATGGCGAACACACACACTAATGTTTGAGCTTATCTTACACTGGGGGCAACAGAAACTCTAAACTAAACAGTTAAAACCTCTACAGAGAGTAAAACATGGGTAGGAAGATCCTACTAAAGGAGAAAAATAAAGAAGAACATAAAAAAAGACTAAACAGGCAGTAACTTAAGCAAACATATTTGCTCTGGTGAGAAATTAGCCAGGCTGCTGCACTGATAAATAAACATAAAGTAAATCCGTGTTTGACGCAGCAGCTTGTTCAATAGTACATCATCTAAAACAGTCACTCCCTCCTCAGTGTCTCACACGGTTTAATAAATCACAGTTCAGCTGTGTGAAGAGCTGGCACACCTGAAGCTGCTTGACTTAATGACTCTGCCAGAGTGAGTGTCTAAGTGAGGAGAAATGTGTTTGTGCAAATCGTAGCCAGGAAACTCAGATATCAACTGTAAGCATATCTCAATTTTGAAAATACTGAAAAAAAGGAAAAACAATTAAATTATGCATGGGACCAAAACATAAGGAAGAGTTGAGCTTCATACAACAGATCGCTCCAACCACGTGATCTGATTGGGCAAGAGGCATTCCTGCAGCGCAATTACAGAGAATTAGGACTTTTCACTGGCTATATGGTACAAACACTGTATATTGTGTGTATCTCAAGTATTGGTTGTCATGACAGTTTCCTTGTAATTTTTTTCTTGTTTCTTTCTTTCTTCTTTATTTATCTCAAATTTTAAGAACAGCAAAAACTAGAAACAAAAACAGAACAAAATAAAACATATGTTCACCAAATAACTATACATGTCAAACACAACATATGTATGTCAAAATAAACAGTTTGAGAAGGAACAGAATGAAGCAAAAAGCTTATCTAGACCCGACCCTTCCTCGCAAATTAGAGATTTTAAAAAAGAGAAAAATCTATTTGTATAAATTACAAAGATCTGTATAAATACATACATTTTATACACACAGATGCCTGCCCAACACTCAGTAGGTTACTTATTATATATTACTTAATAATAATAATAATAATAATAATAATAATAATAATAATGATGATGATAATAATAATAATAATAATAATAATAATAATAATAAATAATAATAATAATAATTAATGATGATGATAATAATAATAATAATAATAATAATGATGATACATAATAATAATAATAATAATAATAATAATAATAATCAAATAATGAAAATAATAATAATAATAATAATAATAATAATGAAGATAATAATAATAATAATAATAAAATAATGGATAAAATAAAAGCAGAATTAATAATAAAATATAGTTTCAATGTTTTTTAAAAACTAATTTAAAAACATAGAAACAAATAACTAAAAACAAACCATAAAACACTAAAACAGGAGCCGAGTCTCATGGAGGGTTAAAAGCCAATGAATAAAAATGGGTAAATTAATAATTTATTAATAATAATTTAATAATTTATTATTATATTATTATTATTTATTATTATATTATAAATTTAATTAGAAAAACTTCCAAAGATAACAATTACCAAAGGGAGATGGATTATTCTGGATGTTTCCTTTTCCTCCACTCTTCTTTCGGTCCAGTCCTGATTATCACTCATTGCTCCTGCTAAACTGCGTCCCTGAGGGTGAATCTCTCATTGAGTCCTGAATCTGTTTGTCTAAAACCTCTGTGGACTTATTATCCTGCAGCAGAACCATCAGGAGACCCAAACACAACGACCTGCAGTCAGAGAGAGAGAGAGAGAGAGAGAGAGAGAAAGACGCTGCAGAGAAATTTGATATGCAAACTAGAGAAATTAGGATTCAGTTCTGGTGAAACCTTCAAAGCTCTGATGTTTGCTCATGGATGAATCTTGAGACATGTTACAATTGCTGGGGTGATGATCTGATTAACTGCGATATGCTAGGATTCATGCACTGGCCTTATGTCGGGGTTTTGTTTCCATCGTGGTCTACTTTTAGTTAAACTCTCCCAGTGGGAAGAAAACACAAAGTTACACGTACAAACAAAATCAGCTGATTTTGACCAAGTCTCCCAGAGCAGTTTGACCTGTAGTCATATTTCAGGGTTTCTACTTTGTTTCCTGTCAAAGTGACTCTTTCTGCTGAGCTCAGAGAGGTCAGCACCCTCACTTTAACTTCTGTGGAGCCATGTCAGTCATGGGTTTGACTTTGGTTTCTGAGGCCCAGCAAGAGGCTCGATGTGTTCGTTATTCTGAGAGATGATGCTGATCACAGGGAAAAAATGTAACTCTGTTTGTTTTGATGCGATTTATTCAGGAAGTTGTTGAAACCAGTGTTTTTGCAGCTTTTTGGGAGATTTTGTGTTTTTATCCGGAAATAAAAACTCAAGAGTTCAAGAGTTTTTAAAAAGTGTTTCTCAGCTTTAAAACCTGATGATCTGGTTTTAACCTTTACCAAAAGGAAAAACAATGTTCACAGTTCCCGTCACTGCTCCTCTTTCTGGAATGAAGAAAATCAGATCTACAGTCTGGTTTGGGTGTAACCACCTGTGTGCTGAGCTGACTTGAGATAAGAGCTCAGACCAGGAAATTAAACTCAGTCAGTCGTCGACAGCGAGTGTTGAAATGGCGCAGAAAGAAGTTCATCTGAACCGTGAGTCTCTCTCTTGTTCCATCTGTTTGGATCTACTGAAGGATCCAGTGACTGTTTCCTGTGGACACAGCTTCTGCATGAGCTGTATTCAATCCCACTGGGATACTGAGGTTGAGAGGATGATCTACAGCTGTCCTCAGTGCAGAGAGACCTTCATACCGAGGCCTGTCCTGATGAAAAACACCATGTTAGCAGGTTTAGTGGAGGAAGTGAAGAAGAGTGGACTCCAAGCTGCTCCTGATGATCCCTCTGAGGCTGGACCTGAAGATGTGGCCTGTGATTTCTGCAGTGGGAGAAAACTGAAAGCTGTCATGTCCTGTCTTCAATGTCTGGTTTCTTACTGTCAGATTCACCTCCAGCCTCATTTTGAATCACCTTCATTTAAGAAACACAAGCTGGTGGAGCCCTCCAAGAACCTCCAGGAGAACATCTGCTCTCGTCATGATGAGGTGATGAAGATGTTCTGCCGCACTGATCAGAAGTCCATCTGTTATCTCTGCTCTGTGGACCAACACAAAGGTCACGACACAGTCTCAGCTGCAGCAGAAAGGACTGAGAGGCAGAAAGATCTGGAGGAGAGTCGAGAAAACATCCAGCAGAGAATCCAGGACAGAGAAGAAGATGTGAAGCTGCTCCAACAGGAGGTGGAGGCTATCAATAGCTCTGCTGATAAAGCTGTGGAGCACAGCCAGAAGATCTTCAGCCAGCTGATCCGTCTGATGGAGAAACGTCGCTCTGACGTGGAGCAGCAGGTCAGATCCCAGCAGGAACGTGAAGTGAGTCGAGTCAAAGAACTTCAGGAGAAACTGGAGCAGGAGATCACTGAGCTGAAGAGGAAAGACGCTGATCTGCAGAAACTCTCACTCACAGAGGACCACAACCAGTTTCTGCACAGCTACCCCTCACTGTCAGAACCGGGTCAACCTGCAGACTCATCCAGGATCAACATCCGTCCTCAGAGATACTTTGAGGAGGTGACAGCAGCTGTGTCAGAGCTCAGTGATAAACTCCAGGGTCTTCTGAGAGAGATGTGGACAAATGTCTCACAGGCAGTGACTGAAGTGGATGTTTTACTGTTAGAACCACCAGGACCAGAACCCAAGACCAGAGCAGGTTTCTTAAGATATTCACAAAGAATCACACTGGATCCAAACACAGCACACAGAGAGCTGAAATTATATGTTGGAAACAGAAAAGTAACACCGACAACACAACGACAGTCTTATCCTGATCATCCAGAGAGATTCACTCATTATCTTCAGGTCCTGAGTAGAGAGAGTCTGACTGGACGTTGTTACTGGGAGGTGGACTGGAGAGGGGACGAGGTTTATGTAGCAGTCGCATACAAGACTATCAGCAGAGACGGGGACTCAGATGATTGTTTATTTGGATTCAATGACAAATCTTGGATGTTATACTGTTTTAAAGGCAGTTGTGAATTTATGCACAACAATGTCATCACTCCTGTCTCAGGTCCTCAGTCCTCCAGAGTAGGAGTGTACCTGGATCACAGAGCAGGTATTCTGTCCTTCTACAGCGTCTCTAAAACCATGACTCTCCTCCACAGAGTCCAGACCACATTCACTGAACCTCTACATGCTGGACTGTCATCTGGGTCTAATGTATCCTCTGCTGAGTTTATAGAAGTGAAATAAAGAGAATTTTGAGTCCATCAGACCAAAATCATGGACTGAGATCCTTGAACTCTTGAAATGTTCTGGTTTGTAAATGTTTGTGGATCAGTCTCACCAAAAACTCTGGGTTTAGTTCTTCATTTCAGCTTTTTGATTCTTTTCTAAAGATGCTGATTTGGTGGCAGCTTTAAGGACAGTGATTGTGGAGAACTTTGATTGTTTGTATTTCTCATGTTGAAAAATCTTCATCAAGTTTGATATCAACAACATCAAGATGATCAAGATGATGGTGCAGATGTTGAAGATTTTGAATCTATAATGAGACTTTTGTCAGATCAACATGTTGCTATGAGCTTTTCAATCACTCTAATAATAATAATCACATTTATTAGTCCGACTGTTTTTATGTTTCTGACTCAGCTCAGATTGTGGGTGAAAACAATAAAATATACAGTCTATGGGATAAACACAAGGCCGCTACCAGTATCATATACCAGCGCAAAGCTTAGAGTCTCGGCTTTCAGAATCCGTTGGAATTATGTTGTTAGCGCAAATGGTTCAAGAGTTACGGTACTAAAAGTGCAGCATGTCATTTTCTGTCGCTGCCGCCGGTCAAAGAAGGTTAATATTCAGAATTAATAATACTTTTATCCAGTCAAGTATATCTACTATAAAACTTGACATAAATGAATCTTTTAATACTTCTCTATAGTTTGATTTAAATAGACATTTTTACAGTGATTTCCAGGCTGTTCCAGAGTTGAACACCACAAACAGAAATGCACAAACTTTTTGTAATTAAGTTTTACTTTGTGTGTTTCTTAGGTTCAGTTTTTCCTGAACTGAACACTCCTTTATTCTGTAGGAGTCAATCCCTGTGTGTGCCAAGACTCATCACTGTGTGTGATCACTCATGAGTCTCACCTGTCGCTCGTCTCCATGAGTGTGTATATAATCCCTGTCTTCCCCACTAGGTTGGTTCATTGCACATGTCAGTGTATTTGTTGAAGAGAGTAAAATTCCCAGTGTGCTAAAGATTTAGATTCTGCAATGATGAGCAGATATTAGTCTGTAAAAATTAAGCACATAAAATCTATTTATGGGAAAATAAATAATCTGCCAATTATGAGACAATAAGGTAATATTTTATAAGAACTGCATTTACAGACGCATTTATACTCCATTTGCCATTTATGAACACGGATCTATATATTTAGTTGTTATTAATCTGTTTATCTTTATGGTATTAGTAACTCTATTTTCTGTTTTTACACTTCATAAATTACAGATTTAGTCATTTATTAACAGATAACAAGCTGATTTCAACCCTTAAAGAGAAAACCACAGAATTTCCCCCCAAAAAAGGGTTGATTGAAGTTCAGACAAAGCTGATCAGATCCTTCAAAACGAAGTTTATTCGAAGGTAAATCTTTAATAGATGTAATGATACTCTGCAATACTGGAGTGCTACGGCTCATGAAAGCATTACTATTGAGGTAACAGAAAAAAACAACAAAAGAATTCTCCTCTTTGAGTTCAAAACATAAGCTCCAGTGTTTCTACGCACAACCTGTAGGTGGGAACAGAAAGCAAAAATTGAACCTATAGTCAACATGATGAAGAGGCATCAATACAGGCAGCAAAGGAACATAATTCCAGAATATTATCATAAACAGGTGATCAACGAAAAGTGTAAGGCTATTACAGTGCAACCTTAGACTATATTTACAGAATTTTACAGTTTGACAGGCAGATGATAAATGACACATTGTCCAATATAAGGAGTCCACACGGGACCCTGGTCTCAAGCAACAGCCTCTCAAACCAACTGCACAGCTAGAATGACTGTATTGACTGAGAGAGTAAAACCATGAGCACCAAACCCCGATTCAGATAAACCCGTGATGCTGTGAAAACTGTCAGTTTTAACAGATTTAAAGATTAACCCAGAGAAAAACAGCAACTCTGTCTGCAGCAGTATGAAGTGGAAACTGAAGGTGTCAGTGTTGTTGAACAGTAAAATAACGGACCGTGTGGGGGTTGAAATTTCCAGCGTAATTGTGTCGAGGTCGCAGAAGAAAAAGCAAACAACTGATGAACACATGAGCACAAAAAAACTAAAAAAAATAACACGACAAATGGAAAAAAAACTACTTCAAATAATCAAATTTAAATAGCTGATGTAAAAAAAGATAAGTGATGCAAATGTTTACTCCTGAACTACTATTGCACAATTATTCTTATCATGACTGGATTTCTGTCAAGTTATCAATGTTAAGGAAATTTTCAGGATGACCGTTGGATGAAAAGCAGAAGAGCAACAGAAAAGTGCTTCTGGGGTGGAATATTTCTGATTTTCCACCTGAAATATAAATAGATGAAAACTGGAAAGAACAAAAGCTACCGAACTTTAAATAGAATGAAATAAAATAAAATATCTGACATTGAAAAAGATTTGGTTGTGGAGGTCATCGAAAGTTTGCTCCTTGACTTTGGGCGGTTTCACCTCAACCATGTAGAAAGATGACTAGATTAGATTAGATTAGATAAGAAGAACTTTATTTCCTCGAGGAAATTAAACTATAACTGTACAGAAATCAGTGAGACCTTCCTATAGAGAAATTTAATAATCAGTGACATAAATAAATAAATAAGATTTGGTCAGTTTTACATGGACAGAATTGGGAAAATTTGATTCAACTGCAGGGCTGGGCGATTGAACGACGTCTTTAAACCACAACTGTTAAAAAAACTCCAGTGAATAAAAAATCAATTTAAAACAATTTTTGATTAAATACAGATTAACAGTAAATTACTGCCATTTGGTAAAGAAACGACAGGTAAGCTCACTCTCTGTAGCTCGTTGGCAGTATTTAACTTGTTTGGTGTTAAGCTTTGTTTTATTTTCAATGGAAACAAAAAACTTGCTAATTTGGAGTATTTGTTGTGTACCTGAAGCGTAAGCTGTAACACAGCCACCCACCACCAGGCGGGGCTGCTGCTTCGGTCGAGAGCTCCTGTCGTAACGCTCTACAGCCCGGATGTAAAGAAGCACAGATAGTATCTGAGTGAGGATGCTTGTTAGAGATGGAGAAAGTGATCTGCCTGCAACCTCTGAATTTAAGATTAGGTTCGGGGAAATTATTCACAAAAAGTGTTGATAGGACATTGTATTCTTTGGCATAATTTGGCACCTCGGCAAACAGCCCCCTTAAAAGGCCATCCCTTTAAGGGGAAGTAGGGTAGCGCATCATTGAAATTTGAATGATTCTGGCTCCGATTCCTTGTTTTAATTCCAGTTCCTAATGATTCTTTATTCCGATTTTTTTAACCAGTATATAAATATCATATATATTGGAATCAAAATTTTAAAATCTTAATGGTTTCCAGGAGAATCGGAGTGTTAGTCCTGGTTCCCATCGATGCTCGAGACTCGATGCCCAACCCTAATTCTGAGTTTGTCAAAGAAACAAAAAATTCCGAAAGTCAAGTGGTTAGAGAAGATTTATGAAGGATGATACGGCTCAATAAAAAAGCAACTTCATAATGAAAAAAAATAAAAACAAGTTTTTAATATGGCGATACTTTATCTGCCATTTTCATGAATAATCTTCACTTTCAGGATGTGATTGGTAACTCTAGGGCGCAGTCATAAAAGTAGGTATCCTTACAAAAATCAATATCAGCACGCAAAGTGTGAAATAAAAACACTGATATTTTTGCACCATCGCCCAGCCCTACACAGACTTCTCTGATATTCAGGTACAGACTAGCACACATTAAACTTTACAGTGACTCAAAGTAGCAGCACCAAAATTCCTACTGTCCAAAAATCTGCTATCCATTTCACTTATTTTGGCACAGCAGCTCCTCCTTTGTATTTTAAATCTACAACAGCCCCTTCCCAGTTAATGCCATGACTCAAAGTAACGTAACACAGCATCATATGTGCACCTAGACTGGCGTTAGGTGGAATACATCCACTTCTGAGTGTTTATAATTCTGCAAAGGGATTTTATTTTGTACTGCTGTGTTTTGTTTTAGGTTGATGATACATTTGCTCCTTTAACTGAAGCAGTTTAAGTGCAAAAAAAAAAAAAAAAGACTACAGAGCAAAAATAGAGTAAATCCAGGTCACTCCGGAGTGAGCGACCTGGATTCAAAAAGGAGCTCAGAAAGATCGTTTTGGTCGTGCCTCTTATTTGGTTTAGATTTCTGCTTAGGGTGAAACTGCAGTGGTTTGTTATGTTCAGAAAAAAATTCAAAGCTTGCGTTCAAATGTGTAACAAGAATTTTAATAAATAACATGAGCACCCTTTTACCCCCTCTTTGAATACAGAGATTATCCTGCAAATGACCCACTTAAAATGAAACTTTTGGACCTGCACTGTGAAATTTGGAGAGGCTTTTGAACCGTTTTTTAAAACCTTGAACCCCGACACGACTCTAGGGTTCGTCTTTTTTATACAGAGATTAATTTCGGAGTGTAGAGGGTTCTTCCTGTTTAGAGAGAGTGAAAAAATGTTATGGTTTTGTCCTCTTACTGTACTTTAAGAACATGTAACAGCCGCTTTTTTGATCTACATGCCATTCTTCAACATTCAACACATATCATGCAGCACCTACAAGAAGACTGTGCAGGTTTCTGACACATCGTCAGTTTTAAATTTTCATTTTCTGTCTCTCTTTTTAAAAACTCCACAAACTGTGTCACCATTCATGCCTCGTGTGACATTCAGTAGCTCCTGTCCTTGTTAAAAATAAATTAATATCTGGTGTTTTTTTTTTATTCCAGATCTGTACAGAAATCCTGAGCAAACATTCAGAAATGTTTCTATTGTCATTAAAGGAGGCCAAACCTAATCCTCAAACTCACCAAACCCAAAGAGGTAAACTCCAGCTTTCCTGCAGACTCAAGTAAAAACAGAGAGACACATTTTCTTTTAAAGTTTCAATCTTTTGCTACAACCAAACATTTAGCTGCCTGGGGAGTGTCGAAGTAGTCAAAGGGTGCGAGTGATCGTCAAAACATCAGTCTCTAAAAGTGTCCTTAAAAAAGGACGAGTGACAATAAATAAATAAAACACTTTGCAAAAATCAACGTAAGATTTGGATGAGCGTGAGCGGATGGCTGATACTGCACTGTATCACTGGTAGGAATCTGAAAGGAGTGTGATTATACTGGTGCCAAAGCTCCGGGTGCTGCCTCTCTGCAGCCCTGTTTGTGCCCCCACACAGTCCGGCAGACCAGTGAAGTCCCAAATCCTGCTTTAAAACGGGAGCTTCTTCAGCTGCTCGAAGGTGATGAAGAACTGAGGACAGCGTCAAGGAGAAACTTCAGGATTCATTCAGCGACAGTGAACAGGCTGAAGCTGCTCAGCTGACTGACACAAGATCTGAAATATGATGAACCTGGCTTTACGGCAGACCTTTACCACGTCAACTTTAACCTACAGGACTTGGCATACTTGGACTGTACCTGACTCAGGAACATTCAGTCAAACCAGATAGGATTTTTTTTTTCCTGCACTGAATTCTGGTGATTGGTTTCTGTTTTAGAGTCCTCGTCTGCCCACCCATGAAGACCCTCAGCAGGTTTTAAAAAGGATACAATGATGTTCCAAGGCCCCAGTCTGAGCCAGTTTGGCCAGAATCCCTTATAGAGAGCAAAGAAACCCTCGTTCTTCCACGTCTGCATCACCCCGTCCAGTGTTCCTTTGTACATGGGGCTCCCTGACGAAACTCGCTGGTTCATCATGCGGGTCCGGACCACGTCTACAGGATTAGAGGCCAGAGCTCCCGCCAGGCCGCACGTGAAACTGGAACTGTAACACAGATCAAGACAACAAACGTGATTTCTCTGTGAGTTTCCTGTAGTGCCAAAAAAAAAAAAAAATCACGCAGAGAAATTAACTTGCATAAAATGCGCCAACACGGTGTCCCCCATGAGGCCGGAGCGAAGAAGGTGCTTCTTTGTGATGTCATAGACAGGAAGCTCCACCCCTACAACAATGGCTGCTCGCTGTGCTGTGGGTATGACGCCCTGAGGAAGAGGAGGGTAAAAGGGTGAGTCGGGTTTTGTGTTTTTATTGATGATAAAAGCTTTATCAAAATCCATCAGGTGAGAATGAACACTTGTAGTTTGTTCATAATGAACACAAACATCCTGGTGCGTGAATATGTTCCTTACAAAATACACACAAACATCAGCGCACAGAACAGTCAAACACTCACCCTCCACAGCCCTCTGGTCCCCTCTGTTTGGTAGATGTTGATGAAGTTGGACATCATGCTGCCTTGGAGCAGACTGCCCTGCGCCTGCATCCTGATCTGGAACAAAAGCAGACATCTGTAGTTACAGGATTCACAGCTACAATGTTAGTGAGCGGATATTTTCATCCTCCTTCAAAATCACCTTCAGGACGTCTGTGGGGTTGGCTAAGGAGGAGGACAGGACGCCGGAGACGACGCCACAGAAGACGTTGATGACCATCGTCTCATCTGCCGAGTGAGAGACAAAGAAATAATCAGTGAAGACAAACTTTAAACACTTTCTTAGCCTTGAAGTTAAGAAGTCCGAAAGTCGAAAAGTTAGTTCATGATTTGACACAGTGAGGTGCCGTTTAGATTAACACTAATATAATTATTCAACACAAAACAGACGAACAAAAGAAAGACTGTTCACACAACACATTAACATACATGTATCTGACAACATCACAACTGTGTGGCTCTGTAGTAGAAGAGGACAGCCGCTGAACTGGTCTAGAAAGAGTTTTTGTAAGACGAGTTAACGAAACACAATGATGGAAATGAACCTGTCTCAATTAAATTTTTGTCTTTAACAGATTTCTTCACTTTTTGGTGAGATCCCTTAAGACTCCATCAGTCCACATCCAAGCAGTCCATGAACATGAGAGGGTCAAACATAAAGGAGAAACTGTCTGTGGTTTTAGTAGAGATAAAACTCTGATGATGTCCACGATGATCTCTCATATGAACATCATTGACAGACACATAAGAGATGTCCAAGTCTAAAATGTGGCCTTTTTGGGGTGTGGACTTAGAGACACGTTGCTCAAAATTAAAAGCTTTAGTCAAAGTTAAAAGTTCCATTGCAGAGCCCGATGAGCTGTCGTCCACATGAGGGCTAAAATCTACAAGGATTAAAACAGATTACAACTTTATTATGGAAGACAAGTCACTATACAGGGCTCAACAGTGCGACTAAAAATACATGTGTGCGAATTGTAAAAATGTATTTCGGGGCACGTGCACAGAAAAAAAAATCAGCCAAGGCAACAATTTTTTTTTTTCCTGTAAATACGGCGGTGAAGTTAGTTTTAGGTTGGATATATTTTCCTGTAAATACGGCGGTGAAGTTAGTTTTAGGTTGGATATTCGATAGACATTCTCTGAGGATCTACCGGTGTCTTCTCACTCTCCATAACCGGGATTAGCAACAGCAGCGCGGTTAAATCTACTCGACACCCTCACTGTCAACGTTGGTGTTGAATAAGGGACCGTCCATAAATTACCTGTTGAGGTTCTCAAAAAAGGCTGTTTTCATTCAATAGCTTCCATGTCATGTGACCTATTGACCTCAAATTGATTTTAAATAATAGTACTAAGGTCGGACGATAAGACACGCCTCTTTATTTCCCTAATTTGTCTTTTAAAATGTTTGTGTTAAATTTAAAGGCAAATTTTGAACACTTTCTTCAACAGCTTCCATTCCGTTCAAATAACAGTAATTATGTCGACTAATAAGAGAAACATGATTTGATCAATTTTTATTGTGCCCCTACAGTTATTTGTGTGCTCCTTACTTTTTCAACTTAGGCGCACATGTGCTTCTTGTGAGAAAAGTTAGTGTCACGCCCTGATACTATAATCCTTTAAAAAGACAGCAGTAGGACCAGGAGAAATGTAAATGTGGATTCTTGGACCTGAATCACCAGCATGTGGAATTATCCTTCTACACGAAGGCAGGTTAGGATCCTTTTCAGGGTTTGTTCGCATTAGTGGTTGATCATATTAGTAGACAGAAAATCCTTTACTGCGGTCTACATCACTACACTACAGAAGGAGGAAACAACAGACTGAGGCGAGTATAATTACAGAGATCCTTCACCAATCCAACCAGCAGTTATGAGCGGTGGTCCTCGCAGCAATTGTGTGTCCCTCAACCACAGAGCAAACCAAAGCCTGCATCAAAACAAGCATTTAAAAAAATAATGGCACCACTGTGGAAGACATGCAGAAACAAAAAAGGAAGTTAGGGCGGGCACAAATCTCTATTCTCACTCAATGTTGTCCACAAAGACGAAAACGTACAATCATTTCAGTATGAAAAACGCAAAAACAGGATCTTGCAGCATACTTGCTCGTGTTGCTGCTGCTCTGTTCTCTGTAAAGATTTAAAGACCTTCAACAAAGTCCAGTGACCTTTTAGATCGACTCCGCAGCGCCGTTTCATGACTGAAAGCCTTCACAGGGCGCCTCTACCTTGATCTTCTCTATTATTTACAGTGTCTATCTTTTGTCCACCAATTGTCCATAAAATATTGAGAGACTGAGACCAAGAAAAAGACTAGAGAGTGGGACGAGGAACAGAAGGAACCGGTCGGGGGGGAAACTGGGAAGCCAAAGAGAAAAGACAGAGAGAGAGCAGATGCAGAGCCTGAGGGTACACGCTTCCTGCTCGTCTCAGAAACATGGCGGCGCCTGCAACTGCTGATAAATGTCGCAGAAACTTATTTGTTGGAGGAATTAAGTGGATCTCTGTTTCTCCAGAGAGAGGACGACGAACAACAACAACAACAGAGCAGCTTTTGAAGGGTTTTTGGATGGGCTCGACAGATGAAGATTGCGCTTCCATCAGTTTTAGTGAAATGATCCTACAGTGCTCAAGTCTGCATCGATGACACAACATCAAACCGCCCAGTATGAAGAAACTCCATCATGATTACAGCGACTTTTCTCCACACTGAGTCTCATCAGCACCTCCTGCTGCACCTTTTATCCAAGAGCTGATCCATATCCTGGTACAGACAAGTTAGAGACTGTCTAAACTGAGCATTTACCCATCTGTTTAAGCCTTTTCCACTCTGAACTTTCATTGTTTGGGTATCATGCATGCTGTTTTATATGAAAACTGCATCACTCAGTACAATTTTTAAAGTTCATTTTTAAAAGGAGAAATCATGTTTTTTATTTTTTATTTCTCTCTCTCAGGAAGAGCAGATTCATTTCCTGATAACTCTGTGAGCTCTACTCTCCGTCTCTCTGTGACACTCCCTTAAATGTCAATTTTGCATATTTCATTTAAGTTCCAAATCCTCAGTCTTGATCCATCGGAGGTATCTTGCTGATTTTGTACTGTACTGTTATAACATGAGATCATGATGTCAGATCAGATCAGCTGCACAGTGGATGAAGCCTGACTCACTTTGTTTTTTTCTGCCTCTCCCTTCTCCGTCTCCTTTCGGACTCTTTCTCGCTCGTCCCTCCCACCCTTTCTTCCCTCTCTCCTTCCAGGAAGCTTTTTGCCTTTAATTTAGCTTTCAAATTAGTAATGGCAGGTTAACTCGCTCACTCTGTTGCCAGGTGGGTCAACATGGGTTGTCACGGCATATCTAAACCTTTTCTTTGAGGCTCAGAAACAGTTCTTCATCTAGACACTGAACCTATTCAGGGAAACCCTCTCTGTCATCGGGGTAAACTGATGTGTATTTTCTGGATTTGTGCTTTGATCCGATATAATTCCAGAAACCAAACTTGGTTTTGTTAACCAGAGACGCCTGCTACTCTCTGAGTTTTTCTAAGCTGTGGCTCACCCACTTGATTTTGTTTCCCATTTAAAAAGCAAATAACACAATCGCTCCGTCTTTTGCATCTTTGTTTACAGATCAAACAAAGCAGGGGTTGACTACAGGTAAATTTGTCACTGGCCTTCCGGGCAATACTAAGTTATCTCCTTACAGTAATAAAAATCAGATCTTGATATTAAATAAAACTAAAAAAAAATCAGATCTCCTGATTTATTTACACATCAAAAGAGAGGACAAATCCATCCCTACAGACAAACTACCTTATATTTTCTATACTCAACTTACTCATCTGCATATGTTTGGCACTGACCAGCAGATTTGGCAAAAGTAGGGATGGGCACAATTAATCGATTAATTGATCGTTAAGAATTACGTCAATCACAAAAAATTTGGATCAATCTAACGTTATTAAAAAGGACTGAGAGGGTGTGTCCATCCAGCAAAGATCAACCTCTGCTGATCGGTGTGTGTGTGTGTGTGTGTGTGTGTGTGTGTGTGTGTGTGTGTGTGTGTGTGTGTGTTGAAGCAATGCAGTGACTTTCACCGTGTGGAAGGATTTTGACATTTTACAAGGGGAGTGATACAACGTCAGCAAGCTTCTGTAGAAATCGAAAAAAAAGAAAAACTGAAAGGTTTACTTCTAAATCGTAAAACCGTCTTCACTGAATCATAAGACGGGATTATCACAGAATTACTCTGAAACTGGAATATTTGTCAAGCGTTCAGTTCAGGACCTATTTGGACTTGATTACCCTACCTGAACCTGCAGCAGCAGAAATGAGAACTTCTGCACCTTAATCGGGAGCATTTACCCCCGAAAGCCAACCCACAGAAACTGCTCTCTGCTCTCTCGCTCCTGACTTAAGAGATCTACTGAAGCAAAACGTTTAGCAGCCATTACTCACTCAGACACCAACATATGATCAAATCGAGTTCAGGTGTAAAAAGGCAAAAATGACTAGCCTCATTCCCAGCTCAACAGTCGGATGTTACAGATCTGTCCTCTCTCTACTCAAAGTTCGCTGCCTGTGAGCAGTTTTACTCGTCATGAAGCTGGAGGGCTCACAAGGAAATCTCGTCGTTTGCAGTTGATTGCATCAGCCTCAAACCAGACAGAGATGCCATGCAAATACAAATCTGAATTAACTCTGCAGTTTGCTGAATCTATTATTCAAATCACCTCTCATTACTGAGCATCATCCCTGTTTCCTAGACTTGGATGTGGTTTCAAGATTTCAGGAGATTTCCGAGACAGTAGTCACTCACATGTTGTGAACTTAAAGGCCAGTTTCCTCCTCAGAGGACAGGAAGCGTAGAGTTTTTAAAAGAGGAGGAAAGACGGTCGATTAAAGGCAGAGAGAGTAACACTCACCCTCTGGATGGCTGACAAACAACCTCTTCAGAGAGTTGTAGGTTCCTATCTTGATTGTCCCGTATGAGGCTTGTCTCAACAACGCCGGAGAGATCCTGAAAGAAGAAAGTGAAAAACATTCAGGATTATTTACCGTTTAGAAACCTCAACTCGTCTGATGACTGAGGTTTCTGATCAACAGTTTTCAGTCTATTTACGGGGTGTGAAAACTGAATCTTATTCACTGCGGTGAAGTGTAATTTCTGTCCCGTTGGGCTTCTTTCAAAGCAGCGGCTGAATCTAGTAACATCACAGTCCAACCACCCACAACATTTAACAGCTTTGTGTGCAAATCTTGTTTCTGCATATTGCATTAAGCACATGCTGTTTCTGTTTAGTTTACAGAATATTACAAGCAAGCGGTAAAAAGAGGAGAGGAGGAGATTAATGTGACAGCACAATGAATTTCATGGCATCCAGATTTTGGATTTGAGTTCGCAGTTGAAAGATGAACAACAGCAGTGGTTGGCTCAGAGAGGGCACACAGCAATCATTGATGGACCTTTGACTAGAGTTGAATGCGCAGGTGGTCTAACTTAGCGTGAGTGGTGCAGTCTTCTTACATGGGTGACTAAAATATGAGTTAAACATCAAAGAGAATAGGACAGAGCGGAGTCCCTGCTTTGACATATGAGTGTTAGACTTCAAACTACAAGCGGTACCTGCTTTAAATTTTGCTTTAAGACTGCATTTCTCTTTACACACGTCCATGAGAGATGCATGACTGATACTGTGTCCAAAATGGTAGCACCATCACCTCGCTAAAAACCAGTAATACCTTGGGGTTGGTCTTAGGGACTTAGCAGTAATCCTAATTGGTAACTACAGCAAATTTTCCTTCTCCTGAGCAGGTGAAGGCTGTCAGATCAGTCAGTGAGCCGTCAAACCCAAGAACAATCCCACACATGTTCACTGCAGTGCAGAAACCTGATTGACGGGAACACCCAGTCCCTCTGATTAATCAGTCAATATCTCAGAGAAAGGCAGTGGGATCAGGGAAAATGTGGTGCAGCCTGTATAAAATGCAGGTAACATAAACTGCACCCAAACTTACCCCGTCCCGAAATCAAGCAGTGGTGGACAAACTGCGGGTGTGATACTTTTTTTTACACCCTTATTGTGGCAACGTACCCAGAGTAGAGCGCCCGGATGCCCTCCTCTTTGCCAATCCTGAAGAGGGCGTGGAACATCCCTCTATATCGCACCTCTGTGTACTGGGACTGACCCTGGACCTGCAGCCTGGTCTTTGTTAGATCGATGGGAAATGTCCCTGAGGATATGTGAACAAGAAGACGCAATCAAGGAATTATACTTAGCAAAAATTACTGAGTTAGGGTTAGTTGGTTTATACTGGAAATCTGAGTATGTCAACACTCTCAGTGTTCACTCTGATTGTAAATGTTAGCCAACACAAATATCATTACTGAGAGTTTAACAGGTGGTTTCTAACAGCTCTTTTCCCACATACAGCTGTCTAACAGAGAAGTATTCAGCACTTCTGCATGCTGATACTGATTTCATTGATGGAAATAAATGTAGAAACACCAAAGCAAGTGTCTTTTCTCTGTCTCTCACTGGGTATTAACAGGATAATACATGCATTATAACTAAACAGTAAAATGTTCCTCTGTCGCCTTACACGCCAGGATAAAGAAAATCTATCAAGAAGTTTTTCTCCCTCTCCTTCTTGACTACAGCATGGCCTCTCCCGCTCAGTGTGGCTAATTAATTTAAAAAATATCAATGTTAATGATGTTTTTGTGTATATTAGTTCGTAAATATGACTATACAGAACTTAAATGTGATAGTTGTTCTCTATGGCCCTAAATTTAATTTATTTTAATTAAATTTGTGGATTAAATTATTATTTTTTTTCATTTCTGAAACATCAGGTGATGACAAATTATTATAACAAAACATAGACAATGAAGTTTGAAGGCAACATTAAGTAAATAAAAAAAATAAATACTCAAAGATCTTTAACTTTTTTTTATCTTAAGGATTACACATTTTGTCTCGGTTATTTTCTCACAGGAATGTCTAAATGACCCAAAAAGTTGAAGTAAGGTGATAATTTTTCAAAAACAAAGTCATCACGTTTTGAGAATATAAAGTCTTAGCTTTTGGTTTACAGTGACCAACTGTGCCTGAAATGAGGAACTCACAGCATTTCGGTAAACTATCTGTTATGTTTTGGCACCTCATCAGACATAACTGCAAAATGTTTTATTTTTTGGTAAATTTTAAAAACCTCTTTGGTTTTTTCCCCCTTTAGCGTGGCCTCTATTCTCCATCATAAATAAAAATGCTGACAAAAAAAGAGTAAAATGCATAAAAAATGAATTAATAAAAACCCCAGAAATTTCTACTCAACTTGGGATGTATATAAATTTTCACCACTGAGGAGACAATCTGATAAATGTGCTTTCTCCCTGAGCTGTGCCTGATGTAGGACTGGGGGATATATCGATATAAGAAATATACTGATATATTTTTAAACGAGAAATGGAATTGGACCAAAGGCTGGTGTTTCTCACACAAAATCTTTCTCACACTAACTGTTTATCAAAGTAAAAAAGAAAGAGGGGGAAATGTTCACTGAGTTCATAATCTGCCATAGTCTTGTGCAACTGGTTGAGACAGACAGATAGGTAATCTCAAAATGACATTTAAAAACAATTTTCTTAAACTGAGCACTTTATTTTGTTTATTTTGTCTTTATACATGTAAATGGTGCCCTTACTTGGGTTTGTCATATTGATTTCTTTTGTAGTCTTCATTGTTTGCATCTGTGGATTTGTTAGAGAGAAGAAAATCTGCAATTTGATTTTAATAGGTCATTTATAGTTGTCAAATGTTGATGCTTTTCTCAAATAAATAAATTTGTCTCAGAAAAAGATTGGCTTATTTTACTTTATGGGCTATTTTTATGTAAGATATACTTTTCATTTAAATGTGCACCTTATGGAGCTCCAGTTAAAAAAAAAAGGTACTCCTGTGGTTATACAGTATTTTTAATCCGGTCAGTTTAAATAGAACTACTTGTGACATGTCATATTTGGCTTTGACTTTGACTAAACATGTGCTCTCACTTTGCGAAAACAATAACAGGATATATGTCATATATCGATATTCAGCCTAAATATATCAGGATATGACTTTTGGTCCATATCGCCCAGCCCTAGCCTGATGCCTCTTATATCAAAGTTGTAAAACCTGGTCCTTACTGTGAGGTTAACAGCTGTTCATTAATTGAAAAATAAACATATGCTCTCCTTTATTTCCCTGACACTACCTCAAATATCCTCCAGAGAGCTTTGGTATTTCCTCAGCTGGATGCACCCCCCTCTGTCCTGAAGCCACTGCTATCAGATTAGCACACAGAGCTGCTGCTGAGTCCTCTTCTAGCTGCAAATTCATCCTATTTAACAGACACTTCGCACCTTAAATCGTCATGACATGGCTTTTCAGGTTCTAAATCCGGGTGAATACATGAACGGTGCGTGTCTGCGTGTTGTGGTGCATCACGTAGCTCACCGAATTCTGCGACAATTGAGGCCATCCCGCCGTAGATGAACGGCTTCCAGTTTAAGTTGACCATCTCCGTGGCTGCGGCGGCCGCCTCCACCTGCTGCAGCCCCGCTAAAAACAACAAAAGGCCGCCCAGACAGAGGTCAACACAGTGATGCAACTTCAGACAATGCAACATGTCGATAAACATTCAGATCCAATGATGCTACAGTCCAAGGAGGCTCCTCAGCATCAGCATCCCAGCCGACTGCGCCGGAAAGAGACGCCTGCGGTACACAACACCGCGCACGGAGCCGTCATATTTGTTGTGGGTCTGCTATTGGTTACCGTTTCTGTCAATTAAAATTCTAAGCAATTCAATTGGTTGAAGCGCGAGGGTGGGAACAGTGTGACAGCTCAGTGACAGCAACAGTATCAAGATAACTACACTAACTTATTCCTTCTAGTAACGCTCATTAATCACAACAAAGCTAATCTGCGTAGTCAAAGGAATAAATTATTTATCCTGGTCTCATTTCAATGTTTGCATAAAGTCCATTTTATGTGTTTTTCTTAATTCAAAGAGGACCGTCCCGCTGTCAGCTAACACTTCAGGGAGGTACTAGCAAGCTTGTTAGCGGGGTTACCAGTTTAGCAACAAGTTACGGTTACACTATACCGAAATGTTACGTACCTTTGGTGTCAATAATACCCGCGACAGCGCTATTTCACTTTGATCCCCATGACATTCCCGTGGCTTGACTCCTGTAAAGTACAAGCGGAAAACTTGTCACCTGCTGTTAGCTGCACATTTCAGTTAGAGGCAAATAAACCAGACACGAGTTTCTTCTTCGTGTCCGCAATTAAAGGCAGCTTTTAGGGTTAGTGCTGTAATACTGCCATCTTCTGGAGCCTTTTAAATGTTTATTCTCCCATACATAGCATAACGAAGACAGTTGAGCTAATGCTTGCAAACCAGTACACTTTCTATGTAGAGTTTAAATACACTTTAAGACACTTGCAATTAGTGTTGTATCGTTCGCGAACGATTCGTTCAAAAGAACCGAATCTTGTAAGTGAACGTACTGAACCAAATCACTTCCTCAAGTGATTCGTTTGATTTCTCACTTCAGTTGAGCTGAAGTGAGAAACAGCATTGCCAGGCCAGCAGCCGGCGAACGAGGGGCCACATGCACTGACACCTAAATCACTTAGTGAGCGAATCCCGCATTGAACTACACTCTCTGGAATCATTTTTGTTGAACAAAACTACCTTTTTTCACTGCTAAATTGCCACCACAACAACTTTCATACAGTAGGACACAGCATGTAACAAGTAGTGCATTTAAACCCTAACGAATCACTCACTGAGCCCAATTTACTGAGCAGACCTGATAAATAGCATACCATAGGACAGTACACTTAAAACACCATGACTTATAAACAAGTTCATTTTTACTAACCTGTTTGCCAAAGTGACACAGCCAAACACTCTCGACTCCCGGTCCCAGAAGCTTTGAATTGAACTGAATCCTGAAACGTTCAGCTGTGTATCAGTTCAGGAGGTCGGAGTCGCAGGCTTCTCCCGCTAAATGATTCGGTGGTTTGGTGAATGAGTCTTTTGAACAAATCTTTTTAGTGAACTGATTCTAGTGATTCAGTACATCTAAAAGAACTGCCATGCCCATCACTACTTGCAATTAGCTCACACATAATTTAATATTTATACCTTCTGTTATTAGGCCACTTTCATCTATTTCTATTGTTATTTTGTGTTTATTGTTCTTGCACTTGAACACCAAGATTCTTGTATGCATGAACCTACTTGGCGACAAACCTGAGTACAAGAGTTTAGATCCAAAAAATAGCACCCTGAGAAACTTCTCTTAGCTACTAAGCTCAATTTGCAGCAGGTCAGTAACATGCCAGGTTATGAAAAAGGCACTCCAGGATGCTGGAGTTTAACAATATCAGAATAATATTCTTCTGCGCATTTTTAGTACATTCAGATTCATTTGTTGTCTTAGCACCACTTTTTATTAGATATCCAGTTTAATTGATTTGCAATCAGTGAAATCTATTTGCATGCAGTGTTATTACTTTTGTTGAACTGGGGTTTCAAGAAAATTGATTTAATTACTCATTTAAGTGGATTGGATTTCATAATTATAATATGTTGTTGCTGAAGGTTATTGAACAGATAAATCAAGAGCACCTGCATATACAGTACAGTAGTTTAGACCTCAGATAAGACAATAATATGGACCTGGAGCTTAAGAAAGAAATTATACCACCTCAAACGATTTTATTCACAGCCCAATGTTTCATCAGTACATAATGTATTTTAAGTTTATTTGATATTCTGAGACATTTTAATTAAATACAGTTAGTTTGATCATACTCTTCTCGCTGTTGGATGGACTCAAGCTGCACATTCAATCTAAGAAAAAGTGCAAAAGAGTTTTTAGTCACCACAGCTTTGGTTTCTTGCACTCAGAGCCATGCCCAGTCTTTTTCACATCATCATGTCCACTATTCTTTATTTTCAATATTACAAACAGACACTTTGATTCAGACCAGCAACTTTTAAACTTCAATGTGACATCTTACCTGTTACCAAAAGGGGGTTATAGTCTATTGTTTGCACCTTTGCCCAATTCAACATTACTGTCAGGAATTTAAACCATTCAACCGCAGTGAGCCCTCCCAATGCATTAAAAATAAGACACTGATTATCATTCACGTCTGTTTTACACAGCAGACACTCACCATGTTAATCTGTCAGTAAAAAACAAACACGTTTTTATAAAAACTAGTCTTTATGTCATTTAAAATATAGTCCAAAATGTAGTGTTGAAGTACTGAGGTCGGGTAGAGCCCCTTTAAAGCATAAACTAAGAGGGTGCAAAATTCAGAGTCCAATATTGGCACCACTCCTCCTCTTCCTCCTCTTCTTCTTCTTCTTCTTTTTGATCAGTGATGCACTTCTGAAGGGCATGCTTAACAACAGCAACAGTGTCCACAGCAGCAGGACTGGATCCAGGGGTTACAGGAAGCTTTGTGGATCAGAGGGTGGTGCGCAGCAGTCGAAAAGCACGCTGGGAGAGCTGCTGAAAGACTGACGCCATATTCCTTGAAAAATTGAATAAAAGAGAAATTAGTCAAGACAGAGGAAGAGTATAGCACAGTAACAATATCCAAAGTTTCTCTGAAGCTGGAATCATGTAAACCAGCTGTTTCTTAGAATTTGAAGCAGTGACTCTGTACTGTCATTCTCTGTATTACCATATATTTAGAATTAATAACAAGTCTGACTTGGCTAAAAAGGAAGATGACAAACCCAGCATCTCTGGAGGATCTGTGGCCTCTCAGTTTCTAAGCCGTGATCTGAGTGGGTGGGGATGTTGTAGTAATGAGGCCTGAATGTTGTCGGTAACCAAATGAAATATGGCGAGCCCACCAGGAGAACCCATGCTGGTACAACACACATGACCCAAACTTCAGCCCTGAACAAATAGAGGTAACTGGGGTGTTGTTCCTAAGTGGTATGTTATAAGTCTCGCTGTTGAACTGGTGAAGAGGTGAAGTGGTTGGCTTGAACAAACAAACTTGCACCGGCGAGCCAGCACACTGTTGCTCCAAATAAAAAGCAATTACAAAGCAGCTGGCATGTCTGGTACCTTGAGTCTGCAACACCCAAGCAAAACCTCAATAGCAATGACACATGCAAAATTGCTCAATGAGTGGAGGTGATTTTGCATGTTTATGCAAATCATCAGAGTAGTTATGTCCCAGCAGGAGCGAATTTAAATCACCCTATGGAAGTTGTTTTCTTCGTAGTTGGGCAACAGAAACAATGCAGAGGCTGTTTCATATTTAATAGAAAGGAACTTAAACATTTGCCAGGCTTGTGGTTGTGAAATGAGAATCAAAAATAGGGTCAGTGTTTCAAACAAACTAACAACACAAACTCACCGTGCTCCAGCAGAGAAGCAGTTGTGGCGGTTTGGGTGGAGGCAGAAGAGCGAGGCCACGCAGTAAACACAGCATAACAACATAGACAGCAGCCGTCTCTTTATGGACATCTTTATTCTGACAGAAACACAAATGCAAACATATTCATATTGACCACCACAAAAATAGTAACAATTGTTTATGTTGGTGAAAATCAAAAGGCAAAAAATTGGGGATCTCATTGTCTACAGTGCATAATGTGATTGACAGATTCAGAGGATCCGGAGAAATCTCTGCACAAAAGGGACAAGGCCAAAAACTCGGAGTCAGAGGCCATGACTTTTGACATTCCTCTTGGAACTCATGCTGTCAGGGGAAACAGTACATCTTTGTCAACACAGTCTAAAGCCAGCATCCCCGTTGGTAAGGCCATACATACAGTAAGTGCCCATCTCACAGGTAGTTCACACCTCATGGAAAGCTCAAATAATGTTGAACATGATTAATCCAGGGAAGACCTTCATATTCCAGCATAGAAACCAACAATTTAACAACAACATGGCCCAGTAGTAGAAGAGTCTCCCTGCAGTCCTGCCTTGTCCCCCACTGAAAACTTTTGGCACATCATGAATTGAAATCCTACATCAGGCAGGAGTGGGATCACGTTTCACTTTTAAAACTCTAAAAGCTCGTCCCAACGGCTCCCAAATATTTCACGTGTTGTTAAAAAAAGAGAGGATGTAACCCACTGTCCCAACTTCTTTAACATATATTACCATTGTATTGATATTAATGTACAAACCCCAATTTCAGTCGTGTTGATACACTGTGTAAAAAATCCTTATGTTCTTACAAGCACAAACCATGACCCCCGAGATCACCTTGCCTCTCTCTCTCTGATCAAATTGCTGTTACAACAACAGGAAGCTGGAGCTAGGCCCCTGCTTTTGTTGAACGCCACGCATCAGAAGAAAAACGTCCCTCACATGACATCATTACCTTCACAATCCTGTCCAGAAGAACTTTTAACCAGAAGACTGAAAGTCCACAGCTAGACCAATCCCACCCTTTATCAATGAAATCCTTCAGGGCTCCTTCAGATCAGATCCTGATGGTGCAACAAGAATTCGTCCCCGCAGGTGGAGGGCGGCGCTGGTAGAGGTGTAAACAGGTTGCAGGAGACTGGGTGCTGCTGGGCGCTGGGCATGATAACTGCTGACCCAGGCTTTGTTTTGAAAAGTCCTGAAAGGTCTAGCAGGGGTGAATAACATTCCTTCATTGTGTGTTTGTGTGTCTGTTGGAGTTATTTTGGCTCGTTGGATCTTTCCTAACACGTAAATGTGAACTCATGGTGAACCCGAGTGTATTTTGCTCTGGCTGGAGGACGAGGGTTAGGTTTTGAGGATTTGTTTGTGTGACTTCTGACAAGTAAAATCAGCAGACTTCTGCTCAATCAGTGTAAGCAGATTAACAATGTCTCTGTCTTCTCTTCTTGTTTATTCACATATTTTTCAGGGACGAAGAAGCTGCTCTGATGCCAGGTGATGTTTTAAGTGTGTGCGGCCAGAAAGCATCATTAGCCAGATCCATTTGTGTGTGAATTGAGGTGGAAAATGGTCTGCAGATGTCTCTCTCACAGACTCAGGGGCCACCAGGGCTTGGGTTGAACTAAGTCCACTCTTTGGACTGTCTAACCTGGGAGAAACACAGACTTTGAAATACAACTGATGTCCTTTTTGACTTGTATAACATAATACAGTGACATATGATATTCAACACCTAAAGACTGTCCATGAAGGAAGATCCTGATTTTAAAACCGGAAACCAGTACAGATGTGTCAAGCTGCAGTAACTTTGGTGGCCAACCGGGGCGACTCTTGTGACTCTGATGGGACATGTTGATTCAGAGTCAGAGGATGTTCAATGTGCCAGTTCCTGCAGCAGTCTAAACCTTTAGTAGCATGACTAAGAGCTGGTCCAGGCCTGTACCAGCTCTAACTGTGAGCTTTATCTGAGAGGAACATTGTAAGTCTACTCTTAAAGGTAGTGAGGGTAGAGAGACTTCAGTGCTCTTGAGGCGTAATAAGGAACTACAAACTCTTTTACATTTGATGGTGCCTGACCATGAAGAGCCTTTTACAGTCTAGTCCTTGCTCTCTTGTACTTGTTCTGATCAATACTGCAACATTTCAAACCAGCTGAAGACTCTCTGAAGATTTTTTAAGGGGGGAATGAAGTGCTATCGGCATCAGCCATCCAAAATGCATGCTAGTTGCTGCCGTAAAAAATAGTGCTCCGTCTCTTTCAGCAACTCTTACGACCTGTGGGATCCTCTCTGAATTTGAGCTGTCACGGAGAAATAACCCTTTATTAGCACATTCACTTTTATTTAAGGTTTGGTTGTCCAAAGTTCGACCCTCATCAAGCCGTAGGGCATTGCATACGTATAAGATTTTCCAACCTGTGAGAGAGCAAGTACAGGGAGCAGCACGGACAAGGGTCAATCCCAGAGAGGCAACAACAGCAACAGATGAGCAGCGTGAATGTGTTTGTGCTGCAGAGAGAGAGAGAGAGAGAGAGAGAGAGAGAGAGAGAGAGAGAGAGAGAGAGAGAGAGAGAGTGTGCGTCTATAGAGTTAGTGATCATGCAAGTGTATGAGAGGGGAGGGGACAAGCAAGACCTGCTGATAATGCTATGAGTGTTTCTGTCCATCTGCACTTTCTGAAGAGATTCTGAGAAGACTGTGATGAGGCAAAGGGATCCAACGGACATCCATGCAACAACGAATCTCAATAAATGACCTGCAGTTATCACCTGTTGTGTCTCCTTGGATGGAAAACTGTGAAAGGTTGAAAACATTTTCTAAGAGGAGTCTCAGCTGTAATGGTGCTGTGGGATTTCTGACCTGAAATCGGGTGTTGTTCGTCATCACCATGTCCGCTCTGTTTGGACCTCCGAGCACTGAGCCGCCAGGCAGCATGAGACCAGGCTGCATGGACTCTAATACATCTCAGGGGGTGATGGGTATGGGTCTAATCCTGAGCATCTTTGCTTTCTTCATCATCTCCATAAACTTGGTAGTGTCGGCTGCTTTACTGAAGCTCCTCCTCAAGAAGAGCAGCCAGAGCTGGTGCTTTGTTCTAAACCTGGCCTTGGCAGACGCCCTGGTGGGTATGGCGATCACCGGCCTGGCCACAGAAGACTTCAACAGCTGTAATGCCACCTGGAACCATGGGGGCCAAGTCACTGCAGACCCTCCAACAAACGCCGTACCTTTAGCTCAGGGCAAGAACCAGTGTTTGTTGCGGATGGCCTTTGTCATGTCACCGTGTATCGCATCCATCATGTCTATGTTCCTCATCTCACTGGACCGCTACGCTGCCATTAAGGTGCCCTTGCGGTACTCCCAGCTGTCAGGAAAGGGAACAGCAGTGGGATCTCTGCTGGTTCTGTGGATCACCTCTTTCACAGTGGGCTTCCTGCCAGGTGAGTCATAACCTTATATAATTTTGTATTGATGCCATCTTCTGTAGGATATTTCAAGCTTTTTATGTTAGCTGTTGTTGGGCTGATTCTTCACGTCTTCACATCACGATTCCGGTGCAGCACCACTCTCTTCGTTGCTGATTATGTTTCTACAATCTGCTTAATTTTGACCAAAATCTTTACCAATGAAGTGTTTTGGAGGTTTGAGACATTTTTTTCTGGATTTGTGAGGCGTTTGACCCGAATGAATCCAGTTAGACTCTTTTACACCAGAAATCAGATACAACCTGTACTAAGATTTAAGCTTTTGCAGTGAATACTCTTTTAAAAGTCCAGCAACATTGAAGAACCACTCAAAAAGCCCTGACAGTGGTGTCCCCCATACTGTTATTGTCACATCTTAGCTACCATTTGAGTGGGTAACCAGTGGGTAACCTTGTCCTGTGTCCCCCAGTCATGGTGCGGCAGCTCCAGACGGACAGCTACCACGGTTTCTGTGCCTTCTTCGCGGTCATCCACCAGGTGGGCATGGTCGTCTTATTCAGCGCGTGCTTCTTCCCTGTCTTCACCGCATTTGTTTACATCTACCTGGACATCCTGAAGATCTCCTGCAGCCACCAGAAGCAGATCTTACAAATCAGGCAAGCTGGCTCAAGGACTGTTGAGCACAATCACAATGAACAAACTGAGCATCCCCACCAGCAGCTGAGGATTTGCTTCACCGGCCATGTCAAGGCCTTGAGGACCGTGGCGATGCTTGTTGGCTGTTTCTTGGCGCTCTGGTGTCCGTTTTTTGTGGCATGCCTTGTGCACCTTCTGTGCAAAACCTGCAAAGTTACCAAAGTGTTGGAAAATCATCTGTGGCTCTTAGGACTGTCTAACTCCCTCATCAACCCCCTGGTGTACGCCTACTGGCAAAAGGAGGTGCGACTGCAGCTGGCGGCCATGTTTTGCTGTTCCAGAGGTAGATCGTCAGCTGCTGAGCCGCCACATGCCATGGGAAGATACAACCAGCAGCCAACTGTTCTGACTCTAGCTGCTGTTCCTGCTGTAGAAATCCAGGAACTTTCACAAGCACAGACAATGATGAAGCCCTGACGAGCTTATGGGTAAAACTGGGACATTAAAGACTCACAAACTCTGGGGAATGGACTAGAGACACTGACAGCACCAGGGATTGTGGCGCAGGTATATGTTGTCATGTAATAATATCAAACCTTACACTTGCTGTTTGTTTCAGGGTTTCCTGCACTGGCCTTGGTTAAGATTGAGTTTAATGATGTTATTTTCTGAACAAATTAAGAAAAATGAAATCTAATCTATTTTAAAAGGGACTTATCAGGCCACAATATTTCCTTTCTTTTGAATTTAGAACATACAACGCCTGTTTCTTTGACATCTATTTGCCACTGTGCCTCACTTCTTTGTCTAAGGAGTCCCACCAGGTTTTATTTTGGGTCCTTTTCTTTTTTGAAGTGCACCTATTCGGAAATCCAAGTGGAAACAACAAAGTTGAGTTTTAGCTGTATGCCGATGACACTCTCATGTACAAGATGATTTTTGCCCAAAATGAGTAAAAGCATCAACTTGCTGTGAAAAGTATGAGCCAAGTACAAGACTGAAGTCATAATATTTGGGTCCAGAGAGAGAGCCGTGTTTTTATAATCTCCAGCCATATCGTACCAAAACTCTCTGAGTAATTTATGAAACATCAGTGGTTTTAGTTGTGCTGGAGTTGTAGTCACTCAATTGGGTGAAATAATGTTTTTCTCCAAGTGGTCTTTGACTGTATCAATATGTGTTATACATTATTCACATATTGATTTTTGTCAAATGAATTCAAGAGCCATCCAGTTTTGCAAACAATGAGGAAATCCATTTATATACAGAACCCATCTTATAACCGTCCGTCTCTTCTGTGCCAATTGAATTGAGGAAGACAGATCTCTGATAACATCCAGCAAACATCATGAGAGAGGCTGGAAACAGGACATGAAACATGAGCTTGGTGCCCGAGCTTTGTTTTTATGCTGTTTTATTACATGTATGTGATTTAGGAGCTTTAAACAGAGCGCTCTCAGATAGCAAACAGGCCTGCTGTTTATCTGAGAAGCCGCTCCAGCACTTGTTATTTTTCATAGTTGGATAAATATTCAGTCATGGAAACTTCCTCTTTTGTTTGAATCTTGATAAACGTTGTCCCCTCTCCGGGTCAGTGGTTTGTTCCAACAAATCAGTCTTGTCAGGTGTGTCAGAGGTTTCTGGGTTGGGTTAGATAGTGAACATCTACACCAGACAGTCAGATTACAGGGTGGGCGTTCAGTCTTATCAGCGGGGCTGGAAATGCAGATAAATTGAGTTCTTTGTCTTGAATCATGTCAAATTGTTCATAAAGATCTCAGGGAATCCTCTCATATGCATTTAAAAAGCTGTTTTTGTGAATTATAATGTTGCATTGTGCAAATGCATTGATCTAATTTCTAGTTGAATAAATCATCACATTAAATTACATTTACGTTTTGGAGTGTGTTTTAATGAAAGGCCTTATTTTCCCTTTGTTATAAATTCAAATAAGATTAAATCTGGACTTGTAAAGTGACTGTGAATTATTCTAAGTTTGTAAAGAGTGGTTAGACAAGAGATCAGAAAAAATGCTTCTGTTTTTGAAAAGTGATAGAAAGAATATACAATCATGAGAAAACTCTTATTTTACTGTAAAATGTAGGTCTTATTCCAACAGTTAGAGTTTGTAAAAATGTAAAATTTGGTGTATATTTGACCTTTTTTGTGACATTTAGAAAATAAGCTGTGTAACAACCGTTGACATGGGCTAACATGGCAAAATGAGCAGCAAAGTGGGCTCTAGTAGCCGGCATCAGATGGTTTTTAAACACAACTTCTAAGTTGTTTTATGTTGGAAAGTGACAAACTTTGTATCTGTGGAGAAACAGCCGCGGTGCTACAAAGAGGGTTTGATAGACAGTAATATAGTATATTTGTCCTCGTATCTCTGAATCAAGACACACAAAATGGAAGATATTTTATTGATAAAGAAAAAACTGAAATGCTCAACTTAACACTCAAACTTTTTACAGGGACATGCAGACTGTTGTTTCATGATGGGAGGTTGTGTTAGAACCACAGGAATGCTTTCTGAAACTGATTTATGACAAACCGAGAACTACAAAACCAAACAGTTTCTACAATACTTAGATTACAGCTGGAGGTAGATGCTGAGTGTGTGTTTGTACATGTTCGAGGTGTGTGTGTGTGTGTGTGTGTGTTAGCTGCGCTGCTTCATCGGCGTCCTCATCGGGCTGAAGAACGGGTGCCACAGCGCCTCCTCCAGGGTGATCCGCCTGCAGACGTCGTACTCTAACATGCAGCTGAGCAGGTCGAAAAGCTGCCTCTCGTCCTCGCTCCTCCTCCACATACACAGCTGAGAGGCAAATGGTCAGTTAAATGCTCCGCCTGACGGCTGCAGCTGATTGGTCAATCTTTCTTTTGTTTTGTATTACCTTCAGAGGCTGACAGTGTTTCCTGACGCGCTCGTTAGAGGAGCTCTGCTTGTCCCAGTTCAGACGCTCGTTGTTCACATATTGCTGCCTTCTACATACAACACACAAAACACATGAGTAGATGTCATCCTAATATAATAAGTGAAATACAGGGAGGTTGGTGTTTGCTTTGTGTCTGTTTTCTTCAATTTGGTTGATGTCTCTTTCATTTAAGTGGGTTTTTCCATATTTTTAAGCCTTATTTTTTTATTTATTTATGTATTTTTAGCTGTTTTCATTCTTCCTAGCTTATTTCCTTGATGTTGACTCGACAGTCTACCTTTATAAAAATATATGATATAATTTTAATTGTATTTATTTTATGATGTGAGATATAGTTTCAATATTCTTATAACCTATTACGTTTAATTTATTATATTTTTTATACAAAGCGATGGATTGGCAGCATTTCTTTTGCACAGTCTTTCATTTATACAAATACTAGTTGATATTAAATTGCTGCAGTTTTCCTAGGACAACTGTGTAAAAAGTAACACCCATGTGTAACGTCTAACTTCGTATCAAGGGAAAAGCAGCCAAAACTTTCAAGATCTGACCAGTTACATTATTTTTTAAACCTAAAATCGGAGAACAGTCTCTATTATGATGCTTTAAAAAGTCCGGCACTAACTTGGTCTGTTTGAGCAGGTGTGGAGGAATCGGTCCCAGGACTGTCTCCATCATGGCCAAATGTTCAAAACTGTTGTGAGTCTGAAAAAGCAAACAGGCAGACAGGAAAGAGAGGAGAAAGTGACTTTTTTTTCTAAATGTGTTGAGTGTGTGTGTTTCCTGCAAATGAATGTACCGGGAAGAGAGTGCGTCCAAGGTAGAACTCCATCAGCACGCAGCCCAGACTCCAAACATCACACGCCTGGTTCCAGCCCAGATCTGCGCACAATGAAACACAGTTAGACACACATTTACACCTTAAAACAGAAGAAGAACACACCATAACGAGAAGAGTTGAGCTTGTGTGTACCCAGTATGACCTCTGGAGCTCGGTAGTGACGTGTTGACACAAGAGTTTCATGGTGTTGGTGGTCAAAGGTGGCGGTGCCAAAGTCAACCACCTTCACGTCTAGACTCCTTAGCGTCTTCTGTTTACATCTCTAACACACACGCACACACACACGCACAATCAGATGATTGAAATCTTTATGGCGACACATCTTGTTTGCTGTCGGCTGAAGGACTTGTACCTTCTCATCATTGTACTCCAGGTCGTAGTCCGAGCTCACAAAGAGGATGTTCTCTGGTTTCAGGTCTGTGTGGGTCAGTTTGTTACGATGCAGGACTGAACAAAAAGACATGACAGTGAAGAGAGACTGAAGTGGTGATAAAGTCGTAGTTTTGGTTTAGACATGTGGACTCACAGCAGACGGCTCTGAAAAGCTGGAAGGCCATGTGTCTGATCTGATCCACGCTGAACGGCAGGAACTTGTTCTGTCGGAGGAACTCGTAGGTGCTGATGCCGAGCAGTTCGAACACGATGCAGATGTGACCCTCGTGATCGAACCAGTCCAACATCCTCACACAGGCGCTGACAGAGTGAGAGTAACACCAAAATTATCCTTACTGAAACAAAAACATGACAGATAAATGTTGATCCTTTTCACTCACAATCTGTTGTCGTCATCCAAGCTGTTGATCTCTTCGAGCACCGTGATCTCAGACTTTGCCACATCTCGAAAACAGTCGATGTTTCTCACGATCTTCACGGCGACACGTGCATCTCTTACAAGAGCCAGCAACATTTGAGAGGTAAATGTGCGTTTACTACAGAATCAAGGTTAGAAGAGCAATTTTTAATAAGCAAGAAGTCTCACTTTTCTCTGTCAGTACACTCCACCACTTTTCCAAAAGCTCCAGCTCCGAGCGTCGACACAATCTCATCTGTAGGAGACAGACAGACACTCGTATGGGAGAAAATTCAACAGTGTGAGAAACAAAAATTAGAGAAAGTGCCAACCATCGTTAAAACTTGTACAACATACTTATTTTTTGTATCACTCGAAACTCAGAAAGACATTAAAAAGGTGAGTCTGGTTCTGGCAGGAGGAGTTGAAAGAATGTACGGAGTATCTCCTGATGGCATGAGTGTACGGTGTTACAGTCTGTTGACCTGTTCATGCATTTAAAGTATGAAGCTACAAGGACAGAACAGCAAGTACAGACAAAAGGTCGGAGTCGCGTACATCTTTCCTTCAACACCAGGCCGATGTGATAGACCAGATGTCCCTCCTCTTCGTCTATCTCGCTGGTCTTGTCTCTGTGACTGTTCTTAGCTTCATCACGGGCAGTGTTGACAGCGCTGTCGTCCTGAGGAGCGGACTCATGCTGCTGTGAGTTGTCGTCGGTCTTAGTTGAAGGTTGGACGGTCACAGTGATGAATGGTGGACGCAGGGATGAAGACAGGTGTTGGTGATGGTGATGATTTTGTAGGGGACGTAGATAAAGACAACAAGGGGACAATTTAAAAGGGAGCGAGAAGGTGTCTCATAATTTAGCAAGTCAAATATCTAGCTTTGGTTCGAACTACATTTTTAGTTTGATCTGCAAGTTTTCACAGAAGGAAAGTCTAGAGGGTAATAAAATAGAAGTCAAACAATTAGACGTCTTTAATTTCAAAGACTATGTCAGCTTTTGGGGAGTGGAAACTTGCTCTTTAAAATAACAGCTACTGTAGAATAAAAGTGGTTTTTACTCTCTGACTGCTGGACTGATTTCTGCAAAGATAAAAAGATCTACAGAAGCCATACCGAGTTACAAACATCTGGAGAAGTGAAGTGTGTACATTGGTTGTAGCTTCCAGTCTCTCTGTCATTGCGTACATCTGATATGGAGCCATCATTCTCTGTACGTGGAAAGAAGGATAAAAGGATGTCATGTTGTTGTGATTACTGTCGACTCTGGCATCAAAAACCATCATAGACTATAGGGCCACCTGGAGTAAGACGCTAAAAGCACAGGTTCAAGTACCTTCACATGAGCCACACTTGTTGTCCTTCCAGCCCATGATACCGATGAAGACACTGAACTCTGTGATGCTCTATTTCTGCAGAGAAAACACACAATAGGTATAAGCACTGTGGAGGGGTCATACATGAGCATCGACATTAATTAGTAAGATCGTTTTCCTGATGCATAAAACCTGGAAAACTTTACCATGACTTTGACAATAGCTATGAAAAATGTTGGGCTATTAACGGGTCCAGGAGAGGAAGTGGTAATAACCGTTTCATCCTCTGTGGTTCCCAGTTGGAGACACCAGACACGCCCAGTCAGAATACCTTTTAACACATGCCATCGAGGCTGCAGTATGCTGGGTTAGTGGCGTTTAGAGATGTGTTTCCTTGTCAAAACCTGCTATAAATAACTTTTACTCCACAGACAGCATCACTACTGAGGACACAATCTGATACGTGAACACTGAGTAATGAGGGACAACGCCCCTCGGGACTCTTGGACGACTAACCTTCTGCAGAAATGGTCTATGTTGTTAAATAATGCAGGATTTTCTGGTTATGATGACATCCCCCAAATTAAGCTATAACTGCAGGAGGACATATCTGGAAAATATGTTAATATAGCGTCAATCTCCTTCATCATATTAACCGTACGCTAAGGCTTTTATGCTCTTACACCACGTCCTGCATCCCGTGAGACTTACTCCTTCTCACTGCCTCCTTTTTGTCCAGACTGTAACGCTCCAGTTTGAGCTCAAACCTCGTTTTATTTAAAAAAGCGGCAACATTTCTTTTCCATTTATTCAGCGTTGATGTTCAGATTTATATACGTCTAAAAAACAAAACTTCAAGAGTCTACACTGCTCCTATTAAACTGGAATAATTTATGGTTTAATGAAACTAAGACAGAAATGATACTTCACTCACTTAGTTGGCTGGTAACAGAAATAAATGTACAAAATGTGCTTCTGGGTATTTTTTGGTGAAAATGAGGGAACTGTTTGTTTGTACCCTGTTATTAACTGTGTGCCTCACTTTCCTCAGTGCACGCCACCTTTTCTAAATGATCCCATGTTTTTGATCCTAAATGACAGCTTATTAAATCCAGAACAGTTACACGTGGCTACTGCAGTTATGAAATGTAGTTTAATATTGCCTCAGACCTAAATATGTTACGAAACCTAAAGCAGAGCTCGGTGTATTTTTACATTTCATGAACGTTACAAACATGTTACCGGCTTATACAACCATGTAAATTAGACTGTAATGTGAACGGTGTCATGAAATCTAATATCACTTGTTTCTCATTTGTTATAATAACATTATATTAATTGATCAAACCCAAAAAATCAACTATCTCCAAATTGAGCTGAAGAAACACGGCTCAAAACTAACACGAGTGAAGCATTTTCAATGATAGTCTTACTTACAAACTTTGTTCCTGGTCTTGGATTAAGTGCGTAGGTCCTAAAACTGGAGCTGAAAACCCATGAGGTGTTTTCTGTTTCCTTCTGACCTGTTTCCTTCTCTTCAAAAAGGCTAAAGTGCTGAATTTAGATGAAAATAATCTCCTCACAGTCACGTTTTGCAGTAAAAAGAGGTGCAGGAATCCTCATAACTCTTCCTCTGTGCTCTGCGTGGTATTCAGACCCTCCGTCCTCTACAGCTCTTGATCTTTTGGGTCAAAGTGTTCCTGCCTCCTGAACCCCTGAACCCCTCCTCTCTGTTTTCAGAGCTATACATAGTGTTACATCCTTGCAGCCTGCAGCTCCGTTGGTGTTTCTATCTCCACGGCTTCCCTTGGCCTTTCAGTGAGGGCCAAGTTACGACCTCCCAGCGTGCAGGAGAGCTTCCAGAGGCCGAGAACTTAACATGAGACTACAATGGTCCCTGTGGGAAAATTAGGTTATTAGAGTAGCTATTTAAAGTGGTCCCAGTGAAGAAGTCGACAAAGAAGACCTGAGAGTTACTGCACCTAATGAGCCACGTGCTAAGACAGGGGTGTTTTTCTACCCGGCAACTGGTGTCATTTCCTTTTTGGCAACTCTTATTCAAATTTTGATGGTTTCCATTACGACAAAATAAACCTGCATTAATTAATCTATTAGGAATATGGGAATGAATAAGATGATATGATTTGTTGATTGTTAGAGTCAAATGCTCCAAATCTCGGCTAAATCCAAACCCTTTCTCCAAGTTTTTAAACACAGTGGGAACACCAGACGTTAAAAATGAAGCCACTGTTCAAGTGTGATAAACCACAGTTCTTCAGAGGTTGACTTGAAGCTGGTGAAAGCGAAAAAAGTCAACAGCCCAACAACCCTAACAAGATGAAAGTCCACATATCACGACCTACCGTAGCACATGTTTACCAGCAACTCGATTCCTGAGACAAGGACACTACTCCGGTTGAGCTGAGACAGTTGCTTGTGTTTGCTACCTCGTGCCGGACAACATTAAGTGCTGGTGTGTCAAAAAAACATCGACATGCACTTTTTTAACTTGCCCCAATGTAAAAGTTTCATGAACGTAGGACCTAACAGATACTCGACACCTCTAGTAGAGGACAGCAGCTCGTACTCCGCATGGATAAGAGCTCTTTAACACCAATGATTATTCAGGAAGTACGAGTTTCCTGAGACGGTTCATTACTCAAACTTTAACAGAGTAAAAGCAGTAAATGGTTTCGATTTGATTCACCTGTTTCCTAATCTGTATGTGCAGAACATAGAGTGAGTATTTCAAAACTTGTTCATTTTGAAGGTAACACGGTTGCATAAGAGGTACTTCATTTCCAACATGGCAACAGTTATCGATATTCTGATGTAAGACTGACTAGCATTACTCTCACATTCATCATCCTGATAGTCCTAAAGCACGTCTTTAATTTAGGTGGCCTCATCTAAATTTCCAAGGTTGATTGATATGTTGACAACAGTGTGTCCACAAGCTTACGGTTTGAAGTAGCATATCCACCGTAACTTAAACCTCCCCCCTCTCTCCCTCTGCCTCCTCCACAAATTGCAGACATGCCATCACATTTGGGGCTTTTCTTCCCCTCCTTATCATTTCATTTTTATCTTCTCTTCACTTTCACTATCACTCCAGTTTATTTACAGTGTCTTTATATTTGTGACAGATGGCAGATATTTGCTGCAGTTTAGCCTCATGTGTCCATAATAAACAGAGAATTAAAAACTTTCTCTCCATTAATGACAAGTATTTTAAATGAAAACATTCTGTTCTTTACTGCATATTGACATATGTATTAGATGATAGGTCTCTGTAATGCAGGAGGGCTTTTCTTTTTATAGCCAACAATGTCAAGGAGTGTGAGTCGTTCCTGAGCAGTGATCTCCTCCTCCTCCTTCCCAGCTCAGATGTGGATCAGTCTTTCCATGCCGGCCGGCTCAGCTGTCTTTAGCGTCTGTAAATTATGACTAAGGACGCCTCCCTGCTGCTGACAACTTGCAGGACCGTTGTCACTCACTTAAGATCATCCAACACTCACTACTCTCCCACTTGTGCCAGGAGTGAGGAAGGTTTCACTCGACATACAGCTTAATTGACGGAAAAAGGGGGCCCCCTTCCTGACAGCAGCTACCCAGACTTTATATATCTGCAGCTGAAAGACTGATTTTAAAACTGAATTACATAACTGCCTGCAAATCCTTTTGTGGCATCCCTTCGGGATCAATACTTGATCCCCTGATGTTTTAGGAAGAATGAGTAATTGGGGAAGTATTTTTAGGAGGCTGTAGCGGCTTTCAGCTCTAAAATGTCAGGGTTAGTTTATGGGTTCATCAGTCCACCACTCGATGGGACAAACTAACTTTGATGTACTGAAAAAAGAGCGGTGCCAGAGGTAATCGTGGAGTAGGTTGAAGGTCAAACTTTCTTCTCCTAGCAGAGATTCATAAAGTCATCTAAAACAGTGGAGGACTTTCAAAAATGTCTGGTTTCTGACAAATGATTGGAACTTTTCTTGGACTAGACCCAAATTTGTTGGTTTAGGTTTGGAACAAGAATCCCTGTGGATTCAAGTCCTTCACCATGATGATGGTCTGAACTCTCTCTGGTCTTCTGATAGCTGACAGCACTGACACACCATATTCAAACACAGACGGCAGAAGCTTCTCTGTCAGACTCTGCTGCTTTAGGTGGCCACATGCCTCCTTTCAGCTGGTTCCTATTGGATCATCTCCCTGTCAATCAACTTTGTCGTGAGCAAGTGGCTAACAGGATATACGTGAAACGGTGAAATCACTGTCACTTTTACAAGCCCTCAGGTTTTTCTAACTACCCCACCTCCTGGTAAATCAATCCATCAAAAGGATCCAAAGCATCTCTGCCTGTCGACGCTGCGGCAAAAACACCGGTCAAACACTCCCAGTCAGTTCTCTCTCGGGGGAAATGTTTTTATCTGATGAACAATGGAGAGGGCTGATCACTCATGTGCATGTGAAAAGTTTACATTATATTAGTCAATCAAAGCATACAATCATCTGCTTTATGTATGGGTCAGTCATATTGAGTTTCTCGCAAATGAATGGTGACGGCACACCCGCCAAAAACTTTAACTGGGGCATATGCAGATGGGTTATTCTTGCCTGTGCAGTGTGCATGGGCAACATCACCACACATTCATCTGTAAAATGCATGCAGGGGACAGAGGAGAGATGTATGTGCAGAAGAGGACCAGACTACAGACAAAAGATGCTTTCCTGTCTTTTTAATTTTGCAACAGATGATATTGTGCAACAGATGCACTACCCTCAAGTCTCCGAATTGCATCTTGCTCACTGTGTCATGTCTCCATTTTTCTGCCAAACTAACACTCACTTTAACTGATCCCTGACATGATAAAACAAGATTACAAAAACATTTAAGCAGCATATATTCCAGAAATAACCATCCTGCTCTGAATCCTCTTAAAGTGACATGTAAAGAGGACCTCTGTAAGGATTTTATATTGAGTTTTTCTTGCCTTAACTTCATCAGTAAGTGAATGACACAGTTTCCCACCTTCTAACTAACCGTCTGAAATCACTTTTCATACTTTGAATGGAAACCGGTCTAATCCCCTCCAGATGGCTGCGATACTGTGACTTTGACTTTTACTTAAGGGATTATTCAGGGACTATCGGTTTTAGTTGATTTGATATGCTGTAAGATATACTGTGATGAACTCTCAAAGGTCTGCGCTATGAAAACCAACCTGCCCTCGTACTATAGCTCTAATAATTAGCACTATGCCTGTGGACCGCAGCGCAGCTCTTAAGCACATAGCTCACTAATGACCCTGAGATATAGAGACAGATTGTTTTTGAAGATTCATCGCTGCTGTCGTCGGTTCAGTATCAGTGAAATGTCTTTATACTCCAGCCAACAAAAACACGCCTCCCTGATTGGCTGGTAGATGTAGCAGACTTGATCGTGTTTTGGTTACTTAACGCTTAAGTGGAAGTTTTTAAAGAAATCTAACATTTAAACCTAACCTTTTGTTTTGCTCTATGTACTTTCAATGATAATAAAACAAGCTTTCAGGCCACTGGTACAGTTAATGCAGCAACTGGCACTGCCTGGTAATCCTGCACATGTCCCAGCATGTGCTAAATGTGTAGATGCCCCATGAAGACAATCCTTTTTATAGACTATGTGGGCAGCATATGGGAAGCTACACTGGAGGCACATATTTGCCAGCAACTGGTTACATAACTCTGAGCTATACTGCAGAAATTTCCAAAAAAATAAGCATTTTTTTCAACCACGGGAATCAAGATCAAGTGGTTCAAACATTTAAACAAAAAACAACACATTAGAAATACACCAATGATACAAAATGATGAATGATATGCAAACATGCAAGAGGGTTTGATAAGTACTGATTTTGAGTCAAACTAGAGTCCAGGTTGAGTGAAGAAAGTAGCAGAAACTTCTATGAGCATTTATCAGTTAATGACAGAAATAGATGGAGGTGTGCACAGACTGACATTTCTCCAAAGTGATTAAACCCAAAAATGTTTACCTAAATGGATTTCAGCAACAAAAGGCATCAAAATGTTGCCTGATTGCATTAATTAGTCATGTCATGAACTTCAGGTGTGCTCCTGTAAAATCTAACAGTTTAAATACATGCCAGTGCATTGCTTTACTAACACTGTTGTTGATATTTATTGAGTGCAGAAATGAAATCCTCGCAAATCAACCGAGATTTGTCTCATCTTGGAGGAATTCTAATTTATTTGCAACTAAAAGATACAATATTTGTCTGTCTAATTAATCCAAAGGCAAAAGTGAGTTATTTGTCAGTTTAACAAACTGTTCAACACTTTTTGTGCGCCCAGACGTAACCCCACGGCTCTGTGACAGATGCATTGCAATCATCTCTGCATACCTTTCTTTGTTGCTGAAGCTGTGCCGCTCTCTGCCTCTCCTCCTCGCTGCTGTTTGGTTTTCTGTTTGAATCCCTCGCTCGCCCACCTCCTCTTCTTCACCTTCCTCCTCACCACGTCCTCCCCAGGGGGAAAGCAAACACTTGTTGCCACATGGCTGCCAAACAAGGAGAGCCAGAAATGGTGACGTGGTGCAATAAAACATTATGTCCTCCAGAAAACCAAGACGTGAACATTCCTGCGCACTTCTAGGCAGTAAAAGCCTCAGCCAGCTGCAGTGAAAAAAGACACGAGGAGCTGCTCCTACCTCGACCCTTGGCCTGACCCAGGAGGGCTCCTCTTTCCCTCTGCAGGAGAAAACACAGTGTACAGTGTCTGATCTGGAACTGTTGATGGAGGATGATGCAGGAAATCGTGTGATGACGAATGAAACTTGACACTCCCAACGACTTAAGCCTAAATCTGACACAAGATAAAGTAATGTAAAGTTGGTGACTGATCGGTTTTAATGCAGGTCTAAAACAGGTTTACCCCTGCCCTGCTGCAGGGCCATACAGTTCTGTTTTTTCATGGTTTGTTAGGAGTCAACATGATAAAACTCAATAACATCCTTCAATGATCAGCAATAGTTTGTTTCTGTGTCATGATGACCTCTAGATTGGGTTTGGACCATGATCACATGACTTTACTGAATCTTAGAGGTCATCACAGTCAGCTGAGTGAAAACCCGCGAGAAAACCCACTGTGCACCTAAATATAAAAACAAACTGTTACCACTCTATAATCCGAGAAGACCCTTTAGTTCAACTGCATTCTGAGTCAAAGTCTCAAGAAGATCGAGCTTTTGGAGTGAAGATGCTTCTGCTCTGGGACGGTCAACTCCTTTCTGCATAAACTTGTGTGTTTTTAATAAATGACAAATAAATACATGAATGGATGAATGAATGAATAAATACCATGTTTTGGGGGGAGGTCTCTGTTATTGTATTGATTTTTAAGTATTTCCAACTAGTAAAAAACAATTGACTCCACCTACTAAGCAGTTAATTTCAGACAGATGCACTTCAAGATTGGACAGCAAACGTTAATAAGTGGTTGATTAGAAAGAGAGGTGAGGATATTGTTGCTATTTGTCAGGTGGTTCAAGGCCTGTCCCAAATCTACTCCTTCCCAGGTTTCTACGTCAAAGAAAAGGTCGTCCACTAAGTCTAAGATCGGGAATCAGTCCTCTGATCTGCATTTAAGAGTCTTTCTCCCGTGGTTCATTACTGCACTGAAGACTTTTCCATCAATTGTCTTCATCTGGCAGAAATCTCATGAGGTGTTCCTCAGAGCTCCGTTCTAGGACAACTAGTTTTCATTTAATTCTTTGGATACAGTTAAAACTGGTTTCCTCCTGCATGAATAAGGTCTGTGAGTAAACACAGGAGGGTGCATAATAAAATGAGAAAAGATTTGCAACTTCCAAAGAAAAGAAAATAAAGAAGAAAAGAAAACGACCTTCAGCACGCAGAGCGCTCAAGCGTCATGTCAAAGTTCATGTTGTGTTTTCACGATAAAACATTCCAGAGCGCTATCTTTAGCTTTACTATCAGTAACAGCCGAACTAAAACCGACAGCGGCTAAATTTAACATCACAACACCAAGGCTACGTGTAATCCCACTGTGGATTAAGTTAGAGGACAGACCCCTCACAGATCCTCGTACCAAATATCCCATGATTTTTTTTCTCCATGCAAAATTACAAATAACCCAAAGTGACAATGAAAAACAATTTTCTCTTTAAAAAGCTGTTTATGAACAGACCTCTATATAAATATCTGATTAAAGTGTTTGTATTTAAAGTAATTAGCAGATACAGAATTTACAATGTATTGTGATACATGTGCAAGAATAATAGGTTACATGAAACTGCACAGTCCTACATTATTGGTACAATAGATTTTAATATGATTATTGTAGAAAAATGTCATCATTCTCCTGGGACGTTAAATTGAACCATAATACTGAATAAATCTAACTGCTCCAGAGAACAAAGACAAACGATATGAATTGCTTTGGTACTATACAATGTGATACCATGCAATCCATATTGTGCTTTACAAAATGCTTTTTGTCGCTTTGTGGACATTTGTCTGGGACTTCATGGTGGCTGAACACATATATCCACCTTCAAAGCTGTACAGACTTATGAAATAAACAGTGACATCAAACACCTGCTAATGACACTGTTGCCACAAAACCCACATTGAAGGTATTGGATGTCATGGCCAACAATAAGTGAAATGGAAAAGAACACCGGAGCCCGCTGAACAACCTTCAATCTAAATAAACTTGTAAACGGGACTTCTCTTTATTTATATCTATGTATATATAACTTTTTAATTGGTGGGAGCGGCCTCACATGCAGCAACCTGATGTCTCGTTTACAAATTTATTCTTTAAATGGACAGAAGTCGACACTAAGGAACAGCTAATCGTATCAGTATGTACCGTACATCTGATATCACAACACTATAAGGACTTTATGTACATTGTACATAAGGTGGAGTCAGACGCTGTAAATATCTGAGACTTAACCCAAACCTTGGGGGGCCTGGGGTCATAATACAATCCCTCCACATTCACCGCAGCAGTGGACACTATTTTATCATCCTTTTCAGGGGTAGAAAGCATAATAAAGAAAAGCTACTGCGTCTCTATAGGATATGTTTGTTCGATCTTTGTTTGTACCTCCTCCTTTCTCCACCAGGTGCCCTCTTTGCACCTTCTACACACCTGTTACCTCTTCTTATCAGCCCCACAGTTGCCTGATCTCTCCTCCTCCCCCTGATCAGCCTTACATGTAAGAAGTGGATGAAATCAATCTGAATTTACTGTTTCTACCTGCACTGACAACAAACAGGTTTATTTTATTGACTTCAATGTAAACTGGCTCCTAGACAGCCAGATGTTTCAAGTTTAGTGCGAACATGCGGAAGGCGACAGATGAATTTTTAGTGCAACTGTGACGCACAAACACTGACACCACAGGCTTGTGTTTCTGTCTCAAACATAAAAAATAAAAATATCTTCACCTTTAAGTGCCAGAAAAGCTCAAAATAAATATTAAGTTCTTCGTCACAGACATGAGCGCCTCACTGGTTTAAAAAAGTTTGTACTGTAACTGTATTCAGTATTTTATTTGTTTATGTTTTTCATTTTCAGTCTTAGTTTAAAGGCCAAATAGATTAGCCATTGTATATATCAGTATATTTTGGGGGTCTTTTTCAAATAAGCATTTTTAAAACAGCATACTTTCACTTTTTGTCAAGAACTTAGCTTTTTCCACCGGTGGTGTACTCCGAAGGTGCAGGAGGGGGAGTGGGACACAAGTTCGACCCCAGGTGCCCTCTGCTCTGAAAAGGTGATCCTGGCTAAAATAAGAGGTATAGAACGCTCTCTTTTTAATATGCAATTCATACAAACAGAATAAAGTGCACCTTACATCTGCCCCTCCCTGTATTCTTTTATTCCTTGAATTCTTTTTATTTGATTTTACCTTGTTTTTAGCTTGTTACTATTAATTTTGCCTACTGTATTTTTATTATGTTTTTGTAAAGTGTCTTTGAGCTCCTGTAAAAGCGCTATACAAATAAAATGTATTATTATTATTATTATTATATTAAATGCCCTTCAAGAATGTAAACATAAAAAATGCATTCTTGATGCCCTTCCATTAAAAAAAGGACGCCCTTTCTTTGCAGGAAATGTAAAAGAGTGACCTCTGGATGCCTTCTTTTAAATGCTTTTGGTGCCTTTTCCATGGTTGACTTGTAAAATTTGCCTTCTTGATGCCCTTCAAGTATAAAAATTTGTTTTTAGAAAGTTCTCTTTGGATGCCCTTCTAACAGACAAAACTAAATAATGTGCCCATTTTTGACCATTTAGCCTTCTCTTACAGCACATGCTCTGTTGACAAGCATGGTTTGAAAGCAAACACCTTGCTTTTCCATTTTTAAAAATATTATCAAATATAGAATGTGAACTTTGTGCACATGAAGCACCTCTGCTTAAAAACTCTGCTTTCTTGGTCCTGAAAATAAGGCCTGTGCCCCATGGCATACAGCAGGTGACCTTTGAATGGGTTGTGCTCCTGTGAGATCACTAGGGGGCACTGCTGTTAGGCTGTTTTCTCTGACAGCTTTAGACAATGAGGTCAGTTTCCCTCACAGACAAGCTGCTACTGGTTAGCAATAATTCATGTGTGTGATTCATGACAGACATGAAGTCAGAGAGAAGAGGAGAGCAGGTGACACATTTCATTAAGAGTAGAGTGCGCTCACACACACACAGAGCTCTCTGTAATGAAGAGTGTTCGGTCCATACTGTTTGTATCGACAGATGTGAGAGCTCTCAGGTGTGATTAAAATCCTCTATGTCAAATACACAAATATGCACATATACTGTATTACTTTTCTAAAGTCACCTGATTTTCTCGACCTCATTTGCTTTCTGGATACAGGATACAGTATATTCATATACAAGTCTATCCACCCATGCTCTGCACTTTGCAGGCCAGTCTTTGACCCATTTGCTGAGTGGCACAAGTGTGCAGGAGAAGTAAATGCATGGATAAGTCTGAGATAGCGTGCATCTCCTTTTTGATAACAGTAAAGCAAAGAGAGGTGAAAAGCTGCACAGTTGTCTTTGTTTTCATTGTTTGGAATACAACCTTTGTTATTGGTCAGGGAGCTGGGTGAAGAAGACCAGTAAAGTTGCCCGGGTTTGATTGAGTTCTCTTAGATTATTTGGAGTCTTGATGAGATGTTTCTTAGCTCCACATGATGCTCTTGATTTCTCAGTGTTTCTTTTTGAACATATAATCATACCTAAAAGTACTTAGCAGATGTTCAGAGTACATGCCTAAGTTTATATGTGCACTCCATATCGCTAAAACATGCACTCATGTTTGGATGATGCCTACGCCTTGTTTCCTGTGATGCATGTCCACGGAGGTGAAGAGGAAATCCATTCATTCCTCTGAGAATCTGAGAAGCTCCTCCATTACTGTTATATTTCAGTCCTCAAACTACCTTGAGTATTTTTAAAACATTGAACCTTTGCACTGGATTTTAGGGGAAACCGTATGACGGTGTGCTTGCTAACAGGATGCTCATTCATTTGTCCACCTGATTTTCCAGAGTTTGAAATGGAAATCAGGCACCATGCACATGCAAATGCACACCATGCATGCATGATATCCCATCTGCAGACAAGTGCCACTATGCAGAGTCGATGATACCCACTACACCTGTCACTCTGCAGCCAGGAGGAGCTGCAGCACGATGGGACCAACAGGTCGAATTTACTCATGTGGTTTTAACGTTCAGGTGTCCGTTTACTTTCAGTGATTTACTTTTGTCTGTTGTATCTTTCAGCCTGCAGGCGGGACAACTGGACTTATTTGATAACTCATATTGATTACACAGTTGAAGCACTATACTGTATACTCTGTTGTACTTAAAGCCAATGAGGGTTATTGAATTCAGCTGTACTTAGAAAGAGAGAAAGAAATAAAGAGAAAGAGAGAGAGAGAGAGAGAGAGAGAGAGAGAGAGAGAGAGAGAGAGAGAGAGAGAGAGAGAGAGAGAGAGAGAGAGAGAGAGAGAGAGAGAGAGAGAGAGAGAGAGAGAGAGAGAGAGAGAGAGAGAGATTCCTCATACTTTGATTGAGTTCAAAAGTTGACCACGCTGACCAGCCTCTCTCACTTTTATGTCCACTTGAATCATTGTGACAGTACGTGTGTGTGTGTGTGTGTGTGTGTGTGTGTGTGTGCGTGCTGCAGCAGACCATACTTCAGCAGCAGCAGATTTCCAGCCAGATCATCTCTCTCTCTCTCTCTCTCCGTCTCTCTCTGTCTCCCCCTCTCTCACCATCAGCTGTGATTACTTTGGTAAAACAGCGCTGCGTCGCAGAGAACCAATTTTGCTAATGCACAGCCTTCACGCGCACACACAGCATGGTTATTGATGAGGTAAATGGGGAGGGGGGCAACGAGGGGGCACACACACTGCTGGGAAATGGGGAGAGAGAGGGAGAGACAGACAGAGAGATAGAGAGAGAGAGAGAGAGAGAGAGAGAGGATGAGGAGGAGAGAGGGAGGAAGAGAGAAGGACGAGCTGGACGGGGACAAAGAGAGGGGAGACATAGGAAGGAAGAGAGGGGACAGAGGGAAGAAGGAGAGGAGGAAGAGGGACAAGGATGGCGCAGACATGGACGTTAAGACATGTAGACTGGAAATGGAGTGGGGTGTCCAGTTGAGGAGCCAGTAAGGGAACAGACAGAGAGGGGACAGAGGAAGGATGGAGGATGCAGAGGGAACATCATCTCCTTTTTATGGATGATGGCGTGGATGGACTCTGAAGAAGAAACAAGTTGAGTTGATGGTCCTTTAGGTATTTAAAGTCACATGCTGAAGATATAAAAAAGCTGTAAAAAAAAAAGAAATAGAGAAAAAGACGCTGCTGGAGTCACGCTGATGGAGTGTTTCATGCAGTGAGACAGCCATAAAATACTCCAAAGATAGGACGCAAAGTCAGACGTCTCACTCTTGCAGCTTTAGCAGACATGAGACGGTTATGACTTTGAAGGTGTCCATCATGGGACACGTGAAGACTGGATGTCTGGGGCTTTGCATATGTGCAGATGAGTGAGATTTGCATTACAAGAGGATCCCTAGAAAGCGACTTTCACATCCTGATTGAGGAATGAGGTACCTGGGAGAGTTCGATGGTTGCATCATCACCAAATGGAGACCTTTTCTTGAATCTTGTGAGCTCTGAGTCAGGAGATTTTTCAAGCAACCAGAAAGGACATTGGTCTGGCAGGACTGCTGTTGAGTTGAGGACCCTGGGGATAATAAATGGATGGTTCTATATTTCGAATATGAACTGGAAAAGCTTGCCACGTCTTGGGACTTCTCAACAGGAACTTTCGTAAAGGTCAATCGACAAAGAAACTCTCCTTAAGGTCTGACTCTATCATTCAGGACCTCCTCTCTGGAAAGTTTGTCCACCAACAGGAACCTTTATGAGGAACTTATCCTGATGGAAACTACTCCTGAACGTGCACCCCTGTGAAGACAACATCGGGGACTGATGATAAAACTCTGTATGGGGGAAAAATGTCTCTTTGGGACCTGGTATGCACATATCTCAGTGGACCCCCTGCAAAATCTTAAAAATCTAAATTATTATCTAGGCTGCGTATGCAAGTATACTTATACCAGGGGATTTATGGCCAAAAGGCTCATTTGGGATTAGACCGAAGTCTTGTTTAGGGCCTTTTGTTGATCTTTCTTCCTAAGCCTTGTTTTCCAACAGATGACACTTTATGTTTTAAGCGCTCATATTCCACTGCAATTTCTCCATCAATGCTTAATCTAATCAAGAACTTCAAGGAGACAATATCCAGCTAAAAAGATGTTCTGTAGTATTCTATAAAGAAACCTCAAGGGAGTACCCCTTTCAGTATCCGAAGAATCCAAAAAGCTGCATTGCAGGCTGCAAATCTGGCCAAAACGCAGTTTTTAAGGCCTTTTCCTTTAGAGTGAAACATCCATCAGGATGGACGGAAACAACAGCTTGCTGCACCCGTATTAGAGTGAAGCGTGAATATTGGAGGCTGAAAGGAGTGAAGACCAATGCATGTTGTGGAAAGTAGTCAGAGTTCTCAGGCGTTCCCAGTTTTTCATCTTCTAAGCGTCTTCAGGTCTGCAAAAAGACTCCATCTGGTTTTATGTCTCTTTTGCTGAGCATCTACAACCGTTTGCGTAGAGACTGGTGCAGGAGCGCTGCAGCATGGGACTCAGCTGCTTCAAGTCCTGGAAACATGACAGTACAGGGCACAAAGGTGAGGCAAACACACACACACACACACACACACACACACACACAGAATCAGGTATGCACAAACACACAAACCATCACCATATTACCTGTTAATCCCTCCTGTGTGGGGTGTGTAGAGTGGTCGCATGTTGCCCTTAAGTGACATCCGTTAAATGCTGACTCAGGATGCCGCTGAGGTGACATTGTGTGCACGAGTGTGTGCACTTCTTGCATGCATGTTTGTGTGTTAGGATATGACTTTGACATGAGAGTGAAGCACAATGGGACCTAGAAGGGAAGAGAAGTGTGTTAACGAGTCTGCATCATGACAAGTCAAGGGTAGAGACATCGAAGGAGGAGGACTAGAGTGTGGGTGTAACAGTAATGCAGAATGATACAAAAGACTCCTGTACAGTTTTTCACTCGGTCTCAGTCCACCTTAAACTGGCCCAAGGAAGATGTCATGGTTCAGTTTTAACCTATACTGCAGATGATACCGTGATATCCACTACAGAGTCATGTCTGTTTCTCAGTGCTAACAAAGGGTCTGAGGATCACAGTCATTCAGTTTTATTATAAATTCTGTCATCTCCAAATTCTAAATCTGTTGATTGGTGGCCCATGCAGTCCTTCAAAAAGTGTGGAATCTCCTCTCATCTTCTTTATGTGGATTCAGTTATACCCAGTTATATTACTAAACTGAAGCATATTAACCTAGTAAACTGGAAGGGGTTGATGCATTAGGATTTTTCAGCACCACGAAAATTTTTCAGTATTTTTTTTTTTGTCCCCATCCCAACTTTTTAAAATCTTATTGGTTGCATCAAATTCAAAACAAGTGCAAACTTTCTAAAACAAAACAAATCTTCTGTTTCACTATTTCCAACAAAATCTAAGGGTTTGACGATGAGCAGGCCACCGAAATCTGTTTCTTTCGCCCCAACATTTTGAAAACGCTGAAACAGTTTGAAATGTCAAGGGTGATAAACTTATATTTTCCTCTTACATGTTGCTTTGTTGTAAAAGTTTGAATTGCACGAGATTTGTGTGTTTTTGTAGGAAACAGGGACGTGTTGGCCAGCCCAGGCTCGTATTTCTTTCTGTCTAACAGCGCCGGTCAGGGTGACGAGTGGCTAAAGAGTCTAAACAAGGGAGTCTGGATACCTTTCACTGGTAAAAAGCAACAATCTTTATGAATTCAAATCTTGGTCTGTGTGTAGTGGGTGTTGAGATCAACAACTGTGAAAACTAGCTCTTTGAGTTGTGTCTTAGTTGTGTATTTGCTGGTTAGACAGTCAATGTCTCAGCAGTGAAAGCTCACCAGACTAACTGTTGTGTTTTCAGGGGTCTTTGGTCAGAGTTTAGAGGAGACGGTGCTGTATGAGCGGCGTTATGGGGTACGCTTGGTTCCTCTGGTAGTGGAGCAGTGTGTGACCTTCATCAGAGATCGTGGCCTGCATGAAGTGGGTTTGTTTCGACAGCCGGGACAGGCCAGTCTGGTCAAAGAGCTGCAGGAGGCTTTTGATGCAGGAGAGAGACCATCCTTCGACAGGTACCATACCTCTGCTTACTGCCTGAACTTCTAACTTTGCAACTAAAGTTCCATTAAGGAAGATTTTGTTTTACTCTGCAGTAACACAGACGTCCACACTGTGGCCTCATTGCTGAAACTCTACCTCAGACAGCTGCCGGAGCCTTTGGTCCCTTATAGACGGTACCAGGACTTCCTTCTCTGTGGTCAGAAACTGCTAACTGACCGAACAAAGGTAACTATCTCAACATATTCAACAATGAGAAGTTAGAGGGTAACTTCTCTTTCGTTCAAACCCTCACAAGTTGAGCTGATGGTGTAGCAGGGATAGTCTGGAGGTTCAGACACTCGTGTTTGTAGAAAGGTCAATAACTCTTGTGCTTGTTTGGATGCCAATTTGGCTCAGTGATTAAAGAAATGCCCTTATTGGACGGAGGCTACAGGGAGCTTCATTTTTCAGGACTTGTCATGTCATCCGTCTTCTTGTGAAGCCTGGAGAGTAAATTAGGAGCATTGCTACTTACAGATGCAGGGCGGTGCAGCAAAGCGCAAACATGACCAAACCCAGAGAGAGGAAGTTCGACATCCTGCCACCTCAGAGCTTGTAATAATAAAAATAACAATAATGCATCAGATTTCATATAGCGCTTTATCAGAGACCCTCAAAGCGCTTTACATTGGATACATCATTCATTCGCTCACACAGTCACAATCTTAGTGGTGGTAAACTACCTTAGTAGTCACAACTGCCCTGGGGCAGACTGACGGAAACGTGGCTGCCATTTTGCGCCTATGGCCTCTCCGACCACCACCACACAACACTCACAATCACACACCAGTGGAGGACACACACTGGGAGCAAGGTGGGTTAAGTGTCTTGCCCAAGGACACAACGGACAGACTTGGGATAGGGGGGAATCGAACCGCCAACCTTCCAGTTATTGGGCGACCGCTCTACCTCCTGAGCTACTGCCGCCTTGTGCACAAACATTGATGATTACTTTAAGATTATCATGACCGTACATTTGTCCACATCACCAGCACCAGACAGTGAACCTCTTGAACATCTAGCCTTGGTATTTTGCTAGAAAAATAAAAAATAAAACCTTTTTTTCTTCCTCTCTTTTCACTCACTTTTCCTTCTCGCCTGCTAATACCCCTTTTTTCTTTTCTGCTTTGTTCTCCTTCAGGGTTTGGGAGTGTTGAGAAATCTTCTCTATGAGTTGCCAGTCGCAAACTTCAACTTGCTCAACTTCATCTGCCAGTAAGAACTTTCTTCTCGTTGGCTTGTTGAAGATTTTCGACAACAAAATAATGAGCGATGAGCCGAAGTTTGAAGTGTTTTCATCAGCATCTTCGGTTTCTGTGTGTGGACAGGTTCCTAAATGATGTCCAGAGCTACTCCAGCAGTAACAAGATGAGCTGCCAGAACCTGGCTACTGTATTTGGGCCAAACATCCTCCGAGCCAAAGCTGAAGACCCACAAAGCATCATGGGAGGTATAAGGGAATACTGACCCACAGTGGGATAAAAAATGATGAGTTAAATGTGAAAATATTGTCCTTTAAGAATACGATGAGTCTGAGTCTGAGTCAGGTTTCTTGGTCTTTGTCTTCCTTTGTCACAGGTGCAGCGCTGGTCCATGTCCTGATGTTGGAGCTGATAAGAGAGCAGGAGTCCCTTTTTGCGAGAGCCCCCCCATCCATCTCTGCACGTCCACCTCTGGGGTTGCGAGCCTCGCCAGGTGCTCTGAGACAACCTCATCTTCACCCAGTGCCCTGCCACCGCCAGCTGTCCCTGCCTCTGATCACTGAGCGCTCCAGAGAGACGGGACAGCCGGCTGCAGAAGCCCAAGACCAGAGGTAAAACAGACCAGAAACAAGAACGATGTTTGCTATGCTTGAAAAACATCTCTTTATTCTTTCGTCTTTTATTCATCCCAGGCCTACCTCTCTCGTCTCTGGCTTCTCCATTTCTGTCTGGGCTTGAACCATGCTTCACCACACATGCCGTACAAGAAAGCTTTTCCCGTGCTCATCCCATTTTTCACATCCATCCTGAATCTTCAGTATGATCTCGCATCATTACTCATTTTACAGTGTGTTTTTTTTTTTACATGTTTAATTCTTGACTTATTCTGGAAGCTTAACTTTCCTTTACTTGATTTCTGTAGCTGCACCTCCTCAACTGCAAAAGCAGATTTGCCTTTTAGCCAGAAGAGACTTCTCGGCCATCGCTACACCTCCTCCCATCCAGAGAACTGTTTCTACCCCCCACCCACCTCCAGCCAGCCCCAACACAATGTAGATTTCCACCAACACCATGCCGGCCAGAGATCAACCCCTGCAAAAGCATCTGCAGCAACCGTCGAGGTGCAAGACCCACAGCCACACAGCTCTAAGTCCAAATCCCTGCTCATGGACTTAGCAAACACCTGGCCAGAGACAGATGCCGGTCTATGGTGCACTGGTGCTGGAGAGACAGAGGTTGCAGTGCCAGGAACAGCCAGTGGTGGCAGCAGTGATGCTCAGGATGACAGCATTCTTTCTGTGTATGACAACCTGGATGGATCGTGTCCACGTGAGGGGTTGGCGGAAATCGGCAGAGGACATTTTGAAACTGACTGTCCAGAGGGATTCAATGAAACTTGTGGAGAGGAGGCGTGGCATACAAGAGACTCGTTTTCTTCATGGTCTTCCTGCGAGGTTCTCCCTCTAGACAAGAGCAGAGATGATGAGGACAAGTCTAGTCCTGATGTGTCACCAAAGAGACCTAAAAATGTCCCCTCAGGTCAGATATCAGAGGATGAAAACAACGAAGATGACGAAAATGAAGACATGAACAGTGATAGTAATGAAGACGATGAAGATGAGGATGAGGATGATGATGCCCATCCTAACTCCCCAGCATCTGGTTTGTTACTGAGCCCTTTGAGCACCGGTAGCTCAGAGGTGTTTCTCCCCTCTGGTCCTCCAGACGTCCAGGAGCACAAGTCTGAGTCAGAGTCCAGGGACGCTCACTTGCTCCTGGCTGAGCTGCAGCGGCAGATGGCCCGGCAGAAAGCCGAGTACCAGGCCAGGATACAGAGGTGAGACACCTACATGGTGTAACCCAGGTCCCACAGATTTTATATAAACCTACTTACTCTTTCACAGTCACACTGGGCCTAGGCACGTTAATAATGACAACCACACCGACTGTGTAGAAGCAATAATCCTCAAAGGGTATTTATTTATTTTCAAGTGGGTTTTTTCTCTTTCCTTTAGCTTCAAATTTAAATAATATTGCAAATTTTCATTTATGTCACAAATTACACTTATTGGCTTTGAAAGGGAATAAAAGAAAAAAAAAACAGGGACAGAAAATGTGTTTTGCTTTTTCACCTGCTATCTAAATACACAACCGGATTCAATATTCATACACCTAAAGCTTACAAACCCACCCACTCATCTCACCAACCGACCGACATACGCACACACAAAATGGAGGAAACTCGTTGCAGGCCTGAGGTCGAAGCTTGGGTGCGCAGAGGCCTAAAAACTAATATGGCCGCTTCACTCCGAGTGAAGCAGAAACAAAACAAAACGCACATGCACGCTCTGTACTCACTGATTTTTGGGGGGTATGGGTTAGTAGGGAATGGTCGGGGATGGAAACCTCATGCGGGGAAAGGGAAATGGTAATGGCGATGGCAATGGTGATGCAGGGAAGGTGGCGAACACACAGACGTCACACCCGAAGAAAAAGGGCAGCAGCAACGATGTCCTCATACGAAAATGCAACAGCAGGAACGTCGATTGGGTCCCGTCATCCACCTCTCTCCTCCTCCAATGTCTCTTAAACACATATTAAATACACTTGAATCACTGCACCACATGCTATTCCTGGCCGAACTAGCATTAGCTTCGTAGGCTCATCGCTAACTAGCATGTCGCTAATCAATATCTCGTTCATCCATCTCACACTACAACATATTAGTCACAGCACACTCATCACATTCACCTCTGGCCGTTCACGCTTGAAGCTTATATCGGATCCACGGTTAGTCGACCTCACAAAATAAACTCCTCCGATCCCGACGACACGTAAAACTTTCTCCGTTCTTCATCCTGACCTCGTCTCCGTTCTCTCTAACTGCGCTGCACGCGAACTTGCCCCGGTAATCCCACCCCCTTTTGCGGAAATACATCACCAATTGGCTATAACAGTCAGATGACAACCAATAAGAACGCGATACTGACATGACTGACACTTCAGAACAACAGGTTAGCTTGTACATACAAACGCTAGCAGACAACAAACGTGCATACCTTTTTCAACTATTTAAGAATTTTTTTACTGTATAGAATATCTTATTAAATGATACAAATTCTGCTTGTTCTTTCTTTTCTAATTTTTCATCCACAAATCTATTGTAGTTATTTATAGACTGGTATATACATATTTATTTAATTATGTATTTATTTATTAATCTATTTATTTACTTATTTATTAATCTATTCATCTATTTATTTATTAGATGAATTTGGAAGCACTGAAATTGAGTGATTTTAATCAGGGCTACAATGGGTTTTCATAACGTTTGATTCCTTCAACCTCAAAAAACTGTTTTCTAAGTGACACCTTTATGCAGATGATACGGGGAGTTATACCTCTATGCAGATGATACACATCTTTGATGTTAGCCAACCTGCAGCCTCTCAGTTTCTAATTTTTTTTTCCATTGGGCTGCTATGCTTTCATAAAAAAAGTCTTAAGTGGCTGCATGAATGTTGACAAGGTGCAGATGTCTGCAGAGGTGAAAAAGACCAAAGCAGTCATGGCAAGTTCACGAGAGCAACCCCCACTGGTACACCACGCATTGGTCCAGTATTTTCTGTCTGTCACAGTGGTAAAATTTCAGATTTAGTTAACTCAGTTGAAGTATTTTCTTTGTTGTGAAAGCCTGTGCTTGAACTACAGTCTGTGGTGTTTGTGATCTGCAGGTTGGAGCGCTGCAATGATATCCTGGAGCGGCAGGTGGCAGTTCTGCGGGTCAGTCTGGAGCAGCAGAAGCGCAGCCAGAGCGTAGCCGAGATCAAGATTCGCAACATGGAGCGAGCCAAAGCCGACGCCGACCTTCGAAACACAACTCTGCAGAGAGAGATGGACATGTTCTTCCAGATGTACGGGGAGTACAGAAGAGGAGATGAAGGCAGAGGAGGAGGGAGTCTCTGAGGATACAAAGAAATAAAGGATGGAGTTGTTTTTTGAAGAAATCAGTGGACAACCAGAGGAGAAGGAGGATTTTTACAGATTCAGTCTGAAAGGGATTGGATGGAGAAGGTAAAGGTAGATAATCTTCACTAGGAAGGTGTCCAACCCCAAAGAAAACCAATCAGGGCTTCACTCAGTGGATGAATTAAAGGGGTGAGACAGTTTCTGTCTTATCAGGTTGGGTAACGTCATGGTTTCTAGAAGAATGCCAGGAAGTTCAAATCACCTCGAGCAGTTTCAGCTGTTCGGAAACTTTTCCCTCTGAATAATGAATGTCTGAACTTCCTCAATCAGGGGGAAATTTAACCTCTGAACAAGATCAAGCCATGAACTTTACGCCTGTTAAAAAAACAGCTACCAAACTGTGTCTTTGAGTAAGATTGAGGCGAGGTACTCAGGTCTCTTTTAAGGAACCAATCCCTGTCCTGAACTGTTCTTACACAACTCAGACTTGTTTTTTTTAAGCATAACCTACTCTGCTTTTGCCTAAATGATAAGTTACATAGCTAACCAAATGTCATTATCATCACATTTAAAAGACTCAGGCTGTTTGTGTGTATTCAAGGGATTGTTAGAGCTGATACCACCTACCCTACTTCCTGGCCCCTGATGACCCCCAGACCTCGACAGAGGCAGTTAGGAGATGACACACAAACAAGGTTATCAAGTGGGCCCCTCCTCTCCTTGTTATTATTTTCGGCACACAACATTTTGATAGAGTCTGACTTTGGCATGAGATTAGCCTCCAAAAAAAGGAGGTGGATGTTTCTGTTTTCCATTTTTGAAGCATCAGAAAGTATCAACGCCCACTACATGCAAAAAAAAACAACAATAATCCTGTTCACTGTGCATGAAGACACTGTCAAAGTGAGACAACTCTACACCTTAATCATGCAATAAATTTTAACCTCTCATTTAGGATTGTATCATTTCTGTGTATTTTTTTAGCTTTAAAATGCACGTGCTCAATCAACCAGTCAAAGCTGGTCTCAACCAGACTCTAGACTGAGCCCCATCTAAGACCAGACCCTCTCCTGTCCCATCTTCAACCATCTGAGTGTAGACCTCTGCAGCATTTATCAAATTACAGAGGAGAGGAAGAACTTCCTTTCACAGGCAGAAACCTCGAACAGAACCAGACTCATGTTAGACAGTCATCTGCTGCATTAGATTGCATAAAGCAGGCAGGTCCAAAACATCTGCAGCAGGGACCCAGAGGAATCTACGGCATGGTGGAGCTCAGGGACTCCAAGTAAAGACTGCGTATTAGTGACTCTGATGTGACATGATCAAAAAGTGCTCAGTGTGCCGGTCTTAATCTATAGCAGCGTAACGAAGAGCCGAACCAGTATGAGCTGTATCTAAAAAGGAACATTTTGACCTTCATGTCAGTCGCAGCTAGAGTGTAATTGCAGAAGTCCTTTAAATATGATCATCCAGAATCTGAAGGACTGATTTTGTCTGTTATCATAAACACGTCTGAACCGATATGAAAGCAGGACTGTTACACTGCATGGTGAGCTGATGCCACCTAGAGGTAGCAATACAGTGCTGCAGATGACCTGGCATTTGACTGTTGAAATCTCTGCTGATGAATTAGACACTTTTCTTACAGAGTAAAATAAAGCAGCGAGTCTTGTTACTGTGACGAGAATGTAACATTTATTCTCAATCTACCTGGTAAAGAAAAAACTGTACAAACAAAAACAAAACATTTACATGATAAAACATGAGTATAATTCAGTCATTCAGTCCTACAGATTCACACGACTATACAGAGGAGGTTCAGGTGTGATACTGACATGAGGGAGATTTAAAGGGACAGTGTCACACTTTAAACACAGAGCACTTGTGAGCGAACGGTGGAACGGAACAGCAAAAACAGTCATATTCATGTTCTATTTCAGACTAACAGCAGAGTGTGTTTTCTCCTGTGTCCGCACAAGTTGTACAGAGAACTGACAACACCTAATGTACACCACGGCTGAGATACGGATGATTACGATCGGGAATGTTGTTACTGCATTAAACATAAATGCCTCCATTTGTTGTGTCATGTTAGGCATGGAATCAATGCTGCAAACATGGCGCTACTTCATAACATAAAAGTGCAATAAAAGTAATATCAATAACAGAAAGCACGGCACTACAGTTCATTCATCAGCTCTCTGATGTTTCACACTTTATCATGCAGAAACCCTGTAACAAAAAAGAGCCATTCAAAGGCAGGATGCAGGCACTTCAGGGGCGTTTTTTCCAGCAAATTCTGGGGCTAGTTTTTAAATTTGTGTCCAATATTTCAGTCATAATCAAAAAGAGTTAAAATCCTTCACTTTGCTTTTTTGCAAAAACAAATACATGCAAACTGCCTCTAAGTGGTCAAAGGTTTCTGCAGGATGCATCAAGCGTGCGCACCAGCAGCTTCTGAGCACCAAAACAGAAACAGAAACTGGAATTTAGATGCAAACATGTAAACTAGGAAAAACTCTGGGCATGAAAACATAAAAAAAACAAATAAGTGGAACATTTCAGAGAGCAGGAGCTAAATTTAAACAACTTCCTGAGACATAATTCAGTTTCTTTTTGTTCTTTTAGCTTCATTGGTTATAAACGACATTGCATAACTGGATTGACTGACTGTTCTCCTCCTGCTTAGTGAAATTTCCATCAGAGGACAAAAAAAAACTCTATGGTGAGATGGTGAGGAAGAGGATGTTTTTTCAGACTCCAGATTAGAAGATAGAGCTACTCTCTAAAGGGAATAAAGTGCAATAACAGTGGATCCTTTTAAACACACGTCATAATATACTCTTCCTTCAGTCAGTGGCACTCGTGCTCAGATTATCTGAGCTCAGGGGGGTTGACTCGTGCTGAATTTGATAACCTGACCGTGTCTTTATGCTGCCAGATGAAACACTTAAAACGGTGAAAGCTTGCAGAGGAATATTTGACGGCGACGCAACGCTGTGCATGCTCTAAAACAGCGAAAGCAGATGCTGAAATGCTTCATTTATTTTAGTCCTGGAATGTTTAGGTGGAAAAGACGGTTGGCTGAGTGTTGGGTTGTTATCTGGATGTTTTAGCTGCTTTCAAAGGTCCCATTAGATGATTGGAAAGAATGTAAACGGGCTGAGAGTTTTGAGGATTTTCAGACAGTTTGGCAGGTTTACCATTTGACTGTTTGCCAAATCGGAGTTTGTTTATGACCTGCTGCTTTTCTGACATCTTGTTGCTGTTCCAGATATTGTAATAAATTTGAAAAATACAGAGTTATTATGAGGAATAATAAAACGATCAAATCTGGACAGCTTGTGGAGCAGCTTGTGAGAGTAAGTTTTCATCTCATGGGACCTTTGGAGTCTGGGTTGCGGATGTAATGTGTCCTCCTAGAAGCCAGAGGGCGTCAGGATGTTCATATCTCTGGGTTTGAGCTTGTGCGGTCTCGATCCCTGCCGCCTGCTCTCCACTGTGGGGATCTCCATTTTCGGGGGGGCCACCGCTTGGGCTGGAGTGTTGACCAGTTGAGTGGTCTGCGCCTTCATTACTTCCATAGGGGTCGGTTTCTGGCTTCCACGGTAGGCCTGGAGCGCAAAGCCTGCTGGGTAAAGACAGAATGAAACAGCGTGAGATTAAAAGGGTTAAAAAAAACACGATCAGCTTGTGAGTTGAAGTGGTTATTTTTGTACCTCCAGTCTGAATTATTCAAAATGAGATTTACAAAACCTATCAGAGCCTCTTAGTGTGAAGAACAACCTGGTTTGAGGATTTAAACAGATCAACGTCAGAAAGGACGAGCGATTGATCTGGTCTGTCTTTTCTACGCTTCAATCTGAGCTGTGGACTGGATGTTGTATGAGCACAAAGACACTGACTCAGAGGTTTAATGTTTGACTGTAGAAGAGAACAGATTATTCAGTCTACATGTTATGGTTAGGGAGAAAGAACAGGCTGTGGCTGCGGTGTTTGTCTTTCCTGTGGGTTTTGAACGTTTTGCTCCAAAAGAAAGTCGACTATGTCTTACAGGAAAGCTTTTTTTAGGTACATTCAAAGATTCTGTCAAAGTACATCTTGTCCTTTAACTATTATTATCTCACCATGACAGTAACTGCCTTTGACTTCTCGCACCACCTCTTCTACCACACACACACGTGCCATCTACTTTAGCTGTCATCACATCTCAAAGACAGTTTTAGTCTTAAAGCATCAGTCTTCTTGAACATTAACCAAATACTCAGTCATCTTTTAACTACATTTTCTATCATTAACTTCATTCTGTTTGAGTGTTTTAGCATTTATCTGTTTCTACTTTTAAAGTCAGGATCGTCTTTGATTGAGCTACTTTGGTGCTCTTATTTCAGTATCTTTTTGGTTTGTGTTTATTTCATCTTTATTCATTATTTCTTACACTTCATTTTATGTTACTTTGTCTCAAGATTTTGACCAAGCCTTTTCTTTTTCTGTGTAAAGCTGCCGTGTATGAAAAGTGCTGTAGAATTAAAGATTGATTGAGTTTAAATAGGCACATAAAAAAAACACGGGATATGTGTAACCAAAGAAAAGGAGAGAAAGGCTGCAAAAGTTTATGCTCAAATATTTCAATCAAGACCACTTCGGCCAAAAATCAGATTTATTTGCAGGCAATATTTGGCTACTTGGATCTCAGAGCCCCAAAGCCTATGGTGGGGAGAGCAGCAGCAAAGACTCATGGGTACAGAACAAGCAGGTTGGACGGCAGTTTTTAGGGAGGGCGGGAAGTGTAAAGGTAATCCACTGAGGTCTTTGAATCAGCTGACGCCTGACTTTGTGGTCTGCATCTATTTGCTTTTGTGTATTGTGTTCAAATGCATGTTTATCTTGTTGTAATGCCTCTGTTGGCCCAGCAGGTGGCTTGGGTACTATGGTGTGGTAAGGTGAATACTTGCAGGTGAGCGGCCTGCTAGGTGAAAGCTCACAGTTTTCAGCCGGCTATGAGAATGAACATGAAATCAGTTATTTTTAATGCATGTGATCGTCATTAGATCTGTAATCCAGTAAGTGGCATATTTGCACATTTTTTCTTTTAAACATTTCAGAAAAAGTTTCAAGACATTAGTCAGACAGTGGTTAGAGAGAGCAAGCTTGAAGAAGCAGGATTTAAAAGATCTAAATACGATCCTTTTTGTCGTTCTTCTCCCAAATTAAATTGTCAGTTTCAAAAATTAAAACTCTGAGATTGGCTGTTAATGCCACGTTGAGAGCAATATAAAGTGCATTGGTCACAACAGCAGAAAAAAACCCCACTGAGCTTATGCAATTATGCAAAAAGCCAACAGAAGCAAATGCTGACCAGATTTAAATCTCCACGATACACGACACAGAAGTCTCCCATGAAAGAGCAGGACCCTCACAGAAATTATTCAAACATTCTGAATGAACTTTAATATCTAATTAAAATGAGTCTTCACAGTTTTGGTGAAATTTATGATGATGAAAAATGACTTCAACTTCAAATAACACTTCCTGCTCTGTGGTTTCCCAGTGTTTTGCACATTATTCAAATTCTCGGTTTGCCAATTTCTAAATAAAATAAACTTATTTTGAGAGCTCAGAATTCATTCAGATCTTAAATTATACAAGAAACAAGCTTTGATATTTCTCGACCTACCCAAAGTCATCCTGCTCAAAAGGTTTCGCTCGTTCTCAAAACAAACTGAAGCGCTCCACATGTCGAAACCTGAGTGTTGTTTTCCTGCATCAGTCAGATTGGACAGCTTCACACACAGAGCTCTGACTTTTATCCCCCCCAAAAATCTGGGGTTAGGTGCATGTTTGCTGATGGTCTGAAGGTTGTTTTTTCGCCTATTAACCCAAATCTGGAGCATAACCGCTTATATAACTAGTCATAGAAATTTTAACCAAGTTTCAGTTTGTACCAAGACAAACAGAGCGGAGGTCACCTGGGTTTTTAGCACATAGGTCTCCAGGCAGCAGGAGGATTTTGGCTCTAAGGTGCATCTTTAATACTAAACACAGTTGATCGTAATACTGTCAGTGTTGATCCTTTTATATCTTTTGACATGAAAACAAAAACTTCCACTAAACTTCCACTCTTGTTGTGATAAATGTACGACAAACATTGATTGTTGCTGCCCCCTCAGTCAGGTGACACTGTTTACCTGCAGCTGTGGAGTCTGATCCCAGGTCAGATGTGGACTTGTGTACGTGTGGCCGTGGACCAAACACGCTCCAGCGTTCGACCGGGCCTCCTGTGTCTCCTCCTCCTCCTCCTCCTCCTCCCATGTCTATACTGCTGTTAGAGGAGCTTATGCTGATCTCTGATCCTGTGCTGCTGAACCAGCTCCTACAATAAAGCAACAAACAGAGTGTAAACCTGACCTGGTTACAGATCTTCTGGTGTTTATCTTACATCCAGGTCAGTACTAAATCACGTTCTGCGATAAAGTGAATCCTGCAGGACAGTAAGTACTCAGAGTGTGTGTGTGTGTGTGTGTGTGTGTACCTGCGGAGCTGTTTTGGGGAGGTGTGTGGCGTGTTGGAGGGAGTTGACTGGGAGGAGGTGCTTTGCCGCTCCTCTCTGGCCTCCAGACTCTGGATCTGCAGTTTCTAAACAACAAAAACAAAAAGTTCCGTTTCAAAAGATCTGGTCAGGACAAAGTTTGGAAAAGTTTTTTTTTAATTTTTTCGCCAAAATGGAACATTTGTAACTGAAAGGGATATTCTGGCAAGAGTTTAATCATTTTCATTATAATAATTATCTTGCCCTGCAGACACGGTAGTTGGAGACATAGACCGCTGTGTATTGCTATCATGTGGTCGTTGCTGAAGTTGGTGTAACTAGAGAAGCAAGTGGTCTGCAAAATTCATCTTGCAAGAAAATGCGACTAACTCAGTGTTATGGTGTGTTTGACCACGACTAAAACTTATGCTGGAATATCCCTTTAATGACACACCAACAAGTCTGTGAGCAGATTGATTTCTTCCCCTCTCCTTTAGTTGTTTTAATTAGGTAAATAAAAACATTTTAATCGTGTCTTTATCTCTAAAAACTGTTAAGAATTAGATTACTGCACTGTGCATAAAAAACGTTTTTTTTTTTAAAAAGACACAAAAAGGGAGAAATTTCAAAGAATTGCTGCATTGATTGCTGCATAACATGATTTGTCTCCAAACTAGAGGAATTATCATTTTATTGTTTATTATTACTTCAAAAATTTGCAAGAGCAGCGTAAGAAAAAGCAACTTTAACAAACCACTTTCTGCAAACATGCAATTACATAATCAAAGACAAATAAATCAAATATTTTTGCCAAAAGGAGCTTCTTTGTGTCACAGAGTCAGAGCGCTCGATCCGTCCTTTTTCACTTTATTTTTATAAAACCTGAGTGGAAGTTAAAGAAACTTTTTCAGAGGGACTGAGCGGCTGGTTTGTTGCTCTCAGCAGTCAGTTTTGGACTCTGAATGAAGCGAGGAGTGTTTTCTGTTTCACTGCTGCAGTATTCACAGAGTTCAAAACCTCCAGGAGTTCTTTTGTGGACCAGGTCTAACTTTCCTGAATGCTGTTCGGATTTGTCAGGTCTTATGCTGTCAGCTTTAAACCATATATATATACAAACATACACACACACTGGTGTCTCCTCCTCTCCCTCTTCATTCAAGGTGAACCCAAATGCAACAAAGGCTTCATCGCTCGTCTTTGACATCTTTTCAGTTGGTTATTGTCACCTGTCTTGGTCGTCTCCACTCTGCTAGGGACTCTTTGAATTAAGCTTTGTCTTGGTTGTGAACATGAAGGCTGGTCTGTGCATTTAGGGCGTCTTACCTGGAGCGACTCAGGAATGCGGTGGTGGTGTCTCGTCTCTTCGGCAGTGAGGCCTTTGTGGGGCGTGTAGCTGGTGTCAGTAAGCCCCACCCTCTGCTCAAACTTGTACATGCTATCATGCGTCTGCTCTGGAGGAGAAAGAGGGAAGGATAGAAGCATGACTTTCTATTCTTTAAACTTATTTTGTTTGAAATCTTCAGCATTTACTCTGTAACATACTGGTGATGAGGGAGTTCATGATGACAGACGAGGCCTTGGCTTTCACTACAGTCGGTGATTTGGAGGGATTGCTCTCGGGTACAACCGGCTTACTGACGACCCCGCTCTCATCCTCCTGGTGGAAATAAATAAAACCGACATTATTATCCAGGTGTGTGTGTGTCTGAGTGGTATGAGTGTGTGTGTGTGTGTGATGTCTAACCTCAGCCAGGTAGGGAAACTTCCTCTCAGGTATGATGGGTCGTCTCCACAGGTTGTTGATGCTGATGTCATGAGGGGGCGTGGACATTGGGGCCTCCAGGTTGTCGTCGTAGCTGAGAGCTCGCCGGGTCATCCCGATGGGGAGCTTCATCCCGCCCATCCCAGACCCCTCGATCGCTGAAGAGACAAACGGACACAGTCAAAAACCGCTTCGAGTCCCGCCCTCCCGGATGTTATGATATGACTGATTTCATGCAGCATTTCTTTGGTCGTGGTTCTTTCACTGTCAGTAACCGCAGATTTCAGAGGAAACCAACAGAACTTTTAGGATTCTGTATGACACACGGGTAGGGTTGGGTATCGTTTGATTTTGAACGATTCCGATTCCAATTTCGATTCCTCATTTCGATTCCGATTCCTATCGATTCTCTAATTCGATTCTTTTAAAAGGCAGGATATCAAAAAGAAAAAAGAAAAAAAAAAGCATGGTTTGAATGAGGGTGCTAACCGGGGCTCTTCTTTTTGGATGAAATTTCTGAACTTCTCCATGAATTTTTAAATCCTATTAACTTTTAGGAACTTTACTATGAATTTCTCACAGAGCTATTTTCAACCAGTATATAAATATCAACTTTTGTTTTCAGGTCGTTTGTCTATGAAAAAGTACAAGGGCTAACGTTAGGTGGATATTTAAGTAAATATTTAAGAGAGACAGAGAGAGATTGTAACCCACAGCGGCTGCATTGCTGTGGGTTGCAATGTACTTTCTCTCTCTGTCTCTCTCCTCTCTCTGTGTGGCTTCGTCTCATACGCTCCGTCCTCGTTGGTGTTAAGCGGCTTCTTCTTCGTTGATTTTTGGCGGCTATTTCTTCCGGTCGGCGGACTCTGGCATCGAAACTTGGAATCGAAATTTTAATATTTGAACGATACCGGAAGAATCGAAGTTTTAGTCCCGATTCCCATCGATTCTCGATGACACACAGGGCGAGTTTGTGATTACTGGATCCTCTAATCCACTCAGATTTATCTACAGTGAGACAATAATCTGTGTAATCCTCTGTTTGACTGTGTGTATGATGCAGCATGTTGAACGACACTTTTCTGGGTCTTTCTTGACTCAACCAGGCAGAGAATCAGAGTTTCTGTTCATTCTTTTTAACCTCACAGTTATGTAATAGGGTTTCTCTAGTTTATGTTTTTCCAATTACAGCTTCCCTAAACATTTAAAAACTCCAAACACAAACCAAAAAAATTCAGCTTCTTTCTTAAAACTCCACAAAAGTCTCTCAAAATGAAACACACGGCTCAAAATCATGTCCCTTCTTTTAGAAGTGGTTTCTTCCACCAGAGTAACACACAGCTGGTAAATACTTGTGTCTTACAGAACATCAAATTAGTCCTTGACTGAACCGTCTCGACCCCTGCAGCAGTGAAATCTCACCTGGTAACTCTCCTGAGCCTGACATGATCCCGGTTTTAACAGAGAAGGAGATGAACCAGGACAGGACCTGAAAAAGACAAAGAGAGGTTTCATGTTACAAGTCATGAAGACAAAACGACACAAAAGAGGAAAAGGTTCTCAGTGAGAGACACACAGAGTCCAAAACTAAAGATGATGGTCTACCTTCCTGCTGTGCGGCTGTGAGGTGGGCTGGCTGGAGAAGTGGCAGTGGAGGTGTTACATTGGCCCGTCAGAGACACACAAAGTTCTAAGGCAATGCATTATGGGTAAGCAGCTAGGCCAAGGAAGCAACTAGAGAGAACAGAGGTGAGAGATGAACTTTCAGACATTTGATATCAAAAAAATCTTTCTTTACACCTGAAGACAAATCATTTTTAAAGAAGCATTTTAATTGATTTAATTTCTGGTCAATGTCTGCTTTGCTGTTAGTTTGTAGACATTTTTGTGACACCCTTGTTTGTTTTTTTCAGCTTTCATGTTTGTTTTACAGTTTGCATTATTTGCCTTTTACTTTGAATTTGCCATGGCTGTAAGTCCTATAAGCAGAGCAGCAGATGCACTTCGGATGTCTTCATGTATTGTCCCTGACAAACACACTGATGAAGAAATAAACATGTGTCTGCTGATACCAATTCAAGTCTTGTATTTGCCTGAATCACACAGCTGCACACTTTTTTTATTCACAAATAGAGCCTAACCTTGTGAGGACCGACTAACCAAAAGATCCTTCTGGCTTCTTTCATTTATTTAACTTAATCTCTAAAGTGGAGGAATTAATCCAGAGAGACTCAGTGGTGACATAGTAATGACGTCAGAGCTTTAAATGTGTTTTAAAACTAAGAACAGACACATCATGTTTTAAATCTCAGTGCTGAAAATGGTTGGACATGCAATCGATCCAAAGTCCAACAAAAAAATTGAATCTCGACCGTTGAGGTTTTCCACAGAGATTAATTCAACCAGCTTCTTCATTATATTTCTGGCCTTTATGGGCTATCATACAAATATTCTCCTTTTTAAAATCCAGATTTTGCTGTCTTGGCAGAGCAGCTTTTCCTCTGCAGCTTTAGTAAACTTGCATGCTTAGCTTTTGCAGGTTGCATTAAATTGATAGAGTTAAATGCAGCCGCTCTACTGCTTTAACAAATTATCATACTGCCATTAGCTTTTGACCTGATTTTGCTCTCTAGTGGTTTATGACAGCTGAGTGAAGAGCGCGATCATTACTTCACGTAAACCGTCCCTGATCAGTTTTAAAAGTACTGGAGGCTGACTGAAATATTGGTTTTCCAGCAGCTGATCACCAATATATAATGCCGGCAGCACATGGGTGTTTTTATTTTTGCATTTGATGGATAACATTTCATGATAAAAAAGGTCTTTAACCAATTTAAGAAGGATTTAAACACATGAGAGACAATTATAGGTTTCAGTGGGAAGGCATGACAAAGCTTTCCCTCTGTCATAACCACAGACATTCTTTGGTGGTAACCAGCAGATGCCTGCAGGATTATTCCAGAGGATGACGGCACACAGGCTGGATTACATAACACCTGCTACTGCTGCTGCTGCTGCATCATTGATCAACACCACAGGCTGACCTCAAAGTGAAACATTATACCCTGTCTTAAGAGTTTCACTGAGAAAGCCTTGGAAAAAAAAACGCATAAGTGCACTTGCATAGTAAACGGACTGGCAATTACATAATTTACATGACTGCTAGAAAAATGGATTCACTGAAAGTGACGGTTCATTGTCATGCAAGATATTGGAAAAATGGTTTGTGTAGTTAATGTCTTTGCAGTGTCAGTGTTGTAAACATGAAGAAAAATCTGTGAAAACACCCCAAACTACACAACGAAACACACAACAGTTCTGTCCTCGACAACATAACAGCTTGACAAAACCTCACTTTGAAATTCATTATTTTAAGGTATTTTAAAATGAGGATAATAACACTGTCGCTGATTTTAGTTGTCAAATCTTATACAATAGCAATGTACATTCAACCCTTTTATAAACCTCAGATAAAATCATTTTTGTCCAAACAGGATTTAAGTGTGTTTGCATACGATGGAAAAAAATAGGAGTCGCTATGAAAACGTCCTATATTTAAAAACAGACTCTTCTACTTCCAAATTCCCTTTGCCGAATTTAAGTATCGCTACTAAACAACCGTAAAGTATGCAAGCTTGAGTTTCCAGTGCCAAAATTTCAACTAACAAACGTTACTTCGTTGAATCATCCATTTTTCGGGGGTAGTTTTGTGTCAGCTCGAGCCCTCAGAAATAGCGGAATCAGATGATGAAGGACGTTACGATGTCAAACAGCTGATGACAAAATGCTTCAGAACGATTCGTTCTCAATGTAATCTGACTTGACTTTTCTTACCTGAGGAAGATAAAGCTTCACGACGACGACTGAGACATCGGTAACCCTCCAATGTTAGCCGAAGAGCGGAGAAAACGACAGCAGAATTGGATGGTAGCCATTATTGTGTCCAATGAATAATAGCAGCTCCCTCAACGGATATCACGGTACATTGCGTTTGCAGTTCCCGTTGGATCTCGCGAGAGTGAACTGAGGCGCAGCAAGTCAATGCTATATTAATAATAAGTGATGATTATACACAAATAATATTTAATAGGCAAAACGCTATGGATTAAAATATTATGCAAACTAATTTTAACTTTAAACCACATTCATTTTGCCTGTTTTGAGGGCTGTAAACTACTGCGACTAATCTACAAAAAATGCCTTTTAGCACTTTTATTTCATATCTAAATGGAACTTACACTAATATTGATTTATGAGCTACTTTTCTCAAACCTGATCTTATAGATAAACCGTGTTTGTGTTGTTTTGTATGTGATTTGTCAAAGAGGTGTTGCTGTAGGTAGCCTATGTTACAGATCTCCATGGCTGGACATAAGCAAACACAGATCTAAATGGAGAGGAGAAAAACTAGCATCTACGTAAAGTAAAGCGTTGATATTTAAAAGGAGAGGAAAATAAACAACATAAGAATTTAAAAAGGCTATTGCATATTCAGCATGTAGCTACAATTCTCATTTACATTTACTGTGCATATTCACATACTTCGTAGTGGGGAACACAAACCTTCATGTGGTCTTGTTCTGACTGAATGTGATGATGATAACATAAAGTCATTAGATAAGTAAATATTATAAAGATAAAAAAAAAAAACATAATTGTCTCGTGTGTCCACATGAGTCCCCCATATTGGGGACGCCCTCTGCTTCGAACCAGGAGCCGGTCTTCAACCAGAACACACGGCTCACATTAGGGTGTTAGATGTCTACCACACTGCGCCACCGGAGACCATGCACAGTTGGGGATGAGCTCTGCGTGCTTTTATCTTGGTACTTTTGCTCCTGGACTTTGAAATTCATCCTGAATAAGGTTTCAACCCATGACCTCAGGAGTCCCAGTCACATGGCCTACTATAAGGATATAGAGGTATACGTTTGTCCACAAGGGGGTGCCAAACTCCAGACAGAGGCTTTAAATAAATTATTGCTAAATCAATTCTGGAGTAAAATCACTTTATCCCTTTAGTACATTCATAGTACTTCTCAGTTAATAATAATAATAATAATAATAATAATAATGATAATAATGATAATAATAATAATGAAGAAACCAAAAGCACAAATAATCAAAAAGATTAGGGAGTTAACATCAGCAGCTTTTTTCTTAAAATAAAAACAAAAACAAACACAAGCTCCAACTTTCAATTGCAATTTATTTCAAGGATTATGATGAAACAAAATAACAGAAGTGTAAATAGATTTAAAGACTTCTTTCTCCCTTCAGGTTAATCAATCACAGAGAAGCTGATAAATCCATTGAGTTTGTGGTTCAGAGCGCCCTCTGCTGGACTCAGACACTCACAGCAGCTCAGAACAGTTTTCCCCTCACTCCAGACAAGGACTACATCCTGTGACCTCTTAACTGTTCACAAAATCTTCAGATATAATACTTTCTTTTTTTCCTTTCTGTTAAATAAAGCCTTTTTCTGTTGGTATATGAAGGTTAGCATGACTCGAGGAAATCTTTCAAAGCCAGTCTTGTTCCTGTAAAGGAATATTGTCTTAATTTTAACTGAATCAGTGATTTGACAACACATTTTTACAACTTTAAGAGGTAGATTAAAACTCCAAAAATGTTCATGAACCCACTTTAGTTTTCGTTGTTGTAAAGATAAAAAACAGATTTAGTTCAAAACAAAAAGAAAAGAAGATGAGACCATGAGGCTTTTATCGTCCTCCTCGTCAGTGTTTACCTCCGGAGCCAGCCTCTCCCGTCTTGTTACGCCGGCGTCTCAGGATGACCTCCAGCTCGCTGTCCTTCTTCCCGGGCGGTGACGGCCCTGACTCCTGAGATCCTCGGCTGGGACTGCGCTTCACCGTCTCCTGCGGGAAAACACAACCGTCACTGCAGAGACTTGACTGTCCGCCAACACAGATTAAGATTAAGATTATTTTTTATCCACATGTTAACGGTTGTGTAAACCTGGATAATCTGACCTATTTTAACTAATGAATTTACTTGTTCTTGCACCTGCAGCTGGATTTATCGATGGAGGTGAGACCCCTGGTAGGGCTGACATAATATCAGATTTTCCTGTCATGGAAAACTTGACGATAAATAAAACATCTCCATCAGTAAAACCGAGAGTGGAGCATGTTTTTATTCATGTCTAAAAATATTCAGATTTATGATCCATCATCAGCTATCTGACTGAAGATATTATTTAACATTTGTTTGTCATGCTTTTATTTTGGTATTTTATTCTGTCCTGTGATATGAGCTTTTATTTTGAAGCGCGCTACTTCTGAAATGTGGCGAATGCAGTTTCATGTCGCCAGTGTAAAGGAAAGATGGTTTCTGTGGACACAGTAATATCCTGACAGCGCTGATGTGGTGTTTAAAGAGCTAAAAGGCAATAATATTAACTTATTAAAGCTCCTGTATGGAGTTTTAAACTCATCTGGAAGCAGACCGTCCCCTCAGACCACACCTCTTTATCAAAGCTGATGTTAGATCCTTTTACCAGGATGCCTTTCAGTTCCTCCATGGCGCTCTCCTGCTGCTGCTGCTGCTGCTGCTGCTTGTCCTCACAGGCCGCAGGCGGCTGGGAAGGAAAAGAATACGAGTTTATTCAGTATGTTCAAGAACCTGCATTTAAGACGCACTTTAAAAGATGGAAACGGCAGCTTTTCAGCAGAGAAATGACGGGGTATCTGATTTCCAACAAGGCCATATCATGTCAAAAACGAGCACAACCAAATTATTTATTTTATAAGGAAAAATAAGTGAGTTCTGCTGGTCGTAAAAGTTTAGTTGTTACTACAAAGCTTTTGCAGCAATTTGATCTGATTTAATTTCGACATAAACTCAGAAATCTCTGAATATTCAACCAATTTCATGGCAGACTGGGGACGAGCCAATTCAGGATGTCCGACACTAAAACCCCCCGCCATCTTCATGCTGTGATTTATAAGGTTTCCTGACATGCGTCACACTTGGTTTTGCAGTATGAAGTTATTCTTTGTCTTTGTTTTTGGACGCTCCGTATTGGCGCTTAGCATTTCTTAGCATCTCGTGCCAAATGGGACACCGTTCGCGCCGTCGTGACGTCATGCACGCTTCAAATGCACCGTTCGACGTTGCAGAAGTGCACTTAGCTCGATGCGGTCTCTGAAATGAGACACAGCCTCTGTGTCTGTATGCCAGTGTCTTCAGTGTTTCCATGTGGTTTTTCTCCCAGTGTCTTTTGTTGAATTGTGGATTTTTGGTTCATTTGGATTTTGCCTTTTTTTTTTTTTTTTTGATTTTTGAGTTGGACCTCGATGGACTTGAATGGGCTCTGTTTTTTTTATTGTTACAGTTCTCTTGTCTTTTTTCTCTTACTTTCTTCATCTCATTCTTCCACACTTGTCTTCTTTTTTAAGAAAGAGTCCTTCAGTGAGAAACTTAACTGTCTTCAGTAGCTGTATGCATATGAATAGGATCATTTAAGGGGCACAAACCATTTATACACCAGACTCTGCCATATACTGAGTGGTCCAAAAAACTAAAGGAGGGCTTCATAGTCCGTTTTTATTTGTTTGTGAATTCTAAGTGTGCTGATGATAATTCTGTCCATGCTGTTTAAATGGTGGCCCCTGGTGGATGGAATTGTCAACTACAACTGAATGGCTGGCAGGCTAATTAGGGACAGGTGTGTCTGATCATCACACGAGCAGCATGTTGTGTTGTGGGCATGTTCACATTTCCTTTTAACAAAACCCAGAAAGAGTTTGGCTTCCCAATGAGAAACATCCACTGAAAGAAAAGTCATAATTCAGAAACAAATTAGTAAAATAAACTCAAAACAAAAACCTTGGTGCACCCAGTCAAGCTAATTGATCCTTTTATTCAACCTTTCAACCTAAAAGGAAAACTCAGACATGTAAACAGCTAAAAAATCACTGAATGGGGTGTTTAAGACAGCTTTGACAGTCTCAAAGGGAATAAGTGTATGACGTTTTATGTTTTATTTAATTTAACACCAAGTTTTTCACTTCCAGCAGCTTGACAAACAGTGTCAGACTCAATCTACTGTATAAACTGACCACCAAGCTGAACTGTATGACGCTTCTTCACTCCACTGTAACAAACAGCAGGTCACCATGTCCGCTCCCGGGCTCAGAGGAGGAAAAAAGTCCCACTACACCTCAGTGTTTTTGTGCAACACAGCCACACCAAAATAGAGCCTTAAGTGCGTGTCTGTCACACTGTCCCCACCTCGCTGTGATGGTGCTGGTAGTTGTGTTAGTGTGACAGCAGTCGCCACAACTCCTCCCCTAAGTACAAAGCTGTCAGCTCCACTGTTCCTCATCCCTTCACTTTGTCTGCTGCTTGGAGCGAGAGTGGCCTGAAGTCATCTTCAGAGCTGCTTCAGTGCCTTTAAAAAAATGCAGGAAACATTAAGCTGGAAGTGAGCGGCGTCGCCGGCAGGCTTTCTGGCCGCTGAGAGCAGAAAAGTTTTCTTTATGTGTTTAAAATGAGTTTTAGCAGGAAGCTGCAGACTTTATCAAATCAGTTTCTGTAGATGTTTTATGGGACTTTTTTTTAACAACACTGGGCATAAATTAATCCAACCTTAAGGACAAAGGGCCAAGTAACATGAAAAGTTTTTAAATCAACTAAATACTAATTTGAAGTAATTTCCCACTGCTGGACAAAACATTTTAAACTCCTCAAGGTCTGAGCAGCTCTGATAAATAACAGGTAGACTGATCTAGTGGTCAACCCTGGTTTTCACTCCTGTTTCTAAAGCAAGTGACCACCATCACAGCCATCCAGGGGTTCAGCTTTTCCAGTTATAATTGTCTCAGTTCCCAGCTGATGTTCTCGTTTTGTCCACAAGGGGGCTCTAAAAATCAATATGAAGACAATTTTTCACAAGAGACATTTAAACACACGAAATAAAACAAACAGAATTTCAACTTCTCTGGTCTGAAGTTTCACTTTATGGTAACAAGTCCAGAGCAAATGTGAGATTAAACAGTAACACATTTTAAATTATCTTACACCGAAGACTGATGAACCGCTCATTAAATTCATTTGTTACAAAGTGTTAAAATCCAGAACTTCAGCACAAAGCAATTACGTTCCTCTGATATGTTTTCTTTCAAGTCTTCAGGTTTTATTATTGAAAATGTTCAATCTTCTTGTCATTATCTGTCTTTTTGATGATACACTGGTGGAATTAAAGTCGAAATAAAACCTGCTAGGAGAAACAAACAGTGGAGGATGGATGAAAACACTCGGGCCTCTCAGGGATTGTGTATTGTCTAAAATTGTCTAAAGGTCACAGTGTCTGTGTGTTTTCAGGACTCACAGCTCTGGTCTCTGCAGCTCCTAATTGGCCTTTAGTCTCCTGAAGCGGATGTGTGTGTGATCTGGCTCGTGCATCTGCCCGTCACCATGTTGTTCTAAAGTCCTGTCAGTCTCAAGTGACCTCAAGTGTATTTTCAAATAAAAGGGCCATCTTCCGGCCACAATGTCTGCAGACAAGTGCCTCCGATCTCAGGCTGGAGGCCGGCTCGGTCCCACGGCACAGAACAGGAGCAACTTCTGAAAAGAGCACAGGGCTTCATATTTGCCTTTTTCAGATTTTCACCCATGACTGTCTCCACACCTGATCTCCTATTCAGCGTGCCCCCCCCCAAAAAAAAAATAAAAAAAAAAAAAATAAATGAAATAAAAATAAATAAATGAAAATAAATAAATGAAAATAAACACCAAAAAATTAAACAAAACCCCAATTTCAGATAGAAAGTGACAGCCCATCAACACAGTTACAGCAGATGGCTGTTCAACACGAGTCTGGTTCTGCTCAAGGTTTCTGCCTGTTTGAAGAAGCAAACTCTTCTGTGATCTTAGACACTGCTAAGTGTTCTGCAGTGATAAAACTAAGTCATGTCAAAGTTGGATCTATGCTGGAATAGTAACTTTGAATTAATTGGCACAACAAAAATAAAGACTGATCAGTTAAGTGTTCAAAGGAAGACTCTCTAGTTGGGCGTATGTGGAAAAAGACTCCAAACTTCTTATTTTTGATTCCTACAATAAGATTTTCTCTCTTACTGTATTTCAATATTATTACTTACTAAGAGTTATTTTTTTCACATAAATACATATCACTGATGACCATGTTGCTAACTTTCTCCAACATCTTTTGATTCTTTACTCTTACTATCCAAATTTCTTAGCAATCTTTACTTTTCACAGTTTCACATGTTGTTGTCTGACGTTAAATCTTTGTTGTGGTTTTTGCACTCACTGTTGTCAACTTTTTTACATCGTGAGCACTTGGCGCTGCTTTTTTAAACCTAAGTAAAAGGTGATTTGTAAATAACGTTGATGCGAGTCGAGCGTTGCGTCTCTGTTTTGCCGACATGACTGTCTTTTCACGCTCATCATTGAGCTTTGTTGTGGACATGATGAGAACAGGACTTGAAAGTTGTGTTCTCTTTCATTACACTGGGACTGACTGGATGATGAATATGGAGTCAATGAACTGAGCGATGATGCATTTAGGGACACTGTGAAGAGTGTACACAAAACAAATGACTCTTTAACTTATCACCTCCTCCCCGTGACTGTAATCACACTGAGACAGGCGACAAATGCACACGCAATTAAACAACTTGTGAATGTCTACATCAATTAGTTCTCATTGTACAGATTACCGCCTCGGCCCTGCAGCTATGGATGCACAAACATGCACCCAGAGGTTTGAGCTCCATCTGGGCTGCCTGTCACATATGAGCGTGCCTCTTTGAATACGGAGGCGACAAAGCTGCTGATGGCGGATATGTGTGAATACGAGGCCACGTGCGTGCATTTGTTTGCGTGATAACCTCTGTGGAAGCAGTCAGCTCTTTCTTTCGCAGTGACTATTAATTAAACCACATCTCTGCAGTGCGGACAAACACAGGGATATCTCAGTTACCTATGTGGTCACCTCTGACTATTATCTAATAAGTAAGATTTTGTCTGCAGAGTGACTATACACATATGTCCAAGCAAATCTCTTGCCAAGATAGCCAAATAAAGACTGTATGAATGTAAAATGTGAGTAGTTGGTTTTAATTCTGTGCATTTTATTTTGTTTGTCACTGACTTTATCTCATCGTCTAACATGCCAGATCCTGTTTGAATGTTCTCCTGCTGAAAAAAATCGAAGTGATACACCATCTGCAACTAATCCTGGCAATTAAAATCGTTAATTTTTAATGTAAGTGACCACAGAGCGGCTGCTCATTTGAATAGACAAAAATGACATGAGGAGTTCCCCAGGGCTCAATCCTGGGGCCGCCTCTCTTTAACATTTACATGTTCTCACCGGCTCAGATTACACAAAACAACAAAATGATGAACTGTAAGCATACACAAGTATTTATAACAATGCTGCCATGGTGATGATGGCTCCCAAGCTGATCTTTGTATTGGCTCTTTGACTGTATTTTGTGAAGCACTTTAAGTTGCCCTCTTGTCAAAATGTATTAAATAAATTAACTTACCTTGCCTTTATTTCTCTTCTTTGATTGATTTACCAAATAAAGTCTTTTTCAAACCAAACCCTGACAAAAGTTATCTGAGGAGACTTTACAGAAGACGCAGGTCCAGACAGGGCCGTGTTACATTATTTATGGAGACACATTGTGAATCCACCGTGAGCGAACGCTTTCCTGTCCGTCTCTTTGTTAGATGTCTGACAAATTCAGGCGTCACCGGTTCGGTGAAACATTTATTTTCCTCCTTTGTGATTTTCAGGAGGAGTCACATAAATAAATGATCAAAAATGAGAAACTTAACTTCTCCTGCGCACCACCACTCCCCCCCCAATCCCCCCTGAGAGATACCTCAGTGGGGTTCAGAGCTGAGGCTACATGAAGTGAATTATGTATCATCTCTGTCTTAGCATGAGCTCATCAGGCCACAAGAAGGGGGCAACGTGCGACCGGTACTGGGAAAAAACTGGAGGAAAGATTCAAATAGCTTGACTTTATTATTCATGGCGGATAAAACTGGGCATCAAAAATATTATGTACACAAGCCTGGTCCCTGTGCACACATACCTGCACCTGGATAAAAGAGTGTGAGGCCTCAGTTCCGCCTTTCATTTGTTTTTAATGCCGCTTGTCGGTCAACGTTCCAGGCGGCCCAGAGGAGCCTCAGATTGAGAAACAAATAGAAATCACAAGCCAGTTTTGTTGTGAGTGCCTCAGGGTCTTATTCATTTCCTTTTAACTTTCCCATTTTTTCTCTTCGCTGGCTCACTACAGCGACGGCAGTGGCGGCTGTGTGCAGAGAGCGACAGTCGCAAAATGCTGTTAGCTCCCAAATGAAATCACACAGAGCAGGCTGCCCGCTGGCAGATGCGGGACGCTTTGCCCTTGAGACACGAATCCTGACACGAAACACTTCGTTAGCTCTCTGGAGAGCCGCCAATAAAGCTACATCCACCTCCTTTTTCCTAAAAAAGCTAACACTCTTCATCTCTTTCATAGGAATAAATCTCTGTTTTATGCAAGATGAAAAATAAGGACGAGCTGTTTGCAGAGCTGCTCAGATTTTTGGTTTGGATCGCTCTAAAACGGCATCAGTTCTGGCTTTCGTTTCCTTTATCCATGTTTTTGTTTAGATTGTAAACATTTGGTTTGGTCTGTTTAGGTTTTACACTCATTATTGCAAACAGACAAACAGACTTTACGTGAAATGGTCATCAGCTACGTGGTTAGTGTGTCCCTGTAGTTTACGTTGATCGGTCGTTTGACCGGCGGGCGTCTAATGTCAACATGAGTGAAATAGTCAGTCCCACCATTGTTGATTTTCTATTACCAACAGGAATAACTTGGAGAGGTGAACATGAGGCTGGTCCGAATTTGATCTTTAGACAACGACTTTATTGTTGTTGTCGACAGGAAAGAAGAAGAAAGTATGCAGTCCTGCGAACCATTGCAACACCGACTTAGGAGAGAAAGTACGTGTTGTAACACTCTTGAAAAGTTAAGCTGTATATACTGAGGAACAACTTTATCCACAATGTCATAAAATTTCCCGCTCTTGGGCAATCTCTGTTCACACTTCTATTCCTCGTGTCATTTTCTGTCTTTGGTACGAAGGTCCGAACCTTTCAAAATAATTCGTACGCACTGGGCTTGAACCAGATCGTGGTTCAGTTTGGTTTCGGACTGAGAACACCTCTTTTGGTCGGACCAAGGTCCAGCAGTTTGAAAGTCTGGACCAAACAACGTATAGGTGTGAAGGCCCCTTAAGTCAAGTCTCCAGTTTATTGCCAGGAGTCCAAGTCAAGTACCAAGATTTTAGCCATGAGTCCAAGCCAAGTGTCAACTCTTGGGCCAGAAGTCCAAGTAGCATAATAACCTAATTTATTTCTGTGCAGCATTTTCTACAATAATCTTAATGGTCTAGATGCTACTTCAGCACAGGAGAGGAAGTCTTGGCTCTCAAGTTCACATTCATTTTCAGCTGCATGTATTTCCTCTTGTTGCTGGACCTTCACTGCGCAAAGGTTTCAAGATTGGACTATATCTAATGCCCAAAGTCAGACTACACAGTCTTTCTGTCTGTTATGACGGCCTGGATTCTCACAGTGACCAGACCGACAGACTTGGTGGTGGCACACAGTCTTACCGCAGAGTACGCGCCGGGATGTAGTCCTTGAGGAGGTCAGAGAGATAGTATGGGGCTAGGGCATGGAGAGCTTTGTAGGTGAGCAGGAGGAGTTTGTAGATGATGCGATATTTGATGGGAAGCCAGTGGAGGCGTTTGAGGGTGGGGGTGATGTGCTGCCAAGGTTTGGTCCGGGTGAGCACTCTGGCAGCTGAATTTTGAACGTACTGCAGACGGTCCAAGTCTTTTTTAGGAAGTCCGAACAGGACACCGTTGCAGTAGGCTAAGCGGGAGGATACAAAGGCATGGATGAGGGTTTCTGCAACAGTCTTTCTGTCTGTTATGACGGCCTGGATTCTCACAGTGACCAGACCGACAGACTTGGTGGTGGCACACAGTCTTGAGGGTGTTTTAAAAAGTCTTTAAAATCTTTATTTAAGTCCTCTGGTATATGGTTATCATCTGAATATTAGAAAGGTGTTATACTGAGAGGGGCTGCCATTAGTTTTACAAGCCACCAGATGCTGCTGTGTTTGCTGTGAAGCTTTAATGCTTTGAATCTTTTTGGCACATATTGAAAAAAATCTGTAGAGTTTTCTTAAGATGTCATCTGCCCATCTCTAGTAATACTGTCAAACACTCTGAGCAACACAAACACAGATGTGAAGATGACAGACTTTTATTTTTTCAGATTCCCATAAATCATTTACAAAAAACAAAATATGTCTCAAAAAGAGGCCAAGGTTTAAAAATGCCAGCTCTCTCCCTTTTAAGCCTGATTTTACCACATTTAACTGAAACATGTTTTGCTGCTGAAAGAAGACTGTATAGTTTCCTTATCACAAGAGTCAGCGATGCCTCGCAGGTTTAGATCAGCAGACCCGACTTTAAAACCTCAAACTTTTCTGCTCTACTTTGCCTCGATACTTTTCTCAGGAACACACAGCATGGGTGTTATTCCGCAGCTCCCCTGGGTGCTGAGCTGCACGAACCGACGTCCCTGGAGAGATGAAGCAAGCAGAAAGTGTGCCAACGTATACGCATCAGGTGCGCCGACTTAAATGATGCCTCGAGTTAGGAGACCCCTGAGAGCAGGAGCATCAGGATGAACATGATTAAGCTTTATTGATCACTGAGCCATATGGTTTGCAGCATTTTGGATGAGTTTTAATATTATAGTGGAAATACATATACTCTTTGGATCTGACTGGATTATACTGATACTGAGTTTAGAGAACACATATAAGAAGATTGTTTCTCATGGCAGTAAGTACTCTTTAAGCTGCACTGGGTGTCACTGTTGCCTCATGTCTGAGTTTTCAGCTCTACTTTGCATGTAAGCAGCTCCAGCAGAGCCACAATCCACAAGACGAAGAGGAAGATGTCCCTTTACATGCCTGCAGACTCCTTCGACGGATGACATCCCACATGAAACCAGACTCACAGACACCGATCTGACACAATCCTTTGTGCCGGACCTTTCAATTCATCAAGATGCGTTAAGAAATATCAATTTGTCACATATACTGCTGCTGCTGTTAGAACAGAGCTGTGCAAAGCAGGGTCTGTGTGCAAAAAAAAAAAAGGACCAATAAAGACCATTACAGTAAAATTGGCTTTCTGTTATTGTGCTTCTACATTTCAATATTTCATTACAGCCACACAATAGTTAATCAAATGTCCAGCACACCGTTCTGAATGACAAGCACCACTGCGTTTGTATTGATGCCAAACCCTTTACAAATACACCCTCCACAGTAATCCACCCGGAGCTGCATCCACGTCAAACGCTTTTCGAGGAGCAGAAAAGGCACATAAACAAAACCAAACAAGTCTTCCCAGCTCACCTCCTCCAGCTTCTCAGTGACTTCCTGCTTCTGTCTCCAGGATTTGTGTGTCTGTCTTTGGACACTCATGTTTGGACATGGTTGAGAAATGAGTGAAAAAAAGAAGGAGGATTTTCTTCAGTCAGTAATGAAGACAAATTTAATAGTATGTACAGGTTGTAGAAAAGACATGTTAAAAGATTAGTCCGAGTGAAGTTGCGACCCAAATTTGTAGGCATTCTTCACAAGCTTTACAGTGTGCATGTTAGCAGGGCATTGTATTTGATCTCAGAGTTCATGAATTACAAGATGTCCATCTAAACACCCCCCTGAAGTCAGATTTCCTGCATGGAAAGCTTAAGCAACTTCAGTTACTCTGAGCTTAAAATCCAAGATGGCTGCTCCCTGCGTCAACCACTGTAATTTTAGAGCTGTTGATAAGGAATTTTAGTCAAGTTTTGCGTGTAGCGTGTGCATGTTGTGATGTTGATTTCTTGCACAAACCATCACGTAATGTGTTGTTACTGCATGGTAAAGCTAACAATGATGCAACCTCATCTCCAGCCTTGACATCCAACTTCTGAGGTAAACGGCACGCACCGATAAGTGATTTTGTAGGAGTTTTGTATTTGTTAGAAAGTAGTCCTGAAGCTTTGCTGGTGTGTTCACATCTGCTGTATGGGTGACAATAAAACAGTCTCTTCTGTTGATGCCTTTCAGATATCCATGGACAGCTTTTTTACCACCGTTTACAAGCCAAGCAGCTGCTTCCGACTAGGAAGGCTAGGACTAGATTAGAGACAACAGAGCTGCTGGAGATACCCCCGGCAGCTTGTCCGGGATCCTCTCTTCTGATACTGGTGGTACAGAGAGACAAAGTTACAAATGATCTGGTTTCTATTCATCAGTTAAGAAATGCACTTCCCTGTCTTGTGTATAGATCCACCCCTACATGACTAGCATATCCCTGCTTGGCATAAACCAAAACTTAAACTAAGTTTAGAGACAACAGAGCTGCAAGTAATGCAAGTTGTTGACATGGAAGTTAAAGTAAATGTGTAGAAGGTGGTAAATAAAACTTTGAAGGGAAAAGAAAAGGGAAAGTAAACATGAAAAAGCTAACGTATTATGTTTAAAGCTACGTACGCATGTTAGCTACTGAGCTAGAATGATTTTCATTTTGTTCATCATTTACCTCCTGCTAACTTGTTTGTTGACTGTTTTGTGATATCATAGGTCAACTGGAAAAAAAGCTAATTTGATTTTAACGGGTTTAGAGTTTGAGAATGTTGTGTGCTATGCTGTTTTTTTGTTTTTTTCTACTACATTAAATGATTGGCTGCAGCCAGCATGTTTCCATGACTGCTCAAGGTGAATTCCTTCCAAAGGACAAGAGAAATCTATCTTATCTAATGTAATGAAATGTAATGTAATCTCATTTTATCTCATGAATTGTACTGTAATGTAACCTCTTCTCATCTACCATAACCTCATCTCATTTTACGTCCTGCAATCTCATCTCGTCTAATCTTCTCTCATCTGATTTTATATCATTTTATGTAATGTAATTTCATCCCATTCCATTTCATCTCGTCTATTGTAATGCAATGCAATCTCATTTAATCTCATCTCATTGAATCTAATCTCATCTCATACTAGGTTTTACGACTGCCTAAAACACTAAAGCAGGTGTCTCCCCCAACCTCCTGATTGTCCTTATTATTATCATCCCTCTTTCTTTCTAATCACCGAGCTGTTAAAATACTTGACTGTAATTGGTCGGAACCCTCTAATAGTGGTTATTAACTCTGAATAGCTTGAGCAACACCATTGACGACCCACACGCACGTTGTTCTGTTTTGTGTAATACTCAGGGATGAAGGGAACAGCGACAAAATACATGGGATAACAATGAACGGACGGTGGAAATGACGACCTTAAAAACAATCCAAAGAGTTTCAGAGATCACAATGACAAACAAGAATCAATCTTCAATCAGAAGCAACTTAATAAAGGAGGAGTGGCTGTTCTTAGGGTTAGGGTTAAAAGACAAGACCAGAAAAACAAAAAATATATAGTTCAAGCTTTCACCTCCACACACCGTCACTTCTGACCAAACTGCTCCGCTGCTCCGTCTCTCTCTCTCTTCCCTCTGCCATGGTATCAGCTGATTGACTACACTTGAAGCTACTTCCTAATCAAGATCTACAGAATGAAGAGCTGCAGAGGAAGAAGAAAGAGTGAGGGAGAAAGAACAGCACAGCACAAACTGACCGCTACCAAGTGTAGAAAGTATTAAAGGCACATCCACATGACATTTGCTTTTGAAGCTGAACCACCACCGAAGACAAATGCAAAGAGTAAATAATATATGGAGAGCCCGATAAAGTACCTCCAACAAAACCATTTCAGAGTTGTGACTCACATTAATGGTTCAAGCCAACCTGAACCAGTTTGGTACACGAGTGAAACAAGCCTTCAAATGTGAGGGAAAGGAAAGGTAACACCACGTAACCGTCAACTACGGTCAAACAGCTGACCATCAGGAGGTATGACGTGACATGACATCAGTACATTTACATATTCAAAAAGTTGATTTATTGCATCATTTCAACTGAATTCACACTTTGAAAAAACAACAAACACATCAGTCTGAATGAAATCGCACTTCTCGTAAATGTTGCACTTCTCATAGTCAGACTAACGAAACCTAGCTAATGCAGATGGGGATTCATTTTCTCTCACATGTCCATCAGATTAAAACCGACAAACTTGGCTGTATTTAACCGCATTGAGAGGCCAATAGTTTCAAACTGCACCACTCATACCATCCAAGTGAAGTGATCGGAGCAGCTGGGAATAATGAGGCCTCGCTCTCATTGGTCCTTTAAATGTTGTCAGAGTGGGGAGGGTGCAGTCTAGTAAACACAAATGCAAATGTAAAACAGACGGAGGATGGAGTATATACGTTCAAGGTATAATGTTTTTTTCACTTTATGGGACATTTGCAGTTTGACAGTTTTATAGAATGGAAAATAATAATATTATTCAATAAATATTTCTAAAAGTAAAAATCGAGAAAGTGTTGCCTTAAACTTTTACTCTGTTACTTCATGCAAGTAAATCTATAAATATATATTTTTCAGTGCAAAAGTCAGACTGGACAGTAAGCCGCACACAAAGGGTTAAATCTGCAAACTCTAACAGTAAAAAGGCCTTCCCTGCTGCATGGTTATGGTAGCATTGTACCCTCTGGGCCAATCCCAGAAGGATATTTTAAGTGGTCATAAATAAGTCTAACCTTGCCTGCAAATCAGCTCTTTAAATGTAATCTAAGGCCTCTCTGATGGGCTAATTCTGTCCTGAATTTCTTTCTGTATTTATAGCACTGTTAGTGTGTTGGCTGCACCGTCTCTTTCACATGGGTTAGGGCCAAAGTCAGACGAGCTCACGTTTGTTACTCACTGTAGCTGCGGGGAAAGTCACCTGATGCCCGGCGATGCTGGAGAACAGAGACTCTCTGGTCATAAAATGGCCCATAAACACAGAAACAATCAAGAGAGGACCAGGCTGGCATGTGTGTAGAGAATAGACTGTGTGTGTGTGTGTGTGTGTGTGTGAGTGTGTGAGTGAGTGAGGGCCAGGTGGAACATAATTGCCCAGCTCCCTGCCTGAAATTCACTAAAGCTAAACGCTAACTCTGCACTGAGCCAAACCTTCTTTATTAACAAGGAACATTGCACCTCTATCCAGTTAATGAAATATTGATTTGGAAATTGTATTGTAAGACGACGGAAAGCTTTTAAAGCGCTTAGTGCCTTTGCTCAGAGCCAACTTCATCAATTATGATTTTTTCTTGGTTTTCTTGGAGAAAGCTCCAAAAGCAGAACTCGCCGTGCCCTGTGTTCATGATTAGTGTCATGTGTGTGTACCACGGGAACTTCATGCCCCTGAATAGTTTAATGTTTTTTTAATGAAAGATGCCCGCATCAGACCGAGTTTTCTAATGACGACGACAGTAGCAGATTTAATGATGTGTTTGTTCCCATCCAGTCGAGCTTTTAAAAAGAGGGATAAAAAAAAAAAAAGATGAGAATTGGTCACATTTCCAAATGTAGTTCACAATCAGTGACTCGCTTTAATGGGATTGTGTGTCTCTGGCGTCCGAGCTGGGCCAATTTTGAGGACATCATGAATCAGAAACGACAAAATTTGTATGTGTCTGCACTGTAGTCAGCATCTGAACAGTACTGATAAGAAACTAATCCAAACCAAATGGAAACCACTCGGTGCCTGAATCTGGTTATTTTGGTATCTGTGTTGAACAGCAGACTTTGGTAAACCTCAGGATTAAAACTGTGTGATAAAAGTAACAGTCACTGCAGGGAATTAAGAGCCTAAAACCTCGTCTGTTCAAACAAACCTTTTTCCATTCAGCGTATCAGGCTGGAGGCAGAAATTCAGATACAAATGCTGATACCTGTCCTTCGCCAAGAATGTTTTTAATGAAAACTTACAGCGACCAAACAAAACAACGAGCACGCCACACATGTTAGGTGTTTCTAGGTGATGTTATGACAGTCAAACAAATCAATAGATCTCCATAAAGAGGCCCACTGTGAGGTGCCAGGAGTTATCTTAGGGTCACACTCTCGTGACTCTTGAGTTTACATACACGTCTGACATAGGTCTAAAAATGCCACAAACTCTGTGTCATGACAAAGTTGCACTCAGACAGGCTGTATCCCGTTGCATGTGTTAAAAAAGGATCTGTGTGGTCTGAAGGGTGCATGCAGAAATTGAATTAAGTGGTAATTGGAGCACTTAGGGCTGTGACCCCCAAACTTGGAGAGTGGCTCCAGCATATTTCTCGAGCAACATCTAAAATCTCCATCAAGGAGACTGCAGTCCTATAAAACAGTCTGGGTCTCTCAGGCCTCTGGTAGAGGACCAAAGCTTGAAGCAGACATAAAACTAGCCAAGGAGCGAGGGTGCAAGGAATTTCTTTTACAGTACATGCCAACAAGTCTTTGGCCTTTAAAAGTCCAATAGTGGGTGAAATGATCCTTTAAAGTAGATAAAAAGACACCACATTCAATTCAACTCCACTTGTGAAGCACATTTCATAAAATAACACAACATAAATCCACCTTGCTACGCACCTACGCACCTGGATTAAGTGTTTAAAATTTAATCCGGTGAGAAAAACGGTGGATTAAGACAAGCTTGTTCTTTATGTTGATGGCAGATCTGGAGATGAACCCTCCCGTCATCTGTCTCATATGCTAATACCTACTTCTCACAGGTACTCTGAATGGTTTTAGTATTCACCAAGGCTTCACTTAGCGTATTAAACAGCTGAATGTCCTGTGATGAGAGGATCTGTAGACAAATGAAGCAGGTATGACGTGCATCAAAACTCTGATATTATGCCCGTCAGGAGTTTGTGAAACCAGCTGAAATCTGATGGGAAACAAAGACTGTAATCCAATGTAAACAAATGCTAAATGAATCCACCCCAGGCTCTAAATGTTGCAGTTTACATGACTACAGGAGGTGCAGACTGGCGCCTGGGCAGCTGTCCATTCATTGGCTATGCTGTAGTGGCTCGGGGCTGCGGAGTGTGTATTAGCAGGAGGTCATCACGGTTTATTACACACTCTCCATCAGAGCCGTTTCCATTCAGCCGGCCTGTAACATACGTCCGGACTAATCAGCACTGCGGACAGCACCTCTCACACTTCGCTCGGCTCCAGCACCGCTTCACACGATTGAAATGCACGACGCCATTCACACTCCAGCGCTCTCCGTCCAGCCTTTGTTTTCACACCATGCCCCGGTGGTCCCTCACCATTTATTTACCAGCGCAACACAAGTGATAACCTTATTTTGTCCATGCAGGGATGTTTGTTTCTTTGAAGATTTTGAGTGAGCAAATACATGCAACAAAAATGCAACAAAAGTGGTGAGGTTCCACGTGTTTTCCATCACATTTGATCTCTAAGGTGACATTTAAGCTCTGAGTACATCATTAAACGGCTAAACTGTGAATTGCTTATGTTGCAGTTGGTCTAAGTGTTCATTTTTACATCTGCAATCTAATTCACATTGGCATCTATGACTTTACCCATGAGATGGATAATGATCATTTAATGTTAGGGCTCCAACATCACGACTACCACCCCTCTTTAGGTGCCATTGCAGTTTACACTTATGGGGTTTGCAGCACTAATGTTCAGCCTAAATAGTCTATCCTGTGTCTTAAAACATAATGGGATTGCAAGGTAAAGAAGCCAGGAGGCCATTATGAATATTTAATTCAAAAATCTAGGTGGGTTTTCATGGACTTCAGTTTCCCTGTTTTATTGGGTTTTAATTATCTTGCGTTTGCGTTTGTGAATGAAATCTCACACCGACTGCAGACCTATTCAAGTCTGTGTTGACAAGCAGGATGCAGGTTTTCCATTAGGCATGGTGCTGCAAGTTGATCTCCTACAAAGACCCTGTTCAGGCCAGTGTCACAATGATGTCACGGTTTAAGCTTAAAGGGATATTCCGGCGTAAAATTTATTTACGGTCATAACACTGAGTTAGACAGCCCCTCGAAAGACGAATGTTGCCAACCGCTTGAATGTTTGTAGCGAGACCTCGGGCCAGTCTATTATGGACTGCTGCGGGGTGACGCAGCTCAAGGAAGAACATTTATGATCATTTCTTTAAAGTAATAATCACCATTTTAATCATTTTGCGCTGCAGACGCGGTAGTTCTTCTGCCTTAGTATCTCAGTCTGATTGCATTTCCATGAAGAAATGATTATAAATGTTCTTCCTTGAGCTGCGTCACCCCGCTGTAGTCCGTAATGGACTGGCCTGAGGTCTCGCTACAAACAAGCGGCTGCTGGAAGAGAGTAGGTGAGTTGTGTTTAGCCTCTTTGCTAAAGAAATCAGACAAAGTTAAAAAGATGTTTGGTGGCCAGTGCTGTGGCTGGGACCCTATATGTCCTGTTGATGAAGTTAGGTGCTGTTCTGAGCATTATTTGTGGGTATAGTTATAGTTATAGTTATAGTTATAATGGCGTTTGAGTTGAGGTTTGTTTATGGCTCCTCAGACCGCTGTGTATTACTATCCTGCGGTCGTTACTAATGTTGGTTTAACTACAGAAGCAAGCGGTCAGCAGCATTCATCTCTGGAGATGTGTCTAACTCGGTGTTGCGGTGTGTTTTACCCGATAATAAGTAAGCATAGGTCTTCAGTAATGCTCATTTAGGTTGTACTCGGGCTATGCTGTCATTTGACTACTATAATGCTGGTCTGTGAGAGTAGTCTTTGAGAAACATGATTATAAAGGACTCAGGCTGGTTCTGAACATCAGGCCTGCAAATACCGAGCCAGGAATGGATGAATAATGATGTCCTTGACTTGTGAGTCATGCAAATAATCTCTAAAGCAGTAAAAATACAGCCTTGGAAATGAGCACAATGGACCCGTTTAAGTTATGCCATCGCACAGTTTGAACAGATGATGATTTTGAGGATGCTTTGACACCTAAAGAAAGATCAAATTCAGATAATCCTTCCAATAATACCAGCCTGTTCTTTGATTCTGCACTATGACAGCTCATTAGTGCACAGCTACTAAGAAGCTTGACCCCTCTGAGACCCCCTTCAGTTTCAATGGAAGATGAAAATATGCATTATTTCTGCGTCTATTTCCAGTTATCTGCAGTTGTGCGATGGGAGAAATTAGTCCAGATGTTCCTGCAAACCCTCTGATTCAGTCATCCCTTGGCAGCTCTGCAGGCTGAGTGCATCTCCTCATCTTCAGGACCACCACAGATCCTCTGGATGTTCTCTTCTGGAGGCCCCGGTGCAGGACCAGATGTCGTTGTTGTGCTGCTTCTCGGGAGTCATTCACATTTCCATTAATCATTATTCAAACATCTCTCCTCCGCCTCCCCCGCTAACCAACCCAGCATATGGGCCGCCATGTCTGCCACTGTGCCCACAACAAACGCGTCACCCGGCCCGTGGTTCATCAAGGTCCCCCATGATGAAACAGCCTGAGCCGCTGATCTCCCACTAATTTAAAGATAACTATCACCTGTTCTCCGTGTGCCGCACCACACTCTGGATGGTTTGTGAGTAATTGGCCTGTGCCTTTTGCTTGATTAATTTGATTGCTACATTTTTCACTGTCCCCTCTCTGGTGATTGCTCCGGCACTACAGGTGCTGGGTTTCATTAATTATATCCTTAATTGGTTTGGAAATGTTGAACGCAAGTTTGTTTTGGGGGAAGGTGGCAGTTTGTTTCGAGCGGCAAAACATCTCAGCGTGTTTCTCCCACTTAAAAAGATAAATGAACCTCATCTTTTCAGCAGATTGTGGCGAAGATGCAGGAGGTAACGAAACTCAAGGACAACAAGCTGCTGAGGCTGTTGGGTATAAGACGGAGAAGTCTGGAGACTGATATGCACACTTGTCGACATGTTCCCTCGGTGAAATGTTTGATTAAGAGTCTGACTAAGATTTTACAAAATAACAAGTCCAAGAAACAAGAGAATAAATCTGGTTTTAAGATTTGAAAGTACTGTAGATGTGGTTTGTTTTGGAGAATCTACCGTTGAATGCTTTGACAGACCTGAAAGAAGCTGTACAACTTCAAACGCCCCGAATTTATAGAGTCTAAGAACGTTAAACAAAGTATCGCCACCAACCTATATCCTGTGGCATGATCCTTTTCAGGCTGTCAGCATTAACTTGCTAATTGGAACCTCATTACGTTCCACAATCAATACCTTAATTGTTTAATTTTCCTTTTGCCACACCGTCAATCACGGCTACACCTGCGATGGAAAATAACAACATCTGCGCTCTTGAATGATGCATTTCACATGTGCACTTGGAGTCAAGTGGAATGAAACTATAACCAAAGTGCTTTAAGCCTGAGCTGCCATCCATGAGCTAAGCATGCTGTTACGGCCAATTACACCGATGTCAATGGGCAAGCTCTTTAAGAAAACTAGCACAGCACTATTTTGAGCATGCATGAAACTAAACTGCAGGAGTGAACTGCAGCACAGTCCTGAGTCTTTAACACTGTGGAAGACCCTGTCTCCCTCCTGTTCTTTGTGTTTTGTTCCTTGTGTCAGTTTTCAGTGTTTCCTGTTTTATTTTGTAGGAGTTGATTCCTTGTGTTTCTGGTCTGGTTTTACTTCCCTAGTTTTCCCTCCATTGTTAATCACCATGATAAATCTCACCTGTGCCTCGTTTGCCTCACCTGTTGCTCGTTTCCCTGTGTGTATATATAGTCCCTGTCTTCCCCTGTTTCTTTGTTGGTTCATTGTATGTCGATGTGAATGCTTGTCTGTGTAGTCTATGTGTGAATCCTTAGTCTCCTTGGGTTTTTTTTTTTTCCCTGGGCCTTTAGTTGGATTTTGCCTTGGGATTTATTTTAGTGGACATTTTGAATGAAGTTTTTGTTGCTTTTCATTTAGTTCCTTTTAAATAAATCCTTCTTTGCTCTGAAATTGGGTCCTTTTTCCCGTTGTTCAACTCTGCCCCTTAACAGACGGGGGATAAAATGGTACATTTTAAAGCATATTTTTTAAGCAAGCTGACCTCATAAGATGTGATTAAAAACAACATAGACAAAATTAAAAGTCCTCCTCTAAAGGATACAGTGGTCTGTGGAGCCCTCGGGTGATTCAGGTGCAGCATATTGTGAAGCCTGATCAGCCATAGTCTTCTCCCAAATCAGGACACAATTAAGAACTGCTCAACCTTTTTTTTCAATATGGACTTAAAAACTGTTTTCAAATGCAAAACATGGTGATTTCTAAACTCAATTAAGAATGTGATTGAATATGTAGTTAATATAGAGCTCTGCAAACTGTTCGCACATGCTCTTGATGTCCTCAGACAAATAGTCATGTGTGATTTGGAGGCCAATAACAATGGTGGACTACTAAGCTGTGTTTGTGCCGGAGACCATACTGACATTACCAAAGCTGCTCCAGCAAATTGTAGATCTATGTGTTTTTCAATATGCATTAATATGACATTGGGGCCGACCACATAAGACCTCAGGAGTAGGAACATTTTCACTGCTCTAACGTACACTTGAAACAGATCCTCATTGGGTGAACACATTTACAATAAAACAATCATATCACTTTAACCACGGAGGCCAAACAAAGTATCTGACCCCTTTGATTTCATCTGGCAGACGGCACCACACCATCTTAACCTGACGCTCACTCAGCTGTGTTTGTGCTGAAAAAAGGTGTAGACACAATCCCGCTCACTATGAAAAGCAACCACGTGTGAGAAAAGACGATGACCGCAACAGGCTGAGATGAGGATTGATTTTTCTGACACTGCGGTGGTGATCAACATGTAAGACATACAACATAGACAGGCTGTAAACACACAGCTCTGGTTATACAGGATGTACGGGGGCTGTTTACTCTGAGGTGCATTTTAGTGTTAAAGCTTCAGGGCAGTAAAGGTTTATGTCTGGTTTAATTGCATGGCAGTATTCTGCTTATTCTAGCAGACATGTGGAGCATCTCAACAAGGGAGTTTACCCTGATCAAACCTGTCTGCAGGTCTCTACTTCAGCCTGACCCTCTAATTCAAAGAGGTTTTTCTAAATTTCTTTCTTTTTAATCCCCATTTTTTCATGTCTCCATTGTTCCCTTTCATTGTTTCATTTCAAACCCGAACACAAGGTGATAAAAATTGGATTTTTTGTTTTGTTTGTCGTTTGATATATAAACCAAAGCTGCTAAGTTACACACTGCCTGCTGTAAAAACCAAGCTCAACACTACAACTTTGAAAAGTCTGCATCGAGATCCGTGGACTAATGGTTTGAAGTACATATTTTTTTGGTCAGAGATGATATTTGGAAAGATACACACACAAAAACATATTGATTGATTATATTTTGGTTGGATGGCTCCAGTAAAAAATTCTCATCGGCAGATTTGTGAAAAATGTAGAAAATGAAACTACAACAACCCGCAAGGCTGAATGATTTGAAAAAGTGGCTATCAGTACATGATGTCAAGCATCTGAGCTGAAATATTAAAAAGTTTTTACTCAGGATATTTTGTGTACTTTTTATAAAATCTTTGGCTGGAAGAGAGTTTGAGGAATTGTTGCTGTAACTCTGTTGCTCTCTGATAAGTCATCATCCATTACTCACGACGTCGAGAGCTCATTTTTTTCTTTTTCACCGGCTATGTGACTGGAAAAAAAATGAGTTTATATCTAAGACCAGATCTTTGAGTTGCAGATAAACCGATGTATGTGATTTCTTTAATAAGCAACGTCAATTTCATCAGTTTCCAGATAATCACACTCTAACAGTGCACTGTTATGTTTATGCATTTGGGTGTTAACACAGTACAGAAGATCTGAAGTATGTGAAACAGGCTGAGGGTTGTGTTGCAGCTTAAGAGAAGAGCGAGTTGTCCTTACTTTTACTTCTTGGAAGCTCCATCTGTGTGTGTGGTAACCCCAACCTGGATTGATGCACCCTTCCCCCACACCAGAAAGTGGATGGTCCAGGATTGATTCATCTGAGAGCTCACAAAGCGCTCTGGGCTGCTGGGGAAACCTGTACTCCTCATCTGCACCACACACTCTCTCCACACACACTCACAGGTATGCACATACACACTCCACCTGCAGCATCTTAGCTCCTCTTAATCATGTAATGTGCTCTGTGTCTACACCTGGATCCTCTGCAGGCTGATCTTAGTAATGGATCTGCAGCTCTCCAACACTTGACCCTGAGTGTAAGTCTGTGTGTGTGAAAATGGCCATTTGTCTGGTCTGGCCTGCACTGTCACCTGGTTTGCTCTCAGGAGAGCCCGGTGCAAGCAATTTGCTCCCTCACACACACACACACACACACTCACTATACAGATGCAGCTGTTGTTTACTACCCACACTCTCCAGAGTCAACTTCATCACAGAAGCACCTGAGCAACTTTGTTTCTGTTTCAGGAGCTGGAAGGATGAGTCGGGGCAGTTTTTGTTCCTTCTTTTTTGTAATTCTGTCTGGTTTGTCCAGGTGACAACTGCAATAATCACTCGTCTGAAATACTCAGTGGGAATTGATGTCAAACATGTCCTTTCTCTGTAGTGCTTGGTGATTCACCCTCTCAAATGGAGTCCCTCAGGGGTCTGTCTTGGGTCCCCTCTTATTCAATGTACATGAAACTCCTGAGTAGGCAAAGTGTAAACTTTCGCCATGATGCAGATGACACTCAGGTTTATGCCCTGTCACAACCTGACACCACCGATGTGTCTCACATTATGACTCGCCTGACTGAATTAAACATCTGAAAATCTTCTGCAGCTGAGAGACTCCATATCTAAAGTAATTGTCATTCCTGCTACATTAATAATCCGTCCTGTAATGCAACTTATTCTGGCATCAGTGAGCACGATGTACAGAGACTACAATTTACTTAAAATGCTGCTGCCCAATTTTTAACACCAAATAAGAAAAGAAACCCGTACAGGCTTCCTGCACCCTATATCTATGAGCTGCTAACTACCTATAAGGTCCTCTAGCAGGGTCCTTCTCATGGTTCCTAAATCTAGACTACAGTCATAACTGGCGACTGAGCATTTTCGCATGTGCCCGGAGGCTCATAACGCGTTGATCTGACTGTTTTTCATACCAATGTGAATTTGTTAGTGTGCGTTTTTAGCTGCTACATTCGTAAAGACACGTGTTAAAGCTTCTGTCTGCATAAATGAGGGTAAGATTCATGGTTAGTCCCTGTGGCCCAGTGCATAATAAATGATGATATAACAAAGAGAGCAATATATGACCAGGCTCCATTTATCTTGCAGCAAAGCAAAGTAATTTTCTGTCTTTTGATGTGCCTGAAAACACTGCACGCTCTTTCTTTTGAACTTCGATGGGAGCAATTAGAGTCCTCGAAGCTCAGAGAACAGAAATGAAAGTCAAACAGCGAAGGCCTGCTTGTTAACAGCTTGGGATAATGCTTTCTGATCCTGTGTAAAAAAAAATACCTGGTTATTTTGGCATTGTAGATATCTTTAGCAGCCATTACTTGTTTTCACTGGAGAGTTGTAGACGGCAAAGTCATTATGTTCCTCCTGCTGTGCGTGTTCTGTTGCATTTAGCCTCTCAGGTGGATGTTTGTGGGTCTGTCAGTCAGAAGTGCAGAGTCCTCGAAGGTTGGAAAAGGACGTTCTGAAGAGCGTTTCTGCTACTTTCTCAAATTCAGCAGCGAACAACAATAAGATTAGCTTTCAGACAGCGACTAAGCAGCACAATAGCAGCAGCCAACCAGAACTGAGATGCTGCTGAGCGTCCATTGATTTCTGCAGGTTTTGTCTGTCCTTCTGCAGAGCTCCTCCTGTCACACACTCTCTAAGCACCGATGGCACCTCCAGTCTCCGCCTCACTGCAGAGGGAGCCTCAGAGGATCCTGCCGGACTCCAGCCTGTCACAAGCTGTTTAGAAAGCGGCGGACGGCGCCAGACTGTAATCAGCTTCAGGGTCTCCATCCTGCAACACACTGATACAGACAATCCAATCACCCACAATGCCTGTCAAAATGAGGATCTGGTGGCGCATCTGACTCTATGGGTTGTTGTCTTCCTCTGATGCTTGAGGAAATAACTCTGCAAAGACGAGCCAAGAGTCAGTATGAACACAAGAAAAGGGTGGATAATAGTTATCAGTTATTAACATTTATATCATTGAAGCAAAAGCTTTTTCTTCTGTCTAAAACTTCTCTTCAGTTGTCGTTTATCCTTTTCAGCATCCCTTAATCTTCAGGTCCTTGTCACAGGCTTTAATAAACAGATAATAAGCGTATAATAAGACCTTATAATCAATAAGCATTATTAACACATTACTGCTAAAAAACACTGACAGACCCGTTAAAAAAACACGTTCCTGGTTTATATATCTGTCATAAGCATCAATAGGATGTTATTAACATTAATAAGACTTTTTAGAGATTAGTATTTAGTCACACGCTTGCAGTGTTTGATTTTAATAAACTTAAATATAACAATATAAACTTTTTTTTATCATTATAACTAACATTTGTTATTGCTTATAAGCTCTCAGTGACAATTTATAGACTTAACTTTTGATAAGATGTGATATCTTATTAATAAACATGCTATTAATGTTTATGACAGTTATATAAACTGTTTACAAGCTTTTAATGAGCGCCTATAAATGTCTTATAAGCAGTAATTGATGTTTTAAGTATGCTATGATGCAGGTGAATGTTTAAAAGCATCTTTTGACTTGTTAGCGTTTTAGTAATGCTCATTTTAAGGCCCTTGATATGAAGTGTTATTGTAAAGGATACATGATGACTAGAACTGGTTTAAGACGGAAAAAGCATCTTAATTAAAACAAAATAAAGGCTGTTGTGTGCCGTGTCTTCAGTTATTGGTCTAAAACAGCTGTATAACTGCTAAAAACTTTATAAGACACGATAAGATACAGTCTAAGTGGATGTAAGTCGCGTTCACCAGTCTCTCACTCAGACTCTGCACAGGGTTTCAGTGGATGCTGTGGATCTGTCACCCTGATGTTACATTTTCTATTGATCTACGGATCACATGCGGTCCAAACCACAGTGGGGTGATATGAACAGATCAGGGATCAGCTATGATCTGTGACACCACATGGGTGCATATTTGTTTATAACCTTAAAAATGCCATGAGAGTTCACGAACCATGTATGTTTCATTTCGATACCAGTAAATGTCAGATACTGTATATGAAACGACTGAAGCGTGTTCAAATTTCAGCCACACGGGGCATCAGCATCTCCACCCATCCTGCAGTTAATCAAAGATAGTTTCCGTCAGCCTACGAATACGTCAAACTCTGATGCTCTTAAAGACCCAAACACCTTAAAGCATAAAGCAATCAGAATTTATTGTCGGTAGTTCAATAATATTTGAGCTGAAAGTCATTTTGTCATTTCTTCCCTCTTTGAAATTCAGCAGAGATCCACTTTTAGTCAGCACCTCTTGGTCTCAAGGTTGTGGCTGCGTTCTTTCCTGTTGTTTCATAAATCAGGGGGTAATGTGATTGGCCGAGATCGAGTCAGAGAGGCGATTAATTCTCCCGACTCCTCCAGCAGCACTTAAGGTGGCATTACCAACACTCCAAATATATTATTTCAGAGGACTCTCCTCTCGTTAAACGCTGCATGAAATAATGGAGGGATGCAACAAAGAGCTTCATGATTCCTCCTCCTCCTCGAACTCTTTCCTTCAGTTGCTTCCTTTCCGTATCCACTTATCATGCATGCTCTCTACAAATGGTTCAAAGTGCCTCTCTGCAGCCCACATTAGACTCCACTTTAATGGCTGATGGTACATTATGGTACATACAGTGTGTGAATTAGGAGAGCTGAACCACTTCAAGCCAGCGTTATCATCTCAGTGTTGCACAGAGAGACGTTTCCTCTCGGGGCTTTCGCACAGATGAAAAGGATTTCCCGTCCCCTCGCTCAAGGCCTCGTCCCTGCGGTCATCTGCATCTACAGAGGTTATAGAGAAATATGACGTAACCAACCATACTGATAGCATATGATATGTAAATCCTGTAACGACTGTGAAAAATCACAATCAGTGTGTTTCAACCTAGACCCAGTTAAGGGAGGTTGTTGCTGCCTCATCACAATAAACTGTCTTTAGTGAATACACATCCTGATCAATTACTTTGTTCCAGAGCAGTAGATTAAAACAGAGTGGCGACAACTTCAGATCTCGCCGCCGGAGCGGTCACGTGGTTCATGTACCCCTCCATAGTTCCAAACGCAGCCTGCACTGTCCATGCTCTTCAACGGGGCAGACTGCAGTGAGCGCGCATTTAAGAGGTAAATATTAAAATTAACCGTAAAAAGTCAACATTTGCAACTCTTATTGGATTACTGTGTACACGTCAAAGTCACGTACGTATATTTAGCGGCTGGATGACAAATAAAAGTGAAATAAGACAAGTTTGGTAACGCGTGTTACCTTTTAATAAGAGAAAATAATACAATAAAGTGGTAAGTAACAGGTGTTACAAGCTGTTTAAACAATTGTGCAATGTTTTGGACTTGCAGCATGGCCTGAATAACATTTTTCCATGTTAAACATACGCCTTAAATGCTGACAGGATTAAAAAAGTAGCCGCCCCTTAACTCTATCATCCCATAAGCAGAAATCAAATTACATAGCATTTATGGTAGTCTAAAAAGAATAAACTGCATATAACATCGGGAACTGATAAAGGCTGAAATCTAAAATAAAGCCCATAAGTAACCATCTCAACATATGATTGATAATGATGATTCATCTGTGATTCATAACTCAGTCACACAATAGATTTTGGCAGGCCTCTACAGCTGACGACGTCCAGCTAGCAGGCCGTGGCTAAAAAATCGATCCCAATTCCTCACTAAAAAAACGTAATTACATCTGTAATTACAATTTGAGCATACTAGAATTAAAATCATTTTACATATAAAGGGGTCCCTCGAAACCATTTACACACGTATTGGCATTACATTCGTTGATACAATATTTTACCTCGGGGAGTGTGGGAGCAAACCGTGGCTAAAAAATCGATCCCAATTCCTGACTATAAAAACGTAATTACATTTGGGATATACATTTTTACATATAAAGGGGTCCCCTCGATATCAATAACACATGTATTGGCATTAAACTTGTTGATATTTTATCATTTAACCTCGGTGAGCGCTTGCCTTGTGGCCATAGAAGCTAACGGCGTCCGACGTGACAGGTGGTCATGTTGGAACTATTACGAGTTCCATAACCCGGAAGTGAGGTCCGCCGGGCTGTACAGCGTATGTCTATGGGAGAGTCGCCACTCTGTTTTAATCTACTGCTCTGCTTTGTTCTTCTCTTATTCTGAGCTCAGTCTAAAACCACAATCTTCATCCTTTTGAGCGTCACACAGAGGATGAATGAATGAGACTGTTATCAGGTGGTATCGTCGCACTTTTAGAAGTCACCCTGACACATAAGGCCCATTAGCAAACAATTAAATCAGCCTAATATCCAGATTTATTTAATTGCACAGCCTGATGTAAACATAGTTAGAGGTTGTTAGGATAAAATAAATAAAATCTCCCCATCCCTCTGTTGTCTCTTATCTGTCTTTTCATTATTTGCTCGCTCTCCCTCTCCCTGCAAATTGTGGTTCCCCACGGCTCTCCGTTCGAATTAAGCAATTTAACTGATTGCAATTAAACACTGTCAAGGGCTTTTATATTACCCTCATTGAATCAAAATTTTGATTCGCTGCCACCCCTTAACAAATTTTCTCCAATTTTACACAATACGGCTGGAGTCAGTTGTAATTTCCCTCTCCAAACTTTCATGTTTCTAATTTCCCCTTCGACCGTGCCGCGTGTTTTCGCCTCCTGAAGGAACCCAAGATCAGTGAAAGAGGAGCTTCCTCTCAGTTTTGGACATGGCCGATCATAATCAAGCTTTCCATGATCCTCCGTGAAAGGGCAGTGGTCCCCAGCGGGTTGCGGTATTGTCTGGGTGACATTTGCGCTCTCATGCTTGCAGTTTGCTTCCAGCTCTCACTCACAATTATCTTTATAGTCATCTATTTAGACAGAATCTCCAGAGAGAGGAAATTAAATCTAGCCTCTGCTGAGTGCTTTCTGCTTTTCAGAGCAGGAACCAACATGTCTTGACAGTAAAAAGCCTCTGTTGGACACATCATTGCATTAACGTGATGACAATTTTATGTGTTGTCTCACATTTAATAAGCAACAGAGATTCTATCTGGATAAGTCCTGATGAATTAATGGTTCCTGGATCTGAGACTTGAGATGATTTTCTCCTGCAGGAGCTGATTTGTGCTGTAGAGGTTAGCTTCAAAGAAAGACGGCTCCTCGAGTCCTGGGGTCAGGGTCCTTTCAGCGAGCTGTTTGCACGTTCTCTTTGTGCATGCATTGGTCCCCTCTGGGTTCTTCTGCCTTTCCCCAGAGTCCAAACACATGCTCATTAAATTCATTTGTGCCCCTAGCCAGGAAGTGTAAATGTGACATGGTGTCAGCCTATGTATTTCAGCGCTGTGACTGAGCAGAGTGCCTCTTGTCCAGCTTCAGATGTCTATATAATGAAAGCATGAAGGATGTTTTTGTTGAAGTCACAGCGATACACATGTTCAACACTGAGTGCAGAAATGGAGAGGAGTGTTATGCTGCGTTCAAGTTGTACTCTGAAGTTGGAATTTCTGAGCTCAGACACCAAAATTCATCTGGAACGCCCCCTTGAAGTCAGATTTCTGACTCAGAAAGTCGGACGATCCTCACCAACCACGACTTGATGACAATGTCATAATTCAAGATGGCAGCACAGTGCAACAACAGTAAATAGTAACTGTGAGAGCTCTCATATTATTTATTAGCACTTCTGTTTTCTTTTCTGCAAGAGGTCAATGACTTCAAATACTTGGATTCCTGGGTGAACTCCACAGAACAGGACCTTAAGGTCAAGAGTGTGGTGCTCGAATCTCTCCAGACACATAAAGCTGAACCTATTCCACGTCACTGTGGAGTCCGTCCTCCTCTATGGCTGCGAAAGCTGGACCCTGACACCCACCCTGCAGAAGTCCCCGGATGGGTGCTACACCAGAATGCTACGAGCTGTGCTGAACGTGGACCAGAACATCCACATTACCAACAAGGACCGGTACGGGCAACTGCTATAGACATCAGGAGCTTCCAGCCAGCAAGCTAGTCCTATGGGAACCAACACACGGGCACCGTTCGCGAGGACGTTCAGCGCTTACGTATGTGGACGTCCTGAAGAAGGATGCGGGAGCTGAAATCTCCCTGGAGCTGGTCGGGTGTTTGGAGAATCGGGAGGATTGGAGACTCAGATGGAAGCTCGTCTGAGGACGACTGAGAGAAATAAGTAGTATATGTTGTACTGCCCAACGTCTAACTGTGAAAGCCGTGCTAAGGTGTTTGTAAGAGTATACTGCGTTATGCGTTGTTTACAACTGGTATTGCTAACACCAACTAACAACCACTGACAAGGGTGGTTGAACCTAATCCACGTCACTGTGGAGTCCGTCCTCCTCTATGGCTGCGAAAGCTGGACCCTGACACCCACCCTGCAGAAGTCCCTGGATGGGTGCTACACCAGAATGCTACGAGCTGTGCTGAACGTGGACCAGAACATCCAAATTACCAACAAGGACCTGTACGGGCAACTGCCGAGGCTCAGCAAGAATGTAGCATCTCGGAGGATGTGGCTGGCCGGCCACTGCCACAGACATCAGGAGCTCCCAGCCAGCAAGCTAGTCCTATGGGAACCAACACACGGGCACCGTTCACGAGGACATTCAACGCTTATGTATGTGGACGTCCTGAAGAAGGATGCGGGAGCTGAAATCTCCCTGGAGCTGGTCGGGTGTTTGGAGAATCGGGAGGATTGGAGACTCAGATGGAAGCTCGTCTGAGGATGATCGAGAAAAATAAGTAGTTTATGTTGAACTGCCCAACGTCTAACCGTGAAAGCGGTGCTAAGGTGTTTGTAAGAGTATACTGCGTTATGCATTGTTTACAACTGGTATTGCTAACACCAACTAACAACCACTGACAAGGGCTGACGACAGCTGACAATTGTAAACAACAGCTAACAGAGGCTAAGAGTAGGCGTCCATCTTGGTTTTCCGACTTGTTAACTGGAACGCCATAAACTCAGGTGTAACGTCATTCCCAGCTCCGACGTCTGACCTCAGAGGTAACTAGAACGCAGCATTAGTTCAGGTCAAGCTTTGCTAACGGACTAAATCTGACTTTTGACAGACTTTGTAAGTGTCTTTAAATTCAACACAAAATCCACTTACTTGTTTATTGACTGTTTTGGTGTGTGCTGTTCTACCTATAATTACAATTAAAACATAACTATAAGATAATGTATCATTCTTTGACATTAAGAGCTGCAAAAACATCTTCTCTATCTGCACACGTATCAGACTGTGAGGCTCCTGGAAAAGACCTTGATCCAGGAATGATGATCTTTCCTGGTGTAGATCATGTGAAAATCAATGACTCTCTTCTCTGAAGGCTGGATGAGATGATCTGATCTCTGTGGATCCCGTCAGTGAGAGCGGCCTGACCTCTGTCCACTCTCTCTTCATTTACAGTCAGGTAAATATGTTCTCATGGCCACAGGCAGCTGCTCAATTCAACATGAGTGAGGAGCTGGGATAGCTTGGAGGAATAATGAGCCCTGCATGGGAACATCATCCAAACCATGAAAATGTTTGTTTTTGTCAGTTTGCAATCATAAAATATTTCTTTTGTCTTTCTATTCCAAAGTTTTGTCCTCTTGGTATTCTTTCTCTCTATCAAACTGTTCAGCTTCTCACTTTTTATAGCTTTCTCTTTTGGTGTTGCATTACAGAATCTGATCCTTGTATCCCATTTGTACCGAAATTCTTCATTTTTATGGTGTCTGCTGATCAGGAAGTCC